ACTGAATCTAAATCTTCATACTGCGAATATATGTCCTTCATCATCCAGACATGCAAGTCAGCGTCAAGGATAGGAACGAAGGGGACTGGCTTGGTCCCAGAGCGCTTGCAAAGCCAGACCAGATACTGAACATCCTCAAGCGCAATAAGGGTGCGGCTTATCTCTGGATACGTCTCATCCAACAAATGAACGACTTCAATTGGATCCAAAAGTTGCGAGGTCCATTGAAATGCCCGGGCGAGATCTGATCCAGATACTCGGTCCTCCATCCTCAAAATGAATTCCCCAAACAGCCTTCCATACGACACATCCAACCACCTGGACTTGTCTGCATTGTACATGAGCTCCACGAGTTGGCTGAGTACTTCCAGGTACGTCATCTCCTCCAGATCGACCACTCGACTGTCAGACTTCTTGCCAAACCATGGCCGCGTAAAGTCTTCGTTGAGCCGCTTTATGATATGGTCCTTGTTTGCTATGATTATCGGCATCTGGCTAGCTACCGGTTTTGAGAATATCATGTCGTTCAGCTCTCTGAGAGCCAGTGCAGCTCGAGTGGCCAGAAGATGGACATGTTCTCCAAAATCCGACATAATTGTTATCACTCCGCTAGCACTGCTAGTACATAATGCCCTCCGCTCACTTTATTCAGTGCCAGTGGCTGCTGCAATGAGCCCCTTTGCTTCCAAGGACGCCCCCACTCTCTTTTGCGGCCAAAACACATGACTCAAGCAATACCCCCGTCAACAGGCATGGGTGCATGTCAAACTGGACACTCCACTGGCCGGAGAGATATGGCAGAATGCCGTCGCCATCGCCAAATCCTGACCCAACAACCAGGATGGTATTTGGCAGAGATCTGATTTTACTGTAGGTTTCCAAAATTGGCTCGTGAACTCCTCACATGAATGGTGACCACTACCACGACGCCAGTCCACTGGATAATGACAGGGAAGTCTGGGTTTGCCCTGGCGATCGCAAGTGTCTGGAGAATTGTAGCGACTGACCTGGGCTTGAACGCAACATGGCGTATTCCCGCGTCACGCAACTCTGCGATTATGCCGTTAGCAACGTCAACCGAGGGAACACTGGCGCCAATACAGAGCCCTGTGATTGGCACTCCTTCCCGCCGCATACGCAGAATACTAGGATACTGGAATGTCCACTGCTTCTTGTTCATGTAGACTGTGTTGACGGCGAATCCACTACCTGGTTCAAGGAGGTTGACCAAATTCTCAACCCTTTTCTGAACCCCGCTTCAGTGTAGATTCCACTACCAGCAAGCTCGACATGGTACCCAGCATTGCTGATAGCTGCGACAAAGTGCTCGTTGGACATAGTCGGGATCATTCCTGCAACCATCACTGGTGGAAGTCCAAGAGTGAGTGACATGCGGGTGCGAATATGAAGCTGACCCTCATGCGCGGTTTGAACAAGGCGTGGACCGAACGCACTCTGCCAGTTTGGCGCTGAGAAGACATCGGAAATATTCTGCTTGAACAAATCAGCCTTGGATCCCATGCGTGACTGGGTGTCAGAAATAAGTGCACTGGTGCTGATAACAGTTTTTCCGTAGCCATCCAAGATGTCCCTAGTGTATTTCCCAAAAGCACTGAAACCTGCCAGGACTGAAGTCGACGATGTGTGTGGCATCGGTGCTGTTGACAGCTGCAGGCCAGTTGACATGATAGAGAAACACACTGCCAATCAAGTACTTAGTAAGGTCTACTTCATCACGAAGATCGTGACCATCCATACCAGCGTTTACTCGAATACGAAGAGTGTCAGCGTTGAGGACCCACCCCTTTGCGGTGACAACCTCATACACCTTCGGCACAACATCTGCCATTATAGCGCAGTGAGTTGGAAGCGTCATGTTGAGCGGAAGAACGATTGCAGCTGGTTTGCGTAGGGAAAATTGAACGCGCGACTGATCCTCTGTCGGCAGGGCAGTGTGCTTTCTAAGGTAGTTGGTAAAACCTGCGATAGAATTCGGTTTGCCAGAAACGACAATGTTCGAGCGACCGTTAATTAAGGCCAGGCTAACTTTCGAATCCTCGACCATGCAGTTTGCATTAAACGCAGCAACGAATGGCTCCAACATATCCTTGGTCAGACCACGAATAGAGATCATCGGCACGGACAAGTTGCCAGTGGGTAACGAACATTCTGATTTGTCCCCATATGAGGCATCTGGTGAAAAATTCAGTTGGCCAATAACTGCTATCGCAAGGGAAATACTGAGCATACGTTCAGTAACAGCATAGAATGATGCCTCGTCAGTCACAGAAGCAAAGGCAGCAGCCATGGTTAGACCCTGGCTGTGTCCGATTGCAACTACAGATGTAGAAATGAGCCGTTAGTAATGATGAAACTCAATAAATGACACCCGCTAGCGTCAATGATGAATGCCTGTTCTTACCATTAAAGCGTGAGACAAGGTCGCCAGGGCTCATATTGAGCGTCTTGTACAAGACAACCACATGCATAGCCTGAATTAGTCCTAGCATGGGGGAAATAACTGGTGCAGTCAGCAAATACCTGGCGCCAGGCACTGTATCGGGAGAAGCAAGCCAGCCAGCAATATCCAGGGGGCATGAATAGGCCTTTGCAAACATTGGGTCGGAAGATACGCGCTTGAGGAAGCCAGACATATGGGCAACAAAATCTGATAGTAGCGGGCCGTATACATCGAGAAGCCATGCTGCTTCGTCAAGATAGCTGTTGGCACCGCCAATGCTACCAAACATGGCAGCAAGCCTGGTGTTAGAGTCAGAAAAGATGGCAGGAGCAGGGACCTCGGGCACCAACTGACGCACCTCAAGGATGTTCCAGACCGAGTAATACCCTTTCAGGACAGTGCCCGCTTGCTCAGCAGATAGATTCAGCCGCTGGACAACCACATGGATGTTCTCATCGGCACAGAATCCTTGGTGGATGTGAAGGAACACGGCAACAGCCACATCGGGATTGGCGGGGGCTACAGTACTCCAAAAAGAGCGCGATAAGTTCAATTTCTGTAGAGACAGCAGGAGGGCTGCCATCCAGAAAAGACGTAGCGAGCCTCTTGGCAATAGAGAAATTGTCGCCAGGAATAGGAATATTTGTTGATACTCCGCCAGATGCGAGCGCAATCATGCGGAGAAAGAGATCCATTCTGCAGGAAATGCTGAAGTGTGTTCAGTAAGTGCTGGTTCTTGAGTGGTTGAAATGCGCAATATTTGCAATGCAAATGAGAAAATTGACCAACATCAACTACCAAATGAGCGCACATATAAATGGCTCGCAGTATTTGCAATTGCTGATTATAAATTTGCATGGTATCCGCCTGACAAAGTGCTTCGCTTGGAATTCTGGGTATGCAGCATTTTCCACATAGGCTGATGTTAATTCTCTGCATGCTATTGTGCCAAAAAGTCCCTTGCAGAACCGCTGCATCCAATATAGCGATGCTAGATATTCTTTCAGACACTACATAATGTGATGAGGCGTGCTAGGTATTGATTGAGTAATGCAGCTGTATAGTCATAAAGGCATTCTTATTCATCAATGCTAGTGGCAGAAAGGAGTTATTGTCATTCGGCTCTTTATAGAATTTCACCTTTTATACGGAGTGTATATCAACTGGATACATATTGCGTGTGGAAAACAATACTAGAGGAGAATATGTGCAACCTGAAGATGGTGGTTGGAATGCGCCACAGTATACCCATTGAATATAATCGGCAAGCGGCGTGTCTCAGTAGCACTTTCTAGTGCATGGGTGGCACATTTGGAATATATCAACGTTAGCAACATAGCTGTTCACTCAGCTATACACATAATATAGGACCAATGATGAATGCCTCTGTCTGGAAATGCCCATACATTTTTGTATTTGGCTAGTGTGGTTAAAATTCCCCTGATTCAGCACTGCCTCATGCAAACATACCGGGCCAGTAAATATGCCTTTTGTCTAGCATCGATAGCCATATGAAGTTAGCGCGATTTGCAAGGATCACGAAATTTAATAATTAACCTGAAGTTGCAGCTACCACCTATATGCTTTTCCTTTATGACATTCCAGATTCAAATTTTGTATCATGCACTGTATTGACAGATCACCGCTACTCATAAACCACATGGAATAAAGACTGTGCTTGGCAGCTGTCCAGGTAGGAGATATGTGGAACCAGAATCCCTCCTTTTAGCAGTGCTCATGTTGGCCCACAAATAGGTAATAAAATAAACGGTCCACGCCTAAATTACCTCAGCCTAGATGTCTAGGAGATTTACTAGGCAGTGTGTTCTCCAGTAGCAAAATCATACCTGTACCGATAAACCAACCTTTAACGCTCACGAAAATGTATCGCAAAAGCGAGAAGAAATCCCCACTGCAAGGTGCCAGTGAGGGGCATTTAAGCAAGCACCAAATGCGCATACGGAGCTCTTAGCTAGGCCGCTCACCGCCCTAGATAAAGCTACGTAGTTCACAGTAATCGGACCTTGAGATTCTAACAGCCTTAAAAGCGATACTCCTTAGACACCGGGTCATACCTTGCCCGAGCGGTCGGATCCATATAGATATCCACCTCTTGGTCTGGTGTGAATGGCGGAGCGCTCTTGATTTGTGCAAACATATGGTTTCCGATAAGCACATCTTGCCAATAGCGGTTAGATTTCTGCTCGCGCTCCTTAACCTTGCAACGATACTTGTCTAGCACATCCTTGGATAAAACTGCGTGTACAAAATCTGGGTTCAGCACTAGTATTTCGGCACCAACCTGGCCGAATCCAAATGATGTCACAAGCGCAGCATCGATCCTGGGGTCTGAATCGACCTGCATGGGAATAAAATGCAATCGTATTTCTCAAGCTCAGGGTCGACATTATCCAAGTTGCGGTTGCCTGGAATGACGCCTGTTTGCATGCTCTGCAGCACACCATTTAGCATCCATGCGGCAGCTGGTCCTTTAGAATGCCCAGTCAAGTACTTTTGGCACACAGCTGGCACGGCATATCCAGGTGTGCGGCCCAGTTTCTTGAGCTGTTGGTTAATGACATGTGGCTCGTTCTTATCACTGGCTTTTGTAGAAGTTGCATGGAAGGACACGACACCAATATCATCCACTGTCAACCCCCACATGGCTAATGACCCGCGCAATGGTGAAATTGTCCTGTCATTTTTCCAGAACTCGTTACTCCATGCATCATGCGCATCCCTAATAAGCTGCTGGGATTTGCTCTCGATGAATGATTTCCTGGAGCGAGCAAACTCGTCCGCATTATAGGCAACTGAAGCATCAGTGCCCATCAGCTTCTCAATTTCCATTTCCAGCCCCTCATACTGCTCGTCGACCCATTCCTGGATGGCGTTGAGTCTTTTCGTAAGCTGACAGCGCCGATATGCAAAGTCCAATAATGGTGATGGAATACTAGTCGCATCTTCACGCACTGTGGTCAATAGTCCCTGTCCGGGTGCAGGTACAGTACGTCCCTCCTTATCTGTGGCGGTAGCAGTCATTGCTAGCACTCCATAAATTGGCGCCCCACACTCAATGGCCGCACTTGCAGACATTAGTGTCAAGATCCCTGCACCGGCAGATTCAACGAATCCATTGCGAGTTGCCGCACAAGGACGAGACATTTCTTTAAATGTGCGCCCGTTTGCAAGCTCGACTGTAGCATCTACTGTGGCGTTTATGGATGCAAACCCGAGTGCATTCTCACGAGTGTAGGTATCAGACGCCCCAGCAACCACCATTTTAGCCTTTCCGAGCTGAATCGCTTCTACTGCAGCATCTAATGAAAGTGCAGCTGTAGCACACGCACCAACTGCAGGTTTAATCGGTCCTGCCGAAGACAACAGAAGCATGTTTACCCATGCAGCGACCGTGTTTATAAGTGTCTCCTGCAACACATCCGTTTTTACATCTTTGTCCAGAGTATAGTTTGCATGCATGTCCTTCATTGAATCTAACCCCCCTAAACCAGACCCAATCGTGTTTCCAATGTCTGCCAGATGGAAGTACTGGTAGATTTCATACGGATCAGTCATTCCTGAGCGTAGGAGTGCCTCGATGGTGGCAACAATGCTATAGATTGAGAGCGGATCGATGAGTTTGACCAAATCATCAGGGATCCCGTATCGCTTCGGATCCCAACCGGCTGGAAGCTGTCCAGCAGCAATCCGGCTAAACTTCATTGCCTTTGGGACAGATATCACAGAGCCCTCAAGGAATCTGACTGACCAGGTGCCCTCGTTATTCCTCCAAGTATCGACCTTTGTCGCCGTTCAATAGCTTGAAGCTTTCTGCTTCCTCAGCAGTTGCTTCAAAGGGCTCCATGTCATGGGTGACCTGGATCTCGCGCAAAACGGGCAATATCTCCGAGCTAATCCCATGTGTATTCTCTGGCTCAAGCAGGCGTATTCCAGTATGCTGGAGAATAAAGGATTCATACTTTGCCTTGATATCACGGTCGCGCACTGGCTCACCCGTTTTTGTGTCTACCCAACCGATGTGTATGCCGCTACCATTTGGTAAAGGTCCACCATGGTGTCTGATCAACCCCATGATCCAAGCAAGCTCAACACACCCTTCAAGAGAAAACTCGCCATATGCCTCCATTTCCCAGCGTGTGGACGCATGGCCGTAGGGCCCAATTTCACCATATCCGGTTACTACAACAACCTTGTCAAGATTTACCATTCCTTCCAGGTGGTGCAGTCTCTCCAGCTGCTCGTATGCCTTGACTACCGGCAACTTCATACCGCTATTGGCTTTGAAGTCGGAATTGTGCACAGTCCACAATTTTCTTGTCTGCTCACCCAACAGAATATTGTTTTCATGGGCATGGTCGGCAAATAAGGCTCTCCATTTGACAGACTGGTCAACCAGCACTTCACGCATAGCCGAAACTTTGTCCATGCAGTGGGATATTGCCTGGAACCCACCAGCAAGGTCCGCCCAGAGTGGTGCTTCCACCGCAAGACGACGAAGTTTGTAGTGGAGCAGACATAAAATGTTAAAGGCCATCTCGTTGACCGAGAATGTCCGCATTCCAAGCCGCTCCACTTCACTGGCAATGACATCATTCGAGTCCATGATGCCTGTACCACGCGTCCACCCGATGACTGCCCCAATGATGGAGATGTATTCTGACCATGTTTCCGATCTCCACCTGTTTAGCAATGTCTCCAAACTAGCCTTGCTTTCACCATAGAAGCCATCTCCGCCGAATAGCCCGTGATTAGGCGAAAGCGGAAGAACCACTACACTTGGCGACAACTCTAGTCCGAGACTGGCTTTAGCAGCAGCAACTGCCCCAACCTAGGCGTATGACATTAGTCATCATGATTCGCAGTGCAAGCTCGGAATGTGACTTCAACGATGTAACATCGCTGCCGATATTAGAGGTGGAGGCGAACGGCAAGACAAAATCAAGGTCCCAATGTAATCCGCCCTCGCCAAATATGTGCTGGATTAGACTGTCAATATCGGAAACTGACCCTTGATTGAAAGGAAATACATGCAGCTCGGACCCACGCGATCCATACTGGCGATACATGTCCTCAAAGTACTCTGTTGTCCTGTAACTATAACTAGATGTAGTTGCGGCAACCCTGGCACCTCCAGAGAGAAGACCCTTAAGTATCTCGCTGCCAATGGATCCTCGACCGCATCCCGTCAGCAGAACAGTTTTACCCTCAAACGACATGCCATTCGAGCAGGTGTCGTTCATAGCATCAAAGTAGACAGCAGTGTGTTCACGACTATACGACCATGACTGACCTTGCTCCTGCGTACGCATATGTAGGAGCGGCTTGCCATCGACTAGTGTGTTTTCCATACTTGCCGAATACAGACTGAACGTGGATTCACCGGGTCTGGCAACCTCAGAATAGAGTATTTCTCCAACAGCGTGCCCTCTAAAGTTTGCTGATACAATGCTATCATGGAAAACTTCGACACTTGGCCCTGTGATAGCACCTACCCCCTTGAACTGAGGTTTAGACGCTAAAGCTGGTTTACAGCTATTGATCACCTCCACGAGTTCTGTAATGAATGGAAGCGTCTGATAGTCGGCTTGCCTTTTCAGCATAGCAAGCAGCCCTTCAGCAAATCTTAAAAGTGCAGGGCTTGACCGATTCTTGAGCATGTGTAGCTTTTCAGAGTCGATGAAGCGATTTCCCCGAAGAAGACCATTCCATAGTTCAAACAAATCCTGCCGTGCCCAGTTCCAATACGAGTTGTAGTGCCGACCCTTTTTAGCATCGAAGATGGAGCTAATCCCTTGCAGATATGCATCTCCCTGTTCTCCACTAATTTTGTCAATCTCTGCTTGCAGTTTAGCAATCTCGCCTTGGGCTTGAGCGAGCTCTCTCTTGTCCTTGTGGAGATCAACACCAGCACTATGCGCAAGGACTGCCATTTGGCGCAAGAGCTGCTGCTTTTGGAGATGCTGTGCCTTGTCAAGCTCCGCGCTACTAAGTGCTGAAGCTGTAGAGCGAACAGGTTCAGATGTATCTGCCGAGTATACAATGCCCTCGTGCTTCGCATATAACTCCGCAATCGTGTGTATCCACTCGTTCACCTCGTAGGCAGTACCCAATCTGCTGGGCGGCGCTAAAGTCAGTGCAAGGAGAAGAACTGCATTCTGCCGCTGGACACCAAGACCGTATCTGCTCTCTAGATGTGCGTTGAGCATAGATTGGGAGTAACTACCAGGCATCTTTGTTGCAAACAAGCGGGCTAGGTGGGCATTTAGCTGCTTCCCAGGAGTGCCACTGAATAGTCCAATTTTGTCTGCGAGGTCAGTGAGGTTCATCTCCTCCGCCTTGTTGGGCACTGCACTCCCAAATTCCTTTTGCAGCTCATTGACTATCTCGTTTTGCAACGTTGATTGACCTCTGGCCAACTCCTTGATGGTCTTGGTCGGGAGGATATCTCTGGCCGACTTCTTCATCTTCAGGGCTATAAGGACCTGCAGTACGCCAAGTGTTTGGAGAGGAATGTCTGGGACACTTTTAGCTGGAGCCTTGGGCAGGCTTGTTGGTGGCCAGCGAGGAACTGGTTCTTCGACTCGATCCACTTGCTGTGGGGCCAGCTTTTCTGCATTGTCTACTGGAGTAGTGCCGATGTTTGTTTCCTCAGAGCTGGGTTCGTAAGCAAAACAAATATCGCCTTCATCCTGGAGAATATGGAGTACCGATGGTTTAGTACCAATACTTGCTAGCAACTCCAGTGTCTTGTTTGCCATGCCAGTCAATGTTGGCGTTGGACTGATCTCAATGAATCGACTAATGGCACCCATGTCAAGTATGAGACTCTGTGTTTCTATCCAACGAACAGGGGAGGCGAACTGGTATGCAAGAAGCTCAACAAGGAGAGTCGGTGCGAGCCGTGCAATCTCTGGATCAGACAATTCGCAACCATCTCCCCAGTTTGCTAGTTCCTCTGCCAGCACAGGCGATTTTGTCACCTCATGGACCAGCTCAAAGTAGTCCCTTGTAACCTCAAATGGCTTGGCAGTGACATTCGGAATGTAGATATTTTGAAGCTTCGAATAATCTACACTGCGCTCCGTCAACTTCTGTCTAAGGTATCTACGGAATGGCGCAACCGCAGGAAGCAACTGAGTGGAATGGGAAGGAACATCGACACCCTCTAACGGAATTGATGCTCTGCCACGTGCAGGACGCGTGTCACGATCAGGATGGGCAATAACACCACGAATGATGTTTTCAACATCGCACTTGCCGACATCTGAGGTAACATCGATCCTGCACGCGTGAATGGTATCAAGAACTTCACGCAGCGCGCTGAGCATGGAATGATGGCCAGTGACTACATACTGATGGCCAGCAACATTGTAGTTGATGAGCTCAAGTAGAGCGCCACCTTGCACTCCGATACTCTCGACAACAAATGCCAGTGAATCCTGATCGAAGCTCTTCCCAACACGGCTTGGATTGATGGCAGCCATTCCATATTGCGAGCGGCTCTGCTGGTCCCGCCCAACAGATGTATGAAGAAGCATCCCTCGGTAAAAGGTAATATCGATGATGTCCTCAAGAGTAAAGATGTCGCTCAGCGCTGCCAGCGCACAGAATTCGCCTAGCGAGTGACCAGCGAACATTGCCCGTTCTTGGAGCAATGATTTTGATTTCAAGTGCGCAATGCTAGCCATGGCAAAAACAGCTAGCGCTGGCTGAGTGAACTGCGCTGCATGCAGCAGCCCCGATGCTGACAGGTGTGTGTAGTCATCTGCTTCACCACTAGCTTGCGGGAACAACTCTACCATGCTGGCCTCGCCATTATCGTCGATGGCTTCAGTAGCCAGTAACTGGTATGTCTGTTGAACCTTCAATCCTTTCTTGCCACAGAACTTCACTACCAGTCTCTTGGGATTGTTGCGCACGATGTCTAACAATGACACGCCATATGTGCTGCACATGTGCTTGTCCGCACGGTCCCAGACATCATGTGCAGCATCAGACTGCGCATACAGATCCATGCCCATTCCAACTTGCTGTGAGCCTAAACCGGCAAAGGTATATACTGTCCTTGGCTGATCAACTTCAGCAATGCACGTGAGAACCACATTTCCATGCTGGTTGCACGTCTCGCCCTTCACTAGCATTCGACCATTTTTCATGCCAACATGGAAAAGCTTGGTCTGCAGCTGATCTCCAGGCTGAACCATATCCACAAATTCAGTCGAATAGGCACGGATACGCTCTGGCTGGCTGTTGGCAGCATACCTCTCAATAAATGCCCTAGTCGATGCTGAGGTCCACATCCCGTGAATAATTGGTGATGGGAGGCCGGCATGGTCGGCAATGTATGCATTTGTGTGGATTGGGTTGAAGTCACCTGCTGCCGCTGCATATTCCAGTGCGGAGTTTGGAGCCTTTGAAACAAGTCGCCCATCAATATCAGCCGGGATAATTGGGACACCTTCATGATCGAACAGCCTTTCGTGGTCAACAACGTGGCCAACTCGCTCCAAGAACCCAACCACAGGGTTACCAGTGGATTCTAGCCACTCAAACTGAATGCTAGCAACATCTAAGCTGATGCTCTGGCTGTTGCGTCTCACCAGTCTGACAGAACCAGTGGATTTCATGGATGAGTATACAGTGTCGGTCAGGTAACGATATTTAGAGTTGATCACAAACTCAAGAGCATTGCCTGGCGCAATGTCGGTAGTTTGTTCCTCGTGGAATATGATCCATTCTTTTGAGCGAAGGATGTCGACATCCAGCTGCGATTTAATCTCAAGCCGATATACCGGCTCGGCGACATGCTTGAATGCAATGGCGTTGTCTACCACAATGTCGCGGAATATGAATGTCGAGTATGTTTTGGCGAATACCTCACCATCCTTGTAGAAAACGCTTTGCACCTGCAGCTGCTTGCCAGCAACTGTGTTAAACAGCTCTCCGATGCAAATATCGTAGTCCACCACATCACCAACCTTCAAGAGGTCAAAGTTGTCGGCTAGCTCCATCTGGTTTGACCTGTGGACCAGATTTAAGAACCCTGGGCTAGCCAAAGGCAACGAGAACAAGTTGAACATCCCTTCTGTGCTAATGACAAACAGCAGATCTGTCGGTGCATATGTTGGACGAGCAGAGTGTGGTTTATAAAGCGAAAGCCTGTTCCCAACCGACCTGCAATACTTTGCTACGAGCTCGTCTGTGATGACAAAGCCACGCCAGCGAACAGGGTGGGCAGAGCTAGGCAGGCTACCCACCTCCTGACCGAGGACATTATCTTGATGGCATTCGGTGCTGTGCTTGGCCCCATGGAGCGGAATGAGGCAAAATTGGCTGTCGCGGCCTTTATTTGCGTCGTGTATCATGGCTGATGGCATATCCGGACGATACCTGTAGTTCAGCTCCCAGGGGTAGATTTTGTCCAGGGTGGCATGATTGACGCACACCGTAATGACACTGCTTTCGTCTATGCGCAATTCGACCTCGGGATATGCAAGACCAGGCTGGGAAATTGTTAGCCGTGATGCAGCCCCAGATTCGACAAACAGTGTGACGACCTGGCCAGGACGTGGACGAACTATTCTGGGCACATGGTTGTCAGCATATTTCAGCCCCTGAACTATGGTAGCGGATGTTAGCAATGCGTGAAGCCAATCTTCCCGTGTCCCAACGAGTTCAGTAACCCACGAATCGAGGTCAGGTAACTCAGCATCCCTGGTTGGTAGGTAATAAACACTCCTGTCATCCAAGACTTTGCGAGGAACCGTGCATGGCGAAACACTCCGCTGCAGTGATGGGCTAATGTACTCCACGACAGGGACCCTCGACTTGTCACCACCATAGTACCAATCAAGGAAGGCTGATGTCTGGCCATCGTAGATCCCATCGAGGATGTCTTTGACTGGCTCATCGACCTTAGTAGAATAGCGCGCAGACAACGGGCCATGCAGGATGAACGTGCGCTGTATATCCTGGTCAACCAGCGCGTCGGCATCCTCACACTGTCGGAAGGTGTCCTTCAGCAGCCACACCGCAAAGTCCTCATCAAAGAGAGGAATAAATGGAACGGGTTTCATACCTCTCCGCCTGCAGCTGTGCAAGAAGTACTGGACATCTTCAGAAGAAATAACGGTGGTGGCAATGGCAGGATACTTCGTGGCAAAATGGTTGACCAGCTCATTTGGATCACCGACCTCATCCAAAAACTGGACCTCGTAACAGACCGACGCCTTAGTAAACCGGTTCTCAGCATGCCGAAGAAAGGTGGAAAACAGGTCGAGATACGATGGGTCAATCCAGCGCTGCTGGTGCTTGACGTAAAGAAGCCCAGCAAGCCGGCTAGCCACCTCCATGTATGTCATCTCTTCGAGGTCACAGGTACTCCCATCAGCCTTCTGGCCAAACCAGGGACGAACATGATCCGAATTCAGGCGCTGGATAATGTAGTCCTTTCTGGCGTTGAGCAGTTTTGGCTGCTCCTCACGAGGCTTGGAAAGAACGGTTTCATGTAGCTCCTTGATAAAGATGGCACCCCGTGTTGCAATAACATGCATAAGCTCGCCGTACTCTGAGAATGTGGTGACAACCCCTCCATGCGCACCGGAATAGGTCTTCTCCCATTCGCTGTTGGCAAGGCCTGAAGCCCGGGCGATCAATTCCTTTGCAGCCGTCGACGTCTTTGCCTCCTTGGAAATCATAACACGCGAAGCTACCAAGAAACCGTCAACAGGCATTGGCGCACAGCCATATTTGAGACTCCAGTTGCCAGTGAGATACGGAAGCGTGCCTTCAGCGTCGCCAAATCCCGAACCCAGAACCAGAACGACGTTATTCAGGGCACGAATCTTTGCATACGTGTCCAGAATTGGCTCATGGAAGTCCTCGCACGAATGATGCCCACCACCACGGCCACCAGTCCACTGCAGAATGACTGGGAAGTCAGAATTTGCCCGTGCAATCTGGAGGACTTGGCGGATGGCTGCTGCAGTGCCAGGCTTGAAAGCGACATGCCGAATCCCCACGTTGCGGAAGCTGCCAATGATTTCACTGGTCACCTCCAGCGACGGCACACCTGCGCCGATGCACACACCAGCAATTGGATACCCCTCACTGCGCAGACGAAGTATCTCAGCATACTGGAAGTTCCATAGGCGCTGGTTGAAGTATATGCAGTTCAGCGTGATACCCTGGCCAGGCGCTGTCTCCAGTACCAAATTGTCAACCATGCGCCCCAGCATCTGCTTGCTGTAGATGCCTGCTCCGCCCAGCTCGGCATGATAACCGGCGTTCTTGACAGCCGCAACAAAATGCTCGTTGGCAGTGGTCGGCATCATGCCTGCAACCATGAGCGGTGGCTGCCCGAGAATACGGTGCATCGGCGTGTCCAGGTGCAGCCGGCCATCGTGCTTGGTGCGCACAAGTCGTGGGGCAAACTGCTTCTGCCAGTTGGGTGCCTGGATGACTTCAGCGATATTCTGCTTGAATAGCTCGGCCTTGGCTCCAAGCGGCGAACTGCCTGCTGTTAGTGCGCTGGTCGAGATTACCGAGATGCCCCGGCCCGCAAGAATTGAGTGAGCAAAAGTGCCAAAAGCGCTGAATCCATCAGGACTAAAGTCGACGATATGAGTTGACATAGGGGTCCCAATGGCTGCAGGAAAGTCGACAGTGTGTTCGCAGATGCTTCTCACCAAGTAGCTAGTAAGATCAGGCTCATGGCGCAAATCGTGGCCGTCGTTGGTGGCACGAGTCTCAGTCCTCAGGTCGGCAGCGTCAAACACCCAGCCCTTCTCCGCAGCATACGAAAGCTGGTGGCCGATGGCGGGTAGAAGGATGTCACAGTGGTACGGCTGGCTAATGCTCAGAAAGGTCATCCTGGCAATAGGCTTGCGCTGCGAGTACGGGATATGCGACTGATCATCGCTGTGTTGTGCGCATTTACTGCGCAGCCACTGGACAAACACCGCAACTGAACGCGCACTACCAGAAACAACTATCCGGTTGTTGGTGTTTACAAGCGACAGATAGACGGGCCCAACAGTGCCTGTGCTGCGTTCATTAAACTCGGTAATGAATCTGCTGAGCTGGTCCTTGGCTATGCCACGAATTGACACCATCGGTGATGGCGGACCTTCGTTGGAAATAGACTCATCAGTGAGCGCTAGATCAACCTCGACATCAGGGCACTCCAGATCAGGAATGGCACCACAGAGGAAAAGAATGCCAAGAGCCTTCTCCGAGAGTGCGTAGAATGATTCCTCATCCGACACTGATGCAAAAAGGGTAGCAGGGACGGTTCCCTGGCTGTGCCCGACCACGACTACAGATGGAACGAAAACCGCTAATGTTAGAAAACATGCCAACGGCACTGCAATGAAACTGACTTGCCAGCTACTGTCGACTCTTACCTTTGAAGTGCCTGGTCAGGTCGCCGGGGTTAATGCCCAATGTCTTGTACAAGATCATTACGTGCATGAGCTGGAGCAGCCCAGCGAGCGGAAGTTCCACCGATGCTCTAGTTAGGTAGCCATGCGATGGCTGCAACTCAGCATAGGTGCACCACTTGAGCACATCAAAGCCGTGCTCGTAGAGAATAGAGACGCGAGAGTCGTGCGCTTCGTTATCAAGAAACGCTGACATCTTGGTGAGATAGTCGGTGACCAGAGGGCGAAAGACATCGAGGAGCCGGCGTGCCTCGTCGACATTGGTGCCGCTTCCACTCTGGCCGCCAATCAGTGCCATCAGGTTGACATCTGGATCCGAAAATAGAGCAGGCAGCGTCGAGGGGATACAGAGGCTACCGTGGGGCTCAGTAAGTGACCACACGGAGTAATAGCCCTTGAGCACATTGCGTGCCTGCTCCTCATCAAGGCCGAGGTCGCCGATGACAGAGTAAACGCTGCGGTCTTGGAGAAAATTCTTTGCAAAGAATTCAAATGTCGCAAGAGCCGTGGCAGCATTGCGCGTGCTGCAGTAATGCACGAACAGAGCAACGAGCTCAATCTCACTGGTAATGGCCAAGAGTTCGTCGGCAAAGCTGTTGGCTAACTTGGTTGCATGAAGAATAGCTTCAGCACCAAGAGACACTTCGATGGAATGGTTTGAATGCTTGAGTAGCATGGTTGCAAATGGGATGTTACTTTGGCAAATAAGGTACTGATATTCTCTGTGAAGCAGTTTATTGACTAAATGGTATTTGTGATATCGTAGTGGCTGCTGGCAAGATACGAATGGGCATGCAATACTTTATATATAGTCGATTCTCCTGGAGTGCTGGTCTTGCCGTCGTCGTTTCGCAAAATGCCACCTGCCTTGCGAGGCGCTACTTGACTGTCTGTGATACACTGCGGAAATATTTCCCACTGCTTTTCAGATAACGACATTTGCACTGAGTGCTGTATGGCTCCACAATCATTCGTTCCCAACACTCTCATGCCTTGACAATGTACACACTATTTGAACGGCACGCACAATAGGACTCGCCGGTGGGTGAAGGAGCCTAGTGGAAACTTGCGATTAAAGTTGCAGATTGGCTTCCAACAGCAGCCCCTCTGTTTAGGCATCCCTCAAGTGCCATTGCTGCGCCAGGTCTCTACCAAATAAGCTCAGCATGTGGTATCGCAATCAACATATGAAATGATATTTATCTCTGCCCAGTATCTTCAAATCCGCACTCTCAGAAGCTGTCTCAAGCACGCCTGCACTGTTTTCAAGAGGCTTGGCATTGCGCTATGTCTTAGCCTCTGGTGGCTGGCTTGTGCCTGCGAGTGAGAATTGTAAAGACAATAAGACAATCACCCAGCCTTCAGAAAGAATGGTTTGCGAGCCCGGCACATTATTTTATAGCAGGCGGGAAATAGTATGTAATGCATGCAGGTCCAAGAAGACATATCACTTGCTCTACCATTGCATTCAGCAAAGCTGAACAACCACGCGATATCGTCTTTGGCAGAGATATAACCGCTGAGAATAACCGAAGCTGAAGGTGACAAGAATAGGCTATATAGCTTGCACCGACACGAGACATCTCTCGCCTGCGCTACTACAAAGGAGTAGTGCTCAGATGAGCAGACACATGGAATGTGCCCATTAATGAGAATGGACTTGTAGACAAGTGCATGCAGATACCCATGAAGCAAATAGTGTTCTGCCCTACAATGCACCCTTCTGGCTCCGTGTTGAGGCTGGGAAACGGTGCTGGAACCCCCAATCCCCGAATCCCCGAAATCCCCGAAATCCCCGAAATCCCCGAAATCCCCGAATCCCCGAATCCCTGTCATGATTGAACCTTTCTTGACAGCATATGGCTTGTGAGCACGTCTGTGAACACAATTCCCGTATCCATTTTCAGCTGAACCACTGGTATTGCCAAGGAGTGTCTTGCACCTATCGTGTCCCTCTGCCTGCTTCTGCTGCTGGGTTGCGCATTGGCAGAGCCACTACATGCATGCGATGTGCCTCCTCCAAGCTAGGCTGCATGGAAGCATGTGTGTGCCTTGCACCACCTGTTCCTTAGCCACCACTGCGCTAACATGCACTTGGGGCATTTGTGTGTGTAATTTAAATTGAACTGGTCTACTACCCACTAACCTTCTACTCACCTACCTCGCGCTATTGTTTTAGATATGTTTGCTCATATATCAATGTTTCTCGTGTTCTTCTGGCCATCGCTATGCTCGCCGGTAATCCGCGTAACCAATGGTACGGCTGTTGACCAAGGCCAGGCGCCATTCTTTGTTCGCATTATTGCGCTCTCATCAGAGAGATCGGCAGAGCTGTGCGGTGGAACAATAATCGACCAAACCACTGTCATCACTGCCGCGCACTGCGTAATGCCGCCTCGTGACCCAATCCTTCACCAGGCAAGTGCCATTGAGATATATTACGGGAATGTCAACACCAAGCAGCAGAGCCTAACACATGCAACTGCTGTGTATGTGCATCCTGACTACAACACATTCACACTGGAAAACGACATTGCAGTTCTGAAGACCAAACCGTTTGAATATGCTGCAGATGCGGTGCAGCCGGCACCAATATACAACGGCAATGTCTGGCCGCTATATCAGATGGAAATATATGGCTGGGGTCTCAGAGTCACTGGCGGGTCAGCGCAAGACCTCGCACCATCTCTGTTGACAAACAAGGTGTATATATCGTTTCCTTCTGACTGTAGAGCCATTGACGCAAGATACTCGAGCGCCAATGGACCGACAATTTGCGCCAACAACAACTACAACAAGGGCGTTGATGTATGTTCTGGCGACTCAGGGCAGGGCACTGTTATACGTAGGCATGGCACAGCGTACATTGCTGGGCTGGTGAGCTATGGCACTGATGCAAACGGCAGGCTAACATGTGGTGAGCCGGGCAGCTTTGGCATATACACACACATATGGAGATATGTGAGCTGGATCACAACGATTGCTAACACAACATACACAGCAGGGCCACTGCCCAGCGTATTGGTAGCACCTCCAGCCGCTCCAACACCAACCAGATGCATTCTAGGCTACTGCCTCTAAGGTGAATATACGTCAGCGCACTTGGTGAATGGAATCCAAATGCACACAGCTAAACAAGCCATGCATTTGCCTTGTTGTGACCACTCCCCATGTCTATGCCCATCTACAACATGGCAGGGATGGGTAGCATTCCCTGGGCGCCGCTGTCGTCTCTACACCAGACCCTTCAAACACTCTCTCTATATCATGGTTCGCACTGGAGCTGACCGACCACCGAGCAAACTACAGAAGCTCAGACACAAGATACTGCGCATTTCGCGCAGCATCGGGTACGAACTGGCAGACTTGCATGTAGGACAGGTCGATTTGTACCACAGCCAGCTCATGCTTGCTGGAGCCATGCCTGCCTTTGCCCTGTTTCCACACAGCTCGCCGCGACAAAACCGGCCGCTGCGCCACTGGAACTCGGCCGACGGTGTTATGGCTGACCACAAGCGGGCCGATCCTGATGGCATAGCCGATGCAGTAACTCTGTGCGGCGAGCAGCCAGCACCTGCCAGACAATAAAACACACGGCTAACGCGGATTGGCTCAGACCAGGCTCTTTTCTCTTTCCAGCTTTAAAATCATTTACCCTCTCCATTCGCAATGGTCGACGCTGGACTGCTTCTCGCCTACTCGGTCATTGGGACCATGGCTGTGGCGCCAATTTACTTTGGCTCGTTTGACTCGCTGGACCGCCTGAAGAGCAGCTACAAGAAGAAGGCGCGGCCGCAATTCGCAGAGTTCTCCGACTCCGAGGACGAGGACGACAGCGAGACCGAGTCGGTCTCAGCCGAGGACGCGTACATGTTCCCGGTCTACGGGTCAGCGGCGCTGTTCTCAATGTACCTAGTGTTCAAGTATCTGAACAAGGACTGGGTCAACGTCCTGCTGTCAGGCTACTTTGCCATCATAGGCGTTGCCGCGCTCTCGCAGGTCAGCGTCAAGGTCGTCAAGAGCGTCGCCAAGGTCAAGCTGCCGCTGTACCACGTCCACATCGTGCACAAGTCAAAGTCGATCTTTAGCTTCCGCTTCAGCAACCTGCACATTGCAATGCTGGGCACGTCGGCGGTGGTCACTGGCTTCTACCTCTGGTCAAAGAACTGGATTGTGTCGAACCTGTTTGGCCTCGCGTTCTCGTTCTCGGCCATCGGCCTCATTCGCCTGGACTCGTTCAAGAGCGGCATGATCATGCTCGGCGGCCTGTTCGCCTACGACATCTTCTGGGTATTCGGCACCGAAGTCATGGTTTCGGTGGCCAAGAACTTTGACGCGCCAATCAAGGTCGTATTCCCCAAGGAGCTGCTTCCGGTAGATGGCGCTCTAAAGTTCACCATGCTGGGTCTGGGCGACATCGTCGTGCCCGGCATTTTTGTTGCGCTGTGCCTGCGCTTCGACCGCCACCGCTACCTGGCCAGACTCGGCTACGCCAAGGACAAGCACCTGCCTGATGCGCTGGGCGGTCGCCACCACGGCTTCCTGTTCCCGGCGCCCTACTTCACGTCCTGCATGATCGCCTATGTCGCTGGACTCGCCACCACCATCACTGTCATGCACACGTTCAAGGCAGCCCAGCCCGCGCTGCTGTATCTGTCGCCCGCGTGCACGCTCTCGGTGATCATCACTGCCATGATCCGCGGCGAGCTGGGTGCCGTGTTTGCGTATTCTGAGGACACAAAATCAGAGAACGAAAAGGAGAGCGCTGATGACAAGGAGGATGTCAGCGAGCAGAAGGCGTTGGGCGTCCCCAGTGTTGCCGATGCTCCGCTCCGCAAGAACCTGCACTCTCGGCTCGACAGCCCCACACCCGGCAGCGGCATGACCCCCACAAGCGCTGGAGAAATGGCCGACGACGAGCAGGAAGGGATCCGGGCGCGCAAGGTGCTGGACGAGAAGGTCGACCCCATTTCGGACATGTCTGACAACGAATCGGAAGCCGTGTCCAAGAAAAAGAAGAAGGGCAAGGGCAAAGGCAAGGGCAAGGGTCGCAAGTAGCTATGTAACATCCAGCAGAATGTGGGCCATGCGGGCCCGTTATTTTCAATTGCAATAAATCTGTACCCTCTTCCCATCCGCCTGCCGAGCTGTTTGGTCAGGGTTAGGTAAGGTAGGCAGGAGTTACGAGATGCTAGCGCCGAGATGGCCAAGGGCAAGCTGATATAACACGAGCCGAACAAGGCTCATGTTTGTCGTCATTGCTGATATCCAATTTTCCTACTGTTTTTAGCATGTTGACGTGGCAGCAAGAGCTAGACTCCAGCGTTTTAACCAGCACGTCTGTAGACAGCCTGTGCGGGATCAGGCTGCGTCCGCCTGGCTCGTTCTCGTTCGAGCTGCACGATGTGAGCTCGGTTGCGCTTGGGCTCTACTGCATGAGCCGGTCGGCCGTGCCCCACCCTACACAATCGCTATATCAGCTCCCTGAGGCATCACGGTCCACCGAATGCTTGGCTACCATTGCCGAGGAAGTAGAAGACGAAGAGTCCGACGCCACTGATGACACTGAGGACCGCTACAAATCGCTCAACGCGTGCTTTCTCCAGACATTCAAGGACGCTACAGACTACGCACATGTCGAATGTGACGAGCAAGAGGATGAGCAGGTGGACGAAGCCGACGAGACCGACGATGCAGCCACATCAACAGCAGATGACAGTGACAGCTGCTATGATGACGGAAACAGCCAGAAGGCCGCGGACGCCAAGATAACCGAACGGTCCAGGAGTGAGATGCACACCATGGACATCTGCTGCGACATTTTGCGCAACCGCATGGACTACGTCGGCGAGAAGGCCGACTGCAGGTACTGGCCACTGGTCCAGCGCCTGATTTCGCATGCAGAAGACACATGTACCCCGACGCGACGTTCGCTGGCATCAATACTGCCAAAGTTCTTCTACAGCAAGTCGTCTGACAGCCCGGCCGACATCGCCACGTTCTGGGTCAAGCGGCTGGCCACGCAGCAGGACTACCCGCCAGCGCTGTACACGATCGGATGCTGGTACGCCGACGGCTGGCTACGTATCAAGCCGAATGTGAAGCTGGCAACCCAGTACCTATGCCGGGCAGCGACCCTCGAGCACCCACCAGCAACGCTCAAGCTAGCCTCAGTGTTTGAGAGCCAGGACGAGATAATCAAGTCGCGGCTCTTTTACATGCGCGCTGCGCAGCTGCTGGATCCAGTGGCCATGATCCGCCTGGCCGTGGCCTACCTGCAGGGCGAGCTTGGCGTGGTTCCAAACAGCCGCATGGCGATAAAGTACCTGAAGGAGGCCACAGACCACGCAACCGAGGACTGCCCCTACGGAGCCTACCTGCTGGCCCGCGTACATCTCGGAGAGTCCCTGAGCAATCTGCCCCTGGACAGATATGTGCCCTACTGTCCGCATTCGGCACGGAAGCTATTGCGCAAGGCTGCCAGCCTTGGCTGTGGGCCAGCCATGCGGCGTCTGTCTGGGCTGTACGGGACCGGCGAGCACGAGACCAAGGTCGATTACTCCAAGGCACTGGAGCTGTTCAGCGATGCCAGACAGAAACCGGTTCCGCAATGCTGCTGCAACGCCACTCTTTGTGCGATCCAGCGTGCGGCTGACGATCTGGAGAGGGGTTTGTATAGATGAAGAATTTTTTGTTTTGTTTTTCTGTGATTCGACAAAAATGGATCATGTCCATTTCTGGACACCTACAACACGACATATAATCTGAGCCGAATAGTTGGTATACCAAAGACGATTGGTTGTTGCAGCTAGCGCTTATATGTGAACGACACCAATAATAAAAGGGCAATTTAACGAGAGGGAATTGTAAATAGAGGCACAGCTCACCAACAGTTTAGATAGCGGCGTGCTGGAAGAGATATGAGACGCTCTCGCCGTTGTGTGTGCGTCTGATGGCCTCGGCCAGGACAGCACTGACGTCGATTGTGTCGAGCTTCGGGCACAGCTTCTTCTTCTCGGCGTGCGGGATGGTGTTGGTGACGACAACACGGGTCAGGACGCTCTCGTTGATGACCTTGAGCGCCTTTCCAGAGAGAACGCCGTGAATGACAATAGCATAGACGGCTGCGGCACCGTTCTCCATCAGGGTCTTTGCAGCCAGGCCAAGGGTGCCGCAGGTATCAGCCATGTCGTCGACCAAGATAGCGACCTTATCCTTCACGTCGCCAACGAGCACCATGCGGGAGACCTCATTCGCCTTCTTACGCTCCTTGTGGATCAGCGCAAAGTCCAGATCCAGGTGATCGGCAATGGAAGTCGCACGCTTCGCACCTCCAGCATCAGGCGACACAATGATCGCATTCTTCCAGTCTGGGATGTTCTCGCGGATGTAGCGCAGCACCGACGGCTCTCCGTACAAGTTATCGACGGGGCAGTCGAAGAATCCCTGGATCTGGCTCGCGTGCAGGTCCATCGTGATAACATGGTCGGCGCCCGCAACCGACAGCATGTTGGCCACCAGTTTAGCTGAGATTGGAGCACGCGACTTGTCCTTCTTATCCTGGCGCGCATACGGGAAGCACGGCAGCACAGCAGTGATCCGGCGCGCAGACGCAGTCTTGCATGCGTTGATCATGATAAGCAGCTCCATCAGGTGGTCGTTAATCTCGCCACAACCCGACTGGATAATAAACACATCCTCGTCACGCACTGACTCGCCGATCGTGACGGCTGTCTCCTGGTTCGAGTACTTTGAGACTGTGACGTTGGCAAGATCGGTGCCCAGACGCCTATAGATCAGTTTGCGTATTAGTACACGTGGCCTAGGTATCAAACCCCCTTGGCGTCCCGGAATACTGGGGAGACAGCTAGGCACGGTTGTGGTTGGCTGATCGAGTCCTACGACAAAGGCACAACATACTTTGCAATAAGCTTCGCCAGAGCAGGGTGCGAATTGCCGGCCAGAATGCGAATCGAGTTGCTGGACATATTTAACGCTAGTAGAGGAATAAAGAGTAAAAGTCTAAAGGGATCGTGATAAGAAAGGGGATAAAAATTTTCAGCGTGGGCTAGAGCCGACAAGGTATCCAGTTTTTTTTTCTTCCTTGCTTGGTGGCATGACTGGTGAAAAATTTTGGGGGCAATCTCTCGGCCAAAGCTGGCGGTCACTGCGATTTGGGGGTGAGGCTGGCTCATCTTGTGATTTGATTGGGAATCCATGAGCCAGGACGATTGCCTCTTGACACGGTGCCAATAAGGATATAATGACGGCTCAACTTGGGGCTGGTCTGTGCTGTATTGGTTCTGTGCATGCGGACTGGGGCGATCGCATGTGGACAGCGAAAAGATACTGGCATGAGAGCGCCTCTGCACTGGCGCTGTTTTGTTTAATGGCGGAATAGAGACATTATCAAGCAATCCTTAGCGGTGCTGTCTACGGCTGGCATGTAAGTGGCCAGGTCGAGTTCACTCACCAACTCGACAGTAGCTGTATAGTTATCTACATTTTTACAGTACACTAAATTAAACGGCGACCAGCCTGTAGGTATTCAAGACTCGCATTATCGCTATCCTGGCCCCACATGTACACAAATCCTGGGGTTCGGTCGGTCAGCCGATATGCAGAGGGCGGTGGCGAGATGTTCGGGTACACTGGAGAGGGCGACATCGGCCGCACAGGGAGAAATACTTGATCCTTTGCAGCGCTTGCATGTCGCAAATGCTCTTTGCGTCGTATAGTCTTGCGTGGGTCCGTCTTTCTCAGATCAAATAGAGCATTTGGTGGGAGACTAGAATCTACCAGCGTGGCTGCCGTAGCAGGCTTTGTAGGCTCGGCAGTTGTGTAGTTGCCGACTTCAGGACTGCTGATATTGTGTGAGGACCACGCGATCGGGCTGTCAGGACGGCTCTCGTGCTCAAACTTACTCTGTCCAGCTCTGTATGAGCCGATTTGAGACAGCTTCTCAGAATACAGTATGCTGCTGTTACTGATCACATAGGACCCAACATCGTACTTTTGCTGCAGCCCGTCTTCTGACAACTTGTTCGTCCAGTAATGCAAGTACTGCTTCTGTCTGAGCATGCAGTTAACCAGGGGAACTCCAGCAAGCCGCCACCACACAAGATTCACGGCAATATGGTCAAGACTGGTGGTAACGAGCCGCAGCTTTCGGTCAAACAGATACGCCGGTCGCACGTACTTGAGTACGGTGGTAAACGTCAAGACAGCAAATACGACTGCACAGCTGAATCCCATCTCGCGGCTCTCGTTGAACGAGCTCTTGATATTGCGGATCTTCCAGTTTACAGCAGCAACGTATAGCCAGGTGATCCACAAGAAGATGAATAGTGAGGCTTTGTAGGCATGTGTGTACACACAGACATCAAGTATATCCATGTACTTTATCGTAATGCTTGGTGCCAGCACCTGCGAAACGATACCGTACGATACGAGCCATATGCTGTAAATGATAAAAGGAATATACATGCCCAGCCCCTTGAATGGCCGATTCTGCTTGAACACGCGGAACAGGCTGTACGCCCGTAAGGCAACCAGGGAGCTGACAGTGCACACACCAAGGATAATGCGCAGCCACACACCAAACAGCTTGCAGTTGGTCAATGGGGTTCCGTGCAGATGAACGAGCCCATTCACTTGAATGTCCCCAACAAACCAGAGGATACTGGAAAAGTACGCTGCAACTAGGATTCCGGGGCTCTTCGATTTGAGTGACGGGTAGTTGCGGTTCCGGATGAGATACAACACGGCCAACAAATCCAGCGCATATATGGCCGAGAACACACATATAACTGCCAGGTCGTGTTTGCCGATCGGGTCCAGGTGGTATCCGATCTGAGCAGCCATGCTGGCCCAGCTCTGGTCGGATGGTGTGAGTGAAAAAGACATGTAGGCGGTCCAGTATTTAATACAAATAGGATTAGTGGGGGCCTAAAGAGACACCCATTCCTGCTGTAGGGTGTGGTCCGTGATGCCTTTATGTTCACTCACGAGTGATATATGACGCGGGGTCTTTTTGCTGGCCCATCTGCTCTTCTGGCAAGGAAAGGGCGGGTGCTTTCTTCACCACATGCCACTGCATAAGACAGCGCAGGAATGTGATTGACCGGGGTTTGCTAGGTCCGGTGACCCTGCGCCATGCATACGGCATCGTTCAGCACTACCAGGACATGGGCCAGCATAGCCCACAAGAAAATAAAACGGGTCAATGGACAGGACATGCAGACGCTTGTGAAAACGCAAGATCGTGATAGGCAAAGGTGCCGATGCTGCATGCAAGATATGCGCGCACTCGTGAATGGAGAGTGTACCTTACTACTCTTGCCACATACCTATTTCAATGACCAGCGCTGCCTAAGATGGCGAGGCATTGGCCAGATATACGAGGAGATCAGCGTCCCTTGACAGAGACAAGCACCCCCTCTACGATCACCCGGGGCTACCGGCACGTCCACAAACCCGGTAAATGACTACCCCGCACATGCGCTTTGGGTCTGTTCTTGCCACAGACCATTGAGGTTGTCTGCCTGGCCAGCAAGCAGCATGCGAATCCGAACCAACGCATAATGTGGAGCTATATTTATTGTCTTGTTAGATCTCGACCGAACGATCCTTGTGGCTAGCACGAGTGTCCTCGGCGTTGTGCGAGACAAGGCGGTTGACAGCGGAGATGTATGCCTTGGCCGAGGAGGTGATAATGTCCACGTTGGTGGCAAGGCCAGTGAACTTGGGAACCGAACCATACGAGGTCAGGGTGCCCTTGGCTGGGGCTTCGCTCTGCTCGCGAAGGGCCTTGGCACTGGCAATTCGAACAGCAACCTTGCCCAGAGTATCCTGGCCCTCACTGGTGGCCGAGACGTTGAAGTTGAGCAGGTCGATGTCAAGGCCAGTGATGCGCTGGATGGCCGAGAACACAGCTTCAATCGGACCGTTCTGGGCCAGCGATGCATCGGTGAAGTCCTCGTTGCGCTCAGAATCGTGGAGAGTGACGGTGGCAGTGGGCACGATGCCAATGCCAGTGAACACCTGCATTGCCCGCAGCGTGTAGCGCTGGTTAGAGGTTTCATGGGCCTCATTGGCGTCGGGTGGCAGCTCAGTCGAGGTTTCAGTGGGGGCGGGCGGCTCGGACGGGCGGCCCGATGCCAGCGACTCGGAACGGACCTCGGCAACGATTGCGTGCATATCGCCGTCAGTGACACCCGACTTTTTCTGGTCAGCCAGCTTCTTGAAGCCAGTAAAGGCAGCCTGGAACTGCGCATCTGACAGGGCAGCGCCGCCGTAGCCCAGCTCCTCGAGCTTAGTCTTGAAAGCATGGCGGCCCGAGTGCTTGCCCAGGGCAAGGTTACCGGTGGTGACGCCAACATCCTCAGGGCGGATGATCTCGTACGTGGTCTTGTTCTTCAGAACACCATCCTGGTGGATACCGCTCTCGTGCAGGAAGGCATTGCGGCCGACAATGGCCTTGTTGGCCTGAACAGCCATCCCGCTGAGGTCCGACACCATGCGCGACGTCGGGAAGAACAGGCGGTTGTTGACCGTATGGTACACCGGATACGTGTCTGGATGCGTGTGGATATTCATTACCACCTCCTCCAGTGCCGTGTTTCCAGCGCGCTCGCCGATGCCGTTAATAGTCACCTCGACCTGCCGGGCGCCGTTGGAGATGCCGGCAAGGGTGTTGGCTGTGGCCAGTCCAAGATCGTTGTGGCAGTGGGTGGACCAAATAGCCCTCTCAGCGCCATCTGTGTTCTCGCGCAAGTACTTGATCAGGGCGCCGTACTCGCTGGGCGTGTTGTACCCGACAGTATCGGGGATGTTGAGGGTGGTGGCACCAGCATTGATAGCAACGGCCAAGGCCTCGCAGAGGAAATCGCGGTCCGAGCGACCGGCATCCTCGGGCGAAAACTCGATATCCTCGCACAGCGATTTGGCGAACGCGACCATCTCGGCAATCTGCGCTTTGCACTGTTCGCGCGAGATCTTGAGCTTGTGCTCAAGGTGGATATCAGAGGTCGCTAGAAACAGGTGGATGCGGTGACGCGGCGCGTCCTTGATCGCGTCGTATGCAGTTTGGATATCCTTGGGCACCGACCGGGCCAGACCGCAGATGGTCATGGGCTGGTTGACCTTGCCCGGGCCCTCGCGGCCCTCCATCAGGGGCCCGACCTCGCGTGCGATGCGCTGCACGGCATTGAAATCTCCTGGAGAGGCAACCGGGAAGCCGGCCTCCAGCACATCGACACCGAGCCGTGAGAACTGCCGAGCGATTTCAATCTTCTCCTCCGTGTTGAGAGTGACGCCCGGTGACTGCTCGCCGTCGCGCAGGGTGGTATCAAAGATAATGAGCTTGTCCTTTCCGGCCATTTTTGCTATTTGCTTGTGTGGGTACCTTTCCTGGTAGAGAGAGAAAAATTTGTTGCAGGAAACAAGAGAAACTGGGAGGGATGAAGGAATAAAGTACGGGTGTGTCTGGAACAGATTATCTGCGATGCGCTGGCCTGGTGCAGTCCTTTATAGTTTTTTCGTGGCCTCTCTACACCCCGGGCGCTTATCTTCGGCCTCAGTGTTTGAGATCCAGTCTATTGAGTCATCAGAATGCTTCGTCACTAGTGCACTTGCTTGCCATTTTTTGCCCGCCCTGGTCCCCTTTCGCGCCCGACAACGAGAGGCATCCAGCCATGTGATTTGCAAGCGCCCACAGCGTGCTTGTGAGCGCGGGTAGCATTGCCCTTCCCGGATCGGGGAAGAGAGAGCCAGTTGGTGACACATGTCGATCGGACCAGAAGCCGATGGAATGGTCTTATGAGTCAGGATATTTAATGGACCGCTACCACATAGCTGTTGGACATAACCTCGCTGGGCTGGTTGGTGATGTTGATTACTGCCCGGTCTGCGAACTCGCCAACGACCACCGCGTGCACAGCCTTCTGCGTCAGTGCATCCATCCCGGCTGTGAGCTGGTCGAACACAACAATCGGCCGCTTGGAGAGCACGGCCCGGCAGAGCGAGATTATCTGCTTCTGGCAGGTGCTCGGGCGAGCAACCTGCGTATTCAGGGTCATCTGAGGCATGATTTCTGGAATCCGTGCCCGCTGCATCGCAGAGCTCAGCTCGGCATCTGTGAAGCTACCCAGTGGATCCAGGTTCTTGCGCAAAGACGCGTCAAATATGACCGAATCTGCTGTGACAAATTCGGCCAGACAAGCGATCTCCGAGTCGGCAATAGTAGACACTTCAACACCATTAATCGCCACCGATCCCAATGCAGAGCCAGGGCACTGCAGGCGAAATAGCGACCGAAACAGCATCGACTTGCCCTGGCCATTGTGTCCGATGACCGCAAGCTGTTCGCCAGTGCGGAGAGTAAAGGAGATGTTTGAGCAGAGCGGCTCGGAGCATCCTGAAAATTGCAAGCCGATATTCCGACACTCTAGCACGACCTTTCCACCGGCCACAAGAGGCATTTCTTCTGAGCTAGCACCGACGGGCGGCTCTGCTCTTGATGTGAAGGCGAAATATTTTGGAAGCACAGACAGCAGCGGCCACAGCGGCTTCCGCTCGGTGCCTAACAGGGATATCAACTCGCTGAGTCGGATTGAGATATCCACATCTGCTGGTGTGAAATGTCCACTGCCAGTGAGCCGCTGAGAAAGGAATGGCCACAGCAGCCAGCTGGTATTGGCAATGGTAGCGAAGATGTCGCCGATTGCACTTTCAACAAAAGCAATGCAGTCATCCCGTTTGCTCTCCGCCTGCTCCACAATAGAATCACGCTGTGCATCAACACTGGACATAGTAACCGAGCAGAGCGGCGAAGGCGTTTCATTCTGATCCTCTAGATCATCCGCTGCACCGGCATGGTCGCTAGCTGACCCTCTCTTAGCCACAGCTGCCTTCCACCATAGCTGTATTCCGATATAGCTTATCACGAAGGGAACGCCAAACAGTCCAAGGACTGGGAGTGCGTACAGGATCTGCGCCGCGATATAGGCTGACCTGAGAATCAACATAGCTCTCTGGCTGAGTTGCTCTGGAAGCTCGGTTGATAGAACGTAGCAGCCCTTTGTCAAAAGTGTGCATGCGCAGTCACGGAATGCCGAGTCGATCTGGGTTTCAGAGTACCGCACAGCATTCATAAGCTTGTGTGCAATGGCTTCTTTGGCTTGCTCAGACCACAGTCCACGCCGAATCCAGCACTCGCACGCCACAAGCTGCTGCTGGATAATGCTGACAATGACATCAGATACCAGGTAGTCATATAGCGCTCGTGATACGCCCTGGTGCGAGCCCGTGCCAAGAATCAGCTCTTTACGGTATCCGTCGACGTAAAACGCAGTGTATAGTCCGACGCCCTGCACTGCCAGCGTAACCACTATCCACAAGTATCCGCACAGGGCACTGTATTTTGCCAGATGCCACCATTCTAGGGATGGCTGTGGCAAATGGTATTTGTTTCTTCCCCCAGCAGCAACTGTTGCATCCAATGCGGTGCTGTCAGAAAATGTGCTTCCTGCGCTGGGCGACATTGAGCCGTCAAAGTACTCCGGTATGAGTAAACAGTCAGTTTTCCACTGCTTTGGCGTTTGCTTGGCTACGCTCACACGTTGGTTCTCAACACGGACGACCCTGCTGGCCAACGAAACAATCGGCTTCGACCTAGAAACGACGACAAGGGTCCTATTGCCATCAGTCGACAGCACTCCGCCAAGCAGCTTGTCGCGGGTCCTCAGGTCGATGTATGAGAATATGTCGTCAATGAGGAGCACATCGGCACCAGCATAGATGGCTCTGGCTAGACTCAGCAATGAACGCTGGCTGGTAGACAGCATATACTGATCGACAATCTCCATATCGCCGTTCGGCCAGTTGCGAACAACACTGCTGAGCGCGCAGCTCTCGATAACCCGCCAGTACCTGGAGTCGTCGAATGCCTGATCCATCACCACATTATCACGGAATGTACCCTCCAGAATCCACGGATCGTTATCTACCAGGAATGCATTACCCGATACTGCGGCCACGCCACTGCAGCGTAAAAGAGACCCAGACATTGCTGCTAGCAGCGAGCTTTTCCCAGACCCCACTCGCCCAATAACCGCTGTCATACTGCCATGGCGAATTTCCAATGTAATCTCTTCCAGCACAGGCGATTTGCCGGCACTCCACGCAAACGACGCCCTGTAGAGATACACGGCCATTCCATCGGGCCGCTTCGAAATGCGCGTAATTCCAGATGTCTGGCTGCCAAAGAGCTTGCAGTATTGCATGAGCTGCGCATATAGCTGCGTGGCATTATCCAGTGCAGCACCAGCAGAGGACAGCGCGTCGGAGAGGGAATCGAGGGCAGGCATGAGCATGATAACGTCAATATATGTGATGTCAGCTTGCATTTGGAAGCACGAGATAATGGCCATGGCTGCGGTAATTTGCGCTGCCGCGCTCCCAATAAACCCGATAACATATGATAGGATGTTGAATATTACGCGCCCTTTGGCCTGGGCCTGCCTTGGCTCAGCAGCATCGCCCATCGTATTTCCCCAGCCATGCCGCCGCAGCTCCGTCAAGTTGTCTAGAAGGAAAGACATTCGCGACAATACCGCCTTATTCTTGTTCTGACTATAGTCAGAGTGGCCTACTGCCCAGTCGATGGCCTTGCAGGCAATGGTGTGCACGAGAGTCACAGAGACGGGAATGGCGACGTGCCAGCCGATGATGCAGGCAACAAGATATAGATTGTATACTTCAGCAATACAACGTGGGATGCATGCAACGAACGAGGCGGCTCGGCCGATAAACAGGTCCGAGTGTATGTAGATCCATTCGCGCACCTTCTCATTGCCATGATTCTCATAGCTGGGCACAGCAGCGTTTAAAGCAGTCTGAAGTGAGCTGTATATGCCTCGCAGTTGCAAGGCGACAAATCTGCGCAGTACACAGGTGTGCGAAAGTATCAAAAGCGATGTTACCTGGCCCAGCTGGGGATTGGCATTGCCCAGTACCTGGCCCAGTACCATGCGGCGGTGGTGGCTTCCAATCAGCGCCAATGCATCGATAGCGGATAGTATGAAAAGCGGCAGCCAGGCGGCAGCCAGTGCAGCACGAACAGCATTCCACCTACACTCCATAGAGCCACATCCAATTTCATATTATTTTCACAAATGCAGCCTACCCAACTGCACACGCATATCAACAAGCGGTAGAACAGCAAGAGTTTTGTACATACCCTTTTTCACGGCTAACCTGGATCCGGTTCCATCGCAAAGACATATTCGGGCGCTGCGAATGAAACAATAACCGGATACAATCCACAGCAGCAATTTGCTCCCACAGGCCTGGCGCTACAAGCATTTGTGCCAGGACGACATGAAAGAGTACGAGTATTGTCTGCGAAAACGTGACTGGACTCGCCAGAATATACAGATGAACAGCCTGCAATAGGTGCGCCAGAGCAATGGCTGAGCTGGGAGTAGAGCGAAGCGATGCTAAGGAAAGAAGCACCAAGGCGGCCGATTCAGGAAGCACACTGTGCTCTGTCAGAAAGCATGCTGAAACTGGTATCACTTGCCGCCAGTTTCTGGATATTTCGGGTATCCAGCATGCAATGTCTGTCAGGCTAGCCAGCGATATGGCAGAGACAGCCAGCTCTATGGTGCGAGGTAGCCAAGGCGTGGTCATGCAAAATTGAGGATGTTTGACGACGAAAGAAGAAAGTGAAAGTGAAAGTGAAAGCGAAAGTGAAATAAAAATGGTCGAATGAAGCAGGTATTAAGCCTGTCCTGCTGAAATACCCTCAGGAACAAGCCCCGAGTCAGACTTTTCTGCATTGTCGGGTAGAGAGTTAGAGGGCTGCCAGGGGTCTGAATGTATGAAGGACGCAGCCATCTCTGAAGCAGGGTAGGGGAAGCCCCAGCCATAGAACCCGAGGCTAATCCGCGATCTCAATTTCTTGCCGTCATCAGCCAAGGAAAAAATTACCGGCCCAACCCCCTGTGATGACCCAAGCAGCCCCACCCTTTTTATCCTGCAGCTTTTGCTTCAGTATTTTTCATAAATCGCAATACGTTTACAATGTTTAGAGCAGTTTTGCAGAAGACGCCTGCAGCACACAGCGCTGTGCGGCAACTGGGGAGACGGATGTACACGGCAAAGGCCGAGTCGCAGGAGCTGTTTGAGCGAATTAACAACTTTTGGTTTGGAGGTAAGCAATTTACAAAGCCAAGCAGAGGCTGGTGTAGAGAAGGAAACACCCGGACTGAAACACTACCTACAGCTAGAGTCTGATAAGCTGCATGACGCGGGGCAGGTCAGCTTCCAGAAGTGGTGGTTCCAGCCGAACGCTAAAGTGGACGAGGAGATCAAGAGCGACTTCGCACAAGCACACGCCAACGTCATTGCGACGAAAGAGCACGTGGACGTGGCCAAGGAGTCGGCCGACGGCACGCTGTCGCTGATCATCCTGCTGGACCAGATGGGCCGCAACATGTACCGCGGGCAGGCAAAGGCCTTTGAGGGCGACGCGATCGCGCGCTCGCTGGCCATGTACATGGTCAGGCGCAAATTCCACGAGCAGCTGCGGCTGGTCAAGCGCTCGTTCGTGTATATGCCGCTGATGCACGCCGAGGATATCGAGGCCCAGGACCTGAGCGTCCAGCTGTACTCGGAGCTGGCCGAGCAGCTGCAGGCGCCCGATGAGGATGCCAAGAACAAGGGCTTTGCCGAGTTCGCCGAGATGCACCGCGACGTTATTCGTGAGTTTGGCCGGTTCCCGAGCCGCAATCTGGCGCTGGGACGCGAGTCGACACCCGAGGAGCTCAAGTGGTTGGAGAACGCTCCGTTCTGAGATTAGCCTCTCGGCACCTTTGCTTTTCTCCTTTTCTGGTAGCTTGAATACAATGGAGCAACTTTGAAGCTGAGCCAGAATATAGCCACCCGAATTTATCCAACTTGCTGACACCCTTAACCTCTGATGGCACATTGCGTGCGGTGTCCCACCAGGATGGGCAAACGCGCTGCTGGCCAATGCTATAAAAGCCCCAGCCCCAGCTTCTCCCACATCCTTTTCATGTCAGCACTTTTCGCTCGATCACGACTTCGCTTCACCACCATGACAGGCTACAACAACAGGTACTACGGCAAGACCAACGTGTACACAGACGGCGCCAGCTCGGGCAACGGCAGGGACGGGGCGCGGGCCGGCTACGGCGTGTACTACGGCGAAGGCGATTCGCGCAACGTCTCAGCGCCGCTGCCGGGCCCCCGGCAGACGAACCAGCGGGCGGAGCTGACGGCGATCCGCACGGCACTGGAGCAAACGCAAGGCGACGTAGTGATCCACACGGACTCCAAGTACGGCATTGAATCGGTGACGAACTGGTCGCGCAACTGGGAGAGAAACGGGTGGAAGACGAGCAAAGGAGAGCCGGTGCAGAACCAGGATCTGATCCAGGACATTCTGGACTTGTCGCGTAACCGCCAGGGCACGGTGGAGTTCAACCATGTGCGTGGCCACTCGGGCAACCCCGGGAACGACGCCGCCGACCGTCTGGCCACCGAGGGTGCAAGAAAGCACTAGAATTAGTATATTGCATGTTTTAAAAAAGTATAGCATTGCACTGGGAGATGAGCGGGTGGGATTACGAATACATGGCTTGGATGACGCCAGATGATCCCAGCTTGAGGTCGCGCAGTGGCACGCTTGCTGGATCCAGCACGCGGCCCAGGTAGAAGAAGCGCACGCGGGTGTGGGTGGGCACGTGATGCTCCTCCTTCAGCACCCGCTCGACTGCCGCCAGCGTCGTGTCCTGCGCCAGCTTGACCACCACGTCCCTGCCTATGGCCAGGCGGACGGTGACTTCGGTCACATGTGCCACCAGACTCGCCTCGCCCGCTGACGACACTGACACCAAATCCGACTCCTTTGCCATGCACACCCCAGCACCGGTGCTGTCCGCGCTGACTATATTCTGCGGGCGACTCAGACAGTACCGCGGCACCACATAGCGCGCGCCCAGCTCATCGTAGACGCCATCGAGCACGCGGCCCGTGGGCACCGTCACCCCGGCGCTCTCCAGAACCACCGCTGCCATCTCTGCGTCCTCGGTTTCGCACGCCAACTGCAGCGCCTGCCACACCTCCCTCCGGCCCTCATACGCCGGTGCCGTGTCCCAGAAGGCCTCGCGCTGCTGCTGCAACTCGCTTTCAGTCATCGCCGTCTCTGATGTCCACGGACTGCGTCCAAAATCCACCGTATGTCGCCGTCTGCCCCGCGGCTGGGTCTGGCTGGCGGGCGCTGGTGTGCTTGAAAGACAACTTCCCATGGGTGAATTACAAAAAAAAAAAAAAAAAGAGGAAAAATGAGCAATAAAGGCAAGAATGGGCGAGTTTGACCGTTTTTGCGTGGAGGGATTTTCACCCTTGTTGCAACCCAAATAATCGGCCTCTCCCCTGCGCTGTTTGTCCAGCACCAATCGCTGGATTGTGCTGTTCAGGAACTGCACTCCTCCATTTACGCCCTTCAGGGGTAAAGGCCCGCTAAACAGTCCCCCAACACCTCCGCTATGGCACATATCCTGGCGTGATATGCAAAACTATAACCCTATCTGTCTGTTCCTGATGCTACTGGATACCGCAAAATAAGCGCATGCTGGCTAGGGTGCCCGTATTACAATAGTTCTAAACAAACTAGCAGAAAACACCAGAAAGACACAAATACAAGTATGCAAGATGTCTGTGAAGGCCGACATCACCCTCCCGGCATCCAAAATATCCAAGCCTATTTTATGCCTAACTGAGACATAAAAAACTCCACCAAAAAACTGCGTGCTGCAAAAAGTGACCCCAACGAGGATCGAACTCGTGACCTTTGCCGTGTAAAGGCAACGTAATAACCACTATACAATGGGATCAGCCTGAAGCTCCAGACAAGTTATCCAGCCTAGCTGAGAGACCAAACTTTCAAAACCGCAATTTTTAATACTGTGACCATAGCTCCAGAATGTATATGGTCCCATGCTGAGCTGCAGCGGAAGCTCATATCTTTGCGCTTCTCCAGCAACCTCATATTCACTACACCCAACGCCACTATATCGGCTACCACCAATAATTCGGGTTTACATTAGAGTTTTGCACGGAATAGCTTATGCCGACACACATTAGCAGCACTGGGGATCTGGGAACTTGTCAGCACTTCAGCGTTGTAGCTGCTGGTTAGGCGTGGCACAGTTTCATACGAGCGCCCAGTACAGATTCAGATAGATTCCATAATAATTGCTACGACATTACACTACTTGGTTTGTATAAGCTGGATTCTACAATATCGATTTGCATATAGCCATACATAAGGCGCTTGTATATAGATGAATCCTCGTCGCAAGTATGATAGTCCATCTTGAAATGAGCCCACCATGTAACAGATCCCAATAGACCTGTTGATATAGCATAAATGCAGTGCGAATTATTAAATTTCGATTTTAGCACATGAAATTTTGTATATGGAATTCCTTTTAGACCATGTGAGGAGGTGGGTCAGGAATCCCTGCCTCCTTAGGATACTTGCGCAAAAGATATTCCCTAGTTAGCCTGGGTTTGCACACAATGAATGGAAGACATTTCAGCACTCGAGTAAACAGCGCGCATCCATCAGCCAAATCACATGTAGCCGCGAAACCAGGCCCACCACTTTCACTGGCCACACCAGCAAGATACTAGGCACCACAGTCCTTGATAAGCAGCCCTGTGCCATCATCACCATTGTACACGGACACACCTGGCTCAGATAAACTATTAAGCGTAGAGATTCGCGGATCATTGTAGCCTTGAGTACCAGACTCTGCAACCCCTGCATATTCTTCACGCCAGTAGCACCCCACCCGAAAGCATCGAGCTCCTGCCGCTCAACCATATTGCCATTAGATACTGTAACGGCCTCACCTTCCCTCATAACCAACGGGATATCTGGCACCTCAATAATCGCAATGACATTCGCCGTGTGCTTGCTGGCTCCGTAGCCCAGGTAAAATATAACGCGGGCTACACGTGCTACAATTTGCCGATTAACAGCAGAATGCCCGCATTTGACCAGAATATTCCTGGCAGGACGGGATATACGTCCTCTGGCAGCGATCACGCAGTGGGCTGCGGTGATGATATAGTCTCTGGAGAGAATTTTGTCGCCACAGTTTTCCATCTGGCTCTTGCCCGTCATGATCCGGGCATTGATCAGGGCAGGTGCAGCATGGGCACTGGCGTGAGTTCCGTCAATGATGTGTTTCTTGATGCCATTATTGTCGGTTAGTCACTTGATGCTGAAACTAGACTGGCTGCAAGAAGTGAGGATAAAACTAGGTAAGTATAGTTCATAATTTCCGACGATTCAAAAAAGGACGCTGGTAGTTTTGGATGAATATTAGGGTGGATGCCGTCTTTTATACCTGTATACGGATGGAAAACCCGTGGCGAACAAACAAAGTATATCCACACAGCTTTTTATTGAGTAAAATGGATACAAATGACAAGTGGCTCTTTCACAAACCTCGAGCTGAACGTCTACATTTGCACCTACAATATATCTCAAATGCTTCCATTTGAAATGCCATGGTATGCTAATGCAGTGTTTGGACAAAATTGGAAAGAAAGGCATGTGGCAAATTCAGCGCGTTCTCCTTCTTCCACCCGTCCTCTTTGACGAGCCACCTGTTTTGCCATTCTTTGTATTTCCAGAGGGACCACTGGGACCCGAGGGCTTTTTGGTCGCCTTGGGTGATTTTGAAGCACGCGGCCTGGTAGGAGTGACACGGAGAGACTGTGAAGCTGGAGTGGGAGCAGTGCGACTAGTAGGGCTGTGCGCAATTTTCGAGGTAGGCTGAGCCGTAAGCGTGTGCTTTGTGACACTAGTCGGCCGGCTCGCAGGAGCGCTACTTGTAATTGCTGTCTTCGTAGCAGGCGCCAAGCGGGTAGGGCTGATAGAGTGTGTAGGGCTGGGTGCTGTTGTGCTGCTGCCATGGCGAGTCACACCAGAGGATGTAGGTTGGTGGGGAGCCGTAGCGGTTGAAGTGGATCCGGAGGGCGTTGCCTTGTGGGCGGAGCTGTCCGCAGCCGGGAGGTCGGGCTTGTTGCCTTCACCGTTGTCATTGGCATTGCCTCCGTTGTTATTAGAGTTGCTGCCGTTATTTCCATTACCAAAATCGTTATCGCTGTTACCGCCACCGCCAATGTTGATTCCACCAAGGTTGATTCCGCCTAGATCGATACCACCAGTGTTACCAAAACCACCGCCGCTATTGTTGCCGTTGTCGACGCCTCCGTTGAAATCACCTTGGTCAACATCACCGCCATTTTCGACAGCATCATCAGCGGGAGTCTCAGTATCGTTATTATCAACATTGTTATCGTCAATAACGTCTTCTTGGTTATCGTCAACTTCGTCAATACCACCGTTATCAATGGCAATGTCATCTGGAAACTCTTCAGATGAAGAAATATCAGCATCCAGTGAAAAATCAGCAGATGCCATGTCGGTGGCATCCAAGCCAGTTGGTGCCACTTGCAGGTCATCGGGCTCTTGAGCAAGTGCTCCAGAGGAAAGAAGGGTGGTCAGGACGACCGCGGAGAAGGAGATGAATGAGATTCTCATGTTTGAGTTGAATGCGTTAGGAAGGGGAGGTGAATGCGGAACAGAATGCAGTGCAGTGTGCTGCTTGTGTCGAGACATTGGTATTGGGCCAACGCCAGGCAGCTTTTATATAGAGCCAGGCACCTTTAGTCAACTTTATCTTGGTTCTGATACATGGGCTAACATGGTGTGCATACAGCTGGAACCGAGGGATTAGCCATACCTTGACGATGGTCACATAATGGATTCCTTTGTAACGGTACGCACGTTATGTAAAAATAGTAGCCTGTGGGTGACTGGCCTTTGCAGACCGAGCGTTGAGAAGATTAAAAATAGATGCATTGGCAAAATGTCGCTTGGACCGTTTAGCCAATGGGACCACAAAAGCCATTGGTGATTTGCATGCAAGAATCTTCTGTGTAGACCGGGCGTTGTAACGACTATTGAGCGTGGGGAGTTGAGATGCTGACAGCAAAAAGGACGGCATTGGAGGTGGATGTATTGGAGGGGAGGGAGGAGCATGGGGAGAGGCGGTTGTAGCAAAAGTGATGGCGAGGGAAGGAGAGGCAATAATGCGAAGATGCTAAAAGATACTAGTTGGTATAGATGTGAGTGCCCGGCACTGCACATAGAATAGCGGTGCTGACTGCAGTCATGACCACAGAGCCAATGAACCACCGAACACTCCTGGCACGGACCATTCGCGTGGCAGTCATATCGACAGAAACCCGGGTGGTGAACCAGGCACGGCGCCAGCTGCCGACATGCTTGCCGCCAAACCACTTGGTTTTGCCGTGCGCGGCAAAGGTATCGCTGGATGCGGCACTCTCATCGACCTCCTGCTGCCTCAGCGCCGGCGACTGATATTTACGCATAATGGCGAGCAGGATATCGCAGCCGCCAAATCCAACGGCCATGTTCCACCACCCAATGAACTGGGGCACCAGGCACCAGATGCGCACCTCCTTTGGCCTGTGGTCCAGTAGAATCAGCGCCAGTGGCAGTGCAAAGCCAAACCACAGCAGGATAAAGGCAATGAACACTCGCAGCGTGCAGTGGTCCCTGGTTACGTTGCGCGACGTGGCATCCGATAGGAAAATAGGGAAGTAGTACGTGTCCAGCACATCATATGCATAGAGCAGGGCCTCGGAAAACAGGTTTGGGTCCAGGGCCGCGCCGTCGTGCAGCAGCCGCTGCTCAATGTCGGTCAGGATCTCTGGCGGCCACGGCATGTGGTAGTAGATGTGGCGCTGTGTGCCTTGCATCTGGAGGTACCTGTTGGGCGAGTCGTCGACGATGGGCTTCGACAGGTGCTCCCGCGAGCGAGTCAGCGAGTCAGGTGAGGCAAGGCCGCCCATGATGTCGTACTTGCTGTCGCCGCCCGAGTTGCGCTTGGCAGACTTGCCCACTCCGTCCTGGACACCGTAGCCCTGATGGTAGGCGTCATTAAAGGCTGGACGCAACGAGTCGGGACGCAGCTGCAGGCCCTTGGGATTCTTGCGGCGCATGCCGTCAGCCGAGGTACCCTTGTTGCTCTGGGTCAGCATGCGCTTGAGCGAGCCGAGGCCGCTGGTATCGCCTTTAGCCTGGGACCGCAGTGCGGTAGGTCCCATTGTGTTGGGCCAGTACGAGGGACTGCCGCCGGCCAGCAGGTTGGGGTCGAGTGCGGCACGGAAGTAGCGCAGGAAGACAGTTTCGGCGGCTGTCTGGATCTGCAGCGCCATGCGGGTGCTCTGGCGATGGCTGCGACGGTAGTTGGCGCTCTTTGCTGGCTTTTTCTCAGACGCACCGTCTTTGTAGAAGATCTGGTCGTCAGGACGGCCGCGTGAGAGCGACTCGACGGTTGCATTGTGGGCAGCTTCCTTGGCTGCAGGGTCTGCAGGGATGCCCGAGGCATAGGCCGAGCGCAGGCCATCAGGGAAGTCCCCAATAAGACTCGAGTCCGCCTTTGACGAGTCAAAGCGGTTGCTCTTGGGAGCAGCCATGCCATCCAGATTGCCGTACTGGCTCTGGGACTTGGAATGGCGCAGATCGCTCTCATATGCCAGACACATCTTCTCATGGGTGCGTGCCGCCATGTAAAACTCGAGCCAGCGGCGGGCTTGGGGCTGCCTGACTGAACAATGCACAGCAAAGTCCCTGAGGGCCAATGGGGCTTTGGTCTTCCGGGTCAGCACCTGGTCCAGTGATGGCAGACCACCAGTCCGCAAATTGTGGTCCTGGATGTATGCCCAGTCAATTGGCCGGTAATCACCCTCACCGCCGGACTTCTCCGTTGCCACACCGACAACAACTTTGGACGACATTTGGCTCAGATGCCGGGAGCCCTGCTTTTCGCCAAACACCGATGTCAGATGGCTCATGCGCGATGACGGGCCGGCAGCATAGTCCTCACGCTCAAGCTCCTCGATATTCAGCGGGTCACGCACACCTGGTGGTAGAGTTGCCGACATGTGCTGCCAGGTGGATGCGCCCAGGAATGTAGTCAGTGGTGCCTGATCGTCCGAGGTCCGGTCTGAGCGCATGCCGGTGCTCTCCGAGCGGCCGCGGCCGCCGAGGTCGCCCATGCTCTGGCTAAACTGGTTCTGGTGGTAGCCAGGCATCGGTGCATGGAAGTCTGAAACAAAGCTGTCGTTATAGCAGTACTGGTCGGGGTCATATCTCGGGTCCTGGCTCAGTCCACCTTTGTCGAACGGCGAAGATTGCGGGTTGCCCATTGTCAAAACAAAATGTAGGTTGGTGGATTCAATAAAACGAGGGGGAAGTGATAGAGGTAGGATAAGGAGCTGGAGGCGATAAGGGAGGAGGGAATAGCCAGAGAGACAAAAGGGCAAGGGATATATGAGGGAAAGGGTGAAGTGATATAGGGTGAAAAAAAATAAAAGAAACGGAAAGGTTTTCGAAACGAGGGAAACGAGGAAAAGCGGAAAGGCCGGCCTATATGTCTCTGCTGGGCTGTTTAAAATAGCATTAGAAGAAAATAAAAGTAGTAAAAGAGTGGCAAAAAAGGAGCGTTGAGGCAAGAGAGGGCGATTGTTGTCAGTTTACAGACTGACCGGAAAGCGGTAATACTGCGAAGATCGCCTATTCACACTGGACCGAGCCATATGGAGCTGGGACTAGCCTGGCCCAAGCCAAGCCGTGGCAGTGCGCACAACGAGCATATATATGAAGTCTTTTTTATCAAGGCAGGCTCGCAGTTTTAAAGTGCTGCTATGCTTTGTTTTGTGGATTCTGTACCTAGAAAGCGGGTCGATCGCTCATGTCGGAATCTGCTCGTTTCTACAAACAAATTCCCTATTTATGGCTGCCGCCTGTGTTTCTCATGGCGAAAATCTTTGGCCTGCTCCTTGTCCAAAGTCACAAAGTGCTGCGTTACAGTACCACCAGCCGTCCATGTCGCGAGCAGGTGTGCATGGTCACACTGAAACATCACCCATCCAGCAGGGTCATCCAGCAGCCGCTGGCCAACAAGCGCACAGCAACGGGTAGCGCTGCTGTATTCGGTAATTTGATTTACTCGATCACCCATCCACGTGATGTCATGACCATTGCTGGCGTATGCCAAGAGTGTTTTCACACAGGCACAGAGCCCTCAGTCGTCTCTTCGTTTCTCACTGCAGTACGTTTCTTTCTTCTTTTTTTTTTTTTGCAACTCACAATTTCCCTTTGCAATTTACTACAATGAAGCTGTTTTTCGGCGGGTCGAAGCCCAAGGCAACACCCAAAGACGCAATCATAACACTGCGGGAGAACCTCTCAATGCTCGAGAAGCGTGAGAGCCACTTGCAGGCCAAAATAGACAATGAGGTGAAGGTAGCGCGGGCCAACGCGACCAAGAACAAGCAGGCAGCACTGGCGGCGCTGAAGCGTAAACGGTTGCTAGAGACGCAGATTGAGAAAATATCTGGGTCGCGAATGACGCTCGAGACGCAGGTTATGGCCATTGAGGCGGCCAACGTCAACCTGGAAACGATGAAGGCGATGCAGAAGGGCGCAGAGGCCATGAAGAACATTCACAAGGACCTGGATATCGACAAGGTCGACCAGACTATGGACGACATTAGGGATCAGATGGACCTGGCCAACGAGGTATCAGAGGCTATTTCGCAGCCGCAGTTCTTTGGTGCCGAGCTCGACGAGGACGAGCTCAACGCCGAGCTGGAGGAGCTGGAGCAGGAGGAGCTCGACAAGAAGCTGCTCAATGCCGAGCGGGCGCCCGTATCTCTGCCCAAGATCCCCTCAGGTGCGGTCAGACAACCGAGCATCCCAGTCGAGGAGGACGAGGACGACGAGCTGGCAGAGCTGCGCGAGAGCATGGGCATGGCTGCGTAAAGGGGACGTCCAAAGAAGCACAACTTCTAATATAGTATCTGCGGTGTTTAGAAATCTGAAAATTAGTACAACTGTCTTGTAGGTGCCTAGCGCCCGCCGCCGTTGAGGCGGGCCAGCGCATCTTGTCTGCTGCCTTGCACGGTGCCGCGCGGGGTGGGCACATCACCTGCCATCGAGTAGTCATTGAGGGCGTCAGCAACATGGCTGGTCATGTTTGACGGCTGCGTCTTGCTGCGGTGGAGCGAGGCAATGGGGATGGTTGAGGAGCGCTTCGAGTGCTTGTCAATCGATATCCGACTGCTGCTGTTGCTGCTGTGGATCGATGCGTTTGACAGCTGCTGCAGGGGTCCGTCGTCGGTCTGCTGGGAGGAAGAGAGAGCAGAGGATATGCTTGCCGACGACATGTCGTGCTGCAGCGATGCACGCGGGCTGACAGAGCCGCGCAGGCCCCAGTTGGACGTCAGATTGGAAATGCTGAATCTACCTGGCCGTTGCTGTTGCTGGGGCTGCTGCCGGGGAAGGTCGGTGGCAATGCTGGTCCGGTGAGCGTTGCCCGTCGGGGACACGGGCGTATCGATGGACTCGGAAACAAACTTGCGCAGATTGCTCAGCTGGCGCTGCAGCGTTGCACGGTCCTCATCGGCCTCTGCCAGCTCCATGCGGGCACGAATCAGTGCCATTTCAGCTCGCTGCAGTTTCTCAGCGTTGTCCTCACGCTCCTGCTGGAACTTTTGACGCTCGCCATCCATCTTGCGAATCAGCATGCGCAGCTGCTCGTTCTGCTCGGCCAGCTCCGCACGCTCAGTCTTGACCAAGGCTAGATCGGTCATCAGCGACGAATGGTCGCCCTGCAGCGCGACCAGGGCATCGCGATGAGTGTCGCAGGTGACCCGGGCGTCGTGCAACTGGCGCTGGAGCGGCTCCAGGACCTGTTCGCGCCACGCGTTGTCATTCTTGTCAGATGGCCGCACCTTGGGATCCTCCTCAGAGGACGTGCGGCCGGTGGCGGTCGACGAGTCGGCAGACTCACGGGGCTTGATCTCAGAGTTCAGAGTAAGCGAGCTTATCGAGCCAAGGATCGTGGCTGGGCTGTTTTCCTGCTTCTGCAATTCGCGGAGCATCTGCTCGCGCAGTTGCTGCGAGTGCAGTTTTTGCGCCTCGGTCAGCTCAAGCACGCGGGGGCTAATGCGGCCGCTCGACTCTTGGTCCTCAGGGGTATCTAGCGCGCTCTTGTTGTTGCCGGGCACGCCAATGCTGCCGAGCTTCCACCGCGGTGCAGCCGGAGTAGTGCCTGGGTGCGGTGTTGATGCGACGGACGAAGAAATGCTGTTCTGGCCCGAGTTGTTGTTGCCCCACGGCCAGCCCAAAAAGTTCATAATAGTGCGGTTCGGCGCCGTAACATCAATTGCCGGGCGCTCGGCGGCTGTGCTGGGGCGGCCCTTGAGCACTACACCGGACTCCTTGCAGTATTGCGCCTCAAGAGACTCTAGCCGGGCACTGGTGACAATGGAGCTGAGCTGGGATGCCTCTTGCAGAATGAAGCCGGGCCGGTCACGCGGGCAGTTCTCTTCGTCGTAGAGTCCCGTGTTGAGCACGCGCATGATGGACTCGAAATCTTCCTGCTCGAGCAGCGCGGCCGCGTTGCGCCGCAGCAGGGATATGCCCATGCGCATGATGGACTCTGGCGCGCCCTCAGCCATGAGCACATCCATGGCTCTCAGGACAAAGCCCAAGGGCATGGTGTAGGCAAACAGCGACAAGAACCATGCTGGCACATACATTGCTGGCAGGACTCCGTGCTCCTCAAAATGGTGCATCACATCGGGGATGATTTCAGCAGCCAGAATCTGGAACTGGTACAGGCGCAGGTGCAGCCCGGCCATGTCTTCGGTGAACATGCCGCGCAGATCGTATGTCTCCATCAAGCGGACCAGCACACAGAACGCCTCGCACTCGCCCATACTCAGAATCAGCGGGCCGATAATGAAGCCGAGGCCCTGGCAATAGCCGACCTCGGCATCATACAACGAGTAGGCCTTGAGGATCCGGAACAGCCACTGCTGGCCATCACCGCCCTCACGCTTGAATACTGGGATTCTGGGAAACGTGCGGGTCAGATCGCGGCGGATAACACGCTCGTGGGGCGAGGGCTCCTTGACCAGCTGGGAGTACACGGTCTGCAGATATGTCGAGCGCGCCTTGGTCAGTGTCTGCCACACGACGCCACGCAGCCGAGCTGGAATTCCAGCCCGCACTTTGGCGGCCAGGTGCAGCGGAGCGCGCTTCTGCAAGCCGTCAAGGTCAGAGATCACCGACTGCCAGAAGTCGCCGTCAGGCAGGCTGTCCAGGGCCTCTTCCCAGGCACCCGTGACTGCGTCAAGCTCGTCCATAGTCTTGCTGCTGAGGATGAATTCGGGCAGTGCGCGCTCGTCGTCAGACGGGTAGACCTTGTACGAGTCGTTCGAGCCGCGTCGACGCGGTCCCCCTTGCGGCGGTGGCGCTATATGAGCATCCGATGCATCCATTGTCTGTGCTGCTGTTGTTGTGTTTTGTTGCGGTGGCGAAAGGGGCAGAGTCGGGAGTGCAGTTCGCAGGGTGGGAGATGTAACGTCGGCCAGCGAAATCAGCGTGTTCTTGTCTGCCTGCAAATGGCCGTGCTCGATAACCACTCGTTTCGGATCTCTGTAAAGCAGGTCGTTGGCAACTTCGGCGCGGGCTAGCATAAGCGCTGTGTCGTATTCGTCTTTGTTGTTGCTATTGGTGCTGTCGTCTTCGTCGTCGGTGGTGTCGAATTTGGAGTCCTTCTTCTTGTGGCCGCCGAATTGCTGGTCGCAGTGCTGTGGTGGGGTTGTCAAATTTGTGTGAATGCGGAGGGGGTGGACTGGAGCATACGAAGGAGAAACAGGTGGAGAAACACGAAGCCCAGTGGTACCAGGGATCCGTGGCTGTGGTTCGCTGCTGGCGGCTGATTCAGAAGCCACTGTGACGATGGCTGCTATTGGCGTACTCGCTACTGCTGTGCCAGCAGCCTCGGGCTGGCGATGATCGTGGGAGAGCATAAGCCTTTAGAAATACTATATGTGAAAATGTTGGATGTAGAAGAGGATGTGAAGGAGAGGGAGACAAAGCCACGGCGAGTTAGAACAAGAGAGCTTGGGTGATTAGCACTGGTTTGAGAAAAATTTCTGTTGTTGTTTTTGTGGTCTGCGAAGCGGTTCCGTTCGGTTGCAGTTGCCGTGCAAATCCTTCCAAGGCGTTAACCGACCAGAGCGTGCTGGAATTGAGCGTTTGGATAGAGGCCAGATACTTTTTTGTTGGTGGTATACTATGCTGTTGCAAGTAAAGAGATTTGGCGAGTGTGGAGGAGACCCTTTGCCGAGCAGAGAGGGGCCATAAACCACATATCTGCAGATAGCCTTAGCACACCGTACCTGTAAATCAAGCCAAGAAGGGGATAATGGACACAGACGCGGGTCTATTTATAGACAGATGCAGAAATACAAAAAAAAACTCAGCAGGTGCGAAGCGTATGTCCAGCTGAGCAAGTGGGTCGCAAAGAGATGAAAATCGAAAATAAAAAAAGCTGTCAGAAGCAGAGAGAGAAGGGAGGCATCGTTTGGCAGCGAGCAGTCTGGAAAAACTGGGCAAGCACAAACACCTGGGCCCTTTTCTCTCGACCTCACGGGCTTGAGTCTTTCGTCGCGCGCTTACTCCACAATATAGTGTTGATCGGGATTCTGAAGCCAGTGTCACCAGCGAATACAGTCGTCGGCCACGGAATGAAAAGCCTAACCTCTCTGCCTGTGCGGTGTGCAACGCTCCAATGCCTTTATTTGCCGATCATTTCCTATTGCACCGGGCCTCCACTATGCCAAGTCTGGAGGGTGTGTATTGGCACTGTGTCTCGCCCAGAATTCAGGTGATTATTAGTACGCGCCAGATGCACGTCGATGCCTTGTACTTTGTCATTACAAAGCACACCTTTTTTTTCCTCTTGTCTACGTCGATCGGCATGGTGTAAAAATAGCGCACCGACTGGACCGATAGTTTTCGTGTTCACGAGATTACTAATGTAAGGTAATTGAGTGATTTCGGGTAGTACCCATACGCTACTGCCGTCATGCTTCATCACTATGCAGCAGGGTGGCGACATGGGCGATGCACGCTTGTCATATCACCCACACTCTGCTTCCAACCATGTCGGCATACGACAACGGCGTCGTCCACGGGTCGCTCAAACTCAAAAAGGACTCGAAACTGTTCAAGAAAAAGTCTAAAAAGTCTAAAAAGCGCCACCACAAGGAATCGAAGGACTCGGAGCCAGTAGTCCAGGCAGTCACGCAGACCGAGGCCGAAAGAAAGTTCGAGCAGGTGCAGCGCAAACGGCAGATGGAGCGGATCGAAAAGATGGCGGCCAAATCGCATAGCGAACGGGTGCGCGAATTCAACAACAAGCTGGAGCAGGCACCTGAGCACAACGAGATGCCAAAGGTCGGCCCGGGATAACGGTTTATTAGTACTTGCCTCTATAGAGCTTTAATGAAAGGCTGCTCAGCATTACCGTAAAACTGCTAAGCACCATGAGAAGGCCAGCCATAGCGGGTGGAAGACCGCGTCCGATCACCGGGTAGAGCACTCCGGCGGCAATGGGCAGGCACACGAGGTTGTAGCCAGATGCCCAGATAAAGTTCAGCTTGACGCGGCGCATCGTCACCAGGGAGATGTCAAAAAAGGTCAGAAGCGGCAGCAGAGACGGGCGCATCAGGACCACGGGCGCGGTCTCAATGGCCGTGGCCGTGCCTGAGTCCACAGCAATCCCAATATCGGCCTGGGCCAGAGCTGGCGCATCGTTAATTCCATCGCCGACCATGGCCACGACCCTGCGCCGATCGCCAGCAAACTGTAGCCCGCGTATGCGCTCGCACTTTTCGCCTGGCAGCACGCCGGCGATAATGTTCCTGATGCCTAGCTGGTTGGCCACTACCTGGACGACCTCGGCCTTGTCGCCCGACACAACCCACACCTCGACTCCACTACGCTGCAGGCTGTCGATGACAAACTTGGCCTCTTGGCGCACTTGGTCGTCGACAGCAAATGACAGGAGCGGGCAGGCAGGCACAGGCCAGGATGCCTGGCGCACGTCGTGGCTGCGCTTCGGCTGCAGGCACACGGAAACGAGAGTGTATCCGTTGGTCTCCCACTGCCTCTTGCACTCTCGCTCGCTGCGCTCCTCTGGCGACAGCGAGCTGACAAACGACGTGTCCGCCCACACCCAGCCCTCCCTGCCGATACTCAGATACGCCTTCTGCGACTCGCCCCAGCCCAGGTGCTCCCGCAGGTCGTCTGGCACGCTGACTAGAGCGCGGGTGCCGCAGCCCGGCACCTCCTCGTGTTCCCAGATCTCGATGTCCTGGGTGATCCGGGTATGCATTTCAATGAACTGCCGCACAGCAGAGGCCAGTGGGTGGTTGCTCATGCTCTCGATCGCGTGGATGGCGCTGTATATCCAGCCCTTGCAGCCTGGCGGCAGCCCACGCAATTCGCGCAAGTCGACCACCGACGGATGGCCCTGCGTCAGCGTCCCAGTCTTGTCAAATACCACAACATCAACCTTGCTAGCAGCCTCCATGACCACCCCGCCGCCCTTGATTAGGATCCCCAGGCGCGCAGCCACGCCAGTACCTACCATGATCGCTGTAGGTGCTGCCAGACCAAGCGCACAGGGGCACGCGATGACCAGCACGCTGATGGCGTTGAGCAAGGCGAAGATCGTGTCATAGATACGTGTGAGCCGCTCCTTGTCATGCAGGTTGTGCTGGTGATTGGCCATGCCCTTGCTCTCGATCCACTGGCGTTTGATCCCGCCGCGCGCCCCCACAGCTATCCACACAATGAAGACCAGCACAGATGCGACGGTGACAAGCACTACAAACTTGGAGGCGACCCGGTCGGCAACCTGCTGCAGCCTGGGCTTGTTGGCCTGCGCATCGCGAACAAGCTGGATAATCCGAGACAGCACCGATCTGTCGGTTGCTGCAGTAGCGCGGATCTGGATGTTGCGCATCTGGTTGAACGACCCGCCAACCACATTCGAGCCTGGTGCCTTGGCCACGCTGCACGACTCGCCAGTTATCAGCGACTCATCGACGTATGTCCGACCTTGCACGATAATGCCGTCGCACGGAATGTGCGACGCTCCACTGACCAAAATCAGGTCGCCAGGCTTGATCTCCTCAACGCCAATAACGGCCCCATCGGCCAGGACCGCGGTTTGCGGCTGCAGTGCAATCAGCGATGCCACAGTGCTGGCGCTGCGTCCGCGGGCTGTTGACTCGAGCCACCTGCCCAGCAGCACAAACGAGATGAGATATATCGGCGTCTCGAAGAAATCGCTACACCCCATGACCGTGCTCACAATCGAGCCTGCATATGCCATTGTTGTGCCTAGCACTACCAGCACATCCATGTTAGCCGTGCGTGCCTTTAGCAGCGCCTTGGCTGCGTGCATGTAGAACCGGGAGCCCAGGACGATCTGGCACAGCGTAGCAAGCACAAACATGCATGCTGTATGAGGTGTGTACAAGCCTGCTGTGCGTTTGTGCAGAAACCTGTATATGGGATGCGAGAGCGCCAGCATCGAGTTCAGCAGCATCAAGAGCAGGGCTGGTACTGCGAATATGAGTGAAACGAGGAACCGCCTGCCAGCGGAGCGCTGGTGTTGGTGCATGCGCTGAGCAGCTATCCGCGATGGGTTTGGGGCTATCACTGCTACTTCTTCGCGTACCTCCACACCAGTCTCTTTCAATTTCTCCACGATCTCGCGCTCACCTACCACCTTTGGCAAGTACCGCACGCTGACTGCCGAATTATCCTCGGCAACACAGACTGAAACTACGCCTGCGGTGTGTTCCAGGGTGACAGTTGGCAGCTGTGCGTCAGCGACAGGCACTCTGAACTCAAGCCAGGCCTCCTCGCTCTGGTCCAGCATTCTATCGACTGGCTGGTGTGTCTGCAAAACCTCGGCCTCAAGCCCTAAGGAAGCGATGCATTCGCACACATTGTCGCTGGAGAGAAGCCCAGCATCGTGTACGACTGTGGTCAGCCCAGTCATGAGATCGGCTGAGACCGTTTTGGCGCCAGAGCTCTTCAGCTGCTGCTCGACTGTATTGACGCAGGCAGCACAGGTCATGCCGCTAACGAGCAGCGTTGTATGCGCAAGATTAGTGTGGGAGGCGTCGTCCATTAACAAAAAAAGTAAAAACAAACTGCTAGTGTCGCGAAAAGAAAAGATCGGGCAGTCGCCGGGCCAGCTTGTCCTAGTTTTATACACGGCATGGGTATGCTCTGCAAGAAACATCGAAAGCGTGTATCTGCAACTAAGACATAGAAAAGTCTATCCCAAATCTGGGGTATTCATCCCATGTCTTTACCCCCGCTGTTCCGGTTTTCTGTGGCCTCTTACGTACTGCATGATCACCACATGGGCAGCCGGGGTAACCACAATCTGCCGTTTCTCGATGTTGCACCAGAGAATTGCGCCCAGATCCTCCGCATACTTGTATACGCGCTCAAAGTCCTGCCGCTGGTGGAAGTCCTTGTAAAAGTACGACGCCGTCGGTTTCAGCCGATTCCGCTCGTTCTCCCACAGCCGTATCTGATCAGTCACCGTGATGGGCAGCACTGGCATCTGGTTACGCATATGCGGGTGGGCATACACTGTCATGTATGTTACGATCTGGTCCGCTGTGATGCCGTTTGACAAGGCGCGTCGGATACTGTCGCGCGTGATGACGCCGGTGACAAAGTTGGGGAACCGGCTGACCAGGTGCACAAACAGGTTCAGGATCGCAATCTGCAACGGCGACGACGTATAGGCATACACGCGGCAGTTTGTCTCAAGGATGACGTAGCCATCTGCCGACATCTCAGTGGTTGACACCTGCCCGTTGTTAGAGGTGTGCTCGGCGTTCATGGCGCTGGTCAGCGATGTCACCAGCTGGGTCGGATAAAACACGTCGCCTTGCTGGTACATGAGTCCAAAGTCCTTGAGCTCGCTGAGCATCTTGCGCTGGCTTTGGGAGAACCGGTCTGTCCTATACGCTATGCCTAGCTGAAGCCCGACGAGCTGGAACAAAAAGTTCAGCACTTCCACCACGTCCATGTTCTGATCCTCGGCCAGCCTCAGATACTGCAGCAGGACAGTCCACACCTGCGAGCTGACATCTTGCAGCAGAAACTGGAACCCACTGTTTGTGATCCGCATGTCGCCTTCGCGCCGCTCCATTAGCCGAGACATCTTGAGGATGTGCAGGACGCTGTCCGAGGGCTGAGGCATCTCGGCATTCTGCCCGACCATGAAGTGCAAAATCGCCTCCCACTTTTCGTTTGCATACTTTTCCAGCCATGCCTCAGTGATCCGCAGGTCGCGCGTGGTAGCTGGAATACCAAAGCTGCCAAAGTCACCACCGCCCGTCAGCGCATTCCGGAGCTCCTGCCTAAACATCGGGTCCAGCGACACCTTGCCAGAGTTCTCCACCAGGATTCGCAGCTTGCGCAGCCGGTGGATCTTGGACTTGAATGATTTCGTCTTGCCCGGCTTCGCCCACTGCAAAACATCGGTGAGCTCGATAGGCGCGTCCAGGTACAGCATTGACATGATGATATGCTTCCCCAGCGTTGACAGGAGCCGGAAAATGGCCAGGCAAGCGGCAGGCTTTGTGAACAGCTGCTGGCAGAACTGCGCCGGCAAGTCCTCCAGGTACTCGGCGATTGTCGACTTGAAGGCACCCTCGCTGCCCATCGGTGCGACCTGTCCTGCTGCTGCTGAAGACATAATGTACAAGTAGAGAGCGGTGTGAATAAGCGAGCTGTTGGTTCGGGGAGAAGGCGGGAGGTTCGAAGCTTGCGAAACCATGGCTGGCAAAGTATATCGCTTGCAATCGACTCGCTACGCTTGTGGTTCTCGCTGCAAAATAAAAATTTTACGACTCGCGCGTGAGTTCGATGCTTGTCGCGAGCAAAAACGAGGTATTCGGCTCCAAACGCTTTCTGTCTCCGCGAGTTCACCGCACACTTTTTTTTTTACTATCATTCAGCATGGGTCGCAGTGGAAGAAATTCGCCTACCAGCAGCAAGCTGCAGACACCAAAGCAGACTAGTCTCAGCAAGTTTTTCGGTCCGCGCAAGCAGTCTGAGATAGCAGAAGGCGCTGTCACTCGAAAACGCGCACACGACTCTATAGCACAGCAGGACGGCATTGAGCAGCAGAAACCAGCCAAACGCGGGCGCGGCGCTAGCCCGACGCCAGCTGCTGAGCAAGATCCTGCTGCAGACGATGGACCAGCACCAGCACTTTCGCTTGGCGTGGTCGCCCCGTTAAAGCAAAAGGCCTCGAGCAAAAAAAGCGAAAGGGATGACGCCAGTAAACGGCCCATAGGACGGCCAAGAGGCAGCAAGACTAAGCCCAAGGGGCAAGCAGCAGCTGAGTCAGAGGTATCAGAGAAACCGAGTAATGAGCAGGAGGAGCCGGTTCCTAGTGGTCGGCCCCGCGGCAGACCCAAGGGCAGTAAAAACCGGAGATCGGTACCAGAGGCACATTCTGAGATTCGGATCGCCCGAGGAACCGGTGAATGATCCCGTAGTTGTACCGCGCCGCCGTGGACGTCCACCAAAGAGTACCTCAGCAGCATCAGCAGCCAACAACAGCGGCAGAAGCATCAACGCTGCCACCACAGGAAAACTGTGACTAGCGTAGATGGTACGCGTCGTCGTGGGCGTCCACCAAAGAACAGGCCAACTGCAGCCAGTGTAGGAGTGGCAGCCGAATCAGCAGGTAGCACCGATATTGGTGCTCCACGTCGTCGTGGTCGCCCACCAAAGAATGGCTCTGTATCAGCTGGACCAGCACCAGCAGCAAGTGCAGCACCTGAAACAAGCTACAAGCACCACCAGCGATGTACCTCGCCGGCGTGGTCGCCCTCCAAAGAATGCAGCCTGCAGACTTGACTACGGTCAGTGCACCGCGCCGTCGCGGTCGTCCACCCAAGAATGCAGCAGCACCGGCCCAGCCCACAGTCGATGAACTGCTCAACTCCCATGCTGCCCAGACAAGAAAGGAGTCGCAGCCGCCGTTCAGTGGCCCAGATCAACTATGCTGAGCAGATCGATCCGTCGATTTCTGTTCTTCAACAGTGGCAGCGACGATGAAGAAGACGAATTTACTGCTGATCCGGAGACTGTTCCCCAGCGACGACGACCAGTTGTCAGATGCCATCAGTGTGAATAAGCGAGGAGAAAGAGGATTTGGACGAGCTAGAGGACCTCGGTGAGCCGGACGAATCTGACGCAGTATCCACAACATCCACACAAAACAGCAGGGGTCGCCCCAGCACAAAGAAGCCGAGAAAGACGAGAAAGCCATGGCCAGCAAAGGAGGCCATTCCGAAATCACCAAATGAAGCTGAGACACATTAAACAGGTCACTGAGTGGGACGGCCCGAAGCCCAAAGACCATGGTCCGAACCCTACCCGGATCGATGTCGGATTCGCTGAACCGATATGGATGCTGATGCGCAATGCCCGGATGGATCTCTCAAAGCTGGGATATTGAGCGTTCGCCTCCCAAGTCACATCTGCCGCCATTTCTAAACGATCCAGATGACACCAGTGCGTCAGAGAACAGCGCGCTTGACATCCGCATGCTAAACGCGAACGCGCAGGCACTCGAGAACGGCATGGTTGCGTGTGGACATGCTCAAGGCGGAGCCCTTGGCATGCGACACGCGCGGGTGGGCGATAAATGCTGGCATATCGGTGTGGTCAATCGACTGGGTGCCAGTAGCAGAGGGTGTCAAGCCAAAGCACGATTTTGTTACCGTGGGGGGAATGCATGGGTACATACAAGGAGAACATGAAGTATCTGAACAGCAGCAAGGAAGTGATGCCTGCGCCCGGGTCGATACAAATTTGGCGCCTGGACACCGAGGGGTCCGAGTGCCTGCTCGATATGGCTCTGGTGCACAATTTTGGCCGGTGCATCTCGCTCAAGTGGTGCCCGATCTCGATGCCCGAGGATTCGGGTGGCGAGGGTCTTGCTGTTCGAGGATACCTGGCGGCAATCTTTGGCGACGGGTATTTACGGGTGTGCGGCATTCCGGCGTCTGAAGCGCTCCGGGCAGCGGCTGGGGTTGGTGAGGGCGAGCCAGTGTACCTGCACTGGCCAGCGGAGTGTGCTGGAAACAAGATGGGTGCATGGAATATTTACCAGCATGGACTGGGTTGGCAGCAGTGTGGTGATGGCAGGCACATCGAGTGGCCATTTAACGTTGTGGTCGCTGGCCGAGTCCATCTCTGTGCAGCGGCGCGTTCTCGGCCATCAATGGCCGTATATTGAGGCGCAGCCAATTGCAGACCAGGGGCCATCAGATGAAGCTGTTCCCCATGATAGCGGCCAAGCTCCATCAAAGCGCAGTCCTCTCTGCAGTGCCCATGTTCGATGACATAACCTGTCCCCAACAGGAATCCGGGTTTAGGCAAATCGGGCCGCGAAACGTCCAGGTGCTCACTGTTGGCAACGATGGACGGATGAAGCAGATATGCTTGGCATTCCCGCTGCGCTACACGAACCCGCTGGCGTGCCATCCGGGGCACCCCCGATGCCTTATCTGGCTGCACGAAACCGCCAGTCTAGTGATGAGCGACCCAGACAACATTCTTCGCGTGATATCCCCCGATATATCGCCCAACGGCAACGACCCCTGGATGCTGTCGTGCCTGCACCAGCCGCCACGCGACCAGCCACCTGGCAGGGCGCTGGGCGGGCGGCGCGGCGACCAGCCCGTGCACTGGAACGACAACTACGACTGCAGCACGTTCCTCTGCATGAAGGTGGACGGCAAAGTGCTGATGGCGCAAGCATCCGAGTTCCACACATACTACGGCGCTGTGGCCGAGGGTGGCGATCTGATGGTGCAAAACTACGGGTGGCTGCTGCCTGCCAAGAAGATCCCGCCTCTGTACCGCCGGATTTACCGCCTGCTGTGGGAGTACGATGATATTGATGTTGAGATGGATGGCGACGTCACTGGTGACAAGGAGACGCCAGGGATCAGTGGACGGCCTGTGTGTGTGGGCCGGCAGCCGGTGCAGGCCCGAGCCCACAAGCCTGGTGGCGGCACGAAGCAGGTAAACATCTTCCCGCCGCAAATTGCCGTGCAGGTGTGTGCGTGGTCGAGGAACAGAAGTTCGTCGTCGTGGATTGCCAGTGGAGGAGCCGGTGGGCTCGTGCGAATCGAAGACGTCTCACCCTGAGCTGGTGCTAGGCCTGTGTGCCAGTGTAGGGGCGTACTGGTGCTGATCATTGGGATTTTCTATTTCTTCAAAGGACCAGTATGTTTAAAGCATGTGTGTTTACTGCAAGTGGGAAATAGGCCATACTGTGCAAGAGACAGGGCAATAGTTGTTATTTAAGTAAACACTCGTGGAATAGTCACTGGTTTGTTGACATCGACAAACACAGGCGAGTGCAGCCCTGCTTTTTTTTTTTTTGTATCTGGCACATGCTGTTGGGGGAGAGGCAGCAAATTCGCCGAGGGAAATGCGCGCAGCAGCAGCAGCAAGGGCGCAGGTCTTGCTGCAGGGAGGTGAGTAAGCAGGCGGGATATCCTTTGGGGAAGTAGGTTACTCTTGCAGGACAAAAATTACGTATATTGCATTTCAATGGCTCGTCCTTCTAGATTTAACTGGCACAACAAAAGGACACAGGACACCTTCTCTTGAGAAGGACAAAAAAGTGGAAAGGTTTGGCCACTAAGCCATTTTCAGCAAATATTTTGGCCACCAAGCAAGGCAAAGAAAACCAACCAACCAGACGATACATTAGAATCGGCACAGTCACGAAATTTTTTCGTCACCAAATTGGGTCTTAGGACTGGTGAGATAAGTGGGCCTTGGAACAGTGACAACTAAATCACACATTTTCAGCACGACGCGCCCGTCGCCTCAAAGAGGCAGGGAGGGTGGTGGCAGGGAGCAGGTGGGAAAAACTTGACCAGGCTTTTTAAAAAGTGGTTGGAGCGCCTCTGGTTGATGAGAAGGTCGCCCTTTTTTTTCCTCGTAGCCATTTTTCGTTGCTTTTATTAGCTTTTTTATTTCTTGTCCAAGCTTGTTTCTCTACAATATCCTCAGCTGCGTCTTTCAACCATCCAAAAGCGTAATTTCCCCGCATTTACATCCTACAATAGCCCATGCCGCCTTCCCCCGCACCCAGTCCCCAGCAGCTTGTTCGGTATCGCCACTCGTGTGAGAACTGCAGGTAAGCGATAATCAGACGATAGTGCAGGCTTGGGGGCAGTAATAGCGCTTGTGCACTGGCCACCCCCACCCTGTCCATATCACTGACCCGCTTTTTTCTCCTTTCTTCTGCTTTTCCATAGGAGACGCAAAATCAAATGCAGTGGCACCCGGCCGGCGTGCGACCACTGCCTGCGACGCAGCATCCAGTGCGTATACAAACCCCTGGCGCGCTCGACGCGGCGCTCAGGCTCGCTGACGACCAACCCCTCGGTGTCTCTGCAGATGCCGCCCAGCTACGACTATTCAGGGGCACACCCGATCACGATCCCCATAGGGCCACAGCACGCGACCATGTCAGCATTCCACGGCGCGCAGTACAGTAGCGCACCACAGCAGATCACAGCGCACATGTACCAGCGGCAAATCCGGCCGGCGAACGCGCTCCCAGCACACATGTGTAATATGCAGTCGGGCTCGACGCCCTCGCCCTTATGCTCGCCACAGCTCATGTACATGTACGGGCTGGGCGACGGCATGAGCAGCCCGGGCAGCTTCTCCTCAGTGCACAGCGACTTGTCGGACCTGGCAACCGCCCACGGGTGCCTGCCGAGTGTTGCTACACCCGGCAGCGTGGTTGAGGATCCGATGAACTTTGCCATGTTCGATACCCAGGGAGTCGCGCAGATGAGCCAGCCGGCGATGTCCGTCGGCACGCCAATGCAGGATCTCACCAGCCTGCAATCAGAGATGGCCGGGCTTTCGCTGCCGAGCCAGTGGGCGACGCCGACTCAGCTGCCAGTGAACACGCCGCCGGCCGCTTCGGCACCGTTTAATGCTCTGTCAGAGTCGCCGCCGATTCTCAAGAGACACAAGCGCAGTGACACAAGTGACTCGGCGCCGCTGCTCGAGCGGTCGTCAGTGGAGCGGTCGTCGTTGGGGGCATCGCCGGAGTCGCCAATACCGCAGGCAGCGGTGCTTGGCAATACGTATACGTTTTCGCCAAACACACAGTTCTCGGCTCCGCAGGCCATTAGCTCGCTATTCCCCTCCATCGAGAACAACAGCCCGCTGGTTATCGGCAATGGCGGCAACCAGGCGTACATTGACCTGGCGCTGCAGCAGGGCCGGCAGGACCCAAATCTGCTGCTAAACGACAAGTTCATGGAGTTTCTGATGCTGAATAATCAGTCGCAGATGGTTGCGTCCCAGGGACAGCAGCCGCAGTCAGCACAGGTGCAGCAGTCGCAGGCAGTGCAGCCTGGGATTGCACCGGAGCTGACTATGAACCACGCGTCGGCCAACAACACGCCAAGCTTTTGACCATTTTCCTCTCTCACTCGACAAAAAAATTCTACATGTATCAATAGCAACGGCGGGATCCTGCAGCTGACGGGCTTGCGATTCGCTCGCATTTTGCCGAGCGGATGTTGATGCTCCCCGGAGTAGGGGAAAGTATCTTTCCGACTGCCTATAAATTGCAAACAGACCTGGCTTCACGGCCCGCCCTCTTCTTCACTCAGACATTCTCCGCAACTCCTCTGCATAGCTCCTTACACAATGGCCAAGGTATTCTCGTTCCCTTCCCCCGACGACGTCTCGCATGCCCTGGAAACGTACCTGGCACAGGCATCGGCCACGGCCATAGCCTCGACGGGCCGCTTCACGATTGCCATCACGGGCGGCTCGCTGCCGGCGACGGCGTTCAAGTTCCTGAAGGCCAGCAAATCGGTGGACTTTTCGAAATGGCATGTGTTCTGGGGCGACGAGCGCTGTGTGCCATACGACCATGACGACTCCAACTACAAGCTGGTCAAGGAGCAGCTGCTGGACCACGTCAATGTGCCGAAAAGCCAGGTGTTTCCGATCAACCAGGCGCTGGTCGGCAATTCGGCCGAGGCGGCCAAGGACTACCACGGCCAGTTGGTCCAGTGTCTTTGGCGACAAATTGCCAGGCGTTCGACTGCATCTTGCTGGGCATTGGGCCGGACGGGCACCTGTGCTCGCTGTTCCCGGGATTCCCGCAGGTGAACGAAAAGGAAAAGTGGGTGACGCATATTGACGACTCGCCCAAGCCGCCTCCGCACAGAATCACGCTGACCATGCCGGTGCTGAACAACGCAAAGGAGGCCGTGTTTGTGGTCACCGGCAGCGGCAAGTCTGAGATGTTCAAGACCATCGTCGAAGACAGGGACATGGGCAAGCCGTCGACGCATGTGGCTCCGGCCAGCGGCAAGCTGTACTGGTTCGTGGATGACGCTGCATCGCAGCACCTGTCTGCAGTCAAGCCCTCGACCTTCAAGCTTTAAGTAAAAGACATTTATTAGAATAAGAAAGCAGTCTTACACAGACAGCTCAGGCGGGCTTCTTGGCTGCCAGAACGTCGGCGTAGGGAGCCAGCGCCGGAGTGACAAAGTCCTTGATGAACTTGTCGACCTGCTGCGGGGCACGGCCAATGAAGGTGGACGGATCCAGCAGGTCGTCGAGCTCGTCCTTGATCGGAGCAAAGTAGTCGGTGTTCTTGACCCGCTCGATCAGATCGTTGTCGCCACCCTCCTGCTTGACGACAGCGGCAGCCTGATGCGACAGCACGCGGATCTGCTCGTGGCACTCCTGGCGGTCACCGCCCTTCTTCACCATAGCCATGATGAAGTTCTCGGTGGCCATGAAGGGCAGCTCGCCGCGGATGCGCTTCTTGATGACCTGCGGGTAGACGACCAGGCCCTCAACCACGTTCTGCAGCGTGGTCAGCACAATGTCGGCCGTCAGGCACGCCTCGGGCACCGAGATGCGGCGGTTAGGCCGAGTCATCGAGCGTGCGCTCGAGCCACTGGACCGACGCCGTCTGCAGGGCATCGCCAATCAGAACCATCAGGTGGCGCGACAGCGAGCAGATGCGCTCCGAGCGCATCGGGTTGCGCTTGTATGCCATGGCCGACGAGCCGATCTGATCCTTCTCGAACGGCTCCTCGATCTCCTTCAGGTTCGCCAGGAGGCGGATATCCGTGGCGATGCGGTGCGCAGTCGCGCCAAACGAGGCCAGCGGCGACAAAAAGTCAATGTCGATCTTGCGCGAATACGTCTGCCCGCACACGGGGTAGCAGTGCTCGAAGCCGCTCAGCTTGGTCACCAGCGCGTCCAGCTCCTCGACCTTGTCGTGGTCGCCGTTGAACAGCGCCAGGAACTGACGCCTGCGTGCCCGTCGTGCCCTTGACGCCGCGGAAACCCAGGTCGTTGCGCGCCCGCTCCATGTTACGCAGATCCCACAGCAGCTCCTGGATCCACAGCGTTGCGCGCTTGCCCACCTGTCGTCAGCTGCGCCGGCTGGAAGTGCGTGAAGCCCAGAGTCGGCAGATCGCGGTACTTGGCTGCAAACGCCGACAGATCCTCAATCACACACGCTAGCTTCTTGATCAGCATGTCCATGGCGTCGACGGAAGATGATCAGATCGGCGTTATCTGTCACAAAGCACGAGGTCGCGCCCAGATGGATGATGCCGGCCGCTGCCGGTGCCGCAACACCGTATGTGTGCACGTGTGCCATGACGTCGTGGCGGCGGCGCTTCTCCTCGGCATTGGCGATGTCGTAGTCGATGTTGTCAAAGTTGGCCTTCATCTGCTCAAGCGCCTCGTCGGTGATGCCAGGCAGACCCAGCTGCTTCTCGGCCACTGCCAGGTTGTACCAGAGGCGACGCCACGTGCCAAACCGCTTGTTGTTGGAGAAGTTGGCCGCCATCTCGGGCGAAGCGTACCGCGAGGTGAGCGGCGACTGGTACTTGGCGTTCGGATCAGACATGGCTTGGATGGTCTTGACGGATTTATATGTGCTTGCAAAGAAAAAGCAAAAACCAAAGCTAGAATAGTGGTAAGGAGAGAAGAAGAGGGGGAGGAAAGGCGAGGCAGACGGTAGGAGGGAGCCAGCTGGTAGTTTGGGAAGAGGGGAGCTTGCTGGATCGGGGGTTCTGTGCTTATCGCCAGAAAAAAAAAGAGTCGATCCCAATGATCGAATGAGGCAAATTTTTTTCTCTCAGTAGTGGTGACTATTCGCTCTGTAGCTGGACCCGGGACCGGGCAGCTCACAAGTTAACAGGCCAACAGGGATCCGAGATGTGAAAAGACTCGTTAAAATCAAAGAATCAGAAAGAGATGGGAGATTTAGAAACGCTGGCGCATACTGCCACCAGCCTGCTGCTGCTGCCTGCCAGACGACATCGGGTTCGAATTGTCAGCCAGGCCGCTCTGGACCTGCTGGTTCCACGACAGGTACGTGTGGTCGCCGAGGCGTCTGGGGCGGTAGATGTGCCTGATGGTGAAGATGCACCCCAGGAGCACGCACAGACCGCCGACAGCAATAAAGGCAATGCCCAGCACCGGGTTGCGCCCACCGATAAACGACGTGGTCGAAATCACGATTGACTTTGTACCGCCAAACGACCGGGTGTCGTAGTTCATCTCCACGTCAATCTGGTAGAACCCGCTCTTCATGATGTCCTTCGTGTTCTTCATGTACAGCTTGCGGAACGTCGGGAGGCCGGCCGTGCGCATCCACACCTGGAGGTGCTGGTTGCTGGCCAGGTCCTGCATCACCTTCTGGCTCGGATACCCATCCTTCAGTTCGCCCACGCGCCAGTTGGGCGGTGGATACACATCCTCGGGCTTGTAGCTGGTCGGGTTGAACCGCTTGCGGTCAGCGCTCCACGAGATGTCGTCCATCAGTCATCTCATACGTCACGTTTGGCGAGTCTGAGTTGCTCGGCGACACCAGCAACGGCTTGGAAATCGTGTCGTTGAACATCGAGTTGGCAATCAGGCCGCACGGGAAAATCGGCTTCCGCACATTATTGATGGTCTGGACATCCAGCGGGTCGCAGTCGCCACCCTTGATGTCCGACGCGCTCCGGTGCTTGCCCTTGAGCTGGTCCGAATCGAAGCTGCGCGCATACCGACGGTGGTTCTGGTAGAAATTCGTCAGCCGGTAATACAGAAACACGGTCGGCTCCAGGTCCTTTGGCATGTTGAACATTATCGAACATGTATTTGTGTCCAGTGTCGTACTTCTCCTGCGGCCTTTTGAATCGATGACGAGTCGACCCCATGGATGCGGAAGTCGTACTTGTCTGAGGCCAGGTCAGTGAACGCGCTGCCGAGGTCGCTGCAGTGCGTGTAGTCAATGCGCATTTCGTTGATGCGCTCAGATGCCCACAGGAGCCACCCGCCAATGGGCGCAAATATAATTCCAATAATGAAGAACGTCGGCAACACGCTCTTGGGCGTCAGCAGCGGTTGCCACGCGCGCAGGCGCTGCTGCTTGAAGGCTGTGTTGGATGGGCGTTTGCTCTTGCCCTCGGTTCCGCCGGCCATTTGAAAAAGGGATGTGGAAAAAAGGCTATAAATTTGAAGACAACGAAGGCAAGCTTTTGTTTTCCGCACTACGGGCGTATTTGCAGGCACAGGCGGCATGGTCTAGACATCAGGCTTCCCAAAATAGCACGCTTGCACTCTTGGCAGCCAACACATCAGGGAGTACACGTGACTACGCATTTCCCCATGTCTATGAGCCGGGTCCGACCCTGGGCTTCCTGGGAGAACCAGCGGATCCCAGGCATAGGCCACAGATGGCCACTGGCTCCATTGCTGGGCAAGAGAAAGCAAGATGCGCACTGTGGGGGCAATCTCCTCATACTCCGCGATCAGCCCGGCCCGGCTCAGCCCCCCTTTCCCCTCTGCTTTCCTCCGTTTTCCAGGACTTTATCGATTCCCTCGCAGCCTTCTAACTTCACAGCGGCTGCCTGTGATTATTCCCAAACAAAATCCCCAACAAACCCCGAGCACCAGCAAAAAATTTTAATAGGGCGTGCGAAAGCAGGCGTGGCCATGAACTCGTATCGCATTTCTCCTTCGCTTTCCTTCCTCCGCCGACGTTTCTTTGCACCCTCCCTGCCGAAGCCCCTGCCCAGATTTTACACAATGTCCACAGAAACGTACACGGTAAGCACCACCCTTTCTGCAAGCGAGATAAGGCCGGCGGAGGAAACCATATTTTATACTTACTCGGCGAATTTAATATAGAGCGCAGTAAAGGACTTGAACAACCTTCAGACAAACTTTCAGATCATCCAGCAGATCAAGGCGTCGGGCGGTCCGCTTGAACGAGTACAGCATCCCCGAGTTCGCGTCGTTTGTGGAGAAAATCGGCCACAAGGTAGCTGACCTCGACCGCCTCAACGTCATCCACGTCACCGGCACCAAGGGCAAGGGCTCGACATGCGCCTTTGTCAACTCGCTGCTGAGCAGCGACCTAGAGAGCGGGCGCAGGCTCAAGATCGGGCTCTTCACATCGCCGCACTTGATCGAGGTGCGCGAGCGCATCCAGATCAACGGGCAGCCGATTTCAAGCGACAAGTTTGCCAAGTACTTTTACCAGGTGTACAATGCGCTCAAGGCCGAGGAGCCGAAGCTCAGAAAGGTCATGCCCGAGTCGCCGGACATGCCCATGTATTTCCGGTTCCTGACGCTGATGGCGTATCATACGTTTTTGCAGGAGAGCGTCGATGTGGCCATCATGGAGGTCGGGGTTGGTGGCGAGTACGATTCAACCAATGTTATCCAGAAGCCAGTTGTGTGCGGAATTGCGTCGCTGGGCATTGACCACCAGGGGTCGCTGGGTAACACAGTCGAGGAGATTGCCTGGCACAAAGCTGGAATCATGAAGCAGGGTGCGCCGGCGTATTCTGTCGAGCAGCCTGACGGCGCCTTGCGGGTTCTGGAGGAGCGGGCAAAGGAACGCCACACAACCATCGAGATCATCCACCCGCTCGACCACTCGGTGGAGCTCGGCATCCCGGGCGAGCACCAGGCAATCAACGCTGCGCTGGCCGTCAAACTCTGCCAGGAGTGGGCAGCACGGACAAACACAAGGTTTGCCAATGGCTCGTGGATCGCTGACGGTCTGCGGACCGCCAGATGGCCCGGGCGCTCCCAGACGTTTGCATCGCCCAGACACGCAAACATCTCGTATAACGTTGACGGCGCACACACCGTCGAGAGCATGGCGGCTTGTGGCAAGTGGTTTGCATCAATGGCCGCCGATGTCCCGTGCGTATTGGTGTTCAATGCTGCGCATGAGCGCAACGCAAGGGCCCTGCTAGAGACGCTGTGGAGTGAGACCAAGAAGTGCAAGTTCGTTGCTGCGGTGTTCTGCCCAAACCTGTCGAACCGTGTGGACAGCGTTAATTTCACAGTCGAGAATGACGAGGAGCTGAAGCAGCAGAAGGAGTCGGCTAAGATCTGGTCCGAGCTGTCGGGCAACAGCGACACCACTGTGTGTGCGACCATCAACAAGGCGGTCGAGCACGTCGAGTCAAGATTCGGCGAGCAGTCGGGCGCCAAAGTCAATATCTTGGTTGCAGGCAGCCTGCACCTGGTGGGCGGGTTCCTGGATGCGGCGAAGGGATCGATCTAGGGATCAAGGAATTAGCTTTTGCTGCGTGTGATTTTTTTTGATATATTTTTGATAGGCATCTGCGGCGCGTGGTGGAGCTTTCTTTCCAACTTTTAGCCTCCCACTAGAAGCAATGTAAGTGTCGATATTTTTTTTTGCGGATCCCAAAAATGCATCGGTGGCAGAACGCGGGCAACGATGGATGCGACTGGAAAAAGGCGATGGCGAGAAAAAGTTCTGAAAGCATACTTTGGGATTCCGGCGTGTTTTCTCACACTTTCTCGTATTTGCCTCCCGCACTTTCGTGACTACCATTCTGCTAAATGTGCACCATGCTAATTTGGCCTCGGACTGCGCATTTGCATTTTCCTGCATTGCGCACCGAAGAACGAGAAACTGAGAAAATTCCTGCGCCCTGTGTCTGTCCACTAAACACCAAACTTGCTGCTGTTCTGCTTGTTCTAGATCCCATTTAAAAAGCAGAGAAAATGGTCCGCGTCTCCGTCCTTAACGACTGCCTCAAGAGCATGAGCAACGCCGAGAAGCGTGGCAAGCGCCAGGTCATGGTCCGCCCCAGCTCGAAGGTCATCATCAAGTTCCTGTCGGTCATGCAGAAGCACGGCTACATTGGTGAGTTCGAGATCATCGACGACCACCGCGCCGGCAAGATCGTTGTCCAGCTCAACGGTCGCCTGAACAAGTGCGGCGTCATCTCGCCCCGCTTCCCGATCAAGGTTTCGGACATTGAGCAGTGGGTTGCTGATCTCTTGCCGTCGCGCCAGTTCGGCTTCATCGTCCTCACCACCTCGGCCGGTATCATGGACCACGAGGAGGCCCGTCGCCGTCACATGGGTGGCAAGATCCTTGGCTACTTCTACTAAAGCGCTCTATGCTGCGTGATCGCGCATTTACCTCTGTGAATGATTGCTATGTCAAATAAATGGTCAAGCCTTCACAAATACGCATGCACATGCATATGCACATGCACACATGGTGGGGTGGGAGTGGTGGTATATTGGTATGTGGCAGATTCTACTTTGACGAATTGTCGGTGAAGCCGATCGGGAGCGACGCAGCCTTGTCCTTGACCGCCTCGACGATCTGGTCCTTCTTGTCGGCGACCTTGGCGCTGATATCCTTGGTAACCTCGACCGCCTTCTTCTGGACGTCCTCGACCACCTGCTTCACGGGCTCGGGCGTCTTGTCGGCAATCTCCTTGGCCGTCTTGGCCGCATATCCACGGCCCTCCTGCAGCGACATCCTCAGCTCCTGCACAGCCTCGGTGACCTTTCCGCGCGCATCCCTCTGCGCCTGCTTCACGTCCTCCCACTGCTGCTTCACCTTATCGATAGTTGTCGGATCACCGTACCGTCCCCACACATTCCGCAGAATGACGTTAGACGTGCCTGGCAAAAAGTAGAACCCAGCAGCAGTGCCAAACAGCAGCGGGCTCATGTACCGCACAGCAAAGTTGCGCTTGCGCATGAAAATTGGTCCCGCCAGGGCCTGCTACGCCCACGTAGATAATGCCCGGCGCCAGCTTCTCGCCCTCAGGCACCGTGCGCTTCACCAGCGCCGCGAAGCGCTTCTCCGTATCGATCCACCGGTCTACCACGATCTGCCCGTGCGTCTTCGCCATCGACAAGTAATGGGCGGCTTCCTCGCGAGTCTCGCGAAGGAGCGCGGTCAGACGAGTTGGCTCCAAGGTCTGCGTCGGGATCTCGCGCTGCTCAGTATCATAAATGGACTTTTTGTTGTTGTTGTTGTTGTTGCCGGCTTCGGCCAGAACCGTCGAGGTCGAAACCAGGGCGGTTGCTGCTGTTGCGCCAACCACTGCGAATGCCTAAGAAATCAGAAGGTGGGGAAATTCGGCTGGTTAGCTGAATCGGAGCTGTGGGGGGCTACTGTCGGACCATTCGAAATTAGAGCGCATACCTTTGACAACCTCTGCGCCATTTGTACACAAAACTGTAAAAGAGTGAGGTGGAATTGAGAAGGCGAATTGGGGAATATTACAAGAGGCAAGGGCTCGTTGTTACCAGAGTGCTGCTCTCTCCGATACTCCTTGGGACTGCTAATCTGTATGTGATAAGGCAACTAATAATTTTCAAGCAAGCAAAAATCCATTAATCCCAAACTTTAATCTCCTCGTTTACAGACCGAGGCGCTGCTTGAGCTCGCTGATCATGTCGCTCCGCTTGACGGTGACGCCGCCCTCCTCGCCCTCGACCTTGACGGCCATGTTCTTAATCTTGACGTTGCCGCTAGCGACCTCATCGCTGCCGATGAGCACAGCCCACGGGATGACCTCCTGGTCGCACGTGTTGTACTGTGACTGCAGACGCGGCTTGACCTTGTAGGTGAACTCGGCCGGAATGCCGGCATCCCACAGCTCAGTCGCAATCTTCAAGGCGCTCCTCAATCAGCCCGTCTCTCAGACTGATGACGTACACCTGCGTCTTGTTGGCCTTGATGGTCTCCGCCGGCAGCCTGGACATGACGATGGAGTAAATGCGCTCGACACCAAAGGAAATGCCCACGCACGGGACATTGCTGTTCTTGCCCTTGGCCTTGCCGCCGCGCCGCGCCGCAGAGAACATACCCACCAGCTCGTCGTACCGGCCACCAGCCGCAATCGACCCGACGCGCACCTGTGACTCGTCGATCTCACCGCCCTCCTTCACCTCCTTGGCCCCGGTTGCTGTCGGCTGGGCCTCGGTCGGCCGCACATTTTCCTCGGTAAGAACCGCCTCGTAGATGATGCCTGTGTAGTAGTCCAGACCGCGGGCCAGCGACATATCGAACGACACGTAGTCCAGGATGTTGTAGATCTTGGCGTACTTGAAGAACAGGTCCATGTCGGCCACACCCTCCTGCGCCTTGCTGCTTGCCATCAGCTCAGGCAGGGCACGCAGCTTGTCAAGCAGCTCCTCGCGTCCACTCAGCCTCACGTACTCGCCAATCTTGTCCGCCACGCTCTCGTCCAGCCCCTTCTCCTCCGTCATCTCCTTCTTGACGTCCGCCCACGGCAGCTTATCCAGCTTATCGACAGCCGACGAAATCGTGCGGATCTTGTCCTCGGGCACACCCGACACCTCGAAGATAGCATCCAGGATCTTGCGGTGGTTGATCTTGATCACAAAGCTGCCCACATCCAGGCTCGTCAGCACCTCGACGGCTACACGCACGCACTCGGCGTCGGGAATCATCGCGTCGTACTGCCCGGCAATATCGTAATCGCACTGGTAGAATTCACGCATCCGCCCCTTGGTCATTGCCGGCTGGTCACGGCGATACACCTTGGCGATCTGGAACCGCTTGACGTTGGAGATGCCGTTCATGGCCACGTGGCGCGCAAACGGCACTGTCAGATCGTACCGCAGCGAGCACTCCTCGCCGCCCTGGTCCTTCAGATCGTAGATCAGCTTGCTGTCCTCTCCGTACTTGCCCGTCAGGATCTCCTTCAGCTCAAACACCGGCGTATCAATAGTCACTGCTCCGTGCTTCTCAAACACCGAGGTGATGGTCGAGAAAATCTTGGAGCGCACAGACATCTCCTTGGCCGTATAGTCCTTCGTGCCCTACATGCAACGCATTTAGTGACTCACTCATAATGCAATGGTGGCGCTGTTGTTTTGAGGAAGGGAAAACTTCTTTTTACCTTTGGAGTCTTGAGCGAGAATGACTTTGCGCTCTTGCTGCCGGACGCAGGCTCGCCCGAAGCAATGCGCAGCTTGTCCTTCAGGCTCAGAAGAACCTTGACCTGCTCGTCGATCGCGGCCTTGTCCGCCTTGTCCGCCTTGAGCTGGCGCACAACGCCACCCTGCGCTTCTACCTGTTTCTTCAGCTGCTCAATTTCGCTCATGTTTGGATAAAAAATATCTCTGCTAATGTAAATTCAAGAAATGTATGCAGAAAATAAGACGAGGAAACAAAGAATGGCCAGTGTTGACAGGAGCCCGTGGGGGTTCATAACATTTTTCGCGGTCCGCTTAGCCCCAGTGCGGAAAGAAAATCCAATTTTGTGATGGTGATTTAATTTGCATTCTGTCCATGGGTGTTTTTGAGGCTTTGGAGTGCAAGCCAGAAGATACATGGTGAGGGTGGGGATTGTACACCCTACAAAGTCCTCAGTCGGCTGTGCACAGGACATCATGGCCGCCATTTTACTTACTAGGTGCGCTCTAGTCTAGGAAGTAATGTTAATAGCTACACTCCAAATCTGCATATCATAAAATCTTGTAGATGGCCTTTCATATCCACACTGTATGCACGCTGTCTCGCACACATTACTAAATGCAAAATATGCTGCGTTGCCCACTTGTGCTCTCCAGATGAAAACATGGCCTACCAACCGTTGTACCCTTCTAAACACGCAACTGCCAATCCTGACCTTTGCGGAAAGCATACAGCAATCCCCCCAATCTGCTGATTCTGTGAAAAAGGCTCACTTCCGCAGCCATTGCCTGCTTTTGGGCGGTTATAAACTCCACGCAAACCTTCTGGCAACCAAATCATATTTTCCTCTCTATCTTTCGCTTTTTTCACCTATGCTCACCGTTTTTGTTCCAGCTCACGTTAACCGCGACAGACATCCCCACTTGTTTTGTCGATACCAATACTACGTTCATTGATGTTGAAACCGAGCAGCAGGCAATAGAACAGCGCAGTGCTTCGGAGGATCCGTTTTTTGTGTTTCGAGACCGGGTATTTCACAATCCACAATGTGCCCGACGGTCCGATGAAGTGCGACTACATCTCCAGAAACTACATTATGCAGGCTTTCTTCTATGGCGGTTTCGGTGCCCATCACTGGAGAGCCCTATCTGAACGCAATGGCCTAAAGTTCAACTCTGAGCCGCCAGTCCTTTACTTTGTCCATGAAGACAAAATCGGCGACATATACGGAAACACAACCGAGGCCAACGCTATTGTCCATTACTACAAGGAGAAAAATCTCGAGCAGTTTGCCGAGATAACTAAAACCACTGAAGGCTGCTGCAACCACTTCTTCATCGTGTACAAAGATGAAACCTACCAGTGTGTTGATTCCAGCAACATCGACAACAGCCACACTTTTTCCAGAAGCTCTCAGCTGGAAAGTCATTCTGTCTGTCAGGAAGGACATCGCTGCGATCAACGACTTGAACGAAGTGGATAGAAAGTTCAGGGAGCGCCAACCACCCAGGCGCCTGCTGAACGGAGAGTTCAGGCTCAGGAATGAGGACGGCGACGAGGTGGCTGACGGCGAGCAGTTTTCATTTATCATTCCACGCGATGACGATGAAGAAGAGGAGAACGATGACGATGAGGAAGAGGAGAGTGACGACGAGTATGAGCCTGAACAGGACGGAATCAATGTGTTCGATGGTGCGCTAATGGCTAACCCTGGTCATAGCGATGTGTTTTCCTGCGAAACAATTGATGAGATCCTTTACCTGACACACAACGGCCAGTACTTGTGCTGCCCGGATGACGGTATGAACGATATTCGCGTTTCTCCCGAGCTGCCTGAGCCATCAGACCGCCTCCAGATCAACTACGACGGCAACGATGTTCTGTTCACCAGGTGGGGTGGATCTGTGTTTGCAATGTGTGAGTGGGCCAAGGCATCTGTGGGTTGCATTAGATTCTATAACGATGATTACAGCCAGCGATACAAAGAGCCAATGCGCCTTCGGCTTCTCCAAAGCTAACCTACCCTGTGTCTAGTTGGGTTTGCACTATGGCAGAGCTGGCTGTACTCAACTAATATATCGATATATGATGTTTTCGGGATGTGTTTATTAATAAACCACGCCAGATGTGAAGGTGGCTCTGGTCGAGTGGGCCGAGGAGGTCCCTGTATTCTTATGTTGGCTTGTAATACCTGCCGCTGACTCTGAGCAGACTGGAAGACGCACCCTGTGAACCGCAGTCCTTCTTTATTTGCCCACCATCCATGCCATTATCCTGTTCTTTGATGCCGCCGCTCGTTTCCTCTCCGTGCATCTCTTTCATGTAGATACGCACATCCTATTTTCTTTGCCTGACTTTTTGTTGTGCTAGTCTTTCTACCATGGGATTGCTAAATACTATGCTCACACTCCCACGTACAGCTGTGCTGCCGTGCGCATGCAGCTCACCTTTACCTTATTCGAGCCGCTGTGTAGCAAATGTGGCTGCCATATACTGTGTAAAAGTGTGGTAATATTGTAACAATTATTCAGACGATACAGCGCTTTGACAAAATATTCTAGTGCTATTGCTTGGTCAAGTGAGAACAGCTTATTTTGAACCACCTGCGGGCTTAGCGGGCTTCGTGGATTTAGCAGGCTTCGTGGATTTAGCGGGCTTGGTCTGCTTAGTAGATTTGGCAGGCTTAGGTGGTTGTGCAGGGTTCACAGGCTGTGCAGGTTGAGCAGGCTGCTTGGAAGAAGATGACGAGGATGGTGTGGAAGAAGAGGGAGCGGGGGCGGCTAGTCGCTTCTCAGGGAAGTAGAAGGGCTTAGTGCACGAATCCTTGCCCTTGGCAGCTGTAGGAATATAGTTGCTTGTCAGCTCCACGTTGAAGTAGGTCCAGATCTCATCCAGAGTCTCCTTTCCGCCAGCTTCTGAACACCTGAGACGCACATCAATGTTGCGCTTAGCCCTAATTGCAGCCTTGAACTTTGCTGGATCGACAGGATTCTTGCTGTCCGGGTGAATTCCGCTTGCCGCCAAATCGGCCACATAGTCGTATTGCATGTGGAGGCGGATGGCGTTGGAGAAGTACTTGATGATGCCCTGGTTCGGAGTAGTTTCTCCCGAAACACTTGGGATCAAGGGTTGTGGTACAAGTGTCGTGCTTGTTCCACTCGTCAGTCCAGAACTTGTCATTGCTAGTGCTGCTGATAGCCGACTGCCAGTACGTATCCATGCTTTTCACAAGATTGGGCTCTGCCGAAACGACCGACTGAACTGAGGCTACCCTTCCGACTTTTGTCGCACCCAGAACTAGGAGCGGAGTTGTTATTGCATTTGTTTGGCCACAGGCCATGCAGCGTAAATTTGTCGTCTGGACCATGGTTCACAACCCACTGTTGCGAGAGAACATGCAGCCCGTACTCCTCGTAGCAGCAGGAATCCGCCTTATTCTGCTTCGCTGGAGTTGAGCATGACGGCACGCCTGTTGGGCACATGCTGTTGGTTTTGAAGGGCGCAGTAGTTTTGGTCGGTCCATTGCCAGTGCCAGAAGTGTTTCCAGAGGACTCAGCGCCGGTGCCTGATCCAGAGGGAGCACTACTGTTACTGGAACCGCCTGCACCGTTGTTCTTGTTGCTGCCACCCTTCTTCTTGCCTGTGCCACCCTTCTTGCTGCTGGTCACCGGAGCACCAGTCTTCGTGCCAGCAGTGACTCCAGCTTGACCCTGACCCGGCACAGAATTGGCAGGAGCCTTCGCACTAGTCCCCTGTGTGACAGTCTTGCCAGGGCTGGTCTTCTCTGCACCCAGCACAACCTCGGGAGAGGCAACCAGGAGAGCACACGCGATGAGGGAGATTGATGCAATGCGCATTGTCAGATGAGGATAGGTGATGGTAGTCTTGTGGATGCAAGTGGTGTTGATGTGAATGCAGACGATGTTTGCTTTTGATGATAGTGAGGAAACAGAAATGCGGGTATGATGTTGCCCTTTATATACTTGGCTGCTGCCAGGATTCCAGATATCCTGCCAAATTGCTAAGGATATCCATGGGCTAGTTGTGTGTGACGAGTGCCAGGGATTTCTACAAAGAGGCCAGACCTCTTTGTTATACTCTGGTGCAGGGCATTAACCGGACAGCCAAGACTCGGAGTTGCAGATGGTGACGTCTGCTCAGCTTTGCGATGTAACGCATGGTGATTTACGCGAGATATACGGAAATCCGCCTTCCTAAGAAGACATCTTGGCGATTTGCACTAGTGGCATCATTTTGGAATTGGCACCTAGAAATGAAACAGCACGATTGCTTTTCACAGCCTGAAGGTCTATTTACAATTACTCAGGGGACTACTCAAGCTACGCCAGAGTGTATATGGTTTGCCAAATTGCTGTAAGAATCTGATATCGTAAGGATGTGCAGCGGGGGTTGTAGAGCCGGCATTAGGGTGTTCAACATACTTTCTATGAAATATCTAATAAGGATAGCATAAACCTATGTGAGTAGGTAAAGTGTGCTACTTGCTAACTAATATTATTGACAGGACAGGGTCAAGTCATCTATATATGCTATAGTTTACAGAGAGTGCATGGACATTCTAAAGTATATTGCTAGGCTGTGTATGCAAAGTAATGAATGGAGCTATTTCTTAAAGTACAGGAACTGAGCAGGGCAAGAGTCGCTTGCTACCTGGCTGGGTCCCAATGTAAGTGTTCAGATCCTGGACGTGGAAGTAAGTCCAGACCTCGTTGAGCTCGCTGACCTTGGTGGCAGGGTTAGTCTTGCACTTGAGCACGACATTGACGCCATGCTCAGTGTGGATAGCCTTCTTGAAGTCAGCAGCCTTGACAAGGTTCGTGCTGTCCGGCACAATGCTGTGCTTCTTCAGGGCAGCAGCATAGTCGTACTTCTTGTGCAGGTTCATGGCATTGGTGAAGTAGTCGACGATGTCCTGGTTCTTGCTGTACGACTTGTAGCACTGCGGGCGCAGGGTAGTCACACAGGTACCGTGCTTCGACCACTCATGGCCCCAGAACTCATCATTGGGCTTGCCCTTCGACGGCCAGTACTTTGTCATGTCAGTCACCAGCGCAGGCTTCAGCGGCTTGATCAGCGCCTCCTACTTTCTTGTACACCCGTGAACTATCGCATCCGGCAGAAGGGGTCAATTTACCCGCAGCAGGTGTTTGGCCACAGACCGTGCATGGTGAAGTAATCATCGGTGCCCAGCCCCTTGGTCCATTGCTGCGACAGGACGTACTGGTCCGTTCTGCTCGAAGCAGCAATGATCGGTGGTCTTGGTCTGTGTGGAGCACGAGAGGACGCCGGTTGGGCATTGTCGTGCGTCAGGTTGGTTGAGGTAGGTGCAGCGCTGGTTGAGGTGGCCGTGTGCGATGCGGTGGCCGTGTGCGATGCGGTGGCCTTAGTCGCTAGACGCAGTAGGGTGCTGCCGACTTAGGACTTTGTCGGGGCAGCCAGACTTGGACTTTGTCGGGGCGGCCGATTTGGACTTGGGAAGAACCGATGACCTTCGATTTAGGGAGAGCCGGCGCCTTTGACTTGGCTGCAGAGGCGGGAGCAGGCTTGACCTTACCTGCCGATCCCTTGGAGCCAACAGCTGATCCCTTGGAGCCAGTGGAGGCACCCATGGCGATATCAGGCGAAGCGATAGAGGACGGCGCAGGCAATGAAAGTAATGGAGGCGAAACGCATGGTAGTTGGCTGGAATTGGGTGGAGGGGTTTCAATGCAGAATATTGTTGAAGATGCAGATTTATCTGAGTTGGTGATGATGAGTATTTCCAAGACAGATGTAGAAGCCAGCCCGCCTTTTATACGCCATCGTAGTATCGTTCTGAGAAGATGCTTCCAACCACCAGAAAAAAATATGCCAAGCTATATATGGTGTATATCGGCACGACCTATGACGCATGCCAATGCAGTGCTACAAAGATACAAAGTTCTTTGCAACTATTAATGCCGTCAGGAAATTAAATTTGTCCACAGCATTGGCTTTCAGGAGACCACAGGGGTCTTCTGAAGTGTACGCGCCAAGCATAGATTAGCAGCTGGCAATCTCCTGGCGGGGATAAATATGTGTGAGGTTTAAAATTAGCCTGCAGCATGCTGGTCTGCTGGAGATAGTTTATACTAAGAATAGGACTGATGCTGCAGCGTGTAGATCTCCTGAAGCTGGTTAAAAATAAAAAGTAGGTTCTGAGAGCTGACACTAATACAGCGATGACATTGATATTCTAGTAATTGCCTAGCAGATACTATGCTGGCAAGTATCTTTGAACAGGCCTTACACGCCGCATGTATAGATAGTTTTATAGATGGCACTGTCTATGTAGAACATGCTCAACATGATACGTGAGCGAGTCTCGATATAGCAGCTAGATCCATGTGCGCTCTTGACACACCCTGCTCTTCCCTATGTAGAAAATGATATACTATCTGTACCATTCATAAAGGCGTGTTTGCCACGTAATCCAAAACAAAAATTAGTCTGCTGCTCTCGACAAGCTTGGACAAAATAGTGTTGACGGAATCAACGTTGGACAGATAGTATTTGGCATCGGCAGTCTTGCGGCCAACGGTGCTAGTGATGACGGTAGTGGCAGTGGTACTGTTCTTCAGGTAGGCAAACAGCTTCTCGTCGGCGCGGCCATCGCCAATAGCCATGATAAAGTCGATATCCAGAGAATAAAGGTCCCTGAGGATGGCGACGGACGGCATAAGTCTTGTCGATGCGGGCGGGGCGGACCTCGACAGTCTTGTTGCCAGTTGACGATGGTCAACGGCAGATGTTCCAGAACCTTCTCCAGGTTCATCTGCAGCTCGTTTGCCTTGCCATCGAGCCAAACTCAGGGTCGGTGTTGCGGTAATGCCAGGTGACATCAATCTCCTTCTCCTCAATGAACGAGCCTGGGGTGCGCTCGGTGTAGTGCTGGAACAGTCGGCAGCACGGTCTCGCGCCACTGCGGATCGGTGTGCTGCACCAGGCTGGAACCAGCCGTCATCCAGGCGCGTGCGGAGACATGCTAGGCTGCTCTCGGCATCCGAGCCGGCGATCAGACAGCACCGGCGACGACTCGCCGGACACGGCACCGGCGGCGGACGGGTGGCGGTAGAACAGACCGTGCTCGGCCACCAGGCCAATATCGATGCCCTGGAACCAGCGCGCCATGTGGGCGCGGATGCGGCCCGACACAACATACACCAAGGTGTGCGGCAGCGCCGCCAGGCGACGCAGGATATTCAGCGTCAGCGGCGACGGCCGCGCAAACTCTGGGATGCTCTTGGTTGCGCTCAGCGTGCCGTCGTAGTCCAGAACCACGACGCGCGCCTTAGGTGCTGGCCTTGAATTTGTCGATGACTATGCGCGGCGTCAGCGCCGGCAGCTGCGCCAGCTCGTCGGCCGCCTGGCTGATGCGCCGTAGCTCGCCAATAAATGACATCCCCCAGTACGCTGCCGTGTGCTTTCGTCACATACCGATACAGTGTCGTGAAGTTTGCCAGCCGCTGGTCTGCTGACATCGACAGAGCCTGGTAGCAGCGCTCCGGCCACTTCCTCAATATTCCACGAGTTAATGATGATCGATCCGTTCAGCGACTGCGCGGCGCCGGCAAACTCCGACAGAACTAGCACGCCATGTCGCTTCTGCTGCGATGCCACATACTCGTATGACACAAGGTTCATTCCATCACGTGTCGATGTGATCAGGCACACCTCAGAGATAGCGTACAGCGACACCAGCTCGGTGAAGTCCACTGACTTGTGCAGGAAGTGGATCGGCGTGTACTCCACCGTGCCGAACCGCCCGTTGATGCGGCCCACTAGCTCGCTGACACTGACAATCAGCTGCTGGTACTCCTCGACATCGCCACGGGACGGCACTGCCACCTGCACCAGCACCACGCGCCCCACATACTCAGGATGCCGTGCCAGCAGTTCCTCGAATGCCAGTAGCTTCTGCGGCACGCCCTTGATGTAGTCCAGTCGGTCCACGCCTACCACCACCTGTGTGTCGCGGAACTGCTGCTCAAAATGCCCCAGCCGCGCCTTGACTGCGTCGGTCTCCAGTGCCTCGCTGAACTTGTCCGGGTCGATGCCGATTGGGAATGTGCCTACGTGCACTATGCGTCCGTCCGTCTCCACACCGTCAGGTGACGTATGCAGCCCCAGGATCCGCGCGCAGCTCGACAGGAAGTGCCGCGCGTAGTCATACGTGTGGAACCCTAGCAGGTCCGCCGACAGAACACCCTTCCAGGATCTCCTTGCGCACAGGCAGAATCCGGTACAGCTCGGAGCTCGGGAATGGCGTGTGCAGGAACCACCCGATCTTGACGCTCTTGAGGCCGCGTCCATCCAGCATCGTCCGCAGCATCCGCGGCAGCAGCATCAGGTGGTAGTCGTGGATCCACACCAGGTCGCCGTCCTGCACCACCTCCAGCAGCGAGTCCGGCAAACTGCCCGGTTGGCCCGCTGGTACGCCTCCCAGTCCGCCTCCTCAAAGTTGATCTCGCCGGGGTGGTAGTGGAACAGCGGCCACAGGATACTACACGTAGGACATAGGGAGGACATGCATCAGTGCCTTATCTCGCAGACATCAATCCATACCGCGCATGCATAAATTGGCTTGGCCCAAAAAAAACTCCCCCTTTGCCACCGAGTCTCATTTTTTCAACAGAAAATCCCAACCAGGGTGTGCGCAGCGAACGCTCATTTTTCATGCCAAAGTTGCTTCTAGGCCCCTTTACCTGTTCGAGAATCCGTTATAGTAAAGCTCGGCTGTTTCGTCGTCGAGATACACTGCGCTGCAAGAGTTCTCGCCCAAGAGACTGTCAATCTTCACGCGATCGTCTGCACTGAAGTCGCCGCCTGGCCAGCCAACCCACCGAAACGACGTCTCCTTCTTCAGCCCGCTCAGCGCTGCCACCAGCCCGCCTGAGCTCAGCTTAGCTGACCACATGTTGTCCTCACCCCTTGTGAGCGTCACCGGCAGACGGTTAGATACGACGATGAGGTGCGACTGCTCGCTGGAAGAAGCCTCAGTGGTGTTTGCTGACATGGTACTCTGGCGTGTTTAAGCAGCAAAGAGGTAAAAAAAAAGTTGCAATTTCACTATAAAACAGAAGAAAAAAGTAGGTTGGCGAAGGGGAGAATTAGTTTGACAGAGAAAGAAGGGGCCGATGCCCGCCCTCTCGGGAAGCCGTGCGCTTTTATATGCGGGCTTGCACAAAAGATAGCGAAAAGGAAACGCTGCTCTCCTGGAGCCGTGACATCAGTAGCCAACACTGCCGCCGTCACCAGCTCGCAAACGCCCGTGATTCGCCTAATTTGTGCCGGGCCAGAAAGGGTCTCGCAATCGATGGCAATCGATGCCCTCCTCGTATCTGCGTGCAGCCGAGTTCCGCCATTTCCCTTCCGAGCATCCACACTGGCCATGGGTGACGGAATGGGGAGAGGCACTGCTCATCTGCTCGTCATATACTGCCCGAGACAACAGCGTGCTGAACCAATACGTACACCCACACACTCTCGCCTCGTGCCGCAAGCGTGTGGTGCATGCTTTGCCCGGTGGAAACGCAGAATGTACCGTGATAACAGAAAAGAAAAACCCGCTTCCACCTCTTGCATTAATTTGACGGGCACCCAACATCTGCATGTTATATGAAATCATGATAAGCTGATGGCTGAGATAGCACACCCCCTTTCAGTTGCCGTCGATCGACAGCTTAATCTTCTTCGTTGGCCGCCCGCTCGGGCCAGGCGTGCCCCTACCGTTCGACGGCCCATGTCTGTTGTGCTTGATGGTGCCGCCGCCGCTTGCGTGCTTGCGACCGCGCACCACCCCGCTGCTGGCCACCGACGAGTCCGAGTCCGAGTCCTGCATCGCCGCTGCAATGCGCGCCTCCTGTGCCTTCTTGAATGTCGCTGAGGACTGCGAAAATATCCTGTCCGCATCGGTGAAATGGAACTGCCGCCGCTCGTGCCGCCCCGTGTTCAGATACCCCTCGAACCCATGCACAATGTTGCCGTCCTGGCCCGAGTTTTCGAAATACGATGTCTCAAAATCATATATGGCTGATTCCGTGCTTATCTACCTGGCAGCAATCTCCATGGCAAACTGGGGGGTTTAGATACGCCATTTTGGGGAGGGGCTTTGGCCTGTGCTATGACAATGTGCGGTTAAAGGGGGAAGGGGCGCACTTACCAGATTGCGGTCCAGCTGCTTTTTTTTCAGCAGCAGATTGTACAGCTCCTGCTCGGCCTCTTTCAGCATCTTTTTTGTCACCTTCGGCTCCTTGCCTGCGTCTTTTGCCGCCGCCAGTCTCACTGCCGCCTTCGCCTGTGGGCTTGCCGTTGGATGCTGTGGCTGCATTGGTTGCTGGCACCGTGGCTGGCGCTGCTGGCGCCGTGGGTTTGGCAGACGCATCGTTTGTGGCTGTTTCTTTGGCTGTCACCTCTGCTGTTGGTGTGGATGTAGATGGCGTGCTCATGGCAGGAGGATTAAGGAAGGCGTATAACTTTTCTATTGCGTTTTATTTTATTTTTTGCCACAGTTTTCGGTGTTGCCCTGTATAGTTGTAGTAAGAAAGCGAAATGTTACGGGTATTGGAAAAAGGGGGTGATTCTAAAATGATACAAGCTCTATGCTCGAACAACCAGCTGGCGCGAGATGCGCAGGCGCAGTGCAAGCAGGAACAGTGTGCTCATCGCAAACATAACCACAATCATCACATAGACCGGCCGGTAGTTCTCTCCGCCGCCAATGGTCGATAGAACGACTCTAGCACTGGGCGCCGTAATCAAGACCAGGAACCCTACTGATCCGTACATCATGCCCGTGGTGGATGCCGCACGGGACCGCCCAAACTGCGTCACACCCGCCATGACCGCCAGCGGGTCTGCGGCGCCTATTGACATGCCGCACAGGCAAGCGTACGCGAGCAGCGAGTGGAAAGTGAGCGTTGGCACAAACAGGATCGCATTTGACAGCGTCGAAATGAACGTGAACAGCAGCAGCGAGTTCACCGGACCCACCACATCTGCGGCATACCCGGCCACAAACTGACCCATGGCCGACGCCCCGTTGATTGCACCCAGGATAATCGCGGCGTTGTGCACGCCCAGCCCGATTGACACCCCAATCGACGCCATAAACAACAGCACAATGTACCACCCGGCCTGCCCCAGGCCGACGCCCAAAGACAGGAACCAGAACCGCCAGCTCTGCAGAACACTCTTGGCTGCACCATGCGGCTCTGGTGCCGCCCGCTTGGCCATTAATGGCATCGAGATGCGCTTGGCCATGGCCCGTGCTGCCCGCTGGCGGTTGCGCCGCACCCGCGCCCGCTCATTCGCACGCTTACGGCGGGACATCAGGTCGGTGGAGTTGCTGCCCCAGGTGCCCTCCAGCCGCTCCAGCGTCAGCAGCTTGAGCGTCGATGGTGAAAAGCGCACCTGCTTGACCGGCCTTGGCCTCGCCGGCCCCTCGTCAGCAAAGCGCGCTGCCTTGCTCTTCACTGCAAGCAGGTCTTCATCCTCGGACGAAGAGGACGAAGCCTCGGCATCCAAATCATCAATGCCTACGGCTGTGTCGTCGTGGTGGATCTTTGCTGGGCGCGGTGTGCTGAATTTCGGTTCTAGAACCTCTGAGATTTCTCCCTCGGCGGTAATATCTCTCCACCACCACCTTCCTCGCTGTTCCGCATTGTGTCGCCGCACAGAAGCATGCGCGACTGCCGGCAGTATTGCGGGTAGTCGACCTCTTGGTCCGAGTCAAACCCGTCCTCAGGCAGACATTCGAACTCGGATTCCAGGCGCTTCGACCAGCGCACGCTCGAGATAACCAGGTCACTCACCCGCTCATGCTTCTTGCTGTGCACGCCTAGGCTCGCCAGTGTCACGCCAATCAGAGCCACCAAGGAGAGCCAGCGCAGTGACCCGCTGGTGCCCGTCCTTTCGAGCAGGAACCGGGTGAGCGGCGAAAATACCAGCCCGCCGATTCCAAGACCCATGTGCGTGATTCCTGTTGCCAGACCCTTGTTTTTGGTGAACCAGGACGACGGCGCTGATGCTGCTGGAATCCACGTCAGCATCACGCCTGTGCCAAACACAACGCCTTGGGTCAGGCATAACTGCCACACCTGCTTGGCATAGCTGGCGCTAAACAGCCCCAGGCTTATCAGAATGCCACCGATAAATACTGTAGGGCCTGGCCCGAACCGCTGCGCTGCACGGCCGCCAATGAACCCCATGCCTTGGGCAAGCAGAATCTGCAGGACGCCAATGAAGATTACTGGAGAGCCCAGCGGCCATTTCTCGTAGTCCTCGTCTTTGCTGTCATACAGCCGGTCGTACTCCTCTTCGTAGACACCAAAGGCATTGAGCATCCCAGGACCAAGGCTCAAGACCAGGAATGAACAGAAGACCACCAGTACCCCCATGTTTTTGGGCTTGCCATCGGTACGCCGCCGGCAGAGGGTGTTGCGGGCGTTTGTAAAGAGCGACATTGCCATGTATGATTACCTTTTGAAAAATCCAACGCAGTAAAGCAGCCAAATATGCATCTACGGTAAGAAAGTGGAATAAGCGATGTAGATGTGCCGCGAGGAGAAAAAGGCAGGGTGTTTTGCAGCAAGGAGAGAAAATGTGCCCGGAACTAGTTGCGTATAAATGTGCTGAATCGATGTAATGTCAATGGGCAGCAATGTGCGCAATAGTGCAGCAGTGGCTGGCTTGCAGAGAAACGCCTATGTCGTAATGTAGTGATATAGTGATGATATACAATAATGCGGCTCGGCAAAAAGGTGGGGAAAATAAAAAGGACTATATACTGGTGTAAAGCATTGACCCAGGAAGTGGATGTTGCTTGGCACTGATACCGAGAGGGAGGGCCGTGTTTTATATATGCAACGACACCTCACGACGATGGCACAAGTCAATAGCATGGCCATTATTGCCCACAGTGGATTGCAATACGCCTGAGCGGAACCCCGTGTGTCTCTATGGAGCGCCGTGAATGGGCAGGAATGTGGTGGATACCGGCTGCGGTTGGCAACTCCTGCAGTATTCCTCAAAACTGGGGTTGAGTATAGCGGCCGACAAACAAGCTGGCTTTGGAGTTAATGCAAAGCAGCATAAAGAGTCGGCGTGACCAGCTCCTAGCTATTGACAAATGTATGTGGCTATGCCTCCCTCATTGGCATATATCAGTGGGGACACACTGTGGCTAGCCAGTATATATCGATTATCTGTATATATATTCCCTATTGGCATGTGTCGTGTGGCTTCCATTTGCCACTTGTTCCTATGCGCTTTCCCACCAGCTAACTGACAATGGTGAAAATAAACAGGCCACTTCGTCTCTCTGGTAAAGACAGCAGAGAGCTGGGAAAATTCTTCCAGCCCACAAACACTGTAAACAGCTTTAGCCGGGTGCCATGTTATTGTGAGTGCACAATCGACCACTGCTCACCAGCCACGGAATGGCGCGGGACTGAAGTGGGATATATGCAAAATATACGATTGAAACAAAAGCATGGAGAAATCCGCAACAAAGGATCAAAGACCGGGAAGGCTGTCGACAAACAAACTGGCGTTGGCCACAATAGGTGGGCGTGTGATAAATGATGTAGCTTTCTCTTTCAAAGCGCTTGTCTACATGGGTTGGCATTTGTGGTATCGACCCCCTCTCAGGACAAGCACTTCGCATTAGTTCCATGGTAGCGCCACATTCAGATGTAAGAAACAACACAGCAGCGTAGCAGCGCCTGAATGTGGGGGGCTAGGCTGCAGCAATGATCAACAACACACGAGATAGTCTGAATGTTGAGGATACCAGAAACAAACACGGCTGTTGCATATTATGATGCGCCATTTCCAAAACATGAGTGTAAAGGAGGAATGTAGTGGCTAAGAAGATAATGGAGGGGGGCGCAGAAATATAGAGGATTAACAGAAGGAGTATAATTGAGATCTGGCGTATCGGTCTGTCATGTACTCTGAACCACAACCAGCACCTCAGAGATCCCAGAAACGATGGCATCGGATGAGGCCGCAAGTGCACTTGTTGTTGTCGTTGTCGTTGTCGTCGCTGTTGTTGTCGCCGTCAGCATGCTAGGCACTATGGACGAGAGGTTGAAGGCCAGTGCGCGGATCCGGTATGTGCCAGTTTGGCGGATCTTCAAGTTACCGAACGTGAAAACCATCCGGTTGTCCGAAACTGCCGGTGACTGTGCCAATGTTCCATCAAACAGGCGCTCTCCGGCTTTAGTTAGTTCTAGATCGAGTGTACCATCGTCGGAGACGAGGGAGATGTGCATGACAACATCAGTGGCGTGTGTCTCATTGATCTTTTGTGGCCTACAGCGAGCAAAAGAAAATGTAAGTCTGCATCCACTCCTAACTGTTCAGCTCCAGTTCTGATCGGGAGAAATACGCGTAACGCACACATCCCAACTACTTACAGCCCATTAGCATCCAGCGGCTCTAAGATGACAGTGATCTTGTCCAGGTATTCGTCAACTACGCCATACGATGGCGTGTGAAACACGCATTGGTACCTAAGTGTGAAGAAAGACGACAAGCAGCCATATGCAAAACAGCACATTTGCCGTATCAGTATAACAATAAAGACCACAAATATTGGCATGGCCCGAAACAGTGGAGAACACTAAGTTGGTTCTATCGAAACTAACCAAGAGACAAGGCCCGTGCGCGGTGAGCTTTTGCAACGTCAAGGGTAGATGACAGCTGCCACCTTGGGCAAAGATGCCTGGGAATTCCGCTGCATCGGAAGCAATCAGCAACTAGAGCATACCTTATACAAGACGCAGACGAGTCAAACGACCCCGAATCGCTGTAAGACGATGTTGTTGCGCAGTCAATGTCATATGTCATTGGCGGAGTATATGGAGGAGTAATTCGCAAAAAGATCAAGAGCAACTACAGGTAAGGATAAGAGATACGTTCGCTACAAATGGAGTGGAAAAGAATATCGCTGTGGGTTTATATAAACAGTGCTAGCTGACAATATTGTGCAAAAGCACAGGTAGCCAAGCCTGTAGATAATATAAAAGAGGCAAATATTGTGCACGAGTGACAAAAACGGGATACCAAATCGAGAAAAAGCGAGAAAGCCGGGCTGATTCGGGGTCAAAAGGTCGCCAATAATAGGAACGCTTCCGGTCTAGTCACCAAGCAGATTTTCAGACAGCAGGAAAAGGAAAGAAAGCTCGCAAAACACTCGTTCAATGTGCAAGAGAGAAGAAAGAGAAGAGAAACGAGCGGGTCGATGGAAGAGCTAGCACTTGTCGAGGTTCATCATGAGAAAAGGTGCACTGTGGCTGGTCACAATTTTTTTCTGCCGTGCATGGTTTTCTGGACGACACATTGTCTAAGACGACGACCTGTCACAACGAAACTGTTTTTTGTATCCTGCAACAATAGCTGCTTGGGGGAGCCATGCTATGTCAGTCAAGATGAGTGTTGGCGAGAGGAGAAAATGCATGTACAGGCAGAGAGGAAGCCGGTGGTGAGCCAAACCTATATTGGAATTCATCACAGTGCTTGGGGATGGATGGGTGCAAATAGCAAAAGGGCTGCCAGTGGAGGCGTACAAGACAAAAGTGAGGGGGCGCGGGTGGGAACCAAAGAGTAGGTCGACTGGAAGGACAACCAAAGGCCACACTCAGCAATTCACAAGAAACAAGGGCAAGCCACATGCAGAAGGCGTTTTCAGCAGAATGCAATCCCCGTTGTCCTCAGTAACCTATCCGCATTATTGTGCACCAGCCGGAGAAGGGGATAAATGCCGCTCAGGTGCGCCAGACATTTACCTATTAAGCGAGACGGCAAAAATGAAATAAAATGGCAAGGAAAAGAATTCGGTGGCAGGATTGTGTGGAGCTGATTTCCAAAGCGCTGGGAGAGGAGGGAAGGAGGCTGCAACTATATACCGATCGGCTCCAGTGCCAGGGCATCCCCACTCCCCAAACTCACAGACCATTGACAGATAAATCCAGCACACAGGGTCAAAAAGCGGACCATTAAAGCCAACTATTGAAAAGCTCATGATGGTACACACCCGAAAAAGCCCAATCAGCCTGTTTGATTTGCCCCTTGGACACTCAATCTGCATTGAATGGGTGCAGCTGCATCTGGCGAGCAAGGTTACATTGGCTCACACCCAGTGGGAGTGTAAAGTGGATTGCACAACGGAAACTCGGTGTTCAGCGCACGTTTGGCAAAGGAATCGTTGAAGGATGATGGTGATGAGAAGTAGAGATGGGAATGGGGCAGCAAAAATACGGGGCTGTGGTAAGCTTCTTACTGCCCCCGATAATTTTCGACTATAGTCCATTCTACCCTTGTTCGGGATTCAACAGTCACGGAGCAGCGAAGTATTGACTGGTAAGCACCCTGGCTGAGTAACGTGCGCAGCACCGTAAACAAAAGCCTTGTGACATCTCGATAGGATCTCTCAAGTCAACTGTGCCACAAACATCCAACAAAGTATTATCGGACATAGCCATTTCTCGGCCCCAACGCAGGACGGAGAATGTCCCTTACCTGCAATAAAGCTATGGAGGTGTGCCAAAGGGGAGTTCAATGCGTCGCTAGCCTCAACCGCTATGAAATTGCATACGACAGAAACTCCAAGTGGGAAAATAGAAAAAACTTGTTGAAAGAGAGAAAGCGCGCTACGGTTCAAAGCATTTGCGGTGCTTTTTTCTGGGTCAACTCTGGTTCTCCGCCCTTTCAAGCTTGGCAAAAAGTTTTTTTTTTTTTGGGGAAGGTACGAGCAGGTGAGGCTAGCGATAATGGCTGGCGAGAGCCAGCTTTGTGTGTCGCTCTCACTCACAGCGCCCCCACCTAGAGATCAGCGAGACCGGGATCATTTGAGCAAACATTGTGCGGATCATGCTTGCAGGACTATGCATATAAAAGGCATCCGCCTCAGCGCCATGCCCTTTCAGTCCTTGGAAATGAAGCTCCAAGTATTGAATCTCACGATATCATTGGGCTAACTGCATATTGGGTGATTGCCATTGCTCCGACGAATGTTTTTCAAATGAGATTTCAACCACCCCGAGGGATTCACAATGCATTCGCTGCAAACGTGCCAGCATACTCGCCGCTCGGACAGTCCTCCGGAAGGAGTGGAGAGGCGGTCCGCCACAAAGGCGCATCCCAGGACCAGTGATGTAGATGCAGCTTATCTATCACCAGTCGCTGCTTCGCATTTATGCACGTTGCTTGGCCGGGCCGTCTTGTCCCGGTCCCTGGGATCTGATTTCCGTATTTACTGTGCCAGTTTTGTACCCGGGGATAGTGATTCACGCAAAAAAGAGAGGGCAGCAGCGAATCGGACAAACTTGAATTTTATGTCATAGCGACTCACAGATGATAAACAGGGCTAATTCAGAGGGTGCTTGAGCGCCGTGTCAGTTGTTGGTGCACACAGGAGCACGCCCCGCGAACACCGCTCGCGGTAGAGTGATGTCTGGGGAAGCGCAAGCAGTCTTGCAGCACACGCGGTCACCAGCCAAACATTTGGAAATCGGCAGCAGGTGCGCTATTTAGAAGACTTCGGCCGCACCGCCCTCCGCTGGCTCAGCGACATCGTTCTCGTTATTGTTGTTGTTGTTGTTGGCCACGATATCCGCATGCGCAATTTCCTCGGCATTTTCGGGCTGAGGGCCTCTGCCATTTGCCTCCACGCCAGTACCGTCCAGATTGAGCAGCTGCTGACCAACTAGGTATGCTCGGTCCCGGACATAACGTGACCAGCGCCTGTAGACGACGATCCCCTGGAACGCTGCTCCACACATCACAGAAACGATCATGATCACCTTACTGCTCCATGCCAGCAGCTCAATGTCCTCCAGCTCGAAGATGCTGGCAAATGTCTCTGCATCAAGCGAGCCGCTCCTCCACATGATAAACGAGGTCAGGCCAATCGGCAGGGCTGCGCTTACCAGCGACAGTGCAATCGCCGGCAGGGCAAACACGTAGAGACCACGCATGACGTGCCACGTATGCGGCGGACCAGTGAACAGCCTGTCCATCTCGCGGCTCCAGAACAGATCTGGCATAAAGTGCAGCAGCGACACAATGACCCGCAGCTGCAGAATGCTAAACAGCCAGTTACGTAGCATGACCTGCCTCAGCGTCCGGCTCATTATTTCACCAATACCAGCGTCTTGGAGGTACTGACGGACCACAGTTATCAAGTAGACCTCGAGCACAATGCCATATATCGCAGGCACAACCACATAGAATGCTGTTCCTGTGACAGCCAGCTTCCACGTAGTCGCCCACACCCGGGACGCCTGGCTCCACAGCTCGCGCAGCCGTGCTGGGCGATCGGTGCCTCGGTCAAGCAACTCAACTGCACGCTTGACTACCCAATGTGCAATGGCGCTTGTCACCAGAACGACCAGCAGCCCCAGCGCAAAGGCGTGGATGTCATGAGTGTCCAAGCCCCACAGCTCGCTATAGATGGCACGGCCGATCACAATCGACGATGTCAGCACGACTCCAATCACCAGACCCATTGCAAGCCACGTTAGGGCCATGTACGCTACCATGTGCGCAGAGAACATGGGTGGCACGTGGATGATACGGTAGTTTTCAGCCTTGTAGCGCAAGTCACGGTCGCGGTCTTCAGGAGCCTGAGGCGGAATATTGCGCCCACGGTTGATCTCCACTTCTCTATTGGGCCCATCGGCAGCCTCGTAGTCGTATCTGTCCTCAGTCGGACGGCCATGCGCATCGACCGGAACAATCATGCGGCGACCATGAACGATGGGCACAGTGTCAATAGATGGAGCCCTGACATTCTGGCCATCGAGGATGAAGCGCACCTCTGGATGTGTTTCAAGGAGCGCCTCATCGATCGCATTCTGCAAGCGTCTCCGATACTCGTCAGTGGGCAGCGCGCCATCGGCTGTACCTGTGCGCGCTTCATCGGTGAAGGTAGACTCAAACTCGGCAAAAACAGTCTGAACCACGCCGACTGGCATCCAGAGCTTGGGAAGAGGAGCCGGGATTCCATTGATGATCCACCGTCCCTCGTCAAGGATGTTGCGCTCACCGATCACAAACTCGGTCAGCCGTACTGCACCAGCAGCAGCTCGCCACCAGTGTCTGAATACAGATCCGAGTATCTCCAGGGGCCGCCCCCACGCGATCGCCACCGGGAGCAAAAAGTGTAGGAACAGCAGGTCAATTGGGAGCCCAGCTGTGAGGTCTCGCGTCGTCAGGTGCTGTTTGCTCTCTGGCCAGCGGCCAATGCCCCAGTGCATCGGGTACACAGACTTGAACAGCGATGTCAGCACAACAAATGTCAGGCCGAAGCATACAAATATGATCGAGAAGTACATGATGGCGCCGGTCCATATTTTGCGCATCTGCTGCTTTAGACTGCCCTCGAGGATATCGCGCATTGGCCGGAATTGCGGGTCATTCGGATCACGGATGAACCACAGCAGGCCAGGGCGCAGGACCTCTCGGCAGTAGGCGACAAAGTTGGCAAAGTGATACATAAACACCATGCCAAACATCCAGTGCAGGAACAGCGAGAGTCGCGTATGCGCAGCCAGGAATGCGATGCGCGAGGCGATAGAAGACCCAGCCTGCAACGGCAGCAGCGACACATCCAGGCAGAAGCCACACATGATTGGGAACATGACCAGCTCGACTGTGACGAAAACAATGACCTTGAGCATTAGCAAGAGCATGTGTGCAACAGTGTAGATCAGCGTATGGCGCAGAATACGTGGGGTGTAGCGCACAATGAACCAGCACATCACAAAAACTGTGGTGTGGCCAACACCAATGGTTACCAGCCGGTCGTGCAGGGTGTGCCCGACCGCAGCGTTTTGCAGCATAACAGAGACCTTGTCGATCGGAATTCCCCATTCGATGAACTGGCTCCAGATCTCCTTCTCCCAGTCGGGTACTTGGCTGATTCCATCGAGGCCGCGCTGTGCCGATGCCAAAAGCGTATCAACGCCGGCCGAGGCCTGGCTGACTATACCGGGCATGATGCTGTCAAGGGCATTGCGTGCTATGTCAATTGCGTTAGCGTATGCATCGGCAGCGCCAGCAACGATGCTGTCGGGAACTGTTTTGGTGGGCAGATCGCTAGTACTCCCAGTCGCTGCCGTGCTAATCCAAGGAAACAGCAGCTCGATAATCCATGACTGGCGCAGCTCCTCGAGAAGTAGCGACCGAACACTGGGCGAGGCAAGGGAATCCCATAGCGAGCTAGCACCACCGCCGGTACCAGCTAGCGATTCCCTCAATCCAGGGAATGCAAGCGATAGTACTGGCAGGAGTACCGGACCAAGCAGGTTTGTTGCTGTGGCAAAGATTGGGCGGACAGGAACCCATGCCATGGGCAGCACCGTGTCAACCACAAACTCTGTAGTCATATCGATGACCTCGATACAGGCGTGGACGGGGTACAGCATAAGCCGGATGGGATGAGAGGCCAGAACTGCACGCCCAGTCACATAGGGGATCCAGGCACCCAATGCCAGAATCAATGCAACAACGATCAGCACGAGGATAAAGTACTGAATTGCGTTGGTGATCGGGCCACGGAACCCCATTGCTTCGAGCAGACCATCGGCGCCTTCAAAATCCACAAAGTCTGGATCCAGGGCCGGGTCAGGCTGGTTCTGGTCCTCGTCAAGGTCCTCTTGTTCACCGAGCACCTGGTTTCTGTTGCCAACATTTGGCACTGGCGCATCAGCATTGGCCTCCTGCTGCCGCAGGCGCATCCGGCGCTGCGGCTGCTGCCGTGGCTGCTGCGGGTCCGCTGGGTTGGGGCCGGGGTTGGGACGCAAAAGATGGTCTAGGTGCAGACCCTCCATCTGTCGAGCACGCTGAAATTCACGCAGGACTGCTAGCTGCCGCTGCCGCTGCACCTCCTCGTCATCGTCACTCTCGTCCTCCCACTGATCCTCGTCGTCGCGTGCATTGCCGTTGTCAGGGTTCTCGTGCAGGCGCTGTTCTGCGTGCACAACAAGTCCTTGACTATGCTCTGTGGTGAACGTAGGAGGCATGTCGTTGTCAGGCTCTGGCCTATCATTCCTAGCGCCAGCAGCCGCAGCAGTAGAAGCAGCACCAGTGTGTGCGCCTGAGTCGGCATTGCCACCACTACCAGATGCTGACGAAGAAGACTCGCCAAATACAAACGACCATGCATCATCAGAAGCCGACGACTGTGTTGGTGCGCGCTCCTTGCCCTTGCCCTTGCCCTTGCCGGTATCGACACCACCTACTGACAATAGAGGTGAAATGATCCCCACAAGCGGAGATGGGTCGGCTGACGTCCTCCTGATCGCTGACATCGTCTACCGAGTGCTTGTCCAGTAGAGCCAACCGGGATATCCGGCATATCATCGTTGTCAGACCCGTCTGCTAGGCCGTCTACATCGGCAACAAATGCCTCCTCTGCGTAAGCCCACCCGGTATGTTGCTCCTCCTCATGGTGCTGAATAGCTGGCTGCTCCTCGGGCTGCTGTCCAATGGGCCGCTCATTCGGCGGCAAGTCATCGAGCACTGGGACATCCAATGGCCTTCGCTCAAACAACGGCCGGTGCTGCGGATTTTCAGCAATCAGCGGCTGTCCCTGAACTTCCAGACGGTTATCCGCATTGGCAAGGCGCTCCCTCGACCAGTCGCTCCAAACGCTGGCGGTCCTGCGCAATGGCAATGTTGTTGTTGTTGATCTGCTGCTCCACTTGGTCGACCAGGTCGTCAGGAGCAGGCATGTTGATTACAATCCAGTCACGCAGCAGGAAAAGCGCCAAAAACGCCAGCACCGTAAACACTGTGATGACCCCACCCTCGACGCACTTGGCCAGCCCCTCAACAGATGACTTCAACCAGAGCATGGATGTTCTCTTCAGAGATAGAGATACCCAGAATGCGCTTTGCTAGCCGAGTCCATACCTTGACAACAATGCTGGTTAAAGAGTACAGCAGCAGCGCGGTGTTGGTGGCACCCTCTAGAACACCCGTATACGATGTAATCTCGCCAGATGGTGTTGTTGTCGCGGACTGCCAAATACCACTCGCGCCACGACGCATGGTCAACAAAGCGCGAGCCAGCTGTGATCACTGCCCCGGCTGAATTGGCCTGCATGGTTGCATTGGTGGCATCAGTGTCGCCGCTGTAAAGAGCGACAGTCGCGGCAACCGAGTCGTTGGGAACAAAGGACTGACCGCTCCAAAAGTAGAAGCGCGTCAACCAGTACACAATATACGGCAGCACCACAAGCCACAGGATTGACGACCGCTAGCCATCTGAGCCCAGTCCCCAGCACGCCCAAGAGGTTTGCAAGCATCTGGCGCACGATGATGCGTTTTGGAATGCTCTCCGGCATGTTTGGGTCGTAGAGCGGCGTGAACGCATACTCGTGTCCACATAGCTCGCAGTATCTACATGCGGTTAGAACAAGGGGATTTAGTTTGTAGACCCCAATGCCAGAAACGCGGTGGTTTGAATCAAGGCGTCAAACGCTGCAAGAATTGGCAGTACTGCAGAACAAGCAGCTGATGCACTGGCATGCTTAATAAACGCCGTGAGAGCGACCGATTCCAAGCGCACTTACTTTTTGTTGCTATGTGTTAACCACTCTTCGAGACTACATGTGTGGAATTAAGGAGGGGAGGGATATTAGACCGTGGTGCTGGAGCTAAAGGACATAGCATGGCTTCCATCGCTACGGCGCCGGCCAGAAAACCAAAATTGACGTCTAGCTGACACTCACCATTGTTGGTGGACGAATTTTATGCTGCCCGAGCACTTGCACGGGTGAAACAGCGGCTCCTGTCTCTGTCGCTTCGCTCCGACATACGCGACAAATTGCAACTACACCGATATGAATTGAAGCTTAGAAACAAGTTTATTCTGCCCACGGAACAGCAGGTCCAGGCCGGCTCGCGTACCTTCGTCGCTATCCATGGCTGCCAGGCTATATGTAATGTGTGTGCGTGTGCAATGCGTTGGTGAGAGTAGAGGTAATAATATTTAAAGAGAGGGGAAAGTGGGTGAATTGAGAGTCAAGGAAAAGAGCTGTGGAAAAAGTGGGTTTTTACTTGTGGCGGCTAGAAAAATGGCTTCAGAATACTCAGGTTTTTTTAGTGATGAAAATAAATAAAAAAAGTCTGTGGCAGGTGGGTGGGCATGGCAGGAGAGCCCTCAGAAAACAACATCAGCATACTCCATCAGCTCTTCCATGGTCTTGGAGCTTGTCAAAGTTGGCATCGGCGTAGTTGAGGAACAGGTCGATGCCGCCATCCTGTCTGTTGGGATTGATGCGGATTAACCCCTCGCGGTTGATGTAGAAAAACGAAAGGATATCCGGTCCGCCGGTACCAAAGTCAATGCTGGAATATGGCATATAGCGCAGGTTGGACGTGCCTATATATGCAGTATTCGGCGTGTTCGCAAGGTACATGAAGCTCTTGTACAGGACGCCGATATCATTCTCGACGATGTCAATGAGCGTCTTGCAGTGTCCGCTCTGCACCTCCACAGCGGCCTCCTTGATGTGCTGCGCCAGCTGCTTGGTCGAGCTGCCCATGACCTTCTCGCCAGCAATATGTAGCGTCATAGGGCCTGTTGCGTTGCCAGCATATGCCCGTGGGATCGTCGAGCGGTCACGTATATCGTACGCCATCATTATATATACGTTGAGCGGCGGGCTGCCGAAATGCTCGGCATTGGCCGCGGGGATACACTTGACCAGCAGCGACGTCAAGATGTTGTTGGTTGACTGCGACGGATCGATATCTTGGCGCATGCGCTCCAAATTCTCGGCTGAGATGTGAAGCAGGTGCTGCTGCTCGTAGGGCGGCACATCAGGCGACTGCATCAGCAGCGGGATCACGTTCTTTGGGAATGTCATGGGCAGGTCCGGAACACTCTCCTTGAAGTGCTTGACGATACTGAGCGGCTCCGGTGTGACCGTAGAGAAATGGTCCGCAATGACTTTGCGGTCATTAATGGGAGGGTCGGCCAGCTTGCAGTAGCCACCGTTGCGCACATATGCAGACAGATTAGCCTGGAACGCTACACAACTGATGCCATCAAACACGGCGTGTGGGAGACATAGCGAGAATCCCACATAGCTGTTGTCTTTGAACCGGAGCAAGCGCAGGACAACGCTGGAGTGGTCCTTGTGGAAGGTTGACTTGGGGAACTTGTCCATCCCGATGGTATCGACAAGCTTTTTCAAGTTGAAAAACTGGAGGTCCTTTTCCTTCTTCAGCGTAATCAGGAACCTGTCGGCGGGCTGGTCAACGTATACGTCCTCGACACTGGGCATGTTAAGGTTGTCAGGGTCAACGCTGATAGCGCACCTCTGGTCGTCAGTAAGCTTGGGGCGACCCACTAGGATGGGGTAGTGGTCGGCAATGATTCTGCACAGGCTGCGGTTAATCGCCTCTTTAGACATGAAGTCTGGGTCATTGGCCTTGTTTTCGAAAAAGAGTATGCTATCAACCGAGATACCAAACTCTGCCACGTCGAGGGTCTCAAGCAGGATCTCCTGCGCCTTGATAGACGATAGATAGCTGAGCGGAGAAATAGAGCCACTGACTGTCATCCTGGTGGTTAGAGTGTCAAGTATTGGACGTGCTAGGGATGAGGAAAAGCAAGAGTATGCCTCACTGGCTGTCTGGTGCGCTACGTCTGCTTTATATGGAGTCATCTGTGGAATACGCACTGTACGCAGTGCTGCTACGCCACACAACGTAACAGTCACTTTTTGGAACCCTCGCCCCACAGCCACCTTTTCTACTTGCCAAATCCTCCGGATCAGCGATAATCAAATACCCGTGCCAAATTGACTCCTCAGATCACTGGCTCACGGGGGATATGCAGTGCTGGCCGTAGGCGATGACGATGGTTGCCATCAGCCCAAATACTACACCACAAACTCGTGTCTACTCTACACGTAATTATTTTGCACATTACACAGCTTGGCTTGATTACAGAATACAATGGCTCACGGTACGGCCCAACCCTGCGACAGCATTGGCAACTTACAGGCCAAATGGGCAGACGACCATTGCAATGGCAATAGCATCAGAAGTGACTAACCGCTGGGCGTTTTTACTGTGACCAAATTGTAGTTCCCAGAAGCTTCCGTCTGCTAGAAGAGCTCGACAAGGGCGAGAAGGGCATCGGGGATGGGGCGTGCAGCTATGGCCTGGCAGATCCCGACGACATTGACCTGAAGCATTGGAATGGCACCATTCTCGGCCCGCCCCATGTAAGCATTCGACGCACAGCTGCGGTTGCTGGCATAGCCGCACGATACATATAACTAACAAACAAATCTACTGTAGTCTGCGCATGAGAACCGCATCTACTCGCTGACGCTGTTCTGTGACGAGAACTACCCGAACCAGCCGCCAAAGGTTGTGTTCCTTTCCAAGATCAACTTGCCTGGCGTGAACGCGACCAACGGCGAGGTTGATTTGAAGCGCATTGGCTGCCTGGGCCACTGGAAGCGCAGCTATACGCTTGAGACCGTCCTGACCGAGCTCCGCCGCGAAATGGCCCAGCCGACGAACCGGAAACTGCCCCAGCCGCCCGAGGGCACCACCTTTTAACTTTATCTTCAGAAGCGACATGTGTATCATGAAATGGACTCACGTATGTACCCTGCCGAATGTTCTTTTGCACGCCGAAACTGACAGCCGCTCTCATAGTGCCCCTGCTATCAGCTCCCATGCAGCCATCGCTGCATGTGCAGAGTACGCTGCGTGAGGGGCAGGGCCAATTGTCTGCCTGCCTGTGTGGGGTGCCAAGATTTCACCTTAAATAAAAACAGGCAGGCTGTACTGGGAGAAAGCCAAAACCTCAACAAGCGAGCCAAGCTTTTCCCCCACCCTTTTGTACTCTTGCCTCGACGCTTGCAATTCAACCTGCTCAACTCTCCTCACTTGCTCCCAAATGTCGGAATCTATCAAATCGAATTTCACCTGGCGGCCCGACGAGCGTGTACTCCCGACGTACCAGCTGGTGCAAGCGGCCCAGGTCAACATCGACCCGAAGCGCTCGATAAAGTCCATCTACAAGTCGCTGGAAAACTTGCTTGCCAAGGCCGACGACCAGCTTATCGAGCAGGACTTGCAGCTGGCCTACGTCTACTACATGCGATACTCGACCATTGTACTCAAATTCCTGCCCAAGCACCACGAGTACCGCCTGCCAAAGTACGCAAAGCAGAAGGAAGAGGTCAACAAGCGCTGTATCACGGTGCTGTCGATTCTGGAAAGACTGAAGCCCACGTTGCAGAGGCGGTACGAGGTATACCAGGAGCGTATGAAGCAGATGGAGAAGATGTCGGTATCGGTGACAACATTCAAGCTGCCAAAAGAGGACAGCCCAAAGCGCGCGCCTTTACCAGGCATCCAAGAGTACCCACGCAAGGATAGCACTGTGGATATATATGGCGACGGGGAACCCAAGATCCACCTCGATCGATACGAAGATGAGGCCAAATATGGATACAATGTGGCCGACGCACTGAAGGGGGTCAGAATCAGCGATAACTCTATGAACACACGGCGGGTATCGTCTAGCAGCTATACTAAAGATCCGAATGTCAGGACAGAGACGCTGATAGAATATCCATCGCTGGAGGCATCCTCTGCTGCTGCCGCTGCCAGCCGGCCACCCCCGCCCCAGATCGACTTACCGCTGCCGCCGGTGCCGCCCAAGGGAGGTGACACCTGGCAGAACTCAACCCCACACGCGCAGCAGACGCCGCCGCCAATCCCTGCCCGGCCACGCCGCGCGTCGGCTGCAAACCCAGGCATGATCACCATACCCGAGCATACGTCAATGGCGTCCGTGCAGCCGGGGATTGAATTTTCGCCACCACCACCTGGCCACGCCAATCTGTATGACCCGACATTTAGTCCCTCACCTGTCAGCGGAGGCCACACACCGTTGCCTTCGTCGGTACCAGCGCTGCCGCCGAAGCCGCGTGAGTACTGCGATGACTTTTCGGGCCTGGCCACCGAGACAAACACCATCGTGCCGTTGGGAGACTTGGCACAGATGTCGCCGACTGCACTTCCTCAGTGCGTAATCTCCCCCGATGAATACGCCCTAACCGAAGCTGGCGAGCGCATGCGTCCGATGCAGATTCCCGAGGATATCTTTGAGGAGTTCATCCGCATCGCCGAGCCCAACACTCAGCAGAACCTCGAGACGTGCGGCGTGCTCTGCGGCAAGGTTGTCCCTGGACAAGAGACACTGGTAGTAACTACGCTCATCATTCCGAAGCAAAAGGCTACATCTGACACATGCACGACCGAGAACGAGGAGGAGTTGGTTGTGACGCAGATGCAGCTGGAACTGTTGACACTGGGCTGGATCCACACACACCCGTCGCAGACCTGCTTTATGAGCTCTCTCGACTTGCATACGCACTTTTCATATCAGCAGTTTATGCCTGAGGCTATTGCCATTGTATGCTCCCCGAAGTATGACCCGCGCTACGGAGTCTTCCGGCTGACCGACCCGTCCGGCATGGATGTTATCAAGAGCTGCAAGCAGGAGGCGGCGTTCCATCCGCATGATGGCTCCGACATAATCTATACCAATGCTGATCCTGATGGACATGTGGTCAAGGCGCGGTACAGTTTTGAGATTATCGACCTGCGCAATGCGTAAGAGCAAATATACGCATTATCTTGCCCGAGTTAAAAGGGTGGACACATGTCATGAAGACATGCCTGTGAGATATTTGTTTGTGTCATCGCAAAACTACGACTCTGGAGAGATGAAGCTAAATCCTGGAGTTAGCCTTTGGATTTTATTGGCGCCTGAGCGATATGCGACGGTACAGGAGAGCTGCCATTGTGAATAATGTGGTTTACCCGTTTGCAAATAAGCGAACGGATGCATTCAGTATTTATGTGAGCAAATATAGGCATTGTATGGCAGTTCCTTGCCATTCTACATATTGCAAATTCGTGAAAGCCCGCCCCCTTATTACCCAAGACAGGCTACACTGAGTCTTGGCATATAAACAGTGAACTCATTCAATTCACTACTTCCCATCTAAGAATATAGTACTGGAAGGCGTGTGGTTCAAAAGTACCAGCCAGATACTTCAAATAGTGGTGTGTTGGTCGCTTTCAGGGCGCTATTTCTTGTTCTCTTCACTAAATCACTTTTGCAGTATACCTGTATACCAAATAGAACCACCCCTTAGGAAATGGCTGATCTGGAAAGACTGCATACTACTTGGCTGTCTGTTGAAAGAATTCAGTCGCTCCAGCAACTTGTACAACTGGCACAGACCAAGGTTGACTTGCAACGCCCAATACAGCACATATACCTGTGTCTGGACAAGCTGCTCATGAAGGCTGACCAAAGACTTATTGCCGAGGACCTGAGGCTAGCCTTTGTTTTATTCCTGCGCTACTTGGTAGTTGTTATCAGCCACCTGCCAACGCACCCAGAGTACAGGCTGTCTGGTTATGCAGAACAAAAAACTGTAGCCAACAGGCAGTGCGACATTGTACTGACGATCCTAGAGCAGCTGAAACCCAGGCTGAAGAGATGGTATGAGACGTACCAGGAGCCACTGAGAGGAGGACAAAGGATGTTTGGCCACGACATAACTGGTGCTACACCAGTTAGTAGCCAAACAGTACAGCCAGATACGGATGTAGCGGTAGACAATCAGCAAGAAACATGTGCTGCCTCAGCAAATATTCACCACAATGTCGTCGCCTCTCCGCTACTTCATGAACACTATCACCTTCCTATCGGGTTGGCAGCAGATAGCCAAGAAGACCCTCCGCCATATTCAGTCGAGGATCCACTTTGTCGACGCAACACCTGTGCTGATGGAGGATTGGTTCACATGGATACATCAGCAGCGTCGACCGGGAGCTACGGACAGAAGTATATTTTTTAAGCTTAACCTGCACCCCTCGGCACTACCTTTCAGTACAATTTCACCCACACGACATATTCAAGCCCACCTATTCGCATTCTAAAACCAATAAACATATGGCTGCACCACAGTTTGGGTTACCAGGCCTGCGCAGCAGAACATGACCCAAAAAAAAAACCGAACCATATCTGCATCCAATCGTGATGGCCAGAGAATTGGATGCAAATATGGGGAAGTAAACAATGAAAAATAGCACCTCCACGTTTATTCCAAACACTTGCTTTCCTACGAATGCTGTTTTATTCGTTTTTCAAGACGCAGGTCGGCCAGCAGGTGACAGTTGAGCTCAAGAACGACCTGGCGATCCAGGGCACGCTCGAATCGGTGGACCAGTTCCTGAACTTCAAGCTCAAAGATATCCGGGTCGTGGACGAGGCGCGGTACCCGCACATGCTGTCAGTCAAGAACTGCTTCATTCGTGGCTCTGTTGTGCGTTACGTGCAGCTCTCGCCTCCAACTGTCGACACGGCGCTGCTGCAGGATGCGGCACGGCGCGAAGCACAGTCAACACAGCAGATGCAGCAGGGCAAGCCAGCGGCTGCCGCTGCCTGAGACCTGGGGTTTTCTTTATTCCAATGCTCGTTTGTTGGCTAAAAATAAATATACAGTGAGGCTTTTTGCCCAAGCATGGAAAAGTCGGCATCAATTAGCCGAGTGTGCCGATGTGTATATTGGGCCCTGCCTCATGCCGTGCCCGAAATACAATGCGGCTGCTGGGCTGCCAGTGAGCCGAGGCAAAGAATAGCAGACATTGCAAGCACAGTTCGGACCGACGGCTTCTTGGCATGCTGAGCGATTCAGGCCCAACACGGTGTGCAGCCTGCCAGCCACCTCATTTACGGTGCATATGCCAGGCGAATTCCATTTGTTCATCCTTCAAAACTAGCAGACCATCCCCTTGCTCCCGGATCTGCACAGCATGGAAAAAACATGCCCATTGAGTGCCAAGTAACATCATTGCCAGGCACAATGCTGCCATTCTCCGCTGCATCACTTGTTATCGATGGCGGATTGTACTGTACCCCCGATGCTTGGCCAGCCATGTAACTCTGTTGCACCACCTACCAGATGTCAGTTGCCTGAATGCCACGCAATCCGCCCTTTTTGCTTTGTCAGCTGCTTCGGCAACCCCCATGCCAAGCGATTCCGGATGTCGCTTGCTCCCGCCGTATTGTTTTGCCATCGAAAACCGTTGGCGGGAAGCACCCGCTACATGCAATTCCAGCGCATTCCCTTGAGTGCGGCCACATCGTAATTTCGTCTGGGCCTCGCTCCAAAAGCAGTAACCGGCAAAGCTATTTATCAATCTCGCCTGTGCACCAGCGCTGTTCTTTTGGAAACGAAAACTATTCCTTGCTGAGAGCGCACGCACGTTTCATTACCCAGTGGCTAACCGTACATTGGCTTTCATCTGGAGTCCAAGGGCTTCAGTTATCCATCACGCACGGCTGCTGCGCACAAAACCACATCTCCACAGCCGTCTTTTTGTGTGAAGGCATTGAGCACTCGTGTTTCTGCCGGTTTCGCGCCTGCCTCTGTGCTCCAGAGATAATAGAAAAGCAGGAGAGATTGGCGTAGGCCGAACGAACTGGGCCTGAAGAGGGGGCAGAGCAGAACAATAATATAAACCATTCCACGCGGCTTGTCTCTACTTTCTCCCCCTTCCAAGCACAATTAATTATTTTCAGCTATTTCTGGGCCCCAAGTTTCAGTGTCGCATGCACCTATATATTTTCAATACAGCACGGCATCTGCGAGCAATATTCCACATCTAGTTTTTTTTTTCACTTTTTTCTTTCTACCCGTATTCCATTCAAGCATTATTCCCACCATATACTTTTTTCTTCTTTCCCATGCGCGCCACACCACAGCGACCATCTGGATGGTCTCAGCCACTGCTCAGAATGCCGTCCAGCACATACCAGGGGCCATGGCGATCATCATATCGGCATGTGCGCTCGCACTCGAGCGGCAATCTCGAGGAGGCAGCACGGCCAGGGTCAGCAGCCTCGTCTGAGGGCAACACCACAGACATCAGCATGACTCAGTACTGCAGTAATGGGTCATTTGTGGAGAGCGGCGAGGGAGGGCGGAAGGTTTCACATTCGGTGACATCAGCACGCAGCTCATCTACTGCACCACTGTCGGCGGGTAAATGCCAGGGGCTGACAGGAAAGGCAGAGCTGGGCACAGCGCGGCGCATGCTGATTTTTGGAGGCTTGTTTTTCACGATATTTCTGTCAGGGCTGGACCAGACAGTGACGTCGACTATCCTGACACGGATCGCAGACGATTTCAAGGCTTTGGACAAGATGGAGTGGGTGCCGACAGTGTTCATGCTGTGCTCAACGTGCGCGAATATCATATCGGGACGCGTGGCAGAGGCGTTCGGGCGGCGGATGGTGCTGGGGCTGGCACTGGCGGCGTTTGTGGCCGGCGCAGCCTTGTCTGCTACAGCGCCGAGCATGGCGGTGTTCATTTGCGCGCGCGGGATCTCGGGCGTGGCATGCGGCGGGATGCTGAATCTCTCGATTATTGTGATCTCGGATCTGGTGGAGCTGGAGCGACGCGGGCGGTTCCTCGGGTGCCTGCAGATCTGCTTTGGCCTGTCGAATGCCGCGGGGCCGCTGGTTGGTGGGATGTTTGCAGACCATGTGGGCTGGCGTGCAGCATTCTACACAGACATGGGCGTGGGTACAGCGACGCTGCTGTATCTGGCATTAGTGCTGTGTGCTGAGCCGGCGCGGCGCACTGGCGTGCGGCTGGACTACGCAGGCATGGCAGTGATCGTCTCCAGCATCTCGCTTCTGATAGTGGGCATGAACATAGGCGGCACAATGCTGGCATGGACGGCGCCGACGACGATTGCGTGTCTGGCACTGGGTGGGCTGTTGCTGGGGCTGTTTGTCGTGGTGGAGCTGAATGTCCACAATGAGCCGCTGGTGCCAATGTGGGTGTTTGGCGTGCGCAACCTGGTGATTGCGTGTATGGTGACGTTCTTCTGCGGCATGACTATGTTTGCGGTGATCTTTTACATGCCTGTATATTTCTCGGCAGCATTCGGCGTCAGCGCGATGCGTGCTGGCCTGCTGGTTTTGCCGTTCGGCATAGCGCTTAGCATCTCGTCGTTCGCCAGCGGCTACGCAATGTCAGCTACGGGCAAGTACCGACTGCTTCTGCGCCTAGGCCCGGCAGTGATGGCTGCAGGTGTCGTTCTTCTGGCTCTGCTGGGCAAGGTGCCACCGATCGCACAGGCACTGCTGCTTTTGGTGCCCGGTGCAGGCATGGGCAATGTAATAATAGCGAATGTGATCGCGGCGCAGGCGACAACACATCCGCGGTTCGTGGCGACGGTGACGCCGCTGTGTGAATTCTTCTTGAGTATTGGCGGTGTGATAGGCGTGGCTCTGTTTGGCGCAGTGCATCGCAACCGGCTCGCTCATATCCTGGCGGCAGGTGCTGCAGGTGAATCGCCAGCTGCTCAGAAGATTATTGGCGAGGCACGGCGCGATGTTAGCGTAGTGTATGCAACGACGATTCCTGGCCCTCTGCGCGCAAAAATCGCCAATGCATACATGCACTCAATGGCACTAGGGCTCTGGGTGCTGCTGCCGTTTCTGGTCATTGCCTTTGTACTGGCAATGGCTCTGGAAGAGAGCCCGCTCAAGGCCGGGCCAAGAGACGTGCCTTTGGACAGCGAATAGATATCCGTTATATATCCCCTTAAAACTTGTGTGATATTATTTAATTTTTCAACACTCAATATATTCCTGTACAATTTTATATGCAGATATTGAGTACGCATGTGGTGCTACATCAAGCTTGCTATTATCGCTGCCTCTGTGGTCACCAGCGAGTGCAACATAAGATCTACAAGCACATATATAAATGCACCTTCCATTCCACTTTCAGTCTAATACAAGACTGGCTAACTACAAATGCAGCTGGGAACTGCTGTTGCTTATGAAATGAATAATGCGTGAATGATGGATTTGATGATCATTTAGTATATGTATCTTTAGCATGTGTACATACAAGTGCTTCATATATTACCCTCTACTGGATGCTAATGTGCTGAGAGATCCAAAAGCTGAAGGCGAGTGATAAGTGATTTGTAATTCTCGCTTCCCTCGATATCTAGTCGCTTGATGGACTTATCACCAATATATAGCACTGGAACTCCCGAGCCACCCACTACCTTGTTTTCTGTATGCGTCTGATGGCCGGGCACAGTATGGACAGTATCGTTACCATTCTGCAGCTGGCCATCAGGTCGTTTTTATATCTGCACACATCCAGGATCACAAGGGGTTTGGAGTGGATACTACTGCCTATAGAGGTCCCCGATACAATCCATGTTTGTGCAAGCAATCGCTGTGAACACGCGTGGCTGCTTTCCCTTAATGTCTAAATTCTCCAACCTGGTAGCGCTGCGACGAACGAGTTCGATTTCAGGCGATTTGGCTGATGTGATACCGATTGACAGTCTATGCATGCTGATGATAATAACAGGGACGCTGATCCAAGAACTCATAGATACCGATCGAAATCGAGTTGTCAACAAGACCCGAAATAAAAGTAAGGACAAACAAGCTAAACCATGGTCACCTAGTATATCGGACCGAGAGATAATGCGGTTCTTTGCGTTAGGGAGCATCCGGCTCACCTCGTCGCAGAATTCCTGGGCGTAGGTTGGATCGTCGCACTGAACCATATCATAATCGCTTGGCCAATTGGTGTCAGATACAAGTCCGATGGTTGAGACACCAGAGAGTACTAAATTGTCAGAAGGTGGCTCTTTGAAGTGTCCAAGTAAGGTATCATCTAAAATTTCCGAGATAGAGAAATGCAGCGTCAGAATTTTGACGCGAGAACTGCTGTGCGTTGCTAGAGCGCAAGGTAGCCCCATAGGCGCCCAGAATCTATCCTCTTTAGACAGAACTTAACAATGTATGATATCAATGATGCACCAATTGATATCTCAGTAAATCCTATCCAAGTCTGCGTTCCTCCATGCAGAGCACACGCCAATTAATGACACCATATCGGGAAAATGTGAGCCATCACTATACCGATGCTTTCTAGTTGCCCAGCTATCATCAGCTGTATATTCAACAATCTGTTAAAGCATGAGAGCAGGGAGAGATTGGGCAGGTGAAGCGATGGAAGAGAACATGGGTGAGTGAATAAAGCAAGCAAGCCACAATGAAGAAGAGATAAAAAGGGCGGCAATGATCTGTCTTTTTAAGACGAGCGGTAGGCGTTTCAGCAATGATGCCAGAAACATCACAGATACCAGCCGTGGCCAGAAAGCGGGTTTGATTGGGTGTTTGCAGGCAATACAAAGCAGAAATCCTCAGCTACTTGCCTAGGAAGCTACGGTCTGCACAGAGAGAGCAACCGCCTTTGCTTCATTACTTGTTTTTAGGAACCTTGTTTTGCACCAGGTCAAGCGGAATGTACGTCTACGTATACTGAGAATAGCCCTAGACTACCGAGCGCTTTGCCCGTCGAGCGACCTTTCCCTACGCTATATATTGAGACATAGGTAATAATAGCTAGGATGAAGTGCAGCAAAGTATCTCCATTTGATAGCTAGGCGGTGGCCAACATACCCCTCGCCTGGTGCCCAACGTGTGTCTCAGTGAGTAGATACAAGGGGCGCATTTCTAAAACTAAAACAAAAAATGGCCCATCACCTTAACCCAAAACATTGATAAAGTTACCATACCCAACAGTCTCCCAATAGTGTGATACAAACAACTCCCCTGCACTCGCATGTATTTTTCCATCCGATCATGAGCAGCACTTCATTTGAGATCACGCGGATCCCGACGCCAGACGAACAACGCGCACTGACAACCGAGACCGTCTACACAACTACGATCTCGCCGCAGAAGACCTCGCAATTGCTTTCGTTCATCGCCAAGCATTTGCCTAAGCTGACTGGCATTGAGCATGTGAAGCGCGTGCGCAAAACCAGCACTTTTCTGCAGGTAATCCTCTGCCAGACTAGCGCTATAACAGAGGAAGAATTGCTACGTATCCTGAAAGACTCGGAATGGACATTGGGGGAGATCTGTCAAGTGCCGGATACGCCGCCGATCACGGCCGATCAGTTTAGCAAGTGGAAGGATGTGTGGCCGGTGGCATTCCGTCCGCCGGCACAGAATCGCGTGGAGATTACTGAGGAGGAGAGGAAGTACATTGCCGGGCAGATTTTGCGCAGTGAACAGGAGGGCGTGGTGATGTGTCAGCCCAAGACCCATGCAGTGGTGGCTAGTGCTACGGCCCAAGATCACCCCTTGAGACATGCGGCTATGTGCTGTATTGGCAAGGTGGCTGATCTGGAGCTGGCGCGGAATGACAGTCTGGTGCCGGCCAAGCGCATGCATGATGAGCCAAGTGACACGGCTGGGTACCTGTGCGAGGGCCTAGATGTGTTTGCAATAACCGAGCCATGTGTGATGTAAGTCGAGGCAAATGCAAATTGGAGGTGCTGTTTTACAAATATGGTGCTAAATAGCTGTTTCATTGTAGGTGCTGTATGGCGCTGGTGCACTCGCGGATCGGACGGTTATTTTTCATCAACGCAGCGAGCGGCGGTGGGATCAGCTACTATGGAATGCATGCGCGCAAGGGTCTCAACCACCATTTCTCTGTGTTCCAATGTTCAATGCCTGAAAAGTCCGATGCGTAATTAACAAGCAATAAACCTACTATTGGAAATATAATGGCACTTCTAGATTGGATTCTGGATGTGCCTAGACAGTGGACGATACGGTTACTGCGTATCTCCTCATGTGAAGATCCAGGATAAAAAGCAGCAGCCTGTCCTGCTGGGTCTTCGCTCTACATTATCCTTCCCCTTGTCGCGACCCTATTTAAAGGTCACGAGCTTCGTCTACTCGCCCAGGCACTAATCAATTGATAGGGACAGTTGATATTATTAAACAAGAAGAGATGATTCCTCCCGGGTCACTCCTGGAGTGATCCGGTGTCTATTTTATAGCCTTAACTATGTGGCCTCGCCTAGGGTGATGAATCAGTCTCATCATCTGTGATCGGCTGAGTCGCATAAGCATTGGCTTTGAGTGACTGTGGTGTGATCACCACATCATCCTCCTCTTTAAGAAGGGGTAGCCCTTTCCTGGTAACCATGGTCTTGGGTGGCATCGCTGTGGTCCATGTGCTCAAACGATCATGGTGCACCAGTTCCGCAACTCGGCGTCCTTGTGGCGTCACAAGCTTATATGTGTTGAACGGAGCACGTTCCCACACCATATACGGGCCGAGCCATGGAGGGTCCAACTTCTTCTTGGCCATATTCTTCACCTTGACCCAATGTCCAATGTCATAGGGTTTCCCCGTTTTTGTCGCCTTAGAATAAACCTCATTCATTCTGTGTGCGGCGGCAAATTGACGTTCGCGAGCGATATGGCGGGTCGAATTGACCTTGCTCAAGCGGAGGACTTCTTGGGCATAGACATCACGGTTGTCCTTGTTGTTCCAAGAGACCGGTGGCATACTATCCAGTGGTAGCCTTGGTTCTTTTCCGAACAACATGAAGAACGGGGACAACTTCGTCACAGCATGCATTCGAACTCTTGTTGCCCACACCGCCTAGGGTAGATATTGATCCCAGCGGTGCTTGGCATGGAACGCAAGTTTCGATAGCATCTGGCCTACCACACCATTGGCACGTTCGGTCTTACCATTGGTTTGCGGGTGGTAGGATGATGTCTTGAGGTGACGAACATGGTTGCGGCGAAGGTAAGCACTTGTGACCTCACTAAGGAATGCAGAGCCACGATCAGACAGGATCTCTACTGGGGCACCATACTGGAGTGCGATCTCACAGTAGATGAAGTCGGCAACCGTTTCAGCTGTAGCATCCTTTGTAGCTTTAGCCACGATCCAGTTTGATGTGTGCTCGATCGCCAGTAAAATCCAAGCGTTTCCTGACAATGTGCGGGGCATAATGCCAATGAAATCAATGCCCCAGCGAACAAATAGCTCAGCCGGCGGCACTAGCGCATTCATCGGGGCCTTTGACTTGTCATCTCTGCCAGCAGTCGCTGCCTGACATACTGGACATTGGGCAATGATGTCTTCCACATATGAGCGCATATGAAGCCACCAATGCCGCAGACGCATCAAGCCGTACACTGAGGATACACCTAGATGTGCGAAATCCAAGTGATAGGCCTGGACAAGCGCAATGCGCGCTCTTTCCCCCTCTACGATGGGAAGCCAGGTCCTATGCTTCTTGATAAGCAGCACGTTCTGCTTGGACAGTCGCAAATTGGGCAATGCACGTTGTACTCAGTTGACCTCTGGCTCAGTCACCTGCTCCGGCGGTGGTTGCTTCAGTATCAGAGCTCGGGCTATCAGCTCCCACTTCTCCACAGGTGTTAATTCCTGCTTCGTAGTGGCCACCAGTGTGGCGAGATCAAACCGACGGGATAAGGAGTCAGCAACCACGTTGGCCTGGCCCTTCAGGTATACGACCTTGGGTGCTACGCTCATCCAGCGCTCTAGCCAGCGGGCTATGCGACCATGGGGATTTTGCTCCGCGAAGACACCAATCAGGGACTGATGGTCAGTATAGACTGTAACCTCGTAACCGCGTACAATGTACTCCCACGTTTCGAAAGCATAGACGATGCCTAGCATCTCGTGCTCTCGAGCCGAATAGTTACGTTCAGCTGGTCGTAAGGAGCGACTAGCAAATGCAACCGGGTGTAGGAAGTCGCCATAGGCCTGGGCTAGAACAGCCCCAATCGCGAAAGAGCTTGCATCGGACTCGATCACAAATGGGCGGTCCCAGTCCGGCGCCTTCAGCACGGGTGCTGCTGTCACAGCCTTTTTAAGGGCTGCAAAAGCCAGCCGTGCGTTGGCAGACCAGTTGACATCATCCTTCATGGTCCGCTCGTGGGTCAGTTGGTAAAGCGGCGCAGCGATCGATGCAAATCCAGGTACGAAACGACGATAGTATGAGCAAAGGCCCAGGAATGACAGTACGTCGCGTGCTGTATTCGGCAATGGCCATTTCTCAACCGCTTCGAGCTTGTCCTGACAGGGCGTAATCCCACAGTCAGTCACCATATGGCCCAGAAACTGTACCGATTTGGCAGCGAAGGTACACTTTGATGGCTTCAGGTGCAGATCTGCCTTGCGCAGCGCCTCCAGGACCAATCGTACATGTTGTCTATGTGTCTCCATATCCACCGAGTATATCAGAATATCATCCAGATATACCAAGACGAACTTGTCGAGAAATGGCTGAAGTACAATGTTCATCAACCGTTGGAATGTCGATGGAGCATTGCACAAACCAAATGGCATCACCAAGAATTCATACGCGCCATAGCGCGTGGTGAATGCCGTCTTCTCGATGTCGTCGTTGGCCATTCTGATCTGATGATACCCTGATCGGAGGTCCAGCGAAGAGAACACACATGCAGTACCAATCTGGTCCAGACAATCGTCGACCCGTGGTAACGGATACTTGTCCTTGATCGTCCGCTTGTTCAATAAACGGTAGTCGACACACATGCGGGTAGAGCCATCCTTTTTTCCAATGAGGATTATTGGATGAGCCTATGGTGACGATGACGGGCGAATCAAGCCTTGTGCTAACATGTCGTCGAGCTATGCCTTCAATTCCGACAATTGCTTCCGGCCCATGCGATACGACGCAAGCGCATGCGGTGGGCCATCCTCTAGCCGAATAGAATGCTCGACCGACCAGTGAGGTGGCAGTTCTATCACTGGCGCGAATAGTGACTCGAACTCTTGTATCGTCTGCTCAAGTTCTCGATCCTGGCAGACCACCTCTACGCCATTTGGGTTTGCTGGTTGGCGCAACAGCACAACCCATGCGTCCAATATTTTCCGGTCCCAAACCATACGGTGTAAGCCATTCAGGCTAATCACTGATTCCGGTACCGCCATAGTAACCGTGATCTCTGAGCGTGAGCCATTGTGTTCTAGAATCCACTGGTTAGACTGGTAATCGGGAGTTAACCGGTTTTCCAACCACCAGTCGTAGCCAAGTATGATGTCTGTTCGATTCAACGGCAGCACAAATGCCGTAACCGGAACACATAATGCACCCACCACGAGGTCAAAGTGCACCGAGACTGAGATCTGGCGCACCGAACCGTCAGCCAAAGCAGCTGAATATCCAGACTCCTGGACTGTTTTAAGGCCCAAGTCTGATACTAGCTTTCGGCTGACAAATGAAGTAGTGGCACCCGAGTCCAGCAACGCTCTGACTGGGCGCCCGAGAACCGTGCCAATGAGCTGTGGTCTAGTTCCTGACCCGATCTGCAGTGAGGATAACTGCACGATCTTCACCTTTTTTGTCAGTTTATCATCAATCAATGACTTACACCGACGTTTTGGGCTACTGGCATCCGATTCATCCCAAGGCTGATCCAAATGTGACCAGTCTTGGAAGGCATCGACAAACACATCGTCGCTGGTGACTGATCCTCCAGGATCAAATGTAGTGTCATCAACATGTTCGTCGAGATCATCTGCGGGTGACCTGCCTTCCCCCTCTGGCTCGCGAGAGTCAAAGTTCAGGGCTGGCAGTTCTGGTGTGGGCAACAGCGAATCCGTCACTGCTGCCCTGCACCTTTTCCCGGCTTCTTGGTGCAGTTCTGCGAAACATGACCAGGATCACCGCAAGCAAAGCAACGGCGTTGTGCACGTAGCCATTGCTTACATGTGGGGTGGTCCTTGGCCAAGGGTACCGAGATGGAACCGACCTTGATCCAAATGATCGAGCTACCCTTCGTGTATACCGCAGAAACTTCCATTGGTTCTGGTTGAGCTGGCAGACTGGATACGCCAGTTGCTGCTGGCTGCAACCCCGTAGCCTCTGCTACTGTCTGTTCTAACACATCGGCATTGTTGACTAGCCGTAGTGCTTCTACAAACTCAGTAGGCGCTTTCCGAACCAGCGCTTTATAGAGACTAGGATTCAGCCCATGCAGGAAATACGAAATTCGCTCAATGTCTGCGATATCGCTGCCGCCTACGATTTCTGCTTCCGCCGCGATATATTGCTGTAGAGTTTTACCCCGCTGGTTCAGCTCAATCAAGCGGTGTCGGAAGACATACAGGTGGTCAGGACGTGAAAGCATTGAGTCGAATTCTGCAATGAAGAATGCCGGTGTGGCCATGATCAAAGCCTGCCACCCCGGGTGTCGGCTTAAGTGCGCGTCGATCATCGTCTTGGCCTGTCCGACTACTGCATTTCGTAAGTACAACGCCTTTTGAGGCAACGTGCCAGATTGCATTGTGTCCATGTACGCTGACCATTTATCTCCCCAATTCTTAAAGGTAACATTCGACGTCACCATGTCGTATGGTTCAATATTCGGTGCTTCGTTGGCATGGACTGTCACTGCTCCTGGTTGGTTCTGGCTGTCCATCCTCTGCTGGATATAGCCCACGAGACGATCGCCCAGGACAGGATGCTCGTTCAGCAGCTGCAGGAGTTGGTTGAACTGGGCCTCCTGCTGCTCAGAGGTCGGGTTAGCGTTGGTACTGGCATTAGCGTTGTTGTTCATGGTGCTGAAAAATGGAGTGGACGTAGACGATAGTTCTGAGGACAGAATAAGGGACTTGGGTGATGCTACCAATGTCGCGACCCTATTTAAAGGTCACGAGCTTCGTCTACTCGCCCAGGCACTAATCAATTGATAGGGACAGTTGATATTATTAAACAAGAAGAGATGATTCCTCCCGGGTCACTCCTGGAGTGATCCGGTGTCTATTTTATAGCCTTAACTATGTGGCCTCGCCTAGGGTGATGAATCAGTCTCATCATCTGTGATCGGCTGAGTCGCATAAGCATTGGCTTTGAGTGACTGTGGTGTGATCACCACACCCTATCCAATGAAGTTCTTTACTACCTTAACATTCTTCGCTCTTGTGGGGCTTGCCACGGCCGTGAGCGACAGCGACTATGCAGCCATCAAGAAGGCGCTGGCCAGCGAAATGAGCAACCACCATACGTTCACGACCCCCGAGCTGTACCATGACTTGGCAGCAGCCCTGGGGCTGACGGACGCCTGCGCAGTGCTGTACAATGGCTCGCCGAATCTGCTGCTTGGGTACCAGAAAGTGTACGAGCGCCTGAGCGCACTCGCCAATGACCCGACGAACACGGCCGAGCAGACAAAGACTATCGGAGATTTGCGCGATTTCACGCACAACGTAGTTTTGACTGACCCGAACCACCTCTAAAGAAATGAATAAAAGCTCGGTTTGGTAATCGAAAAAGAAAATGCCATCTCAAAAGATATCCTCGACGTCCTCCCATGCCTCAATCTTGGGCGGGCCACTGGTCTGGTGCTTTGCGGCACGCTCGCGCTCAGCCCAGTATTCGCCGGTGAAGCGCCAGTAGGACTCGCCCGAGTCCTTGTCAGTGTCCTTGACGAACCAGCGTGGCTTCCATGGCTTCAGCTCGCCTTGCTCGCGCCGCCGCCGTGTTGCACGCTGCTTATTCTCCAAGCGCGACTTTTCACGGTCGGCGAGCTCGTATTCGCCGGTCTCCATCGCGCGCTGGTCAGGGCGGAAGCGCGAGTCGGTCGGGCACAGGTACGGCTCGAGCCCGGCGGGCTTATCGTTGAGCGACACGGCAAAGTTGGTTAGGTGGTAGGCGTTTTCGCCGCGTGCATTGGCCTTCCAGAGCACGAACGGGCGCTGCGGCAGCTCCAACGAGTTCGACTCGGCGAACCGCACCGCATCGCCTAGTGTGGCCGCGTCGTCCATGTACTGCGGGCGCGGGATGTCGGTGGCCTCGGAGTCTCCACGGTGGCCGACAGGCTTGGCGACCAGCTTGGAGGTCCAGTCGCCGGCGATTTCGTGGACAATGGAGCCCTGGCGGTTACGGGCCTCGCCAGTCACGCGGAACTTGTTCTTGCCCATCCAGTTGGACTGCATAAAGGTGATCTTTGTCAGGTCACCGGTGCGGTGGTTGCGCACGTTCAGGTCGCCGACATGCTCGATCCAGAAGTTGGCAATCATGATGCCGTTCACGTTCGTCGTCAGCTTGTCCCACGTGTAGTGCTCGGTGAAGTACCCCTCGTGTATGTGCGCTTCTTGCTTTGGTGTGCCCGCGTCGGCGTCGCGCTCCAGGAACGCCAGGGGCAGCTTCAGTGTCACGTGGCACACGCCCGTCGGGACCACGGTCAGCGAGCCGCCGTTGAACTTGGAGCGGATGTTCGTGTCGGCATGGTACGTGTAGTTCTTGCCCTCGACCCAGCATGCGGAGATCGGCGGGTGGTGCTCGACCTGCTCCGACAGCGCGCGGTACTTTTTGTCCCGCCTGACGTACTCGAATGTCTCGCCCAGCAGCGGGTTGAACGGCTTGGCGATGCGGCCAAAGGTTGACGCGTAGTTGCTCATGGCGAAGCCAGCTACAAATAGCGTGCGGTCCTCGCTGCGCCGCAGAAGCGTCGCGATCTCCAGTAGATCGCAGTATTCCATGTCCTCGGTGAACCGCTGCAGGAACGACGACGGCTCGTTGAAGAACACAGGCACAGAGATCTTGGACAGGTCCTTGCCGATTGCGCCCTTGATGATCGACCACAGGTTCAGCGATGGCCCGCCCTTCTTGATCTCCGGCAGCTCGTTGCGGATCCGCACCGGCAGCGAGTAGCCGCTCAGGTGGGTCAGATCAGCTGACGGTGTGGCCTCGGGCGTGGTCTCTGGTGTAGCCTCGGGCGCAGCATCTGGAGCAGTGTCTGGCTCTGGGACTGTATCCTCGGGCTTCTCGCCAGCACTTGGCATGCTGCCCTGGGCCACAGCCGACGTGACGGCATCAAAGAACTCGTCGGTGGCATCGGCAAAGTCCGAGTCGTCGTCCTCGTCCTCGTCATCATCGACTGGCTCGGCAATGTCCGAGGCAAAGGCAGCAGAGCAAATATCCCGTGCCTCCAGCCCCTGCGGGCCCTCAGTAGCAACAGGCGTCACCGGAGCGCTTGAGATGGGCGTCTGGCCCTTGGTGCGGATCGTGTCGATCAGGCTGTTGGAGTTGACGACGGCAGTGCGCAGGCTGTCAGCAAGCATATCAATGCGCTCCTGCTCCTTACGCATCTTGGTCTGCCAGGCATTATTGCAGGCCTTGTACGCCTGCTCGACCTGCCCCAGCAGCAGAGTCAGCTGGCGCGTCGTGCGTGCGGCCATCTCGTGGTACTGCGGTGCAGCATCCTGCAGGCTATCAAGCAGCTGCCCCTGCAAAAACAGCTGCGCCTTGACCTCAGACAGCGCAGCCGAGAAATCGTCGCGGGCCATAAACAGCTCGTCGTCGCTCTCGCTGCTCAGAATGCTGGATGCCGCCGAGCCCACCTTGCTCTGCCGCGACTGGCTGCCCGAGCGCTCGCGCACCGGCGGCTCGGCCGGAGCCGTATCATCGGCCGGGACGCTAGCGGTGCTGACGCTGCCGCGGTGGGAGTAGCCCAGGGTGCGCTCAGACTCAGCCGGATGCTTGTGGTTCTCGAGGGCCCACTGCTTGGAAAGATTCAGCATGTGCACCCACTGCTTGGCCACAGCCGCGTCCTTGGCCTTGAGGCGGTAGCGGATTGAGCCCTTGCCGTGGACCTCGAACTGCGTGCGGTCCTTGGCCATCACAATGCGAGCTATGCGCAGGTTGATGGCGCCGCGGCAGGACGCGTCGGCATCGGCCTTGTCTTTGTAGTACGACAGCACGCCAGCCTCCAGCTCAAACCACCGCTGCTTCCACCCGCTGGCGTAGTTTGTCCATTTGTGCAGCTGCCCGCTCAGCTTCGGTGCGCTGCCCGAGAGCGCCGTCCGCGCATTGCCCATGGGTGCCTGGCCCAGCAGTTCCGTCATTGCCGGTGTCGTCGCATACTTGTCTGCCAAGGCACCGTCACCGTCCTTGGCGAACACATCGACACCCTGCGTGATCGCCCACTTAGCCAGGCCCACATTGTTCTGCTGCACAGCAACATGCAGAAGGGTACCGCCGGTCTCCGAGTCGCGAGCCGCCAGGTTAACGCGAGCCGCCACTGCCGCGTCGTCCAGCATCTCCTGCACATCGCCACCTGCGCGGGCTAGTGCCAGTAGCCGCGCGGTTGTGCTACGCACCAGCTCCGAGCGGTGATCCTGGATTACCGCTGCCACGTCCGGCTCTGTCGCGTACGCCAGTGCGTCCTGGCCAGACGCGTCCAGAAGCATGTCGTCGGCACCATGTCTAAGCAAAACCTTGACCACGTCCTTGCGCCCGGCCTTGGCCGCCAGATGCAATGCCGTCATTCCCTGTTTGTCTGCTGCGTCAATCGGCACCTTTGGGGCGTCAAACTCGAGCAGTTGCACGATCATATCACGCTTGGCGCACTGGACTGCCAGATGCAGCGGCGTGCTGTGCGCTATGGCTGCGTCGTGGGGCTCTGCTGCACCGCGGTCGTACGAGTCCATCCACCGCGGAATGATGCTCTTTACTCGCTCAAAGTCGCCTACAGAAAAAGCCAAGGATGTTCCCCTTAGCACACAATCCAAGGACATCTCTTTTTCTCCGTTAAGAGTACATGTAGCGCTTACCTTTGGTGAATATCTCCAGCGCATCCAAGTACCGCACTGCACGTCCGGTTTCTATACAGGAAAAGATATGCGTCAATCGTCCATGCCAGCTTGTAAAAGCCGCCCCTGGGGCGGACTGCACCTAGAACACTATTTTCCCTCTTACCGTTGGGCAGTGCCTGCCCGTCTCCGCTCGACATTGTTGAGGACTGCGTGAAACTGTGTAGGAAAGAAAAAGGGCTTGTGAATTTTAAAACTCAGATGCGATAGTCTAGAGAAAAAAAAAGAGTATTGGAAAATGCGTGTTGGCTGGCAAGGAGTAAAGAGAAAAGGACGATTCTTCCACTTCCCGTCGCCTGCGTGTATGGTCGCTGACCCCAAACCCTGAACCTGCTTCCTGTCTCCACTCGGAAAGACCCTCTGTGGCCTTTTATACGGCCGTGCCAAGACATGCGCATGACGATAGTGCCACCCTATCCACCTGCAGGCACTAGGAAAAAGGAACAACGCCAAGAGTTTCTTCGTTCTGAGGGAAAGCACGACTCGTACGAATCCACACTGAACGGGTGAGAAAGCAAAAAAAAAAAAGCAACAATGGAACCTTGTCAAAGCGTCAAAACATGGAAAAGAAATTGAGGGAAAAGGTATACGATTCAGAGGGGGGAAAGAAAATTTGGAACTTGTCTAGTGCTTGCGCGGAGTGTTGGTCCAGTCCTTGGGCGGGTTGAACACAACCTTGCGCGTCTTCAGCGTTTGCCATCTGTTCCTCTTGATCCACAGCGAGATTGCCGTCAGCGTCGAGAACAGCAGCAGGGCCTTGACACCGATCTTCTTGCGGTCGTCCAGCTCGGGCTCCGCCGACCAGTTCAGGAACGTCACCACGTCCTTGGCAATCTGCGACGCCGTGTTCTCGGTGCCGTCCTCAAACTCCACCACTCCGTCGAACAGGTTCTGCGCCATCGCAATTGCACCGCCCGGGAAGTACGGGTTGTAGTTCAGGCCCTCGCGGATCTCCACGCCAGCTGGCGGATCGCAGTATCCGGTCAGCAGCGCGTAGATGTAGTCCACGCCGCCGTGACGCGCCTTGGTGATCAGCGACAGGTCGGGCGGCAGAGCTCCGGCGTTCGCCGCACGCGCCGCCTCCTCGTTCGGATACGGGCGCGGGATCGGGTCGGTCAGCTTGCCCGGCCGCATGAACATCTCGCCCACGTCGTTGGGTCCGTCCTCGTACTCGTACTCGGCCGCCATCTCACGCACCTCCTCCTCGGTGTACGCAACATCGACAAGGTTACGCCAGTAAATCAGATCAAGCGAGTGGCACGCCGCGCACACCTCCTTGAACACCTGGAATCCACGGCGGATGCTACATGTAAAACCAGCTCCCTTTGGTTAGTTCAGGCCCGCATTTCCTATGATATCCACATCATCCGTGCCACAAAAGCCCCATCTCCTTACCTCGCATGGTCAAAGGTGCCAAACAGGTTCTTCTGCGGGAACGGGTGGTCAGCGGGGTGCAGACCCTCCGCCTCCATGTTGGCGTGCGCCGAGTTCTTGTTCAGGTAGTAGAGGCTGGCTCCCGAGCCAACAGCAGTGGCCACCGACACGCCCATCAGGGTGTTGTACGTGTTCGACTACATGTGTGACAGTGATAATCAGCAAAAAAAAAACAAAAGCAGGCGATATCGGCAAGTACTATCATGGGCTATGCTATCTGTTATCTACATGCCCAAAGTAAGCCTACCTTTGCCGAACCAGCCTGGGTCGTGAAACGCTACATCACCCTCCGATAACCCGACAACTGTTTAGTCCTGCTTGCTCGCACTCTCTGATTCATGTCGCCGAATCCGTTTTTCTTTGGCCAGCTAACAATATCAACAAAGTCGCTTTACCTTGGAGGCACCCTGAGCAGCCTGCTTGAAAGTGTTGAAAGCACCGCGCGAAAACATGGTTCTGGTTGAAAAATAAATTGGAAAAAAGAGGAGTTGCGAATTCCCAATAACCAATGCTAAGAAAAGAGATAATTCGTAGAGCAAAAGGAAAGAAGACTGCTTCAGATTCAAATTTCGACTGCCTTCAGGTTCCCAGCCTGCGCTTGCCTTTATTTTGTGGCCTTTTACCAGCCTCTCTTCCATTTGGCGGGCTGCCTCCGCCAAACGCTCTTTGAATTTTTCGACTTTTCCGAGATACTCCTTATCTCGACTTGCTGATTTTATTCTCATCTCGCTCAGATCATAACAGATTTATTCAGATTTAGATTATATTGATCGCCAGATCTGGCAAAGCTACTGCGCTGCCAGTGCCGCCGCGCGGATGGCCTCGATCTCGTCGACCTCCTTCGGGCAGTCGGTCAGGTTGGTGTTGCCGGACTCGGTGATGACAATGTTGTCCTCGATGCGCACACCGCCGACCTTGCGGTACTTTGCGACCACGTCAAAGTCAATGAACTGCGCGACCTCGGGGTTGGCCTTGGCCGTCGCCAGGATATCGTCGACAAAGTACAGGACCGGGCTCGACAGTGAAGGCCATCTGCGGCAGCATCTCGCGACGCGCGCGCAGGTAGCGCAGACCCGGCGCGTTGATGCGCTCGACGCCCTTCGGGTAGCCGGCGACATCGTGCGTGTCGATGCCGATCAGATGGCCGATGCCGTGCGGCATAAAGTACCCGACCACATGGTGCTTGGCAATCTCGGCCAGGTCGCCCTTCAGGATGCCCAGCTTGAGCAGACCCTGGGCAGCCACCTGGTTGGACAGCGCGTGCATGTCCTCCCACTGCTTGTGCGGGCCGCACGCAGCAATGACCTGCTTCTGCATGTCCAGCACAATCTCGTAGATGGCGCGGCACTCGGGCGTGAACTTGGCGCCCACCGGCCACGTGCGTGTGATATCCGACGCATAGTCCTCCAGCTGCCCGCCGCAGTCCACCAGAACCATGTCGTCGGCGCTGATCCAGGACCTGGTTGTTCTTGGTGTAGTGCAGGATGGCTGCGTTGCGTCCGCGCGCGACAATACCGCCGTATGCCTCGTACAGGCAGCCCTGCGAGATCGTCAGCCCGATGAACCGCCCGTGCAGCTGCGCCTCGGTTACGCCCACGCGCGCCTCCTTCATCAAGTCACATGGGCATCCCCGCTGATCTTGTTCGCCCGCCGCATCACGTCCACCTCGTAGTCGTCCTTGAACACCCGCGCCTCATGCACCGCCTCCAGCAGGCGCTCGCTCTCCACCTGGCTGGCCAGCGCGCCCAGCTGCGCCGTGCTGTGGTGCGGCAGCGTGTAGATTGTGCTCGGCTTCAGTGCTGTCCAGCACCGACTCGATGTCCTTGGCGTAGTACGCCTCGTCGAAGCCGTGCGATGTCCGCAGCTCCTCCAGCGTCGGCGGGACGCCGATCCAGACCGCTTCGTCGGCATCCACATAGTACGCAAACAGAATGGCCTTGTTGGCGCCAATGTCGTAGGCTGCAGAGAACCCCGGCGAGCGCACGCCCGAGAGGTAGTAAAAGTTGGAGTCCTGGTGGAACTCGTACTCGGTGTCAGAGTCCGGGTGAACGATGGTCTCGCCGCCGCGGACAAAGATGACCCCGCTGGTGGCTCCCAGCTTCTTGGCCGTGTTGATGAAGTGCTGCTTGGCAGGGTAGGTCGACATTTGCTTGTGGTAAATACTGCTTCGTGGAATAGAAGGCAAGAGATGCACCGGGCCAGCCTGCGCTTCCGTCCCGGGCTTTTGTTCATGGCGGAGGCCTCTGTCGTCGCTCGGACTTTCCCACACAGCCAAATTGCTGCCTTTTCGGGTCGCGCCCTTCCCCCAATCCGCAATTTTCTGCTTCTACCGGGTGGATTTCTTCTTTCCCACCTGGGCATGACGTATCGTCCACTGTGGGTGTGCCACGCCGGACCACTTATTTTCCTTCCATCGCTCTGATCGTTGGCTTGGATCGTGTGCGAATCACTTGGCCCGTTTAGCATGCTCGGATCCACGCTGGGGCTGGTTGCGGACTCCCGTTCGTCTAGCAGCGCTAGTAATCAACAGGGCTGCTGCTTGGCGTATCTCGCTGACTTTTGGCATCTCCCGGCACTGCCCATCCGTTTTCGAACCCGGGCTATATCTCGACAGAACGCCGTTCTGCAATGTTCTAGTGCTTTTGCTTTCTACGGACTGTCCCTCCCCCAAAAAATAGAGGGATAGGGGTGTCCGTCCCTAACTATTCACCGAAGCATAGAGTGCACCGATTCTCCTTCGGATATTTCTGTGTCGCATCTGGTTATCTAGAGCCACAGTGGCTTAGTCCTCGCTCGCCTCCTTTAGATATCTAGAACGATATCTAGCATATGATGACATGCTGCTCGCCACCTTTATTTTGCTAGCCACAGGCATATTCCAAAAGCGCCATGTACTTCATGCGCATTTGCAAGCCCCGCACTCTTGGCCGGCGGCTAATTAAACTCAAACAATCGATACTTCATCATCGGACGCATTTCCGCCCACACATTGTTCACATGGTCCTTGAGACCGGTTTGCGGGGAGGCTGAGGAACAACGTTGGTCTCTACTTCTGCGCACTATTTTTCTTTCTTCACAAGCCTGCCTGATGTAAAAGTAGCACTGCCATGTAGGCTTGGCCTGGCCGTCCAGCACCTGCAATTAATTACAGCCGGCCATTGTTGATGGTGCAGCAGTAGACAGCAAGAAGCTATGGTGTAGGGGCAGCAGACGTAACTAGCACTGGACAGAAAGAATGCAGGTCTCTTCTCGGTTTCTGCGCTTCTTTTTCGTACGTGCGTGGCACGAAGAGCATGCATGTGTGTCAAACGGCGAACAGACGGGAACACAGCCTTCCCCTCCCCCAAAGGGCCACCACCCAGTCAGACAAAGAGCCGTTTTTCTGCTCAATGGCAGACACAAGCCCTGGCTTCCCCTTCTTGGACATGCCTTGTTATTTGTCTAGTGTTCCTGGACTAATGGGCGCTATTCAGATACGACATATACAGGGAGCAAACTGGTGCACGGAAATCAATGCATGGATAGGTGCAGCACCTTGTTTACACTAAATGCGCTTCCTTTGAAACGAGCGTCTGCTATAAAGCCCGCATTGCTCGGTTTTCAGACACTCTCTTCCTCGTCTCCTTTTCATGGCTTTTCTCCTCTGGTTGCTGCCCACGCTTACTTTCTCCCTTTTTTCAGGCGGCATTCAGCCTCACTCGTTCACTCACGACCTTCTTAACGGCTATATAGCATTACCTCTTCCCCTTGACGCAAATTCGCATTTTTATTATTACTTTTGTTTCTTCCAGCGTGCGTGCTTACCATAGCTTTGCAGTTACCAGAGACGAGACCGTATATTTTGATTTTACCATTATTTTACCCACAGCTGTTGTTTTTATTCGCAGGACCTCCCTGTGCTCCCTCCTGACAAGCTGCCTCGTTTTATTGCTGTTCAACCAGACTACTCCCAGCTCTAGTCCGCTTTATATTCAAGCTGGTCTGCTGTGGGATTTGCCATTCCCGTCTGCTGCTGCACAAGCGAGCTTTGTCAGCCCGCCTACTCTGTCAAACACTACTCGAACCCCCCCCCCGAGCGGGAAAGGCTCTCTATATCGTAGACAGCCTTGGCTATCTCGCCCTCATCCAAATCTTTTGTTTACTCTAACACCTTCACAAATCACATTTTCTGTTCCTGAAAAGCACAAAAAATTAGGGCTTTATTTATTTCCCCCCTTCAACTCGAACCACCTTTTCGAAAAATTTTCAGATCGCTCGCCCTTTACGATACCCAGCCAACTCGCACCGGCTCTCTTCTCGCTTTTCCCTCCCTTTCTTTGCCCTCGTTGTTGGTAGTTTTTTTTACCGCTCTATCTCTCAACATTTCTGCCCCTCCCGCCCATCGCCTTCGTTCATTTCGTTTCAATTTTCATTCGCACACATTTTCTTACCTATATTCTGTTATTACTACTCCATATCCACACAAACATGAGCGCAACCACTACAAACACATCCTTGCTGAAGGATCTTGCGTCGTCGCCCAACCCGTTTCAGGCCGCCACCCCCGCCAGTACCAACAACGGTGGCAATAGCAGTGGCACCAAGCGCGGGCGGGCGTCGGGCACCATCCTTTTTAATCCAGCAGTAACGCCGTGCAAGTCGACTTCGTCACGGCGCACGCAGCTGTCTCACATTTCCGACAAGCCGCCGGCCACGATCCAGGACGGCCCGTCACTGGCGAACCTGATAACGGATCTGGACGGCAACCTGCATCTGGAGCCGACGCCGCGCAAGACGCCGATGTTCTCGCCATTCAGCGACCGCACGGCGGGGGAGCTGGCGTGCACACCGGCGCCGACTCTGCGGCACAAGCGCGGGTTCGAGGAGTTTGCAGTCGCCTGGGTTTGCGTTCAATTCGCCCACGCCGACCGATGTTTAGGAGGCAGGTGAAGCAGCCGCGGAGTGCCCCGCCGCTGGTGGGCTCGCCGTGCAATAAATTTGCCCGCGTGCAGGCGCCGCTCTCGCTTAGCCGCGAGCGCCTTAATGTCGACGAGGTACGTTTTCTGTAATTGTCTCCTGCTGGCCTTCTTTTTTCTTTTCCGTTTTGCTTGTGTGCTTTTTTGTTTTTTTATTCTCAGCGGGAGGCTGTTTGGGACTTGAGCCGCTTTATGTCCTGCACCTTGACTTTGTGTGAGGTTTTGCGTATGCGCCACTGCGTTGTCTCAAACCCACATAGTGTCATTTGCCGTCATGTACGTGGGTGGGGTCCATGAGATGGCTCACAGCCGGTGTGCGGTCGTATTTTGCTCGTTCATTTGCTGGTGCATCTCCACGGAGATCCCATCGGGAACCCGGGACACGTCGTCTACCTAATAGTGTGTGTATTGGCGAGATGCAGCTCGCCGGCTTCTTAATATGGCCAGAACCGGCCATTTCCAGGGCGGATCCTTTGCGGGCGGGTCTCGGCTGCCAGTACAGGTTTCTCGCAAAGGATCCTTTTGTCGAAAATCTGAGGGCAGCCGATGGCGAGCCCAATGTTTACTTTTTTTGTGCAAGGGCAAATCCGGGCAATGTGCGACACCGGCTTCCTCCGCTTGGGGATGGAGTAGTGCATGACATTACTTGCGCGCCACGTCAGTTTCAACAGGGATTACCCATACGGTCTGCATGCATTTATTGGGCCTGATACTCACACACTTTCGGCACGCCGTAGGACACTGCATACGACGACGGTGGCTCGCTGTTCAGCCTGCAGCGCAGGCGGGCCCGGGCGCCGGTGCTTGACACCATCAGCGAGCAGTTTCCCGAAAACACGCCGCTGCGCAATAGCGCCACCGCCTGCAGGCTGCAGCGCGGGCGCAGCCGGGCCTCGGCCATCCCAAGCTTCACCTCGTTCGAGGACGAGGAGCTGGGCGGCAAGGGCGCGGCAGCAGACATGGAGGACCAGGAGCTGATGCAGACCGAGCCCGTGGTGCTGATGGACGCAATCAGCCCGTTTGCACAAACGCCGCAGACGGAGCGGCACCTGCTGCCATGCACGACCTCGACGACCGACTCGATCATGCGTGTCGACGCGTCAACAGTTCGCGATCTGCTGGAGGGCCGGTACAAGGACCTGTACGACGAGCGGCTGGTGGTTGACTGCCGGTTCCCGTACGAGTTCGAGGGCGGGCACATTGCAGGCGCGGCGAACGCACCGACTATCGAGGCGCTGGAGCGGCTGCTGCTGGAGCGCCCGCGGACGGGCACGCGCATGGTGGTGATTCTGCACTGCGAGTACTCGATCCAGCGCGCGCCGTCAATGGCCAGCCATCTGCGGCGGCGCGACCGCGAGGTGAACATGCACCGGTACCCGCACCTGCACTACCCTGAGATCTACGTGCTGGAGGGCGGGTACCGCAACTTCTTCAACCACCACAAGCCACTGTGCGAGCCGCAGAACTACGTCGAGATGAACGACCGCGCGCACACATCTGACTGCCGCCAGCGCATGCAGCAGTTCACCCGCCAGTTCAAGCGCACAAAGTCCATGAACGACGCGGGCCTGGCAAAGGCGTGGCACTACAAGGCGGCGACGGTCACGTCAGGCACGACGCTGTTTGCCGCCCCCGCGGTGCAGTCGCCGACTCTGCAGGGCGGAAGGACCATGTCGACCTTGCCGACACGCATGAAGCGCCTGTCCCGCGCGCAGAGTGCGCGTCCGGGCATCAGCATGCTCAACTTTGGAAATAACCCCTGAATAACAGATACCACATCCCTACACCACCCTGTCCGATAGCCTCTTAACGAATACCCTTATATCATTCCGTTCTTCAATTTAATGACCTTGTATGTGAATATCCGCATGCGGAAGTGCACCACCATATATGATGATCAATCAAAGCTGATTTAATTTGTGGCTGCATACGTCATCATCACATGGTGGTTAGGTAAGGAGCAACAAACAGATTATTTTCAAATTGTGTGGTGAATTGCGTCCCTCCCCCAACTAGACAGCCAAACACTATATCTCTAACTGCTGCCCCCAGCTCCTAGCTTCTGGTGGGGGAGGGCAGTGGCAGACATGCTTTTGTGCAGCTGATCATTCTGCACTATTTGCCCTATGGACGCTCGCGATCTCGGCTTGGTAGAAGGTTCGACGGTCAGTAGATGCCAGGGACCGAAACAGGGCGAGGAAAGGGATACAAATCCCGCACCAAGCACACGCGGGGGGATATTCGGATACGCAGCATGCGCATTTTCCTTTGGCCATTGTCGGAGAGGTCTATGACTAGGCTTCACATGGCTCGAGCCGCACATTGCCCTCATTGAATAGGGTAGAAAGTGCAGTCAGCCTTTTTTTCGCTCTTGGTCATGCATTGGTGATTTTTTTCAAGCATGCATTCAGTCGTTTTTGAACGCAAAGTCTCGCGTTCCCTTCTCTCTTTTCCCCCAAGCCTTCTTTTTAATATCTCAACCTTAGCTATTCTACTGCATTGTAGCCACTATTGCACCATCGGTGGAGACTACGCCGGATATCATAACTCGCGATACCAATTTTTCCTCTTTGATAACAGTCGACAGCATAGGAACGGTAGGTGACTGTGTAGCACATCCAAAAATTGAGGCAAACAAAGGTGGTGCAAGCATATCACCTACTACCTGTCCATTCTACAACGATAATTCAAAAAAGAAGCAGCCAAAAGAAGCTGAACCATGTATACACTGCAGCTAAAGAAAAGCACCCACACTAGGACAAACACTGAGCCTGCCACAGAAGCACTTGCCTCGGTCATGCCACCACAGCAGCCGGATATGCAGCAGCGTCAGCAGCGGCGCTACTCCGCCGACAGCCCGCACAGCAAAGGCGTGGATGCCAACCAGCTCGCACGTCGCCTGCGCAGTGCCGCAGTGACATTTTCGGAGCCGCCCGAAAGCAGCCCGCACCTGACCATCGACAACGACAGTCGGGCGTCTGTGCGCCCGCACATTGACGGGTCGCCAGGCGACCGGTTCGTGTATAACCGCATGCCCCTGGGCTGGGTCGACATTCAGCATTTCTCCAGCGACCAGGGTGTGTCTGGGACTAGTGCTCCAGGCGCTACACTGGCAGAGCCGCAGCTACGGACAGTGGAGCTGCCCGAGATGCAGCAGAGGCACGTTGCCGCCCGCCCGTCAGCTGTGGTTAAGAGCCAGGTTGCTTTAAAATCCCAGCTGGTGTTTGTCGACGGCGGTAGTGATGTGGGCCAGGGCTCAAGGCAGGTGTCGCGTCAGCCGGTGGTAGTTGACTCGGGCGAGCCCCATGTTAATAGAATGTACCAGGCGGTCAGTTCTGCAGCTCGCGCAGTCACTGGTACTGCTGCAGTGCCGTCTGCAGGTAACGTGAGAGGCGTGTCTGCTCTGCCACCTGCTGGGTTTACTACCGCGTCGCTGAGTTCCCAGCGGCAGGTGACCAGTACTGGAGCTATGCCAATCCCTGCTGTCTCTGCACCCTTCGCTGCACCCTTCGCTGCACCTCTATCTGCACCTCTATCTGCACCTCTATCTACGCCGTTCTCCGCAATTCCTATCGACCTAGCTCGTCCTTCAGAGCCACCAGCCAGTGTTAATAGCAAGCCACAAATGGTCGAGATCAAGCGCAGGGACAGATATAGTGCTGTCCGCAGAAGGTCACAAGGCAGCACGCGCCGTGCCAAGAGCACGTCCCGGGAGAGGCTGATGACTGGGAAAGACCTGGCAGCCCATGTGTCGGCGGCAGAGCCCACGCAGCCAGAAGTACATGCTTCTACTACACCGGCCCAGCCCCCTGCACATGCACTAGATGCCCAGGGGCCGAAGCCTCATGTTCCGCCTCTCGTACCGAGCCCAAGGCATCTACTGAGCCGCGGGCACTAGCCACTCCGCGTTCACGTCGAACCAGCACTCTAGAGCCCGCGCGCAGCCGGATGCCAAAGTCTGACGACGTCAAGAAACTCGACCAGGAGTGGACTAAAGGCGGCAAGGAGGTCATCCGGCGCCACCAGGCTGTCGAGATCCTGATGCGCACATCGGGGGACAGCCTCGCTGACGAGGATATTGTGCCGCGCGATGATATCGAGCGACACAATATTGAGTCGTACGTGACTGATGCTGGCTACGACCTGGCCGGTATGTCTATTGCCGAGTCGGATATTGGCTCGTTTGCTTTGAGCGAGCTCGACGATGGCCCCGATAGAGATGCACATAACTATGTTATCAGGGTTGATGGCAAAGAGGTGTCCATGAAGGACCCGAGTGACGGGTCAAAGAAGGGTATGGCAGAGGCTGCTTCTGAAGCCGAAGCTGTGGCAGCCACAGCCGCCAAGTCTTCAGCCAGGCCAGCGGCCCCTGGCATGCAGGAGTCGGCAGAAATTGTCAACTTTTCGGACCTCCTCAGCAACGATGTCTTTGGGTCGTGGACCAGTAGTGGCATGCCGACCCAGGCAAACACAGCCGTCCAGTCCACTGTCCACAGCAACCGGCATCTGATAATGGTGCCAATGGAAAAGGAGGAATCAGGGTTCCTCCTCGAGCCCCTGCAAGAGCAGCAGGAGTCGGCAGCCAGCATCCGCGCCTCAAATGCTGCTGTCCAGCAAGCACCTCATGTCAGCCTGCTGGAGACCCCAAAACAGCCTTCTGAACCCGCGGCGGCTGCTACCCAGGCCAACAGCGAGGCAGATTTCCGTATGAGCCTGCTCCGCCGCCGCTCCAACGGACTGGATGTAAGCGCTAGCAAGGCGGGGACTATGCCACAGTACCAGTTCCCGACCCAACCCGACTCTGCTGCAACCGAATGGCAGCCTGATTCGCACACCATTTCTGTGCGGCACATTGCCGACGGGCCCCCGCCACAGGCGCCGAACCAAAGCAGTCTGCCCGAAGGCATGCCCTCGTTCTACCATCCAGGCCACAACGACAAGACTGGCGACTGCTGCGAGATCCCTGCCGAGTGCCCAAACCTGTTCCCCAAGCTCAGCTCTGGGTCGTCTTTTTTCTCTGCGGGTCGACGCAGCAGCATGGCCGAACCAGCCCGACCAGAGCCATGGGCGAGCCCCGGGAAAGCAGCCAGAGATACATCTGGGTTAAGGCGGCGGCGGGCAACAGTGACCGGAAACATATCCACTTCAGGGACCAGGCAGTCTGAGACAGAAACAACGGGTCAGAGCACAGCGCACGAAGCGTCAAGCTCAGATCGCGAGGCCAAGACCAGCAGGGGGCCTGTAGCTGACCTAAAGTCTCAGCTCAAGCACCGGTCGCAGCGAGCGCCAACTGCGCACTCGCGCTCGCCTACTCTGCTGACTGCCTCCGCAGAAGCAAACAAGGCAGTGGTGGTCCAGATGCCCCTTCCATCGCCTGCCCCGCCTCTACCGCAGCAGTCTCGCCAAATGGCGCAGGCAAGGCGTCCAGCGGATATCTCTGAGATGCAGGTGCTGGATCTGGACCCCGAAAGCGATGCCAACTCCAACACGGATCTAGAGATTGCCTGCTGCGACTGCTTCAGCTGCCGATGCTCGTTCTGGTCATCTTCAAGCAGGCACGCGCGCAAGCGCAACAAGCGGCATATGAGCGGTCGTCCCCGCATGGTGCCTGTTCAAGTACCGGCAGCCAATGCCCAGCGACCAGGTGCTAGTGTCGCTGTCGACAGTGCTGGGCGAAACTCGCTGGTGGACAGCTCCTGGCGGCACGTGTATCGATCGCACCGACCATCCAGCATGGCGACATCGAGGCGGTCGGGCACTGTGCGCGCAGCCCTTGCATCGCCATTCCACCTGTGCTACAACTGCCTCCTATGGTGGCTCGGGCCGTGCGTGTGCGCATCAAATTCCAACAACGGCTGCTGCTGATAGTAATCGTCTGTAAAATATTTGTTACCCCTTTCCACTTTATGTATTTATTGATTACGTGGTTGTTCAGATGGACTTTTTCATCTGCTTTGCCACTGCATTGCGCATATATGTCTTTGCCTTCTCCAGGCCCAGCCTTGCCGCACTGTCATACATCTTGATGGCCCACTCGAGTTGGCTGGTTGCCTCGTATATGCAGGCCAGGTTGAACTGGATTTCCGCATCCTTTGGCGACAGCTCAATTGCCTTCTTCAGGTGCCTGATCGCGCTGTCGGCATCCTTCTTGTTCATGAAATATACATTGCCTGCATTGACATGGGCGTCGGCCTGCGATGGATCAATGCTCAGTGCCTTCTCCCAGTGGTCCAGCGCCTCGTCCACGTTCCCCAGCGAGTAGAGACATACGCCGTTGTTGTAGTGCCCATCGGCAGTCGGATTCAATGCTAGTGAGTGCGAGAAGCTGTTGAGTGCCTGGGCCAGGTTGCCTCGAGACATTTCATCGATGCCCTGGCGCATGTGCTCGTTGGCCTGCTGGCTCGGAGTCATGCCATTGTCGATGCTGGTTGCATAGAGACGCTGCGTGCTGGCGAGCTGAACACGGTGCGGCTGGCACCAGACGACAGCCCTGCGGGGTGCAGCAGCAGCTGCGCGAGAAAAAAGTAGGCGAATAGAAGACATGGCGAATTGGAGAAATGCACAAAGCTAAAACAAAGCGAGCTGCCTTGATCAACTATCGCTGCTGCTCGTCCCACTGCACACCTCTGCTGATCGGCTCGAGCCGCCGGCCGCTGAGCAAGCCGAGTCAGCTTTTTTTTTTCGCCGCAACTTTTTTTTTTTTCCTCGTCTTGTTAGGACTGCAGAACAAGGTTGCTGCTCTTGCCTTCCTGTCTACTCAACATTTACATAAACCACACCTTTTCACATACATTCAAATGGCGAACAACAAGACAGTGTCGTTCAAGGAGCCGATCCGGCTGCCAGTGGCCACGACAGGGGAACAGCAGCTGCCTGCAGGACTAGCCATCGACAAGGCGGTGTTTCTGCGGAAATTCACAGAGAACGCTCTCCAGCAAGTGAAGGAGGTGAGTGTACTTGGCCCATTTCTGGATGCCCTTTCCGCGCTAGCTAGCAGTGCCCGTTCATTTTTGCTGAGGCCGACAGCTTTTGTTGTTTCGTAGGGTAAAATGGACGAGTACTTCAAGCTCATCAAGGTGTTCTCGTATACACGGAATGCGTCGCCGTTGACTGCGGACAAATACGCGGAGGAGGTGTCGCCCTGGCTGGCTGCGCTGTCGGAGAATGTATCGAGTCTGACCATCACCTACCGCGACCTGATCAACACAATTTTCTTCAGCGACTGGGTGGTCAACCCAGACGAGCGATTCGTCCACCGGTACGCAACGCTGGTGATCCAGATCTTGTCAGCACACCCGGCGTGGGTACCGTACGCGATGAACTCGATGGTGCGGTGGTTTTCATTTGGCAGCCACAAGGGCGAGGAGGGTGCGGGAATAGTCCACGAGCGTGTTCATGCGGTCATCAAAGAGGTGTATCGGACAATCCCAACCTGCGGCACCAGTCTGGCTGCGGCCATTGTGGAAAAGTGCCCTTTCAAGACCGCCAAAATCAATGTGCAGGTGGTGTTTTTGCAGAACACGCTGCGGTGCCTCGAGTATGCAGAAAGCGTCAGAAAGGATGTGCTGGCGGTGGTGCTTAACCGCGTAATTCAGATCGATGTTGAGGTGCAGGTGGAGCTGGAGGATTTGGAAGAGGAAGAGGAAGAAATGCAGCAGAAGCAGGCAGAGCCTGAGGAGGATGGCGTGTTCGAGTTTGAGGATGATGACGTAGATACGAAGGGTAATGACGATGGGGATGCCCCGTCAGAGTCTGACTCCGGCTCCGACTCGGATTCGAGTGATGACGAAGACGATGAGGACGAGGAGAATGACCTGGGCAAGGTCAGCTACGATGCCCGGCCGATTATCTCCAAGCTCGACGCAATGATGAACGTGCTCTTTGCCTGGCTCGACCGGCACATAGCGCTGGACCTACAGCAGGGTGCGATGCCAGAGTCTGCCTCGCGGCTATTCCTCCTGATCCTGGATCTGTTCGACACAATCATCCTGCCAACGTTCAAATCGCGCTACACGCAATTCTTTGTGTTCTTCCTGTGCGCCAAGGACCCCCAGTACGCCGATGTGTTCCTGGGCACCATGATGGGCAAGGTAGGCGACCCCGTGCGCAATCTCAACACTGGCCGGGTGTCGAGTGTGGCCAAAGTAGCTGCGGCCTCATACCTGGGCAGCTTTGTTGCGCGTGCTGCCTTTATCTCGACGCAGATCGTCCGGAACGTCATGGGCGTGCTGGTGCAGTGGGCGAACGCGTACCTCGATTGGCAGGAGCAGCAGGAGAAGGATCCGGTGCGGTCGTATGCCCAGGCGCTGTCTTCCAAGGCAGTGTCGGCCAGCTCGCTGCACGTAGACTTTGAGCGGCATGCAGTGTTTTACGCTGTGACACAGGCGGTGTTGTACCTGTTCTGCTTCCGCTGGAGAGACCTGGCCACGGCGCAGGACGGCCAGCCGCTGGTCGAGACCGAGCTGGACAGCTTGCGCTGGTGCCCTGAGGTTGAGGGCATCCAGCGTGTTGTTTTCTCGAAGCTCAACCCGCTGCGTGCCTGCTCTGCTGCCGTCGCCCAGCAGTTTGCTGCTGTGGCCTCGCAGACAAACTTTTTGTTCTGCTACGCGCTAATCCAGCAGAACAAGCGCAGCACCAATACCGAAGAGTCCGACGAGCCTGCACGCAACAGCATCAGCAACTTGCTGCGCAAGGAGCTCGATACATTCTTCCCGTTCGACCCTATGGCCCTGCCCATCTCGCGCCAGTACATCGACCCCATCTACCTCGAGTGGAGGAATGTTGGCGGTGACGACGACGACGACGAGGACAGTGACGAGGACGGCGAGCCGATCGAAGGTGCCGGCGACGACGACGATGACGAGGAGGGCGTTGTTGACCAGATGATCGCAATGTCCATCTCCCCTGTGCCGCCGCTCGGCGCTGCATTCCCCTGCTGAGAAGCGAACCAGACCAGCTGTACAAAAGTTTTCAATCTCAATACAGGCTATTTAAACTTGCCTGCTCATTCTCGATACAGGCCTGATGACAATTCGCTGTGACAAAAAAGATGCTATTTGTTGGCATGATGCCCAGCTGACACACGTCATCTCTGCTCTCTGGCATTTTTCTTCTCTCTTTTGCTCCAATCAGCCTGTAAATTTATATTTTTTCCTCTCTATCACATCTGGCAATGACCGAAGTTGACGATTACTGTTGTGCCATCGACCGGCACCTGCACGAGCTGCTCGACGAAGCCAGCGAGCAGCAGCAACGCAACGAGCAGGGCGAAATCGGCTACCAAGCGCCGCAATTCTACAATGTCGTCCACATTAGCGACGCCGAGAAGCTGAGTGATAACGGCTCGTCATTTATTGCGTACTCGATCATCTTTGGCGACTACGAAGTGAAGCGCCGCTACAGCGAATTTGAGTCGCTGCGAACGTGCCTGTGCCGTCTGTATCCGACGTTTATTGTCCCGCCGATTCCCGAGAAGCACTCAATCACGCAGTATGCAGTGCTGCAAAAGCGAGCCAAGGAAGACCAGTACATTATCGAGCGCCGCAAGCGTATGCTGGAGCGGTTCCTGAACCACCTGGTCGAACACCCGATTCTGAGCAGCGAGCACATTGTGCACCGCTTCTTTGAAAACGGCGTGTCATGGACCGAAGTGCTGCACTCGCCAGTCGTCACCAACCTGCCCAAGACGCCGCTGTACTCCTCCCCGTCACGCTCTCCAGGATCATCCATCGCGGACGGCACCAGCGTGCAGATGCCCAAAATTGCTGCCACGAACAGTCTTGCAGCAGACGTGCCTGTGCCCAGCACGCTGGCGCCGATTCGCAACGTCGAGGCGCGGTGGATGGATTGCGAGCTGTTTACGAACCGCTACTCGAACCAGTTCTCGGGTGTGGTTGAGAAGAGCGAGCGCAAGATTTATCGCAAGCTGGGCGAGCTGTCGGGTGACTACGCGGAGCTTGGCGCTGTGCTCAACGGATTCAGTCTGCTGGACAATCAGCGCGAGGACTTGGCAGCGGCAATCGAAAAGGCAGGCCAGGCTATTGATAGCTCGTACATTGAGATTAACGCCCTGCTGCGTAGCATGGAGGCCGATATGAGCGAGCCTATCCACGAGTACTCGCAGTACGCCAGCATCATCAAGCAGGTCCTCCGGTTCCGAATGCTCAAGAACCTGCAGGTCGACAACACCCAGGATGCTCTGCTGTACCAGAAGAAGAAGCTCGATACGCTGCTCCAGGCCGACGACGAAGCAAAGAAGCTGGCGCAGGTGCTTGAGACAAGCGGCACCAAGGTCTCGCCGACTACTACAACCGCTGCCGCTGCTGCAAACCCAGGGGACTTTAGCGAACCCGAAGATGTCGACCCCAATGGCTTTGTCACGCCGCAGAGAGCAAACACCGATGCTGCGTCCTCGGTCAATGTGCCCGCTGGCTCAATAAGGTCGCGTGGTGCCAGCATCGGCTCAGCTGCGTCCTATGTCGACGCACACCACCCCGAGTTCACGCCGACGCTGGCTTCACACAGCATCCCCGAGGATCGAGAGATATCACCCAGTGGTCCTGGCCTGCGGTCGCGGTCAGGCACAGCCACCAGCGGCGATTCTCTGCTTGGCACGGTCAGGTCTCGCAACCACCGCAACAGCTTGTCGGCGCTCGGTGGTGATCTAGACAGCAAGAACAAGTGTGCCGACGATGTTGACGAAGACGATCCGCTGGCCCAGTTCCAGCAGGAGGAGTCTAGCATGTGGGGCGGCATTGGCAGCACTCTGCCGCGGCCCAGGGCCGGTCGCGTGTGCGCAGCGAGACCGCCGACGAGCACATGGCCAAGTCTGAATTCATTGGCAGCAAGACTTTGGCTGGGCAGGTGCTGAGCAGGAATGCTCGTGAGTACCACCATCACCAGCAGCAGCAGCAACAACAACTACCGCAACAGCAACAGCCACCTACGTTTGGAGCTGGCAGCTCTGTGGGCGAGCCATTCCCGCAATCGCAGCACAATGCGATGGCAGCATCGACACCGGCTCTGGGAAATCGCTACAGCAGTAACCTGCTAAGCCCTGAAGGCGGCTTGCACGTGCGGACCGCGCCACAAACGTCACCCGCTCCCAGTAACCCACCGCCACTGGCCTCATCATCGACATTCGGGTCGCGTCTCTTGCGGTCTCCAAAGGCCCTGGGCGACGGCATCATGAACCGCCTGACGTACGCACTCAATGGCATGATGGATGTGGACCCCGAGCAGATGCGCCGCAACCAGATCGGCCGGGCCTCGGACAAGATCAGCATTCTGGAGGAGCAGCTTGAGATGCTGAGCAACGACCTGGTGCTGGTCAACACAAGCACGCAAGATAATCTGGATCGCTTCCAGAAGCAAAAGATGCGCGAAGTCAAGGCCGTCCTGGTAGCCATGTCCAAGATGCACCTCGAGTGGGCCGAGAAGAATCTAGAGATCTGGAAAGAGGCAAAGGAGGCCGTAGACACCGTCGATGCTGTTTGAAGGACGCCAATTGTGGACTTTTCTCTGTAGCGATATACAAGGTGCGGGGACCAGAAAAATTGGACAAGGAATATACCATTCTTCGTTGATGCATTCAATTTTAGTCAATTGACAACCAAGTCGACTGTTATTTATCGCTAGACCCAGATGCCAACACCAATGGTATCGCCAATGGCATCCAGAGTCAGGCATATAAAAACACCAAAGACCCAAATCCCAGTTGCCATTGGAGGTCATTCACAGTTACTAAACTAGGTAAAAGTTTTAAAAGTTCTAAATATCTTTTACCTAGTTTAGTAATTGTGAATAACCTCCACTATACACTCAAGCTTATGCTTGATAGCATGAAGTTGATGACAAACAGGAACATAAGAGACATTCAGGAGCAGTCAATTCCATGCAGCTCACAAAAATATTTTGGTTTATGCCGAAGCAGAGGTGGAAGATGAAGAGGCTGATTTCTTCTTGGGGAATTTAAATGGCTTGGTGCACGAGTTCCTGCCCTTAGCCGCCGTAAGGGTATAGTCGCTTGTGAGTTTTACATTGAAGTAGGTTCGCACTTCATTCAAAATCTCCTCAGTCCCATCCGCCGACTGGGTGCACGAGATCTCCACGTCGATATTGAGTTTGGTCTTGATTGCATCCTTGAAGTCTTTCGGATCGACAAGCGCCGTGTCGTCGGGTACAATCCCTTTGCTTGCCAGTGCAGGAATATAATTGTGTGCCTTGTGGAGCTTGATGGCGTTGGAGAAGTACTCGACAATGTCCTCGTTCTGGGTGTATGACTTGAAGCACTTTGGGTCAAGAGTTGTTGCACAAGTGCCATGCCTTGTCCACTCCTTCCCCCAGAATTCATCGTGCTTATTGTCGCTGGCCGGCCAGTAAATTAGCATGTCAGCTACCAGCTCAGGCTTTGCTGCCTGGAGAATTGACTTGACCTTCCTCTTCTTTCGAGAATTGTCACATCCAAAGGTCGGAGGGCTCTTTCCTTTGCAAGCACTCGGCCATAGGCCGTGCAGCGTGAACATGTCCGCGGGTCCAACATCCTTGTTCCACTGCTGCGTTAGCACATGGACGCCGTATTGCTCATAGCAACAGGTATCGGCCTTTTTTGCCAATGCCTCAGTCGAACAAGACAGTACATTTTGCGGGCACATGTCATGGGTAAGCTGGGTAGACGTGGGTGCAGCACTGGTTGAGGTGGCGGAATTTGATGCAGTGGACTGGGAGGCGGTCGTCGAAGGGGCAGTTGACGCTGGTTTAGTCGGTGCGACTGACTTTGTCTTTGACTTTGACTTTGACTTTGAGCGGGCAGCCGTCTTCGATTTGGCCACAGGAGCAGAGACAGGAGTAGGCCTGTTTCTACCCGAGGATCCCTTAGAGCCGAACTTGGAGTTTAACTTGGAACCTGTCTTGGAGCCCGACGAAGCACCCAGAGCGATATCGGGGGAGGCAATAAGAACGGCACAGGCAATGAAAGTAATTGAAGCTAGACGCATTGTTTCGTGGGTGAAGTGGAATGAGGATGGTAGGGTAGTGTTGATGCAGAGTTTGGTGGAAAATGCAGGTATACACAAGACTTGATGTTGATGATGATGTAGATTACCAAGACAACTGCTGGGGCCGACTCGCTTTTATATGAGATTGCTGTATACTTATGAAAAGAAATTTGCAATTGCCAGTTGCACATAATCATTCTCGATGTGACTAGCTGCTATCTATAGTAGATATCACTGCGATACCACAAAGATACTGGATTCTTTGTGGATAGTGATTTACAAATCTACAATGTTATCAAAGCGATGGCTTCCAGGAAACTAGGATCTTCTCCCACGTACCTGCAATGCGCCCTTTGGGGGCTAGCGGTCGCTCTGTGAGGATTCCTGAGTAGAAGCTTTAAAATTAGCCAGTGCATGCGGGCCAGCTGGTGAGTATCAACTAAAAATAGGAATGATGCTGCAGCATGTAGATCTCCAGGAAGCGAGATAGCTTTGCCATGATTCTGAGATACACCATTAATCCATTGATATTATTAGCATGGCGGCAGTAGCTAGAGGCAGATTATACAGATAGGTGTTGCGCTGACTGTAACGCATTCTTGAGTGAATTGGCCATCAATATTTGTAACTATTGATGACAGCTGTTGCCTTCTCCACATCAGCGGTGTAAGACTGTTGTGGTTGTTGAATGTGTGAGGATTTTAAAAGCTATATTAAATACTGAAGAAAAGAGAGAACAGGGAATAGACAAGTTGCGCAGGGGCGTTTTCAATACGGCCGTCTGTGCAACTTATCAGGGGCTAGACTCTGCCTCTATATTGTAGGCTGTAGCGGGGCTCTCGTTTGCGCCTGGCTTGCTGTCACCTGATTCGGCAGACATGTCGACGTCAGGGACAGCCGCACCGGGCGCGCAACAAGACAATACTGTAAAGCCTTGCAATTGCACCTGAGCATTGCACCTGAGCATTACACCTCCATCTGGTCTTACATCTGTTGACATTCGGACAACCCCATGCCCTTCGTCACCATGTGCAGATCCAAATACTCACCTATATGAACATTGTAGGCCGGAACGGCCCCATCCTCCCTTTTTCTCCTTAGCAATTTCTAGCCATATTCATTCTACAAAGCTCATAACTACTGGACTCTTTGAAGGTTAACAGCAACAACTGCACGCTCAATAGTAGTGATGGTACTGGAGATAACCTTGTCTTGATCTAATGTGGAAATGATCCACAGTCATCTTTCTATTTAGTAATCAGCAATATGTGCAAGACCAAGTATGTATACACGGAATTTAAGGCTGTCCTACTAACAGATGCAGAAGTCGCCGCTGCCCTTGTTGGTCAACAGCCACTCCATACCTGTCCAACCATCCCTATGTACTCTTTTGGGTTAACACTTTCACTCTAATATTGAACGCCTTTTTACGTGGTTGAATTAATCTTACCCTAATATTTGTACTTATTCTAAAGACAGGTTTTCTTATCACCCAGGAATTAACACAAGATACCCTTCTATTCATCTCATTACACAGTCCATAACTGTAAAAAACATCACCCCTATCTATGGCAAACGAGCAGAACAAGCAAAAGAGGCACCCCCTGAAATGCACTGAAATTGCAGATTGGCAGATTATTACATGCGGAATATGCGGCACTGAAGCACGCCATTCCCACGGCAAATTTCCAAACCACACGCTGTCCCGTGCCACTATTTGTCAGACAGTGCTGATGTCGCAATTTTCAACTGTCGCACTTTGGCTCTTGGTGGCCACCGACGAATTCCTAATTTGCGGCCGCTCAAAATCCTGTCAGGTATAAATTCATAGGGCTCTGGCCTTTTTCTACGCCCCGACTCTCTATCATTCGCTTTCTACTGTATTCACCATTTACAACATGACAGCGCCCGACTTCAGCTCCATCCCTGTGCTTGACCTGGCCGTAGCCAGAACGAACAAGCCCCGCTTTTTGCACGACCTCAAGCACGCGCTGATCCATGTTGGCTTCTTCTACGTCGCTGGCCACAACATCACTCAAACATTCCTTGACCACCTCACCTCCCTCACTATCAAGTATTTTGACCTCCCGCTGGCAGAGAAACTCAAGACTGACAAGATCCACTCACCGACCTTCCTCGGCTACAGCGTCCAGGGCAATGAGATTACAAAGAACAAGAAGGACAACCGCGAGCAGTTTGATTTCGCCAACGAGCTCACCCAGCGGTGGCAAGAAGGACGGCCAATTCATGAGCGCCTAACCGGCCCCAATCTATGGCCCGACGAGAGTGTGCTGCCCGGATTTCGCGATGCGGTACTGGACTACCACAGACAGGCCAATGATCTGGCAGAGGAGCTGACCCAGTATGTCGCCGAGGCAGTGGGGCTGGCACCAAATGTTCTGCTGGATGAGTTTGTGGTCAAAGGGCAGCAGCACCGCGGCAAGTTGGTGAAATACCCTGCCATTGACGAATTGGATGCGACAGATGGCGACCAGGGTGTCGGCCCGCACCGCGATACCTCGTCGCTGCTGACTATTCTGTATCAGGCGAACGATCTGCCTGGGTTGCAGGTGCAGAATCATGCAGGCGAGTGGATCGACGCGACGCCAATCAAAGGCACCTTTGTGGTTAACATTGGCACTGGGCTGGAGTACCTGGTGCAGCGAGTCGCGGTGGCTACTACGCACCGGGTGCTGAACCCACCACCGGGCCGCGGGCCGCGCTATTCTATTCCGTTTTTCCTCGGAGCGCGTATCGACAAGAAGCTGACGCCGCTGGAAATCCCACAGCATATTCTTGACGAGCGCCCCGAGACTGTAGTGTCTGATTCGGGCCACCAGTTCAACGAACTGTACTTTGAAGACCCCGGAACGTATACGGTGTTGAATCGCATCTCGTCCCATCGTGATGTGGCGGCCAAGTACTACCCAGAACTCGCCAAAGCGCATGGTATCGACGTTGAAGGCGTCAACGCTGGCTATTGAATGTGGAATCTCAAATATGATATTTTCATTAAAAACAAAACATTACGTTTTAAAGGGCGTGCTGGGCTGGAAAGTAGTCACAAAACTGGTGGGTTACATAGGGCCAGCAATGATAGCATCGTTACCCTCAAAGACAGGACCGCCGCCTGGGGTGCCGGACGCAGAGTTTTGGGTAAAGCCGACAAGGCGCTGGCCGACCAAGCTGGTATCCTGCTCGACACCCACAAACGAGTTCCCGAAGGGGTCAACGGCAGCATCGACACCGGTGAAAGAGACTGCTCCAGTAAGGGGGTCAAATCCAAAGCGACCAAGTGGCTTGGCAAGGGATGCTGCTGCTGCCGAGAGAATCAACGCAATGTTGGATATATGCATATTAGAGACGTGGATGAATAAGGTAAAGACGGTTTAATGAAGGGGGAGATGTTGGTGTTGGATCGTAAAACAAGTGAGGGAAAGAGACATAAAACGAAGTGAAGAGGAAACTAGGGCCATTCGGTCCTGCCTTGGTCTTTATACAGTTGGGGAGACCAAAAACAAGCGGTTCACACGCACAAGCCTCTAAACAACGAAATGGTCAAGAGCTTAGGCATTGTACGAGAAAACAAACAAGAAAAGTAATTAGACGGGTTGCTATTGAGAATGTGGCGTTACGGACGATATGGCTGCTCTGCCACTGGCACATTCGCCCATGGCAAACTGACTTTTCACTTGGTCTGAGTTGGCTCTACCCGAGCCGCTCGGGCCGAGTCAATCACTCTCGTTCATTAATTTCCTGATTCTCTGTTCCAGGACGCTCCGCTCATTGAGCAAACGAGTACTGCATACTCCTGTGACAGTTCCAGTGACACGCGCTCTGGCAGATTCCCAAGTGTGGCGATCATTAGTTGAACTGCTAGATCGCCGATTGCGGTGTTTGTCTCAATCCCGAATATGCACCTCTTGTAGTACACGGTGCTGGATGTCGGTCGCCTAGTGTAAGCTATAGAGGCTTCGGACATGCAGTGAATATCCAAAAATAAGTAGCGGACATGGGGGTTTATTGTGAAGCTAATTGAACTGAAAAAGAACCTTCCTGTAGACATGGAGGATGTAGTTTTTATATGTGCATGCGGCGTGATGAACAGACTCGGCTGAGGCCGTCCTTACCTAGGCCGAACTCAAGTCTGCGCCAGCACCACAGCGTGTATTTGACCGGACCACAACAGCCATCAATACAACATCCTACAGACAGCACAGCTCTCACTCTCCAGCGAATCTCTTTACCTTTCCTAATAGGACCTTGTACTCAACAATAATTTCGGACGTCAATCTCCAGGGATGCCACAATACCATCTGAGATATTGAGATTCCCACCGACTGTTACACATACTGCTCAAACCGCAAAGTCCGAATGACGGGATACCTAATGACAGCAGGGAGCGGAGTTGAGAAATCGCAGCTCGGCAGAACTCGGATCATCGACTATCACTAGCCAACCAGAGCTACCCCGCAAACTACAGCCTGGCTATAAGAAGGGCGATGTTTTGCTGCTGCCACGAGGATTCCTTGTGCTAACAGCTTTGTCCTTTCTCCTTTGTTCTTTGAATACTTTCTGAACCTCTATAGTATTCTAACCAGATCATCTCGCGACCTTCCTCTACCAATCCTCGTTCCTACACCGACAGCAAGGGCGTTTTCTACTTAAACCATGTCTCTTTCCTTCAAGCTTGTCCTCTGCTTTGTAGTCCTGCTTCTGTGTGCCAATGTCTCCCAGGCCTGGGAAGCGGGTACCAAGGGATGCCACTGCGTCACTTCTTTCGAGTATACATACAATTGCTGCGACAGATACAAGGGTAAATTTGATAATTTTGGGCGCTTAGGTATGTATACTATGGCCAGTTATCAGCTTGCTACCTTGGGTGGGAGCAGACTTATTAAGAAAGTGATATTATGATTTGGAGTTTGTAAAGGTAAGTAGGGCCAGAGGAGGAGCTTGTGATACTTGCAACATCACCTCACAATTTGCAATTGCTATTCACAGATTATTAGAATCTACTATCGTCCTCAAATTAACAGGCAATAAGATGCCAGGAACACATGCCATCCATCTCTGGGTTGCAGTAGTCTCCCTTGCTTTCATGCACCGCATACTATTTATATAAACAGGTACTTTCTCCTTGCTTTCAGATTCGTCTTCTATATTTGTAAATAACGTATTTTCATGCATTTAACAATATCTTATGAAAGTTGCACTAATGAGTAAATATAATACGACAGTCACAAGAGGTTATCTGCTTGATATTTCATACGCAAGGTATTATAGTTACATTCACTACAGAGGTTGCGCTCTGGCATCAGTATAGTAATAGGTACGCAACGATCCACTAGCAGTTTCTCAATTTCGTTTCTATTTACTGAACTAAATAGCATTCTCTGCAGTTCGCAGGCTAGTGTCTTGGCAGAAGCTACGTGCATAGCAGGACTCTAGTCTGCAAGCATTGCATCTAAATGACAGTTCCATATACTGCTTTGGTAAATGTAAACAAAAGTAAATACTATCCTTGGCATTGTCTTCGGTCTTGGCAAAAAGCAACACACCGTAAATAAGCCAAAACACATGCGTACATATATACATATATATAGCCCAGAACGGCCAACCCACACCTTTTCTCCTCAGGATATATTCCAAAGTCATTTTTCCAAATCACATAGCCTGTAAACGCTCTACTTCAAACTTTTTATACCAGCCAAGCCGCAGATAGTTACAAAATGCAAACCAAGATCACTGCCAGCTTTTTTGCCCATCCTGCCACCCTTAACGAAGGATACGGCCCTGATGTCGCATTTGCGACGCTAAAGGGCAAGGTTGTCCGTGCCGAGGACATAAAAGTCGGCATGGCGCTGCTTGGTCCCGATGGAACTGAGCGCATTGTGGAGTCAATTTGGTCAGGAACCCGGCCGATGTATAAGGTCGCGTATAGTGGTGATTCATTCGTCGTCGACACGGACAATCCTTTTATTGCGCCAAAGCCTGTTGATGGTGGGTTTACCTGTACAGGGGGACAACAGCTGTGCCTGCGTGTAGACACCCCTGTCTCAGCGTTCAGATCGGATAGCATCCGTAAAATTCACTACGTTTTTTCGTATTTGCGGGAGGATGGGGTTCCACGGTCCCGTGCCAAAACTTTTAAATGTGGAAGGACCGCAGCTAAGTTTCGTGCAACACTTGATCCGAACCCGTACACATTCGAGGAAACCGTCGGCAGTTATCGTGATCGGAAGGTGAATATTCGCGAACAAATGCGCATGTACCGTGCCGGTTGCATGGCTTTTGGTGACTCGTCTATCGACCTTTCAATTGGTGCAGCTAGCCCAGAAGAGGTTGCCTGGGCAATTGGATTCTGGCTTGGTGATGGCTGGGCTAAGACACCGAACTTTACGGTACATATGAAGGAAACCGAGATTTTGGCTAAAATCAGGGCCGTGGCAGCAAACATGGGGATGACATTCTTGGAGTATAAACACCCTAACAAGAATTGCACAATAGCCGTATTTTCCGCATATGATGCCAAACGGTCACAGGATACTCGTTGTTATCGTCCAATGCGCCCAAACCCATTCATGGATCTTCTTCGCACCCTTGATATCTATGATAATAAGCGCATGCCGTTTGCACTGCGCAATCAGCCAGCTTCTGTACGCTGTGCCATTGTCGCGGGCATGATCGACGCAGATGGTTGCTTCCACGATGGACAGTTCGAATTGACACAGACTAAGCAAGGTCATACCCAGTTGTTCAAGGACTTCATCTGGCTTCTCCGTAGCCTTGGCTTTAAATGTCGTGTGAGCGAGAAGGGTGATAAGAGAGAGCGTGAAGGCGATCTTCGCACATACTTCAATCGATTCGTCTTCGCGGAACTGCCAATTGCCGCTACACGTAAGCGAGGACACCCATTTTCAAGTATTGGATCAACATCGACTCAATTCGAGGTTGAGAGTATCAGGCGTCAGAAGTATTACGGATTCAAGGTCAGCGGTGACGGGCAAATTCTGCTTTCTGATTTCGTTGTCGTCAAGAACTAGCCCAGCTAACGCTGCAGCGCGTTATCTTCAGAGCATTAGTCAATTTTATAGCCATTTCAAGAGGCCCACGCATATGCCCATATATGAATTGCGCTGCCTTTCACACTTTTTCTCAGCCTGCAGCCATTATTGCAACATGATTTTCAGACCTGTTATTTAATTAGTATTACTGTTGGTGAGAAGGAGCAAGCTGCTCCTTACAGTCGACTTGGTTGTCAATTGACTAAATTTGAGTGCATCAACGAAGAATGGTATATTATTTGTCCCATTTTTTTCTCTTCATTCCGCCTCGACGGGTTCATCCTCTGCTGTTCTAGCAAGGCCAGTGCCCACCATTGCTGGGATCTCTAAGTTAAAAATCTAGCAATAAATATCGATATGAACATAACAATCCAAAAGTATACAAAAACAGTAAAAAAGGAATAAATTTCTGACCAATGGATGATCTTTCTGTCACGTGCCTCGCACAGGAACCACAGCTCCTTGTGATGTTTCTGGCGATGAACATGGACAAAAGGAATGCTGGATTGAGTACTGAAACTAGCGTGTAACAGCATACCGTCAGAAAAACCCATTGCGACTTGCCGTTCTAGTATCCAAAGCCAAATGCAAGTAGAATGCTTACCATTGTTCTTGGATGCTACACTCTGTCTTGTCTCATGCTTGTAACCCCAGGTAAGCAAAATTTCAATTTCCCTTCTTTTTTGTCAAACTCAACAAGCTGAATTGGAATATATAGGTGGACAGCAGCCCAGTAAGTACTAAAAAAGCGTGCAAGGGAAAATTAAAAAAGCTAAGAGAGACCGGTCCAGTGGCTTGGCCGATCACAGAATATATAGAGACCTAAGGAATGCAAATTATAGAGGGAATCTAATTTGCTGATATTACTAGAGGACAGCTGCGTGCCTACTTTCATACGAATGTCGAAGACCAGCCTCAGCAGTAGATGCACTTGCTAGTAGTCTGAGGTTAGCAACTACAACTAGTGATGCGATACTCAGTGTCATATTGCTAGATGGCTGCAGTCTTTGAAGTTGGCTAAGCATGTGCTGGCCTATTCGAAAACCTATCTGCCTAATGAAGCTTGTTATATGCGCATCGATACGTAGCGCACAGGCGAGTAGCTAGTTAGTGAATTCGTGTCAACAAAGGGGGTATTGTTGTGTCGGTCGACTATGTAGGGGTTTTTAAATGTATATTTAATACTGAAGAAAAGAGAGAAAAGGGAATAGACGAGTTGCGCAGGGGAGTTTTTAATACTGCCATTTGTGCAACTTATCAGAGGCTAGACTCTACCTCCATATCGTAGGCTGTAGCGGGGCTCTCGTTGGCGCCTGGATTTCTGTCACCTGATTCGGCTGACATGTCGATGTCAGGGACAGCCGCATCGGGCGCGCAACAGTATGACGTTTCATGATTAGTATCACAGGACGGCTCTTGCTCCTCGATGGATATTTTTTGTACCACCAAAAATGAGTTTTTGCTCTCGCAGACAGACAAAAAAATAAAAAGCTAACCAGATCAGCCGTAGCTGCGTTCGTGTGGGATAGAAAATATAAGAAACAGAGAATCTCAGTGGTACCAGGTTCCAACTGACAGTAACGCTATACTACGTGGTTGTGAAGTAATCGTTCCTTCAATAAACCTTAAAGCAATCACTAACGGACCAGGAGTCGCTGATAGGGATCGAGCAGCGGTTCTTATAAGAAGGAAATTGATCACCAGGCCACCAGCTAATCAGGCTTATACACGGAGACATCTATTTAATAGCAACTTCTCGATTATGCATGTTAGCGCACAAACTGTATTGACGAGTATGAAAAACGTTTTTCTAACTATTTTCCTGCTGCTTGTCAGTAAACAACATGCGGCTTTCTGTCAACATTGGCGTGTATTCTCCATGAAACCACTCGATGACTCTATTCCATAAAATCGCCGTTCCAAAGAAGTCGAAATTGTCATAAGATAGAAAACTAAAAAGCAAAACCTGAAAGTGGAAGAGAGATGCATACGGTGTTTTGGTGGTACAACATGAGGCTCTATGATATTGTTACGCCACGAACATCAAAAAGGTCGAATTAGTATGGGCGCCAGTCCCGTTTTTCAAAAGTACTGAGTAGTTCCTCTATAATAAAGACATGGCATATTATGTTAGTAAGTAGCGTGTAGCGTTTATCATGCACTCCTGCTTGCAACAATAGATAAGGCTTATGCTCACATATAAATATATGATGTTTATATGTCATGCTGCTAGGGTTATCAGAATTAGATTTTCCTCATTTCATTGTTCTATTTTCTCTTTATATTTTGCTACCCAGTCCAATACTGGACTGGATCCTTCTTGTCTTCTTTCTATATTTTTCTACTTGCTTAGTGCCTTTCTGCACTCTCTCACATCTTAACCAATATATCCATCTTCGGGTGTTCCAGCCCGCTCTATAATTTTATTTATATCGCTTGTAACCTTCTGACAAGGGTGGTTCCGACTCACCCAAGACGTATTACTCGCTGAGAGTGGCGCAGCTTTATCCAGGCCGTACGTGGCTTGGATGAGGGCTCAGTATGCGCACTCGGCGCTTGCTTAAATACCCCTTGCTGGCTCCTAGCAGCGGGGATTCCTCCTGGGTTTTCCAATATATTTTTGTGAACGTCTACTTTTGGTTTTATCAGCACGTTTATAATCATCACTAAGGGAAGAGGAAACTAGGTAGCGTGTTCTCCGACATTCGACCTGGGTTGTAATAGGCACATACCGTCTTATTTAAGTATAATTTGTAGGCTACGATGAGTGCTGACAGAAGAAAGGCACCTGGCACCACATATGCACTATCTCTGTGATATGCATCAGTGCTTGGCATGGTGACGGATTGTTATGCACCTGCTGCGGCTCTCCCTGACGTCGACATATCAGCCGAATCAGGTGACAGCAAGCCAGGCGCAAACGAGAGCCCCGCTACAGCCTACAATATAGAGGCAGAGTCTAGCCCCTGATAAGTTGCACAGACGGCCGTATTGAAAACGCCCCTGCGCAACTTGTCTATTCCCTGTTCTCTCTTTTCTTCAGTATTTAATATAGCTTTTAAAATCCTCACACATTCAACAACCACAACAGTCTTACACCGCTGATGTGGAGAAGGCAACAGCTGTCATCAATAGTTACAAATATTGATGGCCAATTCACTCAAGAATGCGTTACAGTCAGCGCAACACCTATCTGTATAATCTGCCTCTAGCTACTGCCGCCATGCTAATAATATCAATGGATTAATGGTGTATCTCAGAATCATGGCAAAGCTATCTCGCTTCCTGGAGATCTACATGCTGCAGCATCATTCCTATTTTTAGTTGATACTCACCAGCTGGCCCGCATGCACTGGCTAATTTTAAAGCTTCTACTCAGGAATCCTCACAGAGCGACCGCTAGCCCCCAAAGGGCGCATTGCAGGTACGTGGGAGAAGATCCTAGTTTCCTGGAAGCCATCGCTTTGATAACATTGTAGATTTGTAAATCACTATCCACAAAGAATCCAGTATCTTTGTGGTATCGCAGTGATATCTACTATAGATAGCAGCTAGTCACATCGAGAATGATTATGTGCAACTGGCAATTGCAAATTTCTTTTCATAAGTATACAGCAATCTCATATAAAAGCGAGTCGGCCCCAGCAGTTGTCTTGGTAATCTACATCATCATCAACATCAAGTCTTGTGTATACCTGCATTTTCCACCAAACTCTGCATCAACACTACCCTACCATCCTCATTCCACTTCACCCACGAAACAATGCGTCTAGCTTCAATTACTTTCATTGCCTGTGCCGTTCTTATTGCCTCCCCCGATATCGCTCTGGGTGCTTCGTCGGGCTCCAAGACAGGTTCCAAGTTAAACTCCAAGTTCGGCTCTAAGGGATCCTCGGGTAGAAACAGGCCTACTCCTGTCTCTGCTCCTGTGGCCAAATCGAAGACGGCTGCCCGCTCAAAGTCAAAGTCAAAGTCAAAGACAAAGTCAGTCGCACCGACTAAACCAGCGTCAACTGCCCCTTCGACGACCGCCTCCCAGTCCACTGCATCAAATTCCGCCACCTCAACCAGTGCTGCACCCACGTCTACCCAGCTTACCCATGACATGTGCCCGCAAAATGTACTGTCTTGTTCGACTGAGGCATTGGCAAAAAAGGCCGATACCTGTTGCTATGAGCAATACGGCGTCCATGTGCTAACGCAGCAGTGGAACAAGGATGTTGGACCCGCGGACATGTTCACGCTGCACGGCCTATGGCCGAGTGCTTGCAAAGGAAAGAGCCCTCCGACCTTTGGATGTGACAATTCTCGAAAGAAGAGGAAGGTCAAGTCAATTCTCCAGGCAGCAAAGCCTGAGCTGGTAGCTGACATGCTAATTTACTGGCCGGCCAGCGACAATAAGCACGATGAATTCTGGGGGAAGGAGTGGACAAGGCATGGCACTTGTGCAACAACTCTTGACCCAAAGTGCTTCAAGTCATACACCCAGAACGAGGACATTGTCGAGTACTTCTCCAACGCCATCAAGCTCCACAAGGCACACAATTATATTCCTGCACTGGCAAGCAAAGGGATTGTACCCGACGACACGGCGCTTGTCGATCCGAAAGACTTCAAGGATGCAATCAAGACCAAACTCAATATCGACGTGGAGATCTCGTGCACCCAGTCGGCGGATGGGACTGAGGAGATTTTGAATGAAGTGCGAACCTACTTCAATGTAAAACTCACAAGCGACTATACCCTTACGGCGGCTAAGGGCAGGAACTCGTGCACCAAGCCATTTAAATTCCCCAAGAAGAAATCAGCCTCTTCATCTTCCACCTCTGCTTCGGCATAAACCAAAATATTTTTGTGAGCTGCATGGAATTGACTGCTCCTAAATGACCCTTATGTTCCTGTTTGTCATCAACTTCATGCTATAAAGCATAAGCTTGAGTGTATAATGTGTTTGTGGTTCCAAATCCTTATGATTTTAGGAACCCATAGATCAAGACCTTTAGGCCACAATGGCCGGCCATACTATTCTGGGCGGCCGGCGCCACTACTTAGACAGGCACCTGCCCTTTCACCTGGCGATTCCTTATTCCTTCTTTCATACAGCATATTTCATACGTTCAGTATACGCCGTGGAAAGGTGCTTGGAGAGTAAACGTATTCTAGACAGTTGCAGGAGGCTGTCTATCTAAGTGTATCGTACCCGAGACACAACAAGGATAATGGCATGGATTGTGGGCAAATGAAGAAGACTGCGGTTCACAGGATGCGTTTTCCAGTCTGCTCAGAGTCAGTGGCAGGTATTACATGCCAACATAAGAATACAGGGATCTCCTCGGCCCACTCGACCAGAGCCACCTTCACATCTGGCGTGGTTTATTAATAAACACATCCCGAAAACATCATATATCGATATATTAGTTGAGTACAGCCAGCTCTGTCATAGTGAAAACCCAACTAGGCACAGGGTAGGTTAGCCTTGGAGAAGCCAAAGGCGCATTGGCTCTTTGTACCGCTGGCTGTAATCATCGTTATAGAATCCAATGCAACCCACAGATGCCTTGACCCACTCACACATTGCAAACACAGATCCACCCCACCTGGTGAACATAATATCGTTGCCGTCGTAGTTGATCTGGAGACGGTCTGATGGCTCAGGCAGCTCGGGAGAAACGCGGATATCGTTCATACCGTCATCCGGGCAGCACAAGTACTGGCCGTTGTGTGTCAGGTAAAGGATCCCATCAATTGTCTCGCAGGAAAACACATCGCTACGACCAGGGTTAGCCATTAGTGCGCCATTGGATACATTGATTCCGTCCTGTTCAGGCTCATATTCGTCGTCACTCTCCTCTTCCTCATCGTCATCGCGTGGAATGATAAATGAAAACTGCTCGCCGTCAGCCACCTCGTCGCCGTCCTCATTCCTGAGCCTGAACTCTCCGTTCAGCAGGCGCCTGGGTGGTTGGCGCTTCCTGAACTTTCTATCCACTTTGTTCAAGTCGTTGATCGCAGCGATGTTCTTCCTGACAGTCGAAATGACTTTCCACTTGAGAGCTTCTGAAAAAGTGTAGCTGTTGTCGATGTTGCTGGAATCAACACACTGGTAGGTTTCATCTTTGTACACGATGAAGCAGTGGTTGCAGCAGCCTTCAGTGGTTTTGGTTATCTCGGCAAACTGCTCGAGATTTTTCTCCTTGTAGTAATGGACAATAGTGTTGTCCTCAGTTGCGTTTCCGTGTATGTCGCCGATGTTGTCTTCGTGGACAAAGTAAAGGACTGGTGGCTCAGAGTTGAACTTTAGGCCATTACGTTCAGATAGGGCTCTCCAGTGATGGGCACTGAACCCGCCATAGAAGAAAGCCTGCATAATGTAGTTTCTGGAGATGTAGTCGCACTTCATCGGACCGTCGGGCACATTGTGGATTGTGAAATACCCGGTCTCGAACACAAAAAACGGATCCTCCGAAGCGCTGCGTTGTTCTATTGCCTGCTGCTCGGTTTCAACATCAATGAACGTAGTATTGGTATCGACAAAACAAGCGGGGATGCTGTCGCGGTTAACGTGAGCTGGAACAAAAACGGTGAACATGGTGAAAAAAGCGAAAGATAGAGAGGAAAATATGGTTTGGTTGCCAGAGGTTTGCGTGGAGTTTATAACCGCCCAAAAGCAGGCAATGGCTGCGGAAGTGGGCCTTTTTCACAGAATCAGCAGATTGGGGGGTTGCTGTATGCTTTCCGCAAAGGTCGAGATTGGCAGTTGCGTGTTTAGAAGAGACAACGGTTGGTAGGCCATGTTTCCAGCTGGAGAGCACAAGTAGGCAACGCAGCATATTTTGTGCTATGTGAACGCTGCTTCTCACACATTGCTGTTAGGGTCCAAGGGTAGCAGACTTCCCTGACCCATCACCTATTTGCTAGCCTGCTCGTAGCAAAGACTCGACAGTCTGGAAACGGGAGGGTGATTAAGTAAAATGCTCCCAGAAGACCATTGAGAACAACCTGGGATAATCCATTTCTCGCATTTTTCTCTCACTTCAACACAATTTTGTTTTTATAATGTCAGACCTTCCATCCGAGTTGAAGCAAATTGCGCCGTACATTCAGCGTGCGCAAGAACTGGCCACGGTGGACCCAGTGGTGTCGTATTTTTGCACGTACTACGCGGCCCGCTTGGCTATCGCCAGCGGGTCGAACACGCCGGCCAGCCAAGCCTACCTATCGCAATTACTGGACCAATTGGAGACGGAGAAGGAGCGGATAAAGGAGGACCCGAAAATGGCCAATGACCTAGTGGCCTCGCAGCACTGCAAGACATTTGCACTGAAAGTGTTTGCTAAGGCGGACACGGAGGACCGGAATGGCAGGGCAACCAAGGTGACAGCCAGGAATTTCATCGTTGCATCGCAGTTTTTGCAAGTACTGGCAGGGTTCGGGGAGCTGCCGGAGGATGTGCAGGAGAAGGTCAGGTATGCCAAATGGAAAGCGGCGGATATTGTCAAGGCGCTGCGGGAGGGGAGGCAGCCGACACAGGCGCCTGGAGAGCAGCAGCAGCAGCAGCAGCAGCAGCAGCAGCAGTCGGATGCGGGCTCGCTGCAGCCGAATGTGACCGCCAGCGATATATTTGCGTGGCCATCACCCCCGGCGGTCTCAGCACCAGCGCAGTCGATGCCACCAGCGCAGTCGATGTCACCAGCCCAGCCAATGCCGCCAGTCCAGCCCACCACTCCACAGCAGCCCACATCGGTCGTGCAGAACAGCCAGTTCGACTCGCTGCCAAGCGTGCCATTGCAGCCGCATGTGAGCAAGTCACCAGCAACCTCAGCGCCAATAGCGCCAATGGCCGGCAGCGCAACGTTTGTGCCGGTGCCAGCGGCGAATCTGCCAGCTGCAGACGGAGAGCTTCTGGTGGACCCTGCGGTGACCAAGAATGCACAAAAGATGGCTCGGTGGGCGATCAGCGCACTCGAGTACGATGACGTGGACAATGCAATCAGCAACCTGCAAAAGGCCATCGAGATGCTGAAGCCATTTAGCAATAGCAAGTAGATGTTAGGAAAAGGGTGTTTTAATCGATCTATACTAGAGTTAGTTTTTCTTCACTGGGAGAGCTTGGTCAGGAGCTGCTTGCGGCGCTCCGGCGACAGCTGCTGCAGGGCGGCCAGCAGGGCATCGTCGGTGGCTCCGGCGACATTGGCGGCGACATTGGCGGCCTCAACCTGGGATTTCCAGGCACGCATCAGCTGCGCGACTAGATCTTGGCGGTTCTCATACCAGGCAGCAACAGCGCGGTCGTCGTCGTAGGCCTCCGAGTTGCTCTGCTCAAACCAGGCCTGCAAGATGGCCTTCTGCTCCTCGCGATCCATGCCGGGGCTCGTTTTGGCCATATCGCGGAGCAGGTACTCCTCGGCGAGCCTGCGCTTGAGGCGGAAGTAGAAGAAGGTACGCGCATGCTTCCACTGCAGCTCCTTGCGGACCACGCCCTTGGCGACCATGCGGCCAGCGCGGTCATGCAGATCAGCAAACTGCACGGCCAGCTGGGTGTAGACAGGCAAAAGGGCCTTTTCGCGCTCGTCCAGGGCCTTCTTGAGCTCGGCCTTTTGCTCAGGCGCCAGGTCGGGGCTGGCCAGGGCCTGGCGCAGCTCGCGGACCTTTTGGTCCAGGCGCTCCATACAGGCGAGCATCTGCGGCTTGCGGAACTTGATCTCGACGATTCCCTCGGGCTCCAGGACACCTGCGCGGCACTGCTCGTCAGCATACATCTCCATCATCTCCTGGTTGATGGTCGGATCGACCACCACCCAGGCTCCACCGCGCAGCTCACCGTTCGGGATGATGTAGACAAACACTGGCTGGCGGTACTGCGCCAGGGCATCGACAATGTAGGCACCGTACTTTAGCACCTCGTTGAACATGTCGCGCTGGCCGCCCGAGAAACCGCGCCAGTTGGCAAAGATCATCAATGGCAGCTGCTCGCCCTTGTTGAAGTCAAAGATGGCCTGGGCGGTCTTGTAGGCACTGTTCGGGTACCACACGGTGCCGGCCTCCTGCAGAACCTGCTCCTCAGACGCCGGGTTCGCAGGGTCCGCCGGGATCACATTCTCGACCGTGCGCCCCTCCACGGCCACAATGCCCATGGGGATACCGCCCAGACGGGCGCGTCCTGTAACCACAGTCCGCGCCCACCCGCCTAGCGTCTCGACAAACGACCCACGATCGAAGAACCCAGACAGCCAGCCCTGCTCGGTATCGGCTCCGGCCAGGAACAGCCGCGGGTCGGACGGGCCGCTAGGCGGCTCGTAGCCGATCTCACGGATCAACCGAGTCGAGCTGCAGAGCAGGGGCGACAGGCAGTAGGGGCGCATCACGTGCCGTGGGCACAAACGCCAGCCAGCGCACAATCTTGCAGATGCCAGCAAAGTCGTTGTCGGCGGTCAGATGCGACACGCCATTCTTGTACATGATCTGGGTACCGCCCAGCTGCAGGTTCGACGAGTACACATCGCGGCCCAGCACCTTGTTGAGCGCCGGAGCGCCGGTCAGGATGATCGGCTGGCCCTCGTTCTGGACCGAGCGCTGGCCCAGACGCACCAGGTAGGCGCCGATACCGACGGAGCGGCATGTGACCAGCGTCACCGTGAAAATGTCCTCATATGCCCGCGATGTGGCGCCAGCAATCAGTCCCGAGCCGCGCAGGTTCTCGACGCCAAGCCCGTCGGTAGCGCCGACGATCGTGCGTAGGCGATGGCGCACCTCGCCATCGGCCGTGGTCACGGGCTCGGTGATCACCGACCGCACCTTGCCGGCTTCCATGGACTCTAGCTTGTCGCGGTCCTCCTCAGTCAGATACAGGTACTCGAAGCCCTGGGCAGGGTCCTGGGCATCGCGCCAAGCAGGACGGAACAACTCGCGAACTTCCTCGGCCAGGCCGATGCGGGCGCCCGAGTTGGCTGACAGGTAGACACGCGGCAGCCCGTGCGTGCGTGCGTACTGCGTGGCCCGGTAGAAGAACTCGTCCTCCTCAACACCGAATGAACCGATCTTGAACGTAATGTCGTTGGCAATCACCACCACACGCCGGCCCTGCGGCGACTCAGGCGTATACATGGTGCATACCCAGGCCACCATTCCGCACGTGTTGCGGCCAGCGTCGCGGTCGCTCTCGACCAGCGTCTGCGAAGCCTCGTCCCACACCAGCTCCTGCGCGTCCAGCAGCGATAGCGGGGTGCCAGGCACACTGGCGCCAGCCTGCTTGGCCAGCTTGGCCGTGCGCGCCCACTGCACCGATACTGCCTGGCGGAAGAGGTCGGGGAAGTCGTAGACATAGGTGGTGCCCATAACATGTGCCTTGTAGCGTCTCGGCTGCAGCCATTCCTTGGGCTGGTGCGGCGTCGACACGAGCTTGCCATTATACGATCCCGCGGGCACATCCAGCGACTGGAACACCCACTCGCCGTTGCCATCGCGCACCTCAATGTAGTTCTCGAGCTTGGGCACAAACCCGGACTTGTTGAAGATGCAGAACCGGAACGGTGTCGGCATGTCATCTTCTGAGCCAGTCTGGACCAGGAACCGGATCTCTGCTGCCGTCACGCGCAGCCGGAACAGCCGCTTGCCGTGCCGCTCCAGGAACCCGCGGTACGCCGGCTCAAACTGCGACGCGTCCAGGTTGAAGATTGGGCAGGAAGCTGATGAACAGATGGTTGCAGTCGCAGTTCGGGTACTCCACCGACAGGATCTCCAGCGCATCAAGGATATCGCTGAGCAGCCGGTCCGTTTCCGAAATCAAGTAGTCCACCGTCTGCACCGCCGTGCGCAGCCGCCCCGGCCGCACCAGCACCCGCACAAAGAACCGGCTGTCTGCCGCGTTCGTCTTGCTGACACCATGGTAGATATGCAGCTGTCCGGTTGTCGTTGAAGCACGGCCGGATGTCAAAGTTCGCCAGCCGCGGCAGCTCCAGCTGGTACGCCAGGCCCGGCTCAATATGCCGGATCGTCTTGTCCTCGCCAAAATCAATATTCTCGCGGAACGTGAATGTTCCCGGGTGCTGCCCCGACCGCTGCAGCACATATGTCAGGCGCCGGATACCTGCGTCGCGCAGCGCTGAGGAGTGGGCGGCCGTGAAGGACTGCAGACGCGACGACCACGTGTCGTCGTCGAACGGGTCGTCCTGCGGCACCTGCATGGCGATGTTGATAACGTGTCCGAACCGCGACGTCCCACGCCCGGTCGGCGTCGCCGCACCCTTGCTTGCAGGCGACTCAGTGCCCGTCAGGGCGCTCATCGGCGCGAACCGGCTCTGCGAACGCATGCCCAGTGCCGGTGACTCGGCGCGCGAGTTCGCCTCGCTGCCCGGGCTGCCTGCTGATCAGATCCAGCAGCCGGGTGAAGTTTGCCTCCATCTCCGCAAACGTGTCAAATGAGGCCATGGCACCCTGCCGCAGGTACTTTTGCGGATCTGCGTCCTTGTCCACGGCAAAGTTCAGGTCCGACACGCTCATGATGCGCTTGAGGTCCTGATGCGGTCGAATTGCGTCCGATCTGCCCGGCAAACATGCCCGAGGCATCGTCCTCCAGGATGAAGCGCCAGTAAACCATGAAAAGGAGCGTCGGCAGCGGTGGTGTAGTCAAAGTCCACCAGGCTGTACATGTGGTACGCCCGCCGCACATACACCTCCAGCGCCGCCAGCCGCACCCACGGGTTTGCGTGGTACAGGAAGCTCTGCAGCACATCAAACACGTAGTAGTTGGTCACAATCAGATCCTTGATTGCGTCGTAGCTCGGCGTGCGGAACTCCTCGCCGCCTCCATAGATCGTCTCCGTGACCGCCGACCGCAGAATATGCTCCATCTGCCGCTTGCGCTCCTCCAGCGACGGCACCTGGCACTGCAGCAGCACCTTCGCGTGCCTTCAGTGCTATCTTGGCTGTTGCCCGTCCTGACAGCCCAGTCAGCTTCTTCAGCACCTCCTCGTACGCCGGGTCCAGGCTGCCGGTCTGTGTCGATACCGGCCGGATCACGTCAAGCATAGCCAGGATAATCTTGTTCTTGGTTCCCACGCCTGCGTGCGAAATCATCGCGTCGATGATCTTGGCCGGCTCGTCGCGGTGCATATCGCGCAGCGCAAAGAACCCTTCTTCTTCGTTGATTGCGCTGGAGAACACCGACTCAGCGTCAATGTACCGCTGCAGCAGGCCCAGGAACACTGTGCGCTCATGCACAACCAGACCTTCCTTGTAGTCTTCCAGCACCTGCATCACCGGCTGCAGCGTCGTAGTGACCGTAACCGCATCAGCTGGGCGACATCTCGCAGAGGAAGTTATCCACAATCGCCAGCATCTCCTTTGCGGGGAACCCACTGTTGAATTGCTGCGCCTTGCTGATCTCCTCCTGCAATGTGCTTGTCAGCTTGGCCGGCAGCCGGCTCGATAGCGCCGACAGAACCTCGCCAATCTCGAGGAACGGCAGCTCAGGCTTCTCCAGCAACGCCGCGATCTTCTGTAGCAGCGTCGCTGCCGGAATCGGCGTGATCGTAGCCGTCCAGTGCATTTGGTCAGAAGAATCAGCTTGCGACGCAGCCGCTGATGAGTCTTGCTGCCATACGCCTGCGGCGGTCCGTAGGTCGCCAACTGGCCCTCGAACGGCTTCGCGTGCTTGACACGCGACGGGTCGTCCAGGGTCAGGATACCGAGCACCTCTCCGGCCGTCAGCGTCGATCCCGGGCTGCTTGACGAACTGCACGATGCCGTCCTCAGATGCAGTCAAGGGCATATACATCTTCATTACTTCGATTTCTGCGTACGCCTCACCAGCGCTCACGTGGTCGCCTGACTCCACCAGGAACCGCACCAGCTTACCAGGCGACGGCGACCGCAGCTGCGTCGGGTCAACCTTCCTCCTCGAGTAGGCATGTGCGCTCATCAACAAGCAGACGCGTCGCGCCTACCTCCTCGCGCGTATAGCATGTGTGGCTCTTGCCGTCAAGCAGCACCAGCACTACCGCCGTCGCTCAAGGGCCGCACACCCACTGCCACATTGCACCCGTTAATGTACAGGATCCAGCCCGTGGGCCCGGTGCGGTTTGCAATGAACCGGTACCGCACGCCCTCGTAGATGAAACTCCACCAGGAACGTCGTGCGCAAAAGCGCCTTGCTCGGTGCCTGCCCGCGGTCCATCGCCTGTCTTGAACTCGGCAAGCAGCCGCTCGCTCTCGGCCTGCGCCATGCATGTGGCTCCGCAGATCACTGCTAGCTCCGGATCCGGCCGCTCCGCAGTCAGATGGTCCGGAGATCAGCCGGTCCAGCCACGCTGTGGTGAACCGGTTGCCGCTGAAATCCGACATCTCCAGCAGCCGCACCAGATACTCGACCGTGGTGCGGAAGTCGCCGCGGATCGAGATCTCCTTCAGCGCGACCACCATCGCCTGCCGCGCCTGCTCGCGGCTCGCACCGTACGCGAAAATGTGCCCGAACTGCGAGTCGGCGAACTCGTGCAGACCGCCGTTGGCTGACACCGAGAAGTACCCCCACACGTTGGTCGAGCTGCGGAAGTTCAGCGACTGCATCATGCCGCTGCTTGGCTTGAATCCCGGCCTCGGGGTTCTCTGCCGTAATGCGCACCGCAATAACGTGGCCCTTCGGCTGCGGCTTGCGCTGCACCTCGTTTGCCCGTGTCGACGAGAAATCGTAGTCGATCGATGAGCTGCCCTGCGGGTCGAGGCCGTACAGCAGCCGGATATCGCGCACCCGATGCAGCGGGATACCCATGGATACCAGGAGCTGCGCTGCTGGCAGGTTCACCCCAGACACCATCTCGGTGGTCGGGTGCTCCACCTGCAGACGCGGGTTCAGCTCGAGGAAGTAGAACTTGTCGTCCGCCTGGCGTGTACAGATACTCGACAGTTCCAGCACTGACGTATCCGACCAGCTTGGCCAGTCGCACTGCCGCCTTCTCCATCTGCTCGAATGTGTCAGACTTGGCAATCGTCACAGGCGCCTCCTCAATGATCTTCTGGTGGCGACGCTGGACCGAGCAGTCACGACCAAACAGGGAGATCGCGTTACCGTACTGGTCAGCCAGCACCTGTACTTCCAAGTGACGCGACTCGCCAGCCAGCTTCATGATGAAGATCGGCGACCCAGGGCACCTCGGCCTGACACTGATAGAATGCCGACACAAAATCTGCCTCCTTCGAAACCATGCGGATACCCTTGCCGCCGCCGCCCTCACTGGCCTTGATCATGACCGGGAACCCAATGCGCTTGGCCTGCTCCAGGCCCTCGTCCATGTTGTGAGTGGTAGCCTTCTGGTACGCGCTGTTCCGGCACCTCGAGGTGGTTGAGCTCGTTGACGAACGTGTCGGTAATGCCGTCGCCACTCCACGGCATCGTGGGCACATCCGCGTGCTGCGCGACAATGGTCGACGAGATCTTGTCTCCAAGACTGCGCATGGCCTGATCCAGGCGGACCAATAAACACAATCTTGCTCTTGCTGTCGCGCAGGGACTCAGGCAGCGTCGGGTTCTCCGAGGCGTGACCCCATCCGGCCCAGACCGCATGCGCGCCCGTGCGCTCAGGCAACGTCGACGATCAGCTCGACATTCGCGTAGTTGTTGTTGTTCGTGCCCCCGGGACCTCGACGTACTGGTCCGCCATGCGGATGTACTCGGCGTTGACCTTGAGGTCCTCGGGTGTCGCCATCACCACAAACTCGATTGCGCGCTCGTCCCCGAACGTCGCATACGCCCATTGCCGCACACTGCGGATCTCCTTGACCGCCGCAATGCCGTTGTTGGCAATCAGCACCCGGGTAATCACTGTGTGGCCGCCATGGTCCTTGACAAAGTCGCGCACCTTGCTGGCTGTCGCTGTATCAAGATTGTTGCCGCCTAGTCGATTGGCCATCATAAGAATGTCGTCAAGCAGGAATTCAGTCAAAAAGGGATTGTTAGAAAAGGTTGAGAACAGGCCAGTTTAGGATTCAAAGACGGGGCATCGGAATCAAGAGGGGAGGTAGATATATCGCACGCACGACTCAGCAGTACTGTCATGATATCACCGTGTAATGACGCGCAGTTATGCACATACGAGCTGTTGTCCTTCTTGTGCGCGCCATGCATGGCGGTTGGTGAGAAGAAACTGCGGTGGCTAACCATCGAGATATTGCACCGAAAAATTCACACAAACCTCTCCTATCCCCTCTATCGAGTGGTGCAGCCACGCTAATACTTGAAGAAAAGTAGCATCTACATGCGCGACATTGCAGCAGAAAAAGCAAGACGGCCTGCTACTTACCAACAAACTGCTGGATCTGGTTCGTAACTGCCATTTCGTCAGTATCTTTTCAAGAGCTGATTTTGCTGTGGACCAAGTCGAATCTTGTTCTGCTCCTTTTGCTGGAAGTATCCCGGAAGCGCTGTTCAAGTGGCCTTGCCCGAAACAAGAAATAACGTAGAGGCTGTTTTTGATCGGTTTCTTTCACAAGCCAAAACAGAGTATAGTCTAAAAGCGTGCCAGCGTCGCAAGACGGTTTTTTGGGATAGGGAAATTCTTTTGGTTAGTACCGATGCTTTCACATGCCAGAGTCTCCATGAGTCAAGGATATAAAGAGGGCTGGGGGAGAGGGACGAAAGGACCACCACCACTACTTGCTCTTCCTCCCCGTCCTTCCCCTTCTACCACCCTGGTCCTTTTTTCATTGCGATGCTTACAGCCTGTGCGAAAAAGTGATGTTTTGTTGAAGATGGAGAAAACAAAAGAATAATGTAGAAGGAAGAGGTGCAAAAAGTAGACAAATAGGAAGAAGAGGTATAAAATTGTGTATCAAGTGCCCAGTCTCTTTTTATTGCGGCTCCTTGCACCGAACGCTACCACAACTTTATAATACTCGCGACCTCGCTCGCTTTTGCTCGGGCCTCTCCCTCCTCCTGAATCCAAAAAGCCGCCTGTTATCTCTCGCCTCCGAACGCCCTTCTATGCCAGAAACAATAACAAAGCTACCTTCGCGTTTATCTTTGGGGCAGAGGCGATTGAGAGAGAAACCCGATTCTAAGGGGGCGGTGGGCGTATTGAGAAGTTCCACTTGGCAGGTTTCTGACCAGCTGGCTAAAAAACTCCTTGTCCCAAAAACTGCTTCTTCCAGTCTCACAGATCGGTGGTCCATTAGCGCCAGCCCGAGCTTCGCAGTAGGCGGCTCTCCCCCTTTTTTTCTTCCCACCAAACCGCTCTGCTGCTCTCACTGCCACCTGGAGTTTTAGGCAGATCGGCTTGGACGTGAGCCCCGAGCTTATCAATGACGCTCTGCCTCTCAATGGCACTCGCTGCAGCGCCCAGTCACAGATTGGCACTGTGGCCATCCTTTTTTCCTTTTATCTTGCTGCCTGCTGGCATCGGTCCACGGGCCAAATACCCCGGCTGATTCGGTGTGCATGCGGCGTTCTCCTGGCAAATGGGATATCTCCAGATTTTACTCTCTGCCTTCCGGTTCCTCTCATGCGCCTGTTTGGGAGGAAGGATTGGTGTCCTCTCCGCCCAGGACTCGGATGCCCCTCCATACGCCGTACTCGAGCTGCGGCTTTTCTCCTTGCCTTACGTGCTTTCAACGTCACCCATCTATATTGCTGGCGATACGACAGCGCCCAACAAAATATGCGCAGACGGGTCCCTCCACCTCCTCGGTATGGAATGGCGCTTGCAAAGCACATCGCGTCGTTCCTGGCGATTCAAGATGAGGTAATCCTTGATCTGATTTTCAGCGCTCGCCAACGACAGCAGCGCCACCACTGCAAAATGCACACGTGCAGTTTGGAAACGAACCTGTATTGAAATATACATGGTTTCTTTTTTTGGAATTACAGAGAGCAGTATATATCTATGTGGATGGCCTCAGTTGCCTGGGAAATAGACCTCGAAGTCCAGGGCTGCAGGCCGACCACCCTCACGCGACGTAGCAGCGTACGGGACGTCGGGGCTGGCGATGTAGAACGAGAGCTCACCGCCTTGGCTCCCAGCCTCCTTGCACATGGCTGTAACATCCAGCCTGAAGTCCTCATTTGAGTCAATAGTATACTCACTATAGTCACCAACCTTGGCAGGCTTGTTGGCTCCAGAAACACGCGCTTCGTCCCAGCTGCCCTCTGCACGGATAGCCATGATCTTGGTCAGCCCATGTCCCGGAGTCTGGAAGAACGGCAAGTCCAGTGTGCACTTTGTGATGTAGTTGGAGTTCTGCACCGCCTGATCTGGCAGAGAGAACCCGATCAGGATCTCGGAAACGTTGTCAGGTTTGTTGGACGCGTCAAGTGTCTTTGCCGTGCCCTGGGCGGTGTAGTAACTGTTCTGGCTCATCCCAATTGTAGCATCCTTGGATGCAGAGATAGTGAAACTGCTACCAAATGCAGGCGCGGCAGAGGTAGTCATGGCAGCGGCGAGGAAGGCGACGGTAGTGGCGAAGAACTGCATGTTTGGTGTTTGACCTTTGGTATGGAATGATGTCTTTGGCTGTGTTGTTGTATGCTGGTTGCTGAATCGGATTCCTCGGCTCATATTTTATACCATGTCTGGCGAGATATCTTTTAGCCATGACTGGATGTATTTTTAGAGCAGGAAGACGAGTCCAGATCACCGCCCGGTATCCAAGATCCTTACCTGTGAGAAAAGGGGTGGGTTGTCAATGTGACATCAAGGCATCAAAAAAGCTATTTTTAGATCTACATGCATCCACTCTTTGCACAAGCAGGGTGTCAGAAATCGGCTCTACGGTTGTCTATCTAAAAGAGAGAAGTATAGCTGTGATAAACTGTGAGCGGATCTGTATAATTAGCTAGCGGTGTCCAGGTATACTGTTGAACTTGGGTGACCTCTTGCTGCAGCCGGTGATTAGACTGGCTGGACTGACTATACTGTTTCTGCTGCTGACATGGGTACCACTACCACCATTACCCTGTACTCAACGTGCTACATATACCAGTCCAATTAAATTTCTATGCTTTAAGACTGCTGACATTCGGGCAACCCCATGCCCTTCGCCACCATGTGCAGATACAAATCCCCACCTATATAAACATTGTGGGTCCGGAACGGCCCTATCCTCCTTTTTTCACCTTATTAATCTCTAGTCATATTCATTCCATATGGCTCATAACTACTGGACTCTCTGAAGGTTAACACAAACAATTGATTGTGTACACAGCAAGCCTTTCCTAAGTGGCATAGCCCTTTACCTGTCCAGATATCACATTGGCTTACAAGGTGTCTACATTCAAATACGTGGTAACAAAATAGTGCAGTTGAAGTTTTAAATAATTCTAAGCAGCTCTGCTGTGAGTGGAAGCTCGCCAGAGAAAGGTAGGAGGGCATTCCTAGTAGAGAACATTTCAACATAATGTATACATATGTATTGGTACCTTAGGCTCATTGGAGAACTTGTCTAGAGAAATGCATGTAGCTCGCATACTTGAATTTGATGATGGTGGTTGACCCAGCCTTAATAATGATAGATTCCTCTTCTGCAGCTGCTGCTGCGCGCAGACTTAGGACGCGATGCCCCCAGTACTATTTGTTCCTACTTGTCAAAATTATAAACGCTGGTTGGCTGAAAGAGACACATTTTGACAACCAATTATGCTTTCCGGGAAACATCCTCAACAGTGGCTGCAACAGTGGAGTATTCAAGCAGACAATGCTAAAATACATTAGACAATGGGAAGGTCGCCTCTAATGCTGCTACATGCTGGCCAGCCAGAATACTACTGCTGCAAACCACTCTCATCCCATGGCATAAAGCATCGCTGTTCTTGGGTCACGCGTCCAAACCTCTTGTTGGTGTAGTATACATTCTTCAGCTGCAAGATGCAGCAGTAAGACAGAGTGCCTTGGCCCTCTGTTAAAAGACGCTAAGGGCACCATTTCCTCCAGTGCAAACACATATTTCTTCAACTTGCATTCTCGGCTTTCTCACTCATTTACTTCAACAGCTATCAAGAATATGATGCCCAAGACTGTAGCCATTATCAACTCCTTGGCCTGCGATAGAATACTGGAGGACATTTTGCTTCTTGCTGTCCAAGGGAGGGCACGAGGAAGTAGGGGTGGTAGGTTCATTCCTGAGGATGATAGAATTAGCCTCGGTCTGTCGCCAGTGGAGGTTCCATCTTACTGCGCACATATGCCGGACAGCTATAGTCGAATGCAAGCGGAATGCCGTACCAGAACACTGGTACAAGCTTGTCTCCCCAGCTGCAGATGGGTGTCCAACATCAACTTCATTACTGCGATGGGCTTGTCTAATAAAACGGAGGAACTCTACATATCCGACATTGACGGCAAAGGCACCTCTTCGTTTTCGACTGCAATGGAAAGCCCTCCGATTTGGCTCGTACGCTTGGGACAGAGTGACTACACTAAAGCTTGGCCGGTTTACATTCAAGGATACGGAGACAGGGCAGCCCTGGCGTTATTGGCTCAGGCTTTTTCTCTTCTCACCTCCAATCTTCCCTCCGTCAGCCATGTCGACTACCCAGTTAGACGGCCCACCAGGCACCTGCGGGATCACGCTACGCGCAATGCTGATTAACCACTACACTGCCAATTCCAAAACCGTCTATATCCGTGAGTGGTATCTGACAGCCTCGCTGGGGCTCCTTCGCCAAGACATCACCAAGCTGGATATCAACGCATCGTTCGTTTTTGGCGCTCCGAGAGATCTACGGCTTCCAAACTCTGCGCTTCGGTGCTTGCGATTAACTGATGCCGGACGCGGGTTTCAGTGGAATTGGTTCCGGAATGGTGCAGATGGGCAACGTATCGTATTCCCAGAACTAGTGGAACTTACGCTAGAGTTCGTGTACATAGGAGATGAGATGGGAACTAAAAGCTTCGCTGGATTTGGCTTGAGCTTCCCCAAGCTGCAAAAGCTCAGTACGCTAGATGCTCTCCTCTATTATTCAGACTTTTACACCACTTTCATCGACTCACCGTTGGAATCCCTTCACATAGCCGAGATGAAGGCCCATTTAGAATTTGTAGATCCCAGAGTGATCAGGGGCTGTACGTGTTCTGAGCATATGCCCTACAGAAGGTCCTCCAGCCCCGCTCTACTTGGAAAATCCCTATGACAATCTGCTACCTGCCGACTCGATGGTTCGGGCGGCCACTCTAGTCAGCATTCCATCGTACATGCTACCAGAAATCAACTGGACGAATCTCTGGAATCTCAGGCTGAACCTGAACAAGCTAGAGTTCGAGCCAATTGACACTCTCTTGTCGCGCCTTCCACTTCCTCAAGAGCCTTTCCATCGGCTACTACATATGCTCGTGGCTAGCCTGTACGTGACTACCATCCTCGCTGTGCCAGTTGTGACTTGCCCCTGGAACCACTGAGTATGAGTCCTTCAGTCCGTTTCGATTGATATCGACGATAAGAGGACATATCCAGTATGTCGCGAAATGGATCTGCAATTTGGTTCTGCACACACCCGTCGCTGCTGAAGGTCTGTGTTCCCATCCGCGTGCGATGAACGAGATCAGAAACTTTGCCGATTTGTCTGGAAAGGTTTTAAGCTGTCAGCAAGGCAACCAGCTACTTGACAAGTTGATTTCCTGTTTTAAATAAGAACATACCTGCTATTATACGAGTGAGCTTCTCCAGATTGTAGGAGTTTATAACTCAGAATAATGTCAAGCATGCTCTGACTAGTGGCCAGTAGCATTGGAACAGCTGCTCTAAATGGTAGCCAGATAGCATATGAGTTAATGCTGGTATTTTCTAGCGCCACAGGACAATCGTGTCGACCTATCCAGTAATATTTTAATGATGTCAATCAGCTGCTAAATAGTGCTACATCAAGTGGAATTTTATGATCTCCTATGCTTACCTAATAGTACATGCAGTTCTGGCCCAAGCCCTATCAACTATGCATCGATTAAGCCGCTTCGAAAGGACAAAATTAAGCAATGCTGAACGTAAAAGCGAGTGTGGGCGAAATCTAAATAAAAAAATTGCATTGCTAATAATAAATATTGAAATCATCCTAAACCTTGTCGATATGAATCCGTAATGCATCTTTTGAACACCAGCGGTGACCCTCGCCATCAAGCCCGATAAAGCCGACGGATTCACTAGCCCAATCGCAGGTAACATACAGCGATCCCATCCCACTTGGTCAGTATAATATCACCCCGGTCATAATTAATCTGAAGGCGCTCTGTTCGCTGTGGAAGATGGGGAACAAAGGCAGATTGCGTATGCGTCATCCTCAGGGCAGCATAAATATTGCCCGTTGTACTTCAGGTAGACTATGCCCTGCACGGTTTCGACTGGTAAAGATATTGCCGGTGCCGGGGCGAGCCATGAGTGTACGGTCGACGACATGGATCCCAGCAGTGTCGCCTTTAAAGTGCTGGCTATCGCCATCATCGCTGTCACTGTCATCCGAGTCATCCGAGTCATCGTCATAGTCACCACGATTCGAAACCACAAGGACAAACCTGTCTCCATCATGAACCTCGTTCGCGTTCATATCCATCAGCATAAACTCATTATCCAGCAAGCGCGTGGGCGGCTGGCAATCCTCAGAACGGCCACTCTCTTTCTCGTCAAATGCGCTGCTAGCGGCAAAATCCGTCCTGTGGCCGATAATAGGCGAAGCATCTGGGGGTGGGCATAGGGCTGCAGCCATCATCGGCCTTGCCGACATTGAAGCACTGGTATACGCCCTCCTCATATAAAATGAAGTAGTTATTGCAGCATCCTTTTGCGGCCCTAGTAGTCTTAGCGAAACGCAAAAGGTCCCTGTTCCTGTAGCGGAATACAATCGTGTTGTCGTTGAGCAAACCGACGTTCAGCTCTCCGACGCTGTCAATGTGGGCAAAATAGATAACAGGGGGTTCGGGGTAGTAAAGCAAGCCATTGCGTTGAGATAGGTTGGCCCATCTGAACTTGTCCACGAAGCCGAAGTAAATCGCCAAACTGATGTAGTTTCGGGATATGTAGTCGCACTTTGATGGGCCGCCAGGAATGTTGTAGACTGTGAAGAAGTCTCTTGCGAACACAATAAATGGTTTGTTGGACGAGCTCTGGTGTCGGACCGCCTGCTGCTCGCTGTCGACGTCGATGAACTGCGTTTCGTTATCAATGAAGCACGGATAGATGCAGCGGCGATTAACGTGGATAGGGACGAAGACAGTGAGCATAGCGAGTGGAGATAGGCATAAATGGTGGAGAAAATAGTGTGGAGCCTGAAAGTGCAACGCAACGGTCTGGGAAACCGTGTTCATTTTAAATGAACCATGAATGGACTGCGTAAACCGCATCGCTTGAGAGATAAACCCCCGATAAAGAGTCTGCTAATCAAAACAGTCCAAATTTTTTCTGATGGATCCGCGCCTGCTATTTTTGCTGCTGGGATTTCCTGGCCGGTTCGCAGTGGAACTGGCCGGTTCTTGGCCGGCAAGCCTACATATATTTTCTCATAGCCAATATGTTTTTGCACATGCCCTAGGCCCAGCATAATTCATTGTGGCATGCGGTGAACAATTTTCGGCCGATTCGAAATTGCGTTGACAATCCTTGGCGCTCCTTGGTATGGCCAAACTGCGTTGCTCTGATACGATATTCTCAGAAGCCCCTCCCTCATGGCCAGTGCTGCATTTGCGTCTGCTGGATCTCAACAGGACGCAAAATGCCGAGCTTCACATGCCGGAGAATATCAATTGAGAATCAGTTTGAACGATCGCGTTGATAAGACGATACTAGCAGAGCCTTCCACCTTGTGTATTCGACACCTCGTATATACAGGAATCTTGCCCTTACAGTCAACCACGCCATCTACAGACTATTGTTGTGGTTATTGATACTTGCACATGAAAACAACCCGGATATGTATACGTTGTGTTTTCCGCTTTGTAACACCGGTGGATATCGCACGGCCACTCGCAATGCTGCTGCTTCCAGTACCATACACAGCTCCGGTAGGAGTATGCTTTTCATTGTCGAACATACGCCCTATTTGCATGGGACGCCATAGGACTGCGCGTATCTTGGCAGTCTTGTTTTGAAACGGCCATGAAACCTAGCAAGGTACAATCAATACAGCATGGTATTTTTGAAACAGTTACAGATCATTGGTGCTCCAAGAATAGTGCATGTTAACCCTGGTATTCCACATACTAGTACTAGCGGTCTATAACCACAGTTCGATCTATTGTTCATCATGAGGCGGTTCTTCCAAGGCTGTGTAATGTGAGTACACAGAGCAAGTGGTGCAGAACTGTGCCTGCTTAGGGCATATTGTCCACACGCATTCGACAGCAGCTTCCCAAGTGCTAATCTCCAGTAATATTAAATCAGTCAGATCATCCTTTTCAGTAATCATTGTTGATTTCATGCTGGACTTGGTGCCTCCTCTCATCACTGTAGTTTTTCCTTCAGCTATTTATCTCAATTACCTTGCCACTGAATGCATTCTACACTGGCGACAGCATGCAAATGCGTGCGGTCCAAAAGCATTCCTAAACTGGTGCCTGTACGCTGCCAGCGTGTTTACACACAGCTGCCGCTTGGCGCCGGGCGCACAAGGCTGCGAATGCCGCTAGACAGCGAAGTACCAGCACAGCAGAACAACGCACAGCCCTTGATCCACGCCATAGACCCATATATAAGCCCAGAAATCACGCAGCTGTTGGACAAGGAGGTTCAGCACCTTCCTGGATCGCATCACTGGCGATTGAACAAGCCTGAGAGGAAAAGATAGCGACTGGCGAAGACAGCAAGGAAAACATCGCATTCGGTTCCACTTGACGCAGAAGATCCAACAGCTCCACCGTGAGGATTATGATGAAGCAGCCCATGGTTCTACACTTGTTCGACGACATGTAATGGTGCGGGAACTCGAGACTACACTAGCTGAGTTTGAGCAAAATCGCCGATATGCAGCCTGACAACTGCCCTGATTCGTTTTCTCGATATAACAGCCGAGCCGGCGCTCAGCTCGACGGATGCATCAGAGATTCCTGGCCAAAGCGTTGGCACAGTACAAGAAGATCCGTGTTAGCTCTAACTCGCAGCAACTTATACCACAGATTCGCCCTACGTATGCGATTCTGTTGATAACCGAGCTTAACTTCTCGCGCTCGTCGCTGTATTACAGCAGCCGCTTCGACCTGATCATTCAGATATATGACGACTTTGCTCGGATGGGCAGCCCAATCACCGACACTCTGGCGTTCAGCCTGTACCTACGAGCACTGAACGAGAGAGGCATGCATCGGCAGGTATTTACAGCAATCGAAAACTACAACAAGCTGCCTGGCACGACAACCAAGGATGTATTGTCAGCGGCTGTGATACGGCAATTATTGGCGGCATATTTTGGCGCTGGACGTCCAGACAAGGCCGTGGAACTGTTTGATATGCTGCGGACGAGCGATGCACACCGAGTACAGTTGACTCCGCACACGTATACGAAAGTTATCGAGGGAGGGACTACAGTCGGGATATCTCAACAATGGCGAGCTGTTGGCACTAGTGGACGAGCTCCTGGATCTGCTAATAACCAGTAAAACCCCTGCAGAACAGCACATAGGCGTCTTGAATCAGCTGCTACAGATAGCGGGGTTGAGCAGCAACTACGACTTTCTGTTCGCCGCCTTGGAAAAGTTCCTGGCCCGCAAAGTCGCAATTAGCTACACAACATTTGCTATCCTGCTAAAGGTCCATGCCCAGATCCAGCCTGACGTCTCCCATATGCTGAACTTGTACCGGCTGATCACCTCACACAAGCAGGCGCAGAGCATGATGACGACACCGGTGTTTAGTGCCTTCATTGATTACTTTGTGCGTGCCAACAAGTTAGGCGCATGCTGAGAGCGTGTTGGAGGACCTGCGGCAGCATCCAATTGCTCAGCCAAACATGCGCACAGTCGGGCTGCTGATGGCACGGTATGGCAAAGCGGGACTAATGGACAGGGCACTATCGCTGTACCACAGGATCGTCGACAGAGGACAATATTGTGCCCGACTGGTCAACATATATGTTGCTAGCTGAAGCCATATACCGCAGCGCCTATCCGCTTGACCGAGTGTCGCCTAGCCTGGAGGGGTTCGAACAGTTCGACTCGTTGCTTGTGGATATAATCCACCAAGGCAGGGCGAACAACTACAGCGGTATGTTTTCGGCGTTCTCGGAGCTGCGGTTGCTGGCGCCGACCAGCATGATGCCGCTAGTGGCTGTGTTGTTCCAGTCTTCCAATATTGCTCGCAAGCGGGTACGTGCGATCCAGAACGGACCCATGGCAATTACTCGGCTTGGTGCAGGTTTCCCCACAGATGCAGAGTTTGAACTCTTTACAGCAAACTTCCGTACCTGTGTTGACGACTTGCTCAGTTCGTCGGAAAACGGGCTGCCTGTAAAGCAGTTTCTGTTCAATATGGCGATCTCAATATCGGCTCAGATACGGGACTACGATACCACGCAGCGGGTTTACGACTATCTCGCCAAGACCGAAGGCATGGAGCCCACTGCCCAGACGTTCCGGGCGTTGATCCGGTCGTACATCAGCAGCTTCGACTATGCCGGCGCAACCGATGTCTTGGATGAGCTGGCAACCCGCAATGTTCCGCTGTCCTGCATCACATTCAACGCCCTAATCCATGGGTTCATTGCCGCAGGCCTACCTGAGCAGGCCATCAAGGCGTACTCCTTCATGGTCGGACGTCCCGTAGCCTCTGCTTGAGGCGCCAGAGTTCAAGGACTTTCTGCCTGTCACCAGGCCTGATATCTACACGTTCGCGACTATGGCCGATGGGCTAGTCAGCGCGGGTATGTTCAAGGAGGCCATTGTGGTGTTTGAGGATTCGTTCACGCTGCTAAGCTATGTGCCAAGGCAACTGCTGGAGACACTGGTCAGTAGTCTGGAGGAGAAAATGCAATTCGACTTGTCGCAAATCTGCCTGAAGCGGTTTGGTCGGCGGATTGAGGAAAGTCAGCCCGCGGAGGTCCAGGTTGCGACGTCTGACGGCAAGCAAATTGCTATGGCAGAGACGCCGGCGGACAAGCTGCCGCTATCGTACTTTGGGTACCTGCTCCAGCGCAGCCGCAGAATGTAAGGCATCATCGCTGCATTTCATTTTGCATATCACGCAGCAACCCCTATACTGGTCCCCGGATCCGGTTGATTTGTCACGATGATCCCACCGCTGGACCTGGGCTGGCTGACAAATATGCTGGCCCTATTTGAGGCGACCGACTGTCTGCTGCTCTTTGTGCACTGCACTGTAAACTGCTTTCTACTTCATGTTTCTGAATCAACTTTGCAATCGCACCAATTTACTTTACCGCATTCGACAAATGAGCAGCACCACCCGAGAGTTCCTTGCCAACCGGCCCACGTACGCCCAGGATGTCAGCAAGCTGCAGCCCTTTATCGACCTTGCTGTTGACTGGCAGGCCTCGCATGGCGTTGTGCTGCGGGCGCCCCAGCTCAGTGGCGCTGATGCCCCGTGGCTCAAGGCTGCGCTGACGCCAGCACCAGTAGCACTTGCACCCAGCCCGATTCCTCGCACCGAGTTCGAGAGGGTCGTCCAGCTGCAGCCAATTCTGAACCAGCTGTTCCATCGGATTGCCAACGACCACGAGTTTCTGGTCAGCACACTCGAGAGCCTGGGCAGCGCCGATGAGTTTACTGCCAGGGTGTTCAAGATGTACTTGGATCAGCGCGAGCTGAATGTCGAAAAACCGGCCGTTATTGGCGTGCACAGGTCGGACTATCTTATTGATGCGCCAGCTGCGGAGCCAGCGTCGGTTCCCCGAGCCAAGCAGGTGGAATTCAACACGATTGCAGCATCGTTCGCCTCGCTGTCGTCGCTGGTGGGGGACCTGCACAGGTAGGTGGCTGACGTGGAAACCTTGGCGATGCTGCCGACACATGGAGGGCAGGCAAAGTGGCATGCCACTGCTCAAGCTCTTTGTTTCTGTAGGTTCCTGCTCGCCAGAACTGGATACGAGGGCCTCATCGAATCCGGCTCGATCGAGCCGAGTCAGCTGCCAACCAATGAGTCTCTGACGAGCATTGCGGATGGCATTGCGGCTGGTTTTAGTCTATACGGAAACTCAGGGTAAGTAGATAGCTGCTCTGCGGCATCATCGTGCATTACATGTGAGATTTCTCCGCTGAAGCCTCGCGCTCCTCCCCGCATCTTTTTTTGGGGGCGTGGATGTGTGCAGCGGGCAGATGTCAGCGAATGTGAAAGAGCAAAATTTTTCTTGTTCGAGATCGGCTAAGCATGCGGCAAATCGTTGAGAAAATAATATTTCCCCATGTGTGCGCTGTCCTTGTAGTGCAGTTGTGGTGATGGTCGTCCAGCCCAATGAGCGGAACGTGTACGATCAGCGGTGGGTCGAAACAGGGCTGTGGGAAAAGTGAGTGTCGAGTGTTTGGCAGGTAGCGCAAGAGCGAAGGCACAGAATGCGCTGGCAACAAAAGCAGTGCCCGTTAGCACTAGGTTTACTAAGCCCCTTGGGACACGCATTGAACTGCGATCATGCCTTTGTTCGCTGCTCCCTCAACCAAAACATAGGCACCACATCAAGACAATCCGCCTGTCGTTTGCAGAAGTTCTCGAGAAATGCACTTTGGATGAGAACAACCGCCTGTTCATGTAAGTAGCTGCTAGCCAGACCTGAGTCAATGGTGCGGTGGCGCACGATGCACGCCATCCTGTTGGCGGTGTGGCTGGGTGCTGGCCAAAACATAACCTAATTTAGAAATCCAATGTTGTACATTCACCACATTGCATTTGTAGCAATGGCGAGGAGATTGCGGTAGCCTACTACAGGTCGGGATATGCGCCAACGGACTTCCCAACTGAGCAGGAGTGGCAAGGCAGATGGCTTATTGAGAAGAGCCGCACTGTTTCTGTTCCCAACCTCGCATACCACCTAGCGGGCTGCAAGAAGATCCAGCAGGTGCTGGCCCAGCCAGGCGTTGTTGAACGGTAAGTTAGCAGGCTGGTAGCGAGAAAGTGCGCCTGCGTACCCGCGTTCCAAAAATGGCAATGTAATAATATAGACACTTGTTTTGATTCTTTGCCCTCCTGTAGGTTCATTGACGATCTTGGTACGGCCGATCTCGTCCGAGAATGTTTTGTCGGTCTCTATCCATTGGACGAGACCAAGGATGGACAGGATGCAGTGCAGACTGCCAAGAGCAACCCTGACAAGTACGTGGTCAAGCCCCAACGCGAGGGAGGAGGTAAGTGAAGTGCTACGGTGTCGCTGGTCCCTGGCGAGGAGCGCGGCCTCAACTCCGTGGTGTGGGAATGATGGCAGATATCGTGGGAGTCGCCAAGAATGTACTGAGCCTTGGCCCATGATAGGTTACAACACGTATGGCGGCGACATTCCGCCGCTTCTCGAGAAGCTCAGCGCTGAGGAGCTCCGGGGCTACATTTTGATGGAGCTAATCAAAGCGCCTGGGTTCAAGAGCGTGCTGCTACGTGACGGTGCACTGTTTGCGTCGGAGGTCGTCAGCGAGCTCGGAATTTACGGCATCTGGGTTAGGTAAGGCTTGGCCAACAATGCGATGGCATGGATAGGGGAGGCACCTGGCGCACATCATGATGTGCATGCAGCCTCTTTCCCCACATTATGCGCATGGTGATGTAATATCATTAATGGTCTCTTTTTTCAAGCATTTTTGCCAGTGTGTTCGCTGTTTTCTCTGTAGTGATGCCAGCGGGTCTGTAGTTGTAAACAAGCATGGTGGGCACCTGCTTCGGACCAAATCCTCGGATGTATATGAGGGTGGTGTCGCTGCTGGATTTGCAGTTATCGACTCGCCGCTGCTGGTATAGTGGCAGCAGGCTGGCAAGCGGTTATTTTTAGCAAGACAGACTGTGACCAGGAAATACCGGATGGGCCTGTCACCATTGTGAAATGATGTGACCGCATTTCGTCCCCACTCTGCCCACCATCTTCTACGCCCGCCTTCTCGGTCACAGTTCGGGTTTTTCAGAAACCAGACCACAGTTGGGCAGGAATTTATTTTATTGCCCGTTTTCCTTTGGGTTCGTTTTTTAATAGTAGCTGGTTTGGTGGCTGCATTACAGGAAAATCGCCTTTATGTGGTCCACAGGGGATGTCATTGCGGCAAATGAGAGCGCAAGAAGTACACTAGCGCGGGATTTCCGAATACATGCAACAAGGCCGGCCATCTCCGTGTAGTCCCTACTTTTGTGGGCAAGGTAGTAGCCTGGTGAGCAAATGAAATAGTGTGCCCAAAACCGCGCCTGATTGCTCACAGGCGCCTAGACATGCACATTGGCCAACAGACGGCGGACAGGCGGGACATGATGTGTGATCGAGAGGCATCAACAGACATACTCCCTTATTTGTGGCCGTGCATGTCAATATGGCGGTAACACTGGACTAAAAAACGACAAAGCATGTATTACTCGAATGATCAAACAGAAGACTGCTCTAAATGGGACTGGCTATGGGCTTCGGAATCGAAATGTGAGGCATCGCTATCGTCGATCTAGACGGAATCAGCTCTACGAATCGCAGACGTGAAGAAATGACCAGGTTTTTGTGCTGCTGCCTTATATGGGCATCAATCTGCCCTCATGTTATTCACAACGTGCTCGCATCGACAGTGTCGCTCTGTTTATCTCTAGATCTACCAGGTGATAGATTGTGCAAAATGGCGATTTGACTATTGGCATTTTAGCAGCACAGCGCTTTGCATGTGATAGCTTTGCATGTGGCGGACAGAGGACATATACAAGCGGGCAATGTGCAGCGTGCATCTAATGGTTAAGCGTAAACCGCACCCAGGCCAACGCTGTAGCAGCAGGCTTACTGGTGCGAATTCTGGCTGAATTCAGTGTTTATTTGGTGGGAAATCTGTGCCTGCCTGGTGCTCTTGTAGAGACTTCCACAATGTCCGTTTATCCAAAGGATGGCTCAGAGAGTAGCCTGGATGCTGTTGTGGTGGCGATTCGTGGTGTTTGCAAAAACAACAAAACCCCATTGCCGGCTCTTGATTCAAGCCACTTGCGCTTTGAGAGCTGCAGTTAATTCTCAGGCACCCAGAGGCATGGCCTCCGAATACTACCTTTGCTTAGGCCATGCGTATGAGGCACAAGCTGGCAGGCTAGGCACACTAAGGAGCAACATCGGGCAATTTAATGTCCCAAGCCCAGCCAAAAGCTGAAGACAGAATAAAGGGGGTGGCAGGAGGGGGTGTTCGTGGGCGGGGTTCTTTGCATTGCTTGCAGAGGGTGGCTTCCGAAAACTTTGTGGAAAGGTGGCCTCTGAGATTGGCGATTAAAAATGGACGAAATCAAGACACAGGAAACGAACGATGAGAGGGTATCTGAGACCCGTCTGAGTCTCAAAGGTGCTCGCTCTAGCACTTTCTGGCTGAGGCTCTCTCCCCTCCTTCAAAAGACCAGTGTCGGACACGCATATTTTCTTTCACATTTCCCTTGCCGCGCATTATTTCTCGTACCCCTTTCCCTTTTTCCTTCGTCCACTTCATTTATCCTCTTTTTGTTTGCTTCCTGGTCACATCCCTTACCGAGGCTCTCGCTCTTTTCCCTTTCAGCCTAACCACATCGCTGGTCACGGTTGGACATGTGCTAGGCTGGCAACTCGCTCATTATATCCAGAGAATTCTCAGTGTAAACAGTGCGAGGCATTATAGGTATGTGTGCTTATCTGCTACCGAGCCACCACATGTGGCTTTCCCCTGCGTTTTTTCCCTTCGAAGCTACACAAAACCGAAATCCAAGAAGCCCCATGCATACTGCTGTTGTCGTTCGCATGTCGCCCAGCTGCCTGCCATGGTGCTTGCGTTTGGGTCCAAGGGCCATTGTCGCAGGCCCATCCATGTATCAGTGAGCTCTTGCCCTTATTTAATCGGACTCGCCCGCTCCACTTACTGCGTTCCCCCTTTCTCCCATGCTGGTTTACGGTCTTTTTGGGCTTGGGAGCCACGCCCATGTCTCGCCTGCCCGCCGACCAACAATCGATCCCGAAGCAATTGTCACCACAGAATTGGCTCGAAATAGCCCCCTCCTGCTACTGCAGATAATCATGCGCAGCTTTCCCCTGTTCAATTAATCTGGCTTGGCAGAGAAAAATATGAAAATGCGGCAATTCTTTACTGCCTGTGTTCAAGCAGAGCAGACTTCCACCCCTCTATTTCTGATTTTGAGTCTGTCCGGCTCACAACCAACCCCCCTTCCCCTCCCCTGCTTTTTAGTGGAACCCACACATAGTTCAGGCTAACACTGATCTTGAATGCGACTATTTCCTTTTTCCCTTACCCATCCCAGCAAACCTTTTGGTCTGTGTGGCCACAGACGCAGCCCGCTTTTCTCATCCCTTTTTCTGTATTTAAACGATAAGCCTCCCCACCACTCGGGCGCTAAGAAGCACCAGCCGATTGTTTTCTTCTCAGCTCCCCTCTCTCCTCCTTAGTCTTTATTTTTCAGTGCCTTTCTCGTTATTTCTTTACCATCAGTATTTTTGTTTTCGATTTGAAATATTCATGTAAATATCGTCTGCACATCATAGTCCTACGTGCTACCAGAAGACCTTAGAGCCAACGCGTGTCGGCCTTCGTTTTGCTTTGCTGTGTGAAAAGAGTAACGTGCTAATCTTGCGAGTTATCCGAGTTTCTTTTGTTGTAGAGATCTCAGTGACATTTCCCCTTTCGCTTTGCTATATTTGCCCCTATAGTTCAAGGAGCCTTTTTTTCTTTTCATATCCTGCACCCGGCATATTCCCTCTCTCCTCCTCTTCTTCGTCTTTTTTATTCTTCTCATTTCCTTCGTCATCCTTATTATCAGTGAACCCCCTTTCTCTGTAACACCACCACTCCCTTTATATTATTCTCACCCTCGTTATACACATACTTCGCACCAAAGCGGCAGTCCAAATAGCTGTCTCTCTCTCCTCTCTCTCTCTCTCTCTCTATTCATGACAAACTTACTGGAATCAGCGGAATCTGGAGAACACAGCGACAGCTACGACAACTACGACTCCAAGTGCCAGCCAGCTGAGCGAATACCAGCATATCGGAACGAAGCTGATATCCGGTCCCTCCCACCGCATTACTTGCCAGACAGTGGAGCGCAACCTATGGCAGCGACCACAGACGGTGGATCAGACCCTGCAAGGGGGTATAGTCATCCTGAACCACGCTCGGATTCAGTTGGTGGAATGGCAGTTCAGCAGGCTACACATCACCACTACCAGCATCAGCAGCATCAGCAGCAACAACGCCTACCACCAGGCGGGCCACTGGAGATTATACATGGCTCCAGCCCGATTGGACCCACGGACAATGCCGATACCAGACGACAACCTGTCAAAAATCAACCCGCGTTTAAGGTAAGCTAGAAAGCTGCTGTTGTTCAGCGCTATAGCGAATGTTGATTCTGTGTAAGCTAGGATGTTGCCTGAGGCTCTCTGGCAATCATCCTCCTTCTGCTGAAAGCTCTCTGGAGCTGACTGTAGAGACTGCTTATTGTATTCATGTGGCCGAATCTCGTTATGGATATTTACAGTCTCATCGACTGTGTACCTAGGAGTGTGTTTTTGTGATCGGAGGAAGGGTAAACGGCCCTGATGAACGAGGTGCATGGCTAGAGTGGTCTTGACAGTTCCCTTTTTCTGTCTACAGTTCGTGCGCCTTAGTAGTAGTGGATGCCGGCACGACACGCATACTGGTGTCAATCTCCTCCTATCAGCGCTTTCCTCTCCGTATACCCTTAGTGATGCCATGTCCTTTTTTGTTCTGTAAATGATGCTTAAAGCATGTTTCTTTGGAACTTCCAGTGTCGCTGAACAGTTTCAATTTCCTGTGCATCCTCCAGCTTTCCCACCAGTCCCGGACACCACTTCACCCCTATGTATTCTTTTTTGTCAATGGTGTACACTGCCCATCAATGGGTGTCATTCACGAGTTTCTGTGGGATAGGGAGTGATTCTTCAGATGAATGACGGAGGCCGTCAAGAAAATCCGCACACCTGTTGGGACAGTCTTTGTGTGTGCGTGTACTCGTCCAGCGTCTGGACCTGACTGGATGGGCTATGCATTTGCCCAAAAACACGTTTGTACATCTTTCCTCCTTGCTCCTATCACTGCTGGCATTCTGTGAAGGGAAGGCGATCCCAAATGGAGGGACTACTCCGTGCCTGACGAGTGTCAGCAAATGAAAGTTTGTCGGTCATACTGCGTGAATAGCGATACTTTCAGGTTTACGATGTCGCTCCCCCTTTTAGGATGTTCAAACTAGTCATCGTTCAGCAGCCGATCCGGGCGCGGATGTGTGGATCTTCGGATAAGGACTGGCGTCCTGTGTCGCCGCCGCCTGTGCTGAAACTTGTTCTTTACGATCACGACGGAAATTCGGTCATTGAGTAAGTTGGTTTGGAAAACATTCGAGAGATCGGCAACCCCCAGCCACAGCGCCAGCAGAGGATGGCTGGAATGAATAGTTTGGAATGTAGAAGGTTTCTCACGCTTCCTTTTTCCCTCGCCGCCCCTTGCCCAAAAGGAAGCGGGCAGGAGGGTGCGCGGTGGGGGTGGGAAGGGGCCCAAAAGAAGGCAGGGATTTGCAGCAAGACTGTTGGCATTCCATGTTGTGTATTCGTCCTTGTGTAACTCGTTAGGCTAATTTAAAATCGGGATGTGATTCTAATTCGGCTTGTAGTAATTCTTTTATGCAACACCTGGTGATACACACCACGCTATGGAAAGACAGCGAGGAGGAGGAGCTCACTGTCGTAGAGCTGCCACACAACACGAATAGCAAGCGCATCTCAGCGGCAGCAAAGAGCCGAAAGCGCGGCGTGACGCAGTTTGGCTCAGCGCTGGAAGCCGGGCCTAGAGCTTGAGAACAACTTGCTGGGCGACTACACGGCAAGCTCGTCGATTGTGGAGGACGAGGCCGGAGAGAAAGGCTGTTTCTTTGTGTTTCCCAACCATGTCTATCCGCCTCGAAGGCCGGTACCGGTTACGATTCTCGCTGATAAAGCTCCCGAGGTAAGTGACGTAACCCGGGTTACACGATGGTTACTATCTGCCCGCAATGTAACTGGTAGTCGTGGCCGTTTGGTTCTAACCGAATGACCTGCTTTGGCCGTTTTTTGTCTCTGTAGCATGGATGATTACCAACAGCCGATGGTACCCATGTGCATTTCTAGCATATCCACAAATGCGTTCGATGTATATTCGATCAAGACATTCCCAGGCATGATAGGTAAGGGCAACATGGGACATCAAATGCCTACGCGCTTGCTTTGTCTGGCTGCTAGCTAATTGGTCATTTATGCGTGTAGAATCCACCCCACTGTCAAAGGCGTTAGCACAGCAAGGTCTCAAGATACCTATCCGAAACACGCAGGATAGCGCCTGACTGGCTTCCCCCTCCCATTGCTTTCATATTCCCACTTGTTTGCTTTGCGGACGCTACTTCAGCATGGCATCCCTTACCATTCCCACTTCGCATGAGCCATTCGCCAGCTACATTATCAGCACTTGCCACACACACAATATGACTTCAACAATCAACTAACAATAAACTACACTCCAGCCACATGCCAAACAAGCCGCATATGCGCCACATACTATATGACCAAAAATGGATATCGGTGATTCTAGATCCTGCAGAACGAGAACAATGTAGACATGTCCACGAAATCGACGCGCAGACACTGACATATACGAGTCGACAACAGAAGCCAGCTTCGAGATATGCTCCATGTGTGCATCTCTGATGATACGGACGTCGCTGGCAGGCAGGCCCAGGCGTGTGGCCGAGCGCTCGGTATTGAGAATAGCGCTGAAGAACAGGATCTGGATTGTACAGCATCTTGTCCGTATACACCTCGTGCAGCTTGCCCGAGCAGTGCGGGCGCAGACAGCGCGATCCAGCAACGGACATGGCGCGCGAGTGCAGGCCGCAGGCAGGCTCATCACAAGCCATCTCGAAGCAGTAGTACCTGCGTATATGGTGCCTGATCACCAGTGCCATCTGGGTGGCGAGCTGGGCCGGCGTCGGCAGGGCATTGCAGTGTGTGCAGGAGAGGCCGCATTCGGTTTTGCTACCCTGTGCACGCACAATGCCGCCAACCTCATACTGCAACTTGCATTCGGGGCATGTGGCCATGAAGGGCTGGGCGAGGCGGAAGCGCTCGGTGTCGGAGATCTGCGAGTCCAGGGTGCGCAGAGCGTCAGCGGGCTGCGGCTCGCTCGAGCGGATGGCACTGTGGTATTTGCTGGCATCGAGGCCAAGGCACTGTGCCAGGGTAGGCATATCGGTGCCATCCAGGGGATCGAGCAGGCGGGCACATGGCGGAAGGACCTGCTGGTTGAGGTACCAGTCGCTGTCTGGATACAGCTGGCCGGCAGACTCCTTGATCTCGTCCGGGTGTCTGGCACGCTCAGCATAGCTGTCGCCGCTGACGCACTTCGGGTCGCAGACGACATAAGGGACAGTATCGCCTTGGCGAACTGCCTGGCCCTTTTCGCGCATGCGCAGGGCGACCTGGACGTGGGGCTGGGATTTCTTGTCCGCGTACGTCTCGGGTGCCTTGGTGAGGCCCTTGTGGATCACGTATTTGTCGAGCGGCACCTGCTTGGCGCGGACGGCATCGACCGACCCTCTGCAGGTGGTCGTGGATTTCGGCAATGACGGCAGGCCTCGTCGGTGTTGTTTTGGAACATGCGCTTGAGGACAAAGTCCGAGACGTCGTGCGAGAGCTCGCACCAGTCGCGGCGGACCAAGTCCAGGCCCTTGGTTTCGAGCTTGGTTTCGCCGCTGGGGGAAATGAGCAGGGCGGCGTATTTTTTCTTCTTGAGCAAAAGCAGGCGCTTGAAAACGCCGTCGATGTCGAGCTCCAGCAGACGGTAGCGCTCGTTGACGCGGCGCTTAAACTGGCCACCCAGCGAATAGACGTCAGCGAGCTCGTCGGTCTGCGTGGCGATCATGATTGAGTCAGTGTCGCCATAGATTACCTCGAGGCCATCGGAAAGCGCCAGGTCGCGGGTGGCCTGGAGGATGTCGCGGCCGCGCGAGGTAATCAGCATGGCCAGGGGCTTGGCGTAGAAGCGCGAGAAGGTGAAGCCGAGACAGCCGTACATGGAGTTGGCCGTGAGCTTGAGCGCACGCTGGCGCACGTCCAGCTGCTCTGATTCCTCGTGCGATAGGTTCGGGGCCTTGAGCAGCTGCTTGACCTGGCGGCGCCTGTCCACCAGCGTCTTGAGCAGGCGCGGCAGAATGCCGGCAGGCGTGTCAGGTGACGGCAGGTCGGGGTTCTCGGCGGTGCGACGGACCGTGGTGAAGCAGATGTTGAACTCCTGGATAATCGACGGGTACAGCGAGTTGAAGTCGAGCAGGAGCACGTAGCGGTCGTAGAAGCCGCGCTTGGGCTCGAGCACGAGACCGCCCATGTAGGCGGGCTTGCGGCGGCCGGTCTGGACCTCGGGCTGGTCGTCGTCATCATTGGCCTCGGTCGGCTGCGCCTGCTTGCCAAAGACCTTGTCAGGGCGGATAAACTTGTTGCGGTAGAACTCGTGCAGCAGCAGGAACTCGTTGCGCTCGGCGCGGGCGCCCATGAGCGTGCGCGACCACAAGTTGCCGGCCAGCGTAGGTCAGCTGCTTTTGTCAGCGGCAGCGCCTGCAGGTGGATTGTCAGGGAGGCGGCCAGGAATGCGTCGAAGGCGGTGTGGCGCAAAAAGAGCACCAGCTTCTGCGACGTAGCAAAGTACTCGGGAATGCGCTCGAACGGGATTTCCTCGCGCTTGATCTGCAGCTCCTGGGCAGCCAGCGAGCTCATTGAGTATGACTTGGCGCGGATCAGGTCCTTGCTGGCCATGTATGTGTCGCAGACGACGCGACCGGCGACAATCTGGCGCTCAGCGTAGCCTGACCCGCCAGTGCTCATATTGGGCCACTGGATGCGACGCAGCCGTCCGAGCTTGGACCAGCCGTCAGTGCGCAATGCGCGCATGCGGTGCAGTAGCACGTCGAGGTCGAAGCCGTAAAAATTGTGGGAGATCAGAATGTCCGGGTCGATGCGGTGCAGTATTGCAATAAAGTAGTTGAGCAGCGCAGTTTCCGACTTAGCACACTTCGACTGCCAGGCCGCGCTGGCGCGAGAACTCGGCTGGCAGCGGGATGCCGGTGAGCTGGCGCACGACGGTGTACTGGTCGGCCTGGCGCTCGGCGGCCGGCTTGGGGTCGTCGAGCTTCATGTTGCGGTGGACAAGCATGCTGAGGGCGACAACCTCGTTCTCCTTCGCCTTGTGGTTCATGACGGTCTTTAGGCTGAGCGTCATTGTGGTCAGCGGGGGCTCGCGCGGCAGGGATTTCTCCTCGATGGCAGAGTCACTCATGACCTTGACGAGTTTGGGGTCGGCAATGGCGCATTCGGCGCGGCACCACGAGAGGCGGTCGTGGTGTTCAACGGGCGTGGCACCGTGCAGCGTGAGCCAGCAAGGGCCCATGATGCGGCGCTTGAGGAGGAACAAGCTCCAGCGCGCTGTATGATGTGCCGAAGGTGCGCTCAAAAGTCGTGCCCCTCATGTCTGCAGGCAGCACGGGCTGCTCGAAGCTATAGACGACCTTCAGGTACTCTGCCTCGCTGGGCACGCCAGCAATTTCGAATGCGTATTTGCGCGTAACTGGCTTGCAGCCAAACTTGCGGATTAGCGGGAGCGCCAGTTTCTCAAACTCCTTGTGGACATCCACGGCATTGAAGCGCTCGCCGGTGGCTGGGTCAATGCGGGGCAGGACAAACACGTTAGCGCATAATGCCTGAGACCTGCACGCAGCAGCTCTGGTAGCCAGCGGCAGTCTGGATTTTGCCAAACAGATAGACTTTGCCGTTCTTCTCAAATGCATCGAGCCAGTACATGCAGAGATCACCCTTTTCGAGCGCCGGGACGTCAGTCTGGGAGGGCGCGGCGGGCTGGCTGGTGGCGACACTAGTTTGCACGTCCATCCAGTTGGTGCCCTTGTCGGCAGTGTCTTCGGCATACAGCGGCTCGATGGGCTTGGCGGGCTCATCCATCGAATGTCGTCCATGATTGCCTCGCCGAGATCGGCCAGGTCTATGTCCACATCCATGTCCACGTCCATGTCCCCAGTAGCAGCTGGCAGCAATTCATGCTCCCTATCCTCCTGCTTGATTGCAAAGACATCGTCGTCATCAACATTCGTCATCGGGCTTCTGCTTCTTGGCGGGCGGCGGACCGAATGGATCAGGCAGGTCGGAAATGTCACTGATGGAGATCCTGGCGCATGGGGGTCCTAGTAGCAGGCTTTTTCTTCGCACTATGCGACATGGGCGTGGTGGGTCGCCGCTTGGCAGACTTTTGCGGAGTCACTGGGGCCTCAGCCTCCAGGCCGCTGAGCAGACTGGAAAAGAACTCGTCGTCCTCGCCAGCTGTTGGCGCCTTGGGCTTGGGGGCGTGGCGGGCCTTCAGCTGGGCATTGCGGAACATGGTGTTGAGCTTCGATGTCTCGGGCTTTGTGATGGGCTTTGGAGTGGGTCCGCTTGGCGGATCTCAGTTTGGGCTGTTTCTTGGGAGTTGCTGGAGTCGCCAAGAATATCGTCGATGCCGGTGTCGACGTAGCCGGAGCCATCGTCGTCCACTACGAAATCGTCGGTGCCGTGTGCTTGCATGATGCGCTGGTACTCGTCCTCATCGACCTTTCTGTACATTTCATCGTCGTCCGAGTCCTAAACAAAAGAGCAATAGAAAGTTAGCATGCGTGTGGAGAGGGGAGAGCTGGCCACAGGTCTGTGTGTGTTGCTGAATTCGGGGCTCCGTACATTCATGAGGTCGAGGGCCGACTTGCCCGTCTCGCGCAGCCGGCGCAGTTTGTCAAACTTGCTCTCCTGCTTGTCGTTGCGAGTGCGCAGTCTGCGGGCAGGCGGAGAAGACATTGTATTATAAAAACGGGCGTAAATAATGCAGTGGAGAGAAGAGAAAGCCGAGTAGGCGCACTCGGGAACTAGATAAAAATTTTATGTGATCAACAAAAGAAGAGGAAAATAAAAAAACGCGTCTGCTACGCGTCTACTCATTCAGCTCACCACGTGGATTTGCACAAGTAATGAGCCAGCTCGGCACCTGCCCAGGCAATAGCCAGCTCGGACACCAAGGGCACCGGCAAACCCCGAGAACAGCGACGCTACGCCTGCCCGCCTGCACTCGCCCACTAGGCAGCTGAAGAAGCCCGAGTATCCGAAGCGCGTCAGGCCGGCCTCGTCGCCCATCAGGCGGATGATGACGGTGTCCACGGGGAACAGCACAGCACAGGACAGGATCTCGGCTAGCATCAGGCTGATAGGTGCGCGGATACAGACACAGCTTGGTCTGAGCTATCTCGGGCGACTGCTCCTGCAAGGGGACGGGCGACCGCGCGGGCTCCTCAAACACAACCTCGACCGCGTCATCGAATACCGCCGATGCACCGATAACGCCGTGTCTGCGCGGACGCGTTTTCCACACGGGCAGACCGATGCGACGCAATGCATGGGCAATGCTGGCTTTGGCCGAGCGCGTCAGGCCGGCGACCGAAAAGTACGCCGACACCACTGCAGGCGACGTGACCAGGCGCGTCAGATAATACGCAGCCTACGCCCTGCGCCAGATTCCCCAGCACATCGCGCAGGTACGCGCACAGGACCGCCCCGCGCGGACCGCGCAGCATTACGCGGTCGCGGATCCACCCGAGTCCCGGCCTCCAGAGCCCCGGCGGGCTCGGCGAGTCTGCGTAGATGCGCACCACCAGAGACTGTCGGAACAGCCCGTAAAACGCCCCATATGTCAGGTAGTGCAGTGCGAATGTTCGCCAGCATCGCCAGCACTGTGCGGGACTCGCCCGGGTAGATGATACTGAGGATCGCGCCGATGCCGCTCAGATGGTAGCCGACTCGACCACCGGTAGATGCTGCCCAGCCACGCGCCTTTTGCCAGCCGCTGCCACATGCTTTGGTGGCCCAGCGAGCCGAATCCCACCGAGGTGTTGGCGAACTGCGCGCGGATCACCAGCGTACGTACCGGGTAGCGCACCAGCCCCACCAGGGCTTTTGTTAGGATCATGGCCGATTCGGGCATCCAGAGCCGCTGCTTCAGCGTGGCCAGGCGCGCGGGCCTGCTGGGGAGGGCCTGGGGCGCGGGCGAGTCCTCGTCTAGAAACCCAAATCTCCGCAGGATCTCGGTTCCGGCCTGCTCAGTCTGCAGGCGACTCCACCGGCTCGTCTGCCGGGCCCAGCACCGCGCGCTCCAGGACTGTCGTAACCATTAAAAGGGGTTCCGCAGCAAGAATAGAGAGAGAAAAATGTGAGTGCTAACAAAAAAGGGCCTGCCTTGGCTGCAGGCGAGCAGAGTCATGTGGGCAAGGCACTTCCTCTCTCCAGACTCGATGCCGGCTGGTGATTGGCTGGCGAGCCCACGATTTATTAGCATGGCCAGGTGAAGAGAATAAAAAGTGGTTGGGGATAAATTCCGTGGAGGGCTGCCGGGATGGCCGCCATCCTTTTCTCCTTCTAAATTTTCGCTTTTGCAAAATAAATACTTCTTATTATTTTTCGCAAAAACGAAAACCTAGTTGAATTGAGAAGCGTCCTTTCTGAATTCTTTCTCTAGCAAACCCCCACCTGTATATACCTATTCCAATACCCCCTTGTATTTTGCCTCTAAGACCACTTTCCCTCCTGTCTCACTTTTTCACCTGCCCCTCCAAAGCAGCCCTCCTCACCGCAGAGCTAGCCAAACAACTAGAACGCACCCGCGTGCCCCTCCCCCACTCTATCTCGCAAAGTCCTATTTATAATACCCTTATAAGAGCTATGGCTGTGAAGACGATGGACGCACTAGTCAGCCGCAACAGCACGGGCATTTTGCCTGCCAGCCACGGCTATGCAAATACGAGTCAGTCGCCAGTTCCGACACTGACCAACTCGACCTCGCGGTCCTCCTCCGCGTCATCGAGCGTCAACACATTGTCGCCAGACTCTGGGCTCGCCACAACGCCGCGTGATCTGCTGCCGCAGTTCAACAGCGCCGGCAAGCGCAAGCACCAAGAGCCGATAGAGCAAGAAGCATCCGACGCAGAGCCGCGGCCAAAGCACAAGCGGCGGCGAGCCCAGGGGAAGCGCAAGCTGACGGGCCGCGCAGACTTTGTGCGGCGGCTGGGCCTGTATTCGATGTACGAGGAGTACGTGCGTCCATACACGGGCGACCGGGTGCTGCCGGACATGGTGACGGCGTACCTGGCGGGTGTGCAGGGTGCCGTGAAGATGCAGGCGCCCGGGAGCGTGTCGTTGCGTGACTTGGTGCTGAATGCCGCCGAAGAATGAGTTTGACCGCCTGGAGATTTTGCCGCTGGCGTCGATTCGTCCGGCCTTCTCGATTGGCGCCCAGCCGGCAGAGCGCCCGCGGGTGCGGGTGCGTTTGAGCTCCGACGACAGTCTTGCTGAGCGTGCTGGAAAGGTTGGTATTTTTTGCATTGTGCTTGCTGCAATGGGGAGGAGGCCGTTTATGACCCAATATTACTCACCTTTATCTTTTTTTGTCTCTAGGATGACCACCACTACCGTCGTCGCCAGCCGTCGGCAGCTGGATACTGAGGGCTGCATCTTTTTCTTTCCTAGATGCATTTTTGGGAGGTGCTTGTTCTCCCCCCCCCTTCTCATTATTGACAAAAATTTATTCCCGTTGGTTTTTGTGCCCACGCATGCGCGCACAAGTCAAGACGGAAAAGAAAGGGCGCCCCCGCTGGTAGGCGCTTTGGTCAACCAATATGCAATAGCCGCCGCGCCCTTTTCCCTAACACCTCCCCCTTCTGTTTGACCCCCTTACACATACTTCCCACTACTCTGCCCCTCAAAAAAACATCGCTAGTTCAAATTTCTTTATCTTTATAAACAACCCTGTAACATCACAATTGCTCACACCCTAAAAAAACAAATATAACTCCCAATAATACCAGGACTATATCACCCTGCCGGGGCGCTGTTTGCGCAAAGTACCGTGTATATTTAATTTTCTACGCAAAGCAATGGTTTTGTCTTAGTGCTCACCCTCGGTGAGCTTAGCGTAGGCGTCCTTGTCCAGCAGCTGGCCGAGCTCCTCCTCGTTGGACAGCTTGATCTTGTACAGCCAGGCATCGGTCTCGGCGGCCTTGTTGATCAGCTTGGTGTTGGCAGTGACGGCCTCGTTGGCCTCGACAACCTCGCCAGACACGGGCGTGACAATGTCCGAGGAGGACTTGACGGACTCAACGACGCCAACCGAGTCACCGAGCTCGAACGAGTCGCCGACCTCCGGAACCTCAGCATAGACGACATCGCCGAGCGCGTGCTGGGCGTAGTCGGTGATGCCGACAGTGGCAATGCCGTTCTCGACCTCCACCCACTCGTGCGACTCGGTGAACTTCTTGGTCGCGTAGAACCGGGCGAACATGGGGGACACGGCGACGCGCTGCGCGACAAAGGCCTTTGAGAGAATGCGGAACGACATTTTTGTATGTAGTATGAGGAAAGCTGAAAGAGAGGTGAGAGGTGACTGATAAAAAACAATGGAGGACGCTGGCGGTTTTATAAAATCTCAGTTGAAAAATTTTTAAAGCGACACCCGGGTGGAGCGGCCAGTTTCACTAACCCTTGTCCAAATGCCGCCGAACAGAGTGAAATTAGCGCCAGCCCGCAAACACAAAGCAGGCATTTTTTCCCATGTCGCAGCTGGAATTTATCGCCGCACAAAAATGGCCAGTAAAGATAACGACGATCGCTTTTTTTTTCTGACAGAGTGGAGCATTCACAAGTGAGCGTATGTCTGATTGGCAATGATCGCGCCGCCATCGACAGGAATCACGGTCCCATTGATATACGAGCCGCCATGGCTGGCCAGGAACACGCACATCGCGCCCATGTCCTCGGGCCGTCCAATCCTGCCCATAGGAATCCGCGACACAATCGCGTCCTGCGCGTTCTTCAGCGTCGCCGCCATCATATGCGACTGGAACGGGCCCGGCGCAATCGCATTCGCCGTGACATGCTTGCCGCCCAGATTCGCTGCCAGCACCCTTGTCAGATGATGCACAGCCGCCTTGGACGCCGCATACGCAGGCGTGATCAGCGCCGGCACCCGCAACCCATCCACCGAGCCGATGTTGATGATGCGCGCAGGAGAGTCGGCCTGTGGCCCGCCGCTCCAGCAGCGGCAAAAGCTGCTGCGTCAACGAGAACACGCGCTGGACGTTCAGGGTCAGAAGCTTCGTCCACGCCTTGTCTGGGATAGTCGGCGAACGACGGCTCGCCCCAGGTCGCCCCAGAGTTGTTGATAAGCACGTCGATGCCTGGAAGGCTCCAAAGACCCGATTGTCTGCGCGAGCTCCAAGGTCTTGTCCAGGTTCTGCAGGTCGCACGGCAAGGCGATGCATTGGCCAGGGCCCATCTTGGTGAGCTCGGCGGCGGCTGTCTCCAGAACCTTGGCTTTGCGGCTGGTTATGTATACTTTGGCGCCGTTCTTGACAAATGCCGTCGAGATCATTAGCCCGATGCCGCTGCCGCCGCCTGTGATCACCACCACCTTGTCCTTGACTGAGAAGAGCGAGTTGATATCCATGTTGCTATACGTGCTTGAAGTGAAGAAAAGAAAAATGCTCCGGCGAAACCCACCTATTTATTCAGGAGCCACAGGCGACAGGATCTGCCTTGTCACGAGGGAAAAGCCTTTTTGCATGTCCGTGCACTGGAGCCCCAGCCGGAGCCATCGGCCTCCTCCATACACCGCAAACCCCCGCCCTGCCAGCCCGGACCCACATGGCTCCTTGCCAAGTAAACCTCTAAAGGGCCAATCCCTCTACCGCATACATTGCACAGGAGAAAAAAGTAATCGCCACTTTATTTGAAGCGACCGTTTCCGGGAGGCCCTCAGCCCCCTAGAAACAAAGTTATTATACAGAATAGTATGGAAGTATTTTAATAAGGCGTTTAGCCGCCGAAGCCATAGAGGGTACGGCCCTGGCGCTTGAGCGCGTAGACGACGTCCAGCGAGGTGACGGTCTTGCGCTTGGCGTGCTCGGTGTAGGTGACGGCGTCGCGGATGACGTTCTCAAGGAACACCTTGAGCACACCGCGGGTCTCCTCGTAGATGAGGCCCGAGATACGCTTGACACCACCACGGCGCGCCAGACGGCGGATGGCCGGCTTGGTGATGCCCTGGATGTTATCGCGAAGAATCTTGCGGTGACGCTTGGCGCCTCCCTTTCCGAGTCCCTTTCCTCCCTTTCCGCGGCCAGACATGGTTGATAGTAGGTAGTTTAAGTTGTAAAAGATGTAAAGTGAAGAATCATGGACTTGGGCGGCCGCAGGTTGCCCTTTTTATAGCCAAAATAGGACGCCTTTTCCTTCTCATGTCCTTCATCCAAAACACTGCCTTGTCACGTCAAAAATGCCAAACGCAATCTGAATTTTTTTGAAGTCTCAAGTTTGGAATCGAAAACCACATCGCCCTCCAGCGCTACGCACGCTGGTTGGCTGGAGCAAAGAATTGGCCATTTGACAGTAAACTTTTGGACACAACGGAGGGTTCTGGGCCTCACGCGTAAAAATATGAGAGACATAGCTGTGATCCAATCAGAACGCGCAGCACTCCAGATCCATGCCGCCGGATCCCCGCCGCAGCCGGGCTCAAGGCCTAGTCCGCGCTCTGGAGTCCACTGTGCGCATGAACTCAAAGCCCCCTGTGCCAAGGACCCAGTGTCTGGCGATTGGGTCACGGTGAGCCGCGGCCAGTAGTGTGGCCGCGTCAAGCCCACCGACCGGTCTCCGACGAATACCTGGACCTCCTACCATCACCAGATGTGCAAAGACGTAGCATCAGCTGGCGTGCTGTCGGATTCATCAAACGAATGGACCGCCGGTTCCCAGCCAATCAGCGATCGAAAATTCCTACGCGACTCTCGGCTTTGGATTTTTTTTACCCATGTCCTTCAGTGATTTGGAATCCAAACCATATCGCCAATTGTCTGGATTTCCAGCAGCGAATCTGGTCGCTGCATTCATGCGGGGCTGTCCGATTCGATTTTCTAAACGTCCCTCGCCAAAGTGCATTTTCGCAGTTTTCGATTTTGAGACGTTTTTTTCACAACGCGCTGTGCACCTGGATTCCAGACCTCTCGAAGGACACTTTTGCCTATAAATACCCTTGGGGTCTTGCCGCTTTCATCCTTTTTCCTATACACCCACATATCCGCTCTTTATCCACACCAAGAACACCATCATTTAAAAATGGCCCGTACCAAGCAGACCGCCCGCAAGTCCACCGGAGGCAAGGCTCCCCGCAAGCAGCTGGCCACCAAGGCCGCTCGCAAGTCGGCGCCCTCGGGCACCGGTGGCGTCAAGAAGCCCCACCGCTACCGCCCCGGTACCGTCGCTCTGCGTGAGATCCGTCGCTACCAGAAGTCCACTGAGCTGCTGATCCGCAAGCTGCCGTTCCAGCGCCTGGTCCGTGAGATTGCCCAGGACTTCAAGACCGACCTGCGCTTCCAGTCGTCGGCCATCGCCGCCCTGCAGGAGGCCGCCGAGGCCTACCTGGTTGGTCTGTTTGAGGACACCAACCTGGCTGCCATTCCACGGCCGCCGCGTCACCATCCAGCCCAAGGATCTGCAGCTGGCCCGTCGTCTCCGCGGCGAGCGCTCGTAAATAGGATATTAAAATTGGAGGTACAACTTCCCAAATACTACCCCTACTCTGTAATAATATCATTCATTCCTGAAATACACCTAGACGGTAAATGTCACCCCTTCAGCCATGCGCGCGTCGTACACGAACCAGTTGTGGATGGGACGCTCTTTCTTGGTGATGATTTTGAGGATTTCCTGCGTGAGTGTGCCGCCGACCATGGCCGCACAGGGCACGAGCTCGGTGTTCCAGCTGCGGACCACACGTGAGATTAGATCAGGCTGGATGTAGTCGCACGGAGATTCCCTTGCCATTGCACACCATATGCGCTGCGTCCAGTAATTTCTGCTCGGATAGTGCAGGGGCGCCAGCAAGCGACTCGTAGATTGCTACCAGACGGTGTTTAAACCAGACAAACAGGGGGTTAGTCTGTACAGGGCCAAGATATACAGGGGTACTGTTCTATTCCTGCATGGCTTTTACCTTGGTAAATGATGATCAGCGGCGACATAACGCGCCGCATCCGACGCACTGGCATCCCAAACGACTTGCCCAGCGACGCTTCCAGCGTCACATACGGAATTGCCTTCTTCTCACGCTTCGTCTCGGGCTCGCCCGTCTTCCCCTCCACCTTCTTGGTCTCCACAACAAACTCATGCTGCTCCAGACAGTCAGCGAAAGCAAACCCAAACAACCCAAATGCATCCGCCACGACCATCTTCACGCCATTTCTCCTGCACACGCTATTAATGCGCTTCGCAACCTCGAAGCTCTGGCCAACCACCACCACCATGTCGAACAGCTGCAGCTCGTCGTCGCCAACCGTCCGTGCTTCTATGTCCACCAGAGGGTTGAGGATCTTTAGGCGCTCCGACAGCTGCTCGTCTTTGCGCTTGCCTACGTCGGCCTCGTAGGAGTAGTAGGCGCTTATCAGGTCGGCCTCGGTTACCGGTGAGCTGTCCGAGAGCGTCAGGTGCCCGATGCCGGCGAGCACTAGGTTTTTGCTGGCCTCGAGGGTCAGCGATTTCACCCCGAGTATTAATATCGAGGCATTGCGCAGGCGCGTCTGCGCTTCCATGCCCCAGAGACGGATCTGGCGGTCATACAACGCTACCTCCTTCTTTGCTGATACTTTTTGTGTCGTTGGACATAGATGCCAATAGTATTGTGATCTGGAACAGTGAAAGGGAAAAATAAAAGGGTGATTGGCTGGTGACGTGTTATTTTTGGTTTTTGTGCAGGAGAGCAGAATGGCTGATTTTGGTTCTCAGCATCCTGGTGGAAGCTGTGATGATTAGGCGCAGTGGCTATTCGAAAGAAAGAAGCACTCCTTGGACTTTAAATTGGTGAGGGGGTTCAGTTCGGGTTACGGTGGGTCTAGTGTGCCTTGTTTTGATGGTGTTTGGTGGCGATTGTAGTGTTTACGTTGAAATGCGTGTTTTTGTCTAAAATGTGTATTATATTTATGTACATGATCAAGTACATTTGATGCAAACATTTACACCAACGACAATTGGACCTCAGGAGATCTAGCTTTTTTTCCATTAGACACCTCTCTGTATTGGTCAGCACATTAGTGTTATCTAGCTCCATGCTAAAAGCACTAGATTTTGCCGATGATACGTGCTAGATAGCGTCTTGAAGCAGACATCATGCACCCTTACCGAGTCGAAGCACAGGAAAATCGAGTCGAGCCATCAGCGAGCTGAATATGCCACAGAAACAATCAAATCGGTATTGATCGCAATTTATTTTCTGATTGGGAATTGTCTATTCAGTAGTGGTGTCCGAAACCTGGAATCCCATCAAAGATCCGCAGCATGAATCTGCTTTCTGATGGCTATCAAAAACTCAGACAATTTGGCCTATTTTTCCCAGTGACCTCAGTTTCTTTCATTACTGCTGTCTTATCTTGAACTAATCTACCATGCTTCACTGCTTTTATTCCTGCTCACATCGACCTGCGATTATATCTAACTGTGCTTTTACGACAAAAAATCGAGTTCCATCAGTGTGTAGACAGAGCAGCAGGCGGTTGCGAGGCAGAGTATCGTCCAGGGAGCCATTTATTGTGCTTGAGAATGTCCACTTTCTTCTCCACAATGTTGGGAACGGTCCGCTGAAATGCGACTATATCTCTCAAAACTACATCAGTGAGAAAGCCGCAAATGGAGCTTGGTCTGAAGCTGCCTGGGCCTTCTTATCTGTTAGAAATGGACTCAAGCGCATAGATGTGATATCACTTGTCTATTTTGTCTACAACTAAACCATCGATCGTCTAGAGAACTAGCTTATGAATAGTCAAGCAGTGTTTATCCCCTTCAAGGATTACAATATCGAAAAAGTTCGCTGAGATAACCAAAAAATACCGACGGATGTTACAAGCCATTATTTTATGGTGTATATGGGCATTACCTACAAGTGCTTTGACTCCAACGACACGAGTTGCAGCTACTCATTCTCTGGAAACTTCAAGTACGGCTTTGTCGAAGATATCATTGCGGGTATCGATATAGTCGATAAGTACCACAACATCGATGGGTTGCTTATGGAGCGCCAGTCAAACAAGCGCTTGCCAAATGGCGAATTCAGACTGAAGGATACACACGGAAACAAGATACTGGATGGTGAGTCGTTCTACTTTACAGTGTTCAAAGCTGCGGATGATAATACTGATGTTGATGACAGCGATGCTGAGGACAAGTCCAGACGACTACTTTATCGACATGGATCAAGGCTTGCTCATATGTAACAGCGGCCCTGGTTCTGGGTTTACATGCGAAACCTATCAAGGGTATCATGTATCTGAAGCACAATGGCCAGTGTCTATACTGCACAAAGAGCTACGATGGCGAAATACGCTGATCTGCTGAGCTGCCAGATCATGTGGAGTGCCTTCAGATCTGCTGCGTCGGCGAGTATATGACGTTCTCTGAATGGGACAGACTGGTGTATGCACAGTGCTATTGGAATAGCGAGTCGCCTGGTGAGGTTGTATTTGTATACCAAGAGCATGCTATAAGCGACAAACACCCATTATGAATTCAGCTCTTCAAGGAAAACAGCGATTTGAATACAACAGGTCCTTAATCCTCTTTTTCCAGCATCTAGCAGCTATCAATGGTAGAAATAGTGTCTCTTTGTCAGCTGTATACTGACTCAAAATATTACCAGCAACCACCTCTCGCATATTGTGTGGGTGTTGGACGTCTAGTTTATTCCGAATATACAACAAAAAGTCATGCTTGTGTCGTTTGCCCAAGACAATGCGTGCCATTAATAAAATGTGTTTGTGGTCAGAATACCAAATAAACTTCATTACATTGTTCTAGGGCAGCAGGGAGTTGGTTATTTAGCAGCCTTTCAAGCGCAAGGGCAGCCATACCGACAGATATAAAAATACATCGTTGATATCCTGATAGGATATGGACAACCTTGTCGACCATGCTCTAGCATAGCTGACAGCCTTTGACACCGGTATATTCAATCTAGAATACACATTGCCTTTATAAAATACTTGTCCAGCCTCATTATATAAGGCGAGACAATGCCCTAGGTCCAGCATCAAACAACAGATCCCAACAAGCAATTACTTAGATGACACTAGTCACAAAATCACAAATGAAGTTCTTCGCTACAAGCACTGCTTTCCTCGCCACCACCATGACCACATTTGCTCTACCACTGACAAGTGTCAGCTATAAGCTTACCGCGACAAAGGGTGCCTCGATCGAACTGAGCGGGAAGAGTTTTAACACAATACTGGGAAATGTGGGGTTTATTTACTTGTCCAACATACCTAGCGACACCAGCCAAGTATTGGTCGGTTTCTCGCTGCCTCTCATGAACCCACAGAGCGGCCAGACAAATATCTGGGCTGTGCGCAGAGAGGGGAACTAGGACGAATTGACTGTCAAAGGTAGAAACAATCCATCGGCGGTCGATGTTGACAAAAAGTTCTCGAAGACTACATACTTGATGTCACATACATGTGTCTGGAGCCAACCAAGCAGGGCGCTGATTTCTCCCTCTATATCGCTAGCCTTGATCCCCGTACAATGCTACATCCCGATAGGGTGGTTAGCCGGCAACTCTGGAGGTTAGTGCCAAGTAGCAGCGGTACTGACGGCTCTACATACAGCCATGTTCTGTGATTAGCTTGTTGAAGTGTTCAGTTTTAATCCAATGTTCAAAACATATTTTGATGCTATCTATTTGTATTCCTATCTGAATGTGAAATGGTCTTTTCGATATTTACAAAAAGCAAGACCGGAGTAAAGCGCAGAGGCCATGGGCCTCATCAAGTGTACTCAGTGGAGGTACGTGATGGGCATGACGATAGTAGGGTGCTCGTTGCGTAGCCTTTCAAAGGCAACCATTGGGTCGTCGTGGTTGGGGAACATCTCGATCGAAGCACGCGGGGTAACGGCAGCAGAGGTAGCAGGGGTGCTGGAGGCAGAGCTGGCTGGCGTGGACTTGGCCGACTTGTTCGACTTGAAGAACTTGGAGAAGGACATTTTGATGTTGGCGTAAGAACTGTGTTGCTTGTGTTTGATGGTGGGTCGGTAGAGGCAGTCCTGTCGCTTGGGGTTTATATACTCGGTGTGTTCCAGCCGCCTAGATTCCCACACTACCCATTCCTGACTCTGGAACAGATTGGAAAGTCCGAACGCGCACGTTGCATGCACGGGCGGCACGGGTTACTCAGCAGCTTACTGCATTCCAGAGCTGCGGCCCAACCGGGCAAAAATGGCCCAGGGGTAAGTTGGGGCGACCTGCGGCACCGATGATTTCTCTTGGCACGAGATCGACACACTCGCAATGGGCTGGTCTGAGCTACATCCATACTAACTTTACGCGGCCAAAGAGTTTATCCAGACTATTTCTAGATTTTATTCCAGGCGGTCTGGGAGGCTGTGGCATTTGCCATCTGCCGCAGCAATGGCTGCCGCATGCTTACGCGTCGCTGGTGCTATTCTTGGTGGAGGCTGTTTCACCGAGCTCGCCTTTGTTGCCGTGGTTGAATGAATAGCCGTGGTCCCCATTAGCGATTACGCAAGCAGGTGCCTCGGAGTTCAGTGCATTCCATGTTGCTACGGCTGGATAGTCGGGCTTGGCCAGAGAAAAGGTTGGGTGGCGGGCACAGCGAACATCGCACTCCAACCAGGAGGCATGATAACCCACTGATATAATCATATGATCATAATCAGGGGTCGCCAGCATATCAAACGCACCAGGATTAACCCAGCCGCTGCTGCTAGCGACAGCGAATAGGCCAGGCAAGAGGGTAAAGACGGCACCAGTACGAGGAACCAAACGACACGCCCTTTCTACTTCAGCGAATTTCTGAATTTACGCATTTCGACATGTCGCCCGCCAACGGTAAGCGTCACTGGACAGCGAATCCATGCGCCGATGGATACGAGGATGGCGAAAAATGGACTCTACGCGAATCCGGCAATTGGATGGTCGCGGAAAAATAGTTCCGGGAAATGGCGGACAATTGAGGGAATCTATCGTTAAATTTGGACCTTGGAAACTGAAACTCGGCACGACCGGCATTTCCCCTCCGTATTCAACATTGTAGCTTCTTCTAAGGCTCAGGCCGCTCGCAAGGCTGCTCTTAAGGGCACCAACGGTCAGAAGGTCAAGAAGGTCCGCACCTCGGTCACCTTCCGCCTGCCCAAGACCCTGCGTCTTGCGCGCAACCCGCAGTACCAGCGCAAGGCTGTCAACCGCCTGGCCACCCTCGACCAGTACAGCGTCCTGAGGCAGCCGCTCAACACCGAGACTGCCATGAAGAAGATTGAGGACAACAACACCCTCGTCTTCCTCGTTGATGTCCGTGCCAACAAGCGTCACATCAAGGATGCCGTCAAGAAGCTGTATGACGTGGATGCCGCCAAGATCAACACCCTGGTCCGCCCCGATGGTGTCAAGAAGGCCTACATCCGCCTCCCCGCTGATGTCGATGCCCTCGACGTCGCTAACAAGGTAAGAATCCGGCTGGCTCGCACTCTTGCTGCCTGTTGCCTGTGATGCCCTGAATGGTCATATTACTAACTTGCATATGCACATGTCTATATTACATGTAGATCGGTTTCATCTAAGCTGTTTTTCGTTGGAGCCTTTGAAGCAAACAAAAATTTCGGTTCTTGTTTCTTTTTAAACACGAATACGGGAAGCACTTTGTCAAATGTTCAAATAGTATTTTGTGTGCGGCCGCATGTATGTGTGCGAGTGGATGTGAAGATTCTATTGCAAACGGGTGTGGCCCTTGGTGCTGCCCGTCTCCATCTTGGCTGTGCGGGCACCGAATTGAATCGCACGTTTGGCCAGTGTGCTGGCATTGGTGAGACCTAGCTGGTATGCGAGCAGCCGCAGCAGCAGCTTCTCACCTATGCCGCGAGCATAGCGCATATCCATTTTGCGGTCCAATGGTGTGGATGATAAAAGCCTAACCACGTTTGCAGCCAGGAACGGGTACCTTGACTCCTTGCTGTTATCCGAGACGATGCGGTCATCGCGGCCCAGGTTGCGGGTGGCAATGCGTTCGACATCAACGCGGATCTCACGACCCAGGTCCTCCCACTGTCCGCGTTCCCATGCAGCACGGTGCCTCGAATACCCACCGAGCTGCTCGTCAGCGCCCATGCCCAGCAGCAGCACGCGGGCCTGGCCGACATACGGCGATCTGGATCCACTGTCCTTTTCAACCAAACTGCCGTGGCCGCGGCTGGCGAACCAAATGGCCATGCCAATGCTGAGGTCCATGACGGTGTCCGACGGAACCAGCAGCTGGCAGATGTGCTGCTTATGCTCAAGCACCTGGTCATATGGCACATCGACCTCGACAAACCGCCAGTCGCGGCCCGGATCCATCTGGCACAGCTCCAGCCAGCCGGCTCTCCCAGTCTTGCGATCCGGCACGTCATATGCACTGGCTGTCTTGTGTGCCTTGAGCTGGCGTGGGTTTTCAAATGCGACGTTGAACAGTTCGATTGGCTCGTGCCTCGGCCAGATGCGTGTCAGGAGTGCGGCGATCGTGATACAGTCAACGCCACCGGAAAACAGTATTCCGACGCGTGCCGCGGCACCACGTTGGGGGATGGTAGACACGCGTGAGCGAATCGCCTCGGTTAACTCGCGTTCGAGCGCGTCGATAAACGGCTGGAATTTGGAAACACGCGGAAACAGCGAAATGTCGTTGCAGGGCTCAACAGGGGTCGTCTGGTTGGCTAGATCCATCGTGACCCTATCGAATGGCAACTGAAGGCTGGCATCTCCGTCCGATGCGTACGCCCAGTTGAATTCGGCAATATCTATTTCGTCAAGCCTCTGCATGCCTTCGGCGTTAGCTAGATCGATGCAGTAGACCGTCTGTGCCAAGACTTCGCGCCAAAACCCCTGCGCACCGCCGTTGGCCACCGATGACAGAACAATCGCGTCTTTAGACGTGTGCATCAGCAACGACCGGCGGCCAAGACAGTCGCGTGCGAACCACAGCTTTTGCGATTTCTGGTCAAAATACACGAAGGCGTAGGGCCCCTCAATCTCGCGCAACGCATCGAGAATAAACGTTTCCGAGACAACCTTGAGTTCCTGCATGCGGGCGAACAGCAAGAGCCCATCGTTGTTGGCGCCGATGGGCAGACCGGAAAATACCTCGCCGTTCCAGCAAAACACATCGTTGGCGGGGAAGTAAAAGGTTGCGGCTGAGCAGTGGGGCCGCGGAGATGCAATACGTGGGCACCGAACGTCAAGCTGTATGTCTTTGAAACTGTGGTCAGCGACGTTTCGCCATGTTGGTCTGGGCCTATATATCAATACAGTTTAGCGAATGTTCTCTAAAAGCTATCCAACAGCATTCCTATTGATTGGTACCTCGCCGGCTGTTGGCTGTGGTCAGCTCTGCCCAGATCTTGGTGTAGTCGTCACTGGGGAGAAATATTGCTTTCGCTGGATCAGCAGCTGTATTCCACACATAAATGTCCTTAGTCTTATAAATAGAGTGTTCGGAAAAGTCAAGGATCCTGCGTTGATGCTGGTAAAAAAATATGCGAGCTGGCACACGCATGTTGCTCATATCCACCTCTATGGGTTCAAAAACCAGCTACACCTGGAGGAAGCTCATGTCAAAACCGCCGTTTTTGGCCATCATGTCAACAAATCCAGGCGTGGTCTTGGATCTCAGCGACAGCTCTGGCACTCTGATCTGCGGCACAGTTGGGAAACCGTTGGCTCTGCTTGTCTCGCCGTGCCTGGCTCCAGCGCCAGATGTTGTGAGCTGGCCGATGTTCCTGGGTGTCGGTGTCAGCAGCCTATTGCGTCTGGCTGGCGTGTGTGTGCCGTCCGGCGCTCCATGACGAGATGATGTGGATGGTGCCAGAAGGATCTTGTTCCCACCAGTCGTACGTGGGCCTGCAGTGTCAGACTTGCCAGTGCCGTTCTTCGCGAGGTCCTCCAGCCGCTTGTCGATCTCCTCTATCATCTCCCAGTTGTTGTTCTGGCGGGCCTCCATTCGGCGCTGCAGGAGCTTTGCACGCTCAAGTGCCGAGTTCAGCGTGGTGCCAGAAGAAACCAGCTGGGCAAGACGGTTGCGCTCGCTAACCATATCAGTGATATCCTTGTCTGTAAGCTGGTAGCTGCTAGCCTTGTCGAGTGCCTCCCGCTTTCTTGCTACGTCCGACGATGTAGGGCGCTCGCGGATTCGGTCAGGCGCGCAACACGCTCTCCCAGCTATTGAATTCCTCGAGTTTGATCGGGCTATTGGAAATGGTCTCCATCGAGTAGTCGCGCTCAAGTGCTCCATACTTGAGTACCAGGTACTTGTCTGTCAGGGTCTTGTTAACGCTGTATGGAGGCTGATTCTGACCCTGGCCTTGCACCACGTCTACAATCTCCATCATCTTGTACGAGTTGTATTCGCCGTGCGAGTCGCTCTCGCGAATCACAATCCGTGTAAAACATCCGATCGCTGTATCCGCAAAGAACGGTGAAAACAGCCATTTTTCAATCTGGTTACGCGACAGACAAATTGTTTGCAGTTCATCCAGCGTAGCTGGCGGCTCGCCGTCGTCCTCGCTCTCGCTCCCCAGTTCGTCTCCCGAAGGCGTCCACCCACCGTCACCATGGCGGCGGCGCTCACGGGCTCGCTTTAGATCCGAAAATGCGCCAGCGCGACGACTCATAGCGGTCTGACCGGGTACTACGTGACCTACTGGTATCATCCAGCCCACGGTTGCCTGCCTTGAGTTTCATCTTCAGCTCGCGTTGCTCCTCCAGCAAGTCGCGCTTCTCTTGGCGCTCGGCCAAAATGCGTTCACGCTCGACTTCGTTGAGGGACGCAAGCCATTTGCGGTCCTTCTGGTCCCCCATGAGATCAGGTCCCCACTCGTCCAAGGGCTGTTCGTCGTCGCGACCCGTGCGACTGTCGGCAACGGACAGATTCGAATCACTGTCTACATCCATGTTCGAGTCGGAACCTGAATAGTCAGAGCGGCGGAGAGTGCCTGCGTGGGCTGTGCCGATCGCGGCTGTGTCGGCGCCGCTTGTGACCACTGTGAGACTTGCTGCGGCTGTCATTGCGACTGCCGCTAGCGCCATCATCCTCAAATAGCTCTAGAATATCGTTCTCAAGCTTATCCATCGCGAAAATATACGAAGATATGGAAGGGGCTGCCAGCCAAATAAGAGAATAGGAAAGGGGAAAGTGAGCAGGGGGTGGTGATTGCACAAAAGAGCGGCGCAGCCAACCAGTCCGTTCCAAATGTGAATCTAAAATACGGGGTCAATGTATGATGGGTCTGATCGACCTCTCCAAACCCGTGACTTTTAGAACCAGCACATTGTTCCCTGACTCTTTAATAAACAACCTCTGCCTTTTTGCATAAAAAGACGGGGCAGTCCTACCAAAACATACATCGTGTAGACTTGCTCTCGTCGTTTGCGATTGACATTACAGCCAAGGTATGAAGCAGTGTAAAGGTATTTTTAGCACGCTGTGCTCATGGTACCACCATTCTCCGCTAGACAGGTTGACTTAGTTGCGGCATGAGTAGGTAAGGTCAATGACGATTTGATGGAATACGAAAGTACGTCAAATATATGCCAATGGGACAGTGTGGGCCATCCTCAGAACCAACATCATTAAAATCATCACCGGGTTTCTCTACTCCATCACCTCAACCACCAACTGAAAATGAGTACCCTCAACACCCCTTTTCCTCTATGCAATACCACATATGTAGGCCCACAATTGCACCGATATTTCTGTCTTAAAGGTGACATAGAAGCTATGTTGAGTAATAGAAAAGTGAGTGCGGAAAATATGCAGAGAAGGGATTGGTTTGGTAGCGACCTTTTAAAGACGTTAGGATAGAAAGCTGTGGTTCATCTCTGAGCCAAAAGCCGCAGCAATTGTAGAGAGCAGGGCATAGTGTGCGAAAAAGTGTTTGAATGCAGCTGCTGTGGACATCCGAATTCCCATGAGCCTGCAGCAGAAATGCAGCCTGTGGTTGTCAAACAAGCCTGTATTGTGGACAGCGGATGGCTTAGCAGTTCATAGTCCTTCCTGCGCCAATCCGTTGCTTTGCGTGCTGAGGGTGGAGGCAAATTTGAGTAGATGTACATGTAGCGTAGTGTGGACGCCCCACTTATTCATCCTAGGTACTGTCTGCCATATATATGAACTACTACTCATATACATGCGGTTAACCTACACTAGTACCTGTGCTATTGTGACATGGCTGAGCAAATCACTTATATCCTAGAATACATGGACAGTGTGAGGAACGTAATGCCCAGACAGCCCAGACCTCTGTCACGACATGGCCACGGTCCTTTTGGCCGCAGTGAGAAACAAGACAGACATCACTTTCCACCCGAACAATGCCCATGTATTCGGAAACTGCCGATCCACGTCTGATGCATTCATGGCTGCATTTCCCTGAGCCATCTTTTGCAAGGGTTGTCAAGGGATGCGGCAACCCAAACCCTTGTCTCGCTCCTCATTCCCTCTCATCATCGTTCCTACCGTTGAATATGGATATTCTTAATAGTGTCTTTGACACCATCATGTCCCAGATGTACGTATTATTTTGAAATACATAGTCTAGTGATGGCTACGCAGATGCTAACTGGTAATCTCACAATTAGGACTCTCGGAGCGATCGCAGATGCATCACTGACTGCTGCTACTTTGACTATGGACACCTGGAAAGGATCCTTGACGACACCGGTTCAGAAACAGAAACGCACTGCTATTGCCCTCAGCGCTGGTTTGCCTCGCCTCTCTTGCCGCGTCTATTACCAACAGTCCGCCTTAGTCTCAACTGCCTCGCTGCTGGCATCAGTAACTGTGCTCGGGTATACCCTGTCTTGCCGTATGGTCAGCGATGGCACTGCATTCCTGAACGTCGCCCGTGCCATTCTCATGGTTGTCTTCTCAGTACCTCACCTGAATATTTGCTTGTTAACAAGTGCTCTGTCCCACCTTGGTATTGCGTGGTGCATGCTCACTCCTTTGACGCAGAGAGAAATACGCAGGTATACGAGGTATGTGCTGGGTTTCGGTACACTTGCTCTTATACGATTTTGCTCTAAGGGTGACCTGTCTGCTAAAGGATATGCACAGACGAGGAAGGGATACAAGTGGACTTTATGCGGAATTGAGAAGCTGCAGTTCGATACGAAGCAAGATCTACTTTGTACTGCGTGGATTTCTGGCCATTGCTTGGAAGCGAATGCTTTCTCTGGCCATCATCGACATGGTCATCCACCTCTGTGCGTATTACAAGGGCATTGTGTTTGTGATGATTATTGGCGCAGTGGACCGGGAAACCAATACAGAGGACTCTAGGGTATTTGCACTGTGTGCAATATGGAGCGCATTGTCCATGTTCTCCGTGATCGGCGAGTATCATCAGGAATTCAAAGGGCCACGCCTACTGGGAGATCCTCGATGTTATGCGTAACAAGCTCCTCGCGATCAAAACATCACGGAATGGTGAGCAGCTTACAGGTGAAGGGTATCGTGAGACTATCTCAGAAGACACGTACCGTATGGCTTATAAAGTAGACGATGTGCTCAGTATGCTCAGCCAGTCGGTAGCGAGCTTTCTCAGCATTCCGGTTGCTTATCTCCAAGGTTGGGTGGCATGCTGCTCTACCGGTTGCTTTCATGGTCGTATTTTCTATTGCGCGGAATCTGGTTACAGCTAAGCTTGAGGCGCTGGAGAAGTTGAGCAAGGCCAAAGTCAGACCTAGATTCGTATAGAATCTAGGACATTCTACTTCGGAGTATGAGCACGGTCAAGTTTTATGGATGGGAGCAAGCGTTTCAGCGTGTGCGTGGATATCCAGACCGCTCACGATACGTTCCACCCCTATTCTGGCGCATCGTTAACTACATCGTCACCCTCGTCGGCAGTTCAGCGACTCAACTTGCGACTGCTCTGACAGTTGCATCATATCTTCAGTCATCCGGAACATTGGCATTTACTGAAGTGATGTTTGTGGTGTCGTCGGCAACACATATCGCAGGATTTGCCTTGAGGTGTTCAAGTATTTCGTCTGATATTCGAAGCATCTATAAGCATGCAACTGCACTGGAGAAACTATTCGAAGACAATCCTAACAGGATACATCGAACGCACTGGCTCAAGTAGGCGATACTGCAGTGGAGCTCGATAGGTGTGCGTTCCAGTGGGGTCCTGACAAGTTCACTCTTGCACCAACGACATTGTGTGTCAAGACTGGTGAGTTCGCAGTTGTTGTCGGCAGAATCGGAAGCGGAAAGTCGTCCCTGTTATCTGCTATCTGCAGTGAGATGCCGCTGGTTTCAGGCACAGGGTGCACATACGGTCGGATTGGGTATGTCAGTCAGAAGCCATGGATCATGAATGGGACATTCCGTGAAAACGTGCTGTTTGGCCAGGCGTTTGACGAGAAGTTCTACTGGCGCGTTGTCAAGGCGTGCGCACTAGCCCAGGATGTCAAGCTGTTCCCGGCGCAGGATTTGTCAGAGATCGGACCGCGTGGTATCAACCTGTCTGGCGGACAGAAGGTGCGGCTGGCACTGGCCCGTGCTATTTACTCCCGCGCAGACATCTATGTTTTGGATGACCTACTGGCGGCGGTTGATGCACATGTCGAGCGGCATCTAATCGAAAATGTGCTTGTTGGCAGTGGAGTGATCAGTGACAAGACGCGTATCCTGGTCACACACGCCGAGCATGTCGTCCCGCTGGCGGATAAGGTCATTGCACTGACAAACGGCGTAGCAGATATCGTGGATCAGCATCCTGTAGGCGTTTACTCAGAGCCCGCCAAAATCGCCGTCAGAGGATTATGAAGATTTGTCCAAGAGCAGTGATGGAGGATCTGGCCAATTCACCATTGACCCGGAGATTGGCATCCCGCAGTTTCAGTGGTCGTACATGTGGCGATATCTGAGGATGAGCGGATTGCATATCGTTGGGGTAACATTTGCGATCCAAGCAGCTGGTGCCTATGCGACGTTCTACGTTGACAGCTTGCGCTTGGATTTGGTCATGGACAACAACAGGGAGAGCATGGCCCAGTCGCTGCAAATGTATCTGCTTATGAACGCCTTGGCCAACATGCTTCAGCTCCAATTAGGTATGGTTGGTGGCTGGATTCAGGAAGGATTGTGGTCTGCACGTTTACGGGAGCATACTCGAACTGAGCTGCTTGGCACGCTTCTCCACATGCCATTGTCGCAGTTTGAGAGCCTCCCGAGTGAAAAAATCGCCATCCTTTTCAACTGGAACCGAGCTAATATCTGCAATTCGCTTCCATATCAGATCTGCCAGCAAGTACTAGGTGCCCTCTACGCCTTGAATGCGATTATACATGGTGTTCAGCGGATGCCCATGGTGCTTACTGTCGTTTTGCCTACAGCTGCAGCAGCGTTCCTAGCAAGTCAGATGATCAGTGTGGCGTATAAAAGGCTTAATGGTGTGTTTTACTCCACCTCCAAGTATATACCTTTAACGTCCATTAAGGTAATTACGGATGGCCAGGAGGTAATGCGTATCCAGGGAGTCCTTGGTATACATTTGCAAGTGTGTGCTTCTCGAATTGCAAACTACAGCAATATCGTGTTGCATAACAACCTACTAGTAAAATCGACATATACTCTGGATGTTCTAGTCACTATGGTGGTCAAGTCTGCTATGCTGCTGTATCAGGTTTGGCGAACGTCCACATCGGGCATAAAATCTGTGCCAGGCGAGGTTGAGATGGTAATGCGTCTTGTAGAGATTATGCTGACTGGTACCAAGAAGGTTTCTAATGCTGGCCATAACCTCAAGCAGGAGCTACCTTTACTTTCAAAATACTTTGTCTATACTGGACTTCCACGCGAGGCACCTACGACCATCGAGGAATCGCAGCCACTTCAGAGCTGGCCAACCGATGGCACTGTCGAGTTCAGGAATTACAGCATGAGATATCGTGAGAATCTGGACACCGTTCTGAACGACATTTCGTTTTCAGTTGGCTGCAAGGAGAAAGTTGGTATCGTCGGACGCACTGCTGCTGGCAAGTCATCGCTGACATACGCACTACTGCGCCTAATCGAGCCAGCAGGTGGCTCTATCTTCATCGACGGAGTGGACATTTCAACAATTGGTCTCCAAGAACTTCGCTCCAAGATCAGCATCATTCCACAGGATCCGGCTCTATTTGCTGGCACCATTCGCGAGAATCTGGACCCGCTGAACAAGTTCACTGACGACGAGATTTGGGTTGCAATTCGCAAGGGCCATATCGAAGATCTTGTCGATAAGCCAACACAGACTTGCGATATTGATGACGATAAGAGTGGTCCGTGGGTCGAAGGAACAGGTCTGGACAAGTGGGTGGAGGATGACGGGAAAAACTTTAGCGTCGGACAGCGCCAGCTCGTTAGTTTGTGTCGCGCACTGCTCTGGGAGCGCAAGATCTTGGTTCTCGATGAGGCGACGGCAAATATCGATACAAAGACGGACCAAATCATGCAGCGGGTTATCCGTGAGGAATTCAAGGGCTGCACAATCTTGACCATTGCGCACCGGCTCAGGACCGTCATGGACAGCGACCGGATCCTGGTCATGGATCAGGGCAGGGTCGCCGAGTTTGACACTCCGGTCAACCTATTGGCACAGAACTCCCTGTTCAAAAACCTCGTCGAGAGTATGGAGTTCAATGAGAAGGTCCAGGCCATTTCCTCTTGAGCTTTTTCTGAGAGATTTTCTGATACCTACTCGGTTCGGTGTTCTATGAAAGGCATGACAATATATGTGGGTACCATCGCTATATGTTACCGCCGTCAGCAGTTAGTGATGGCTCATATTAGCCAAGTATAGTCTTTGTTATTTATTGGCTACAGAGTAGCCACTAGCTGGGGCATGGTTGTTGATGCGTATGTTTACAAAACGAGTCGGCTCTGCCTGATAAGGGGCGATTTCTAATCACTCAGTGCCTTCTGAGTCTTTGTTGCTAAAGGCGGCTGGATAAGCGTGAATACTCGAGCCTACTCTCACCACCTGGGTGGTTGCCCTACTGAGAAGCCCAATTAGTAATCACCAGAAGCTGCGGGCGTTTAGTGCACAAGCGAAGAAGGATGTTGCCAAACCTATTGGCAGTTTACAGTTGACTGCATAGCGGGAATCCTAATACGGGATCTAAACACGACCGTTCAAGGTCCAATGGTGATTGAAATCTGCTCATGACTATGAGCAATTGACACCCAGTTTTCATAGTACATTTAATATGTAAAACCGAGCAATCGATCTTCAGCTGGAGCTCAGTAGGTACGCTAACTACTCGCAATACATCGGCTCCTCAGTACTAGAATCTCGAAATAAAACGTGCGAGTAATTTGCGTTGTTTGTACTCACGGTTTGGAATTTGGAGGAAAATAGTTCCTTGCGTGGGGAATAGGTAAGTAGGATGCGAACAGTGTGGATCACATGTGCGGGGAACAGATGTGAAAAATGTACCTTGATGCTGAGGATATTGATATGTGAGTAATTATCATTCTGAGAAAATGTCTTAGAGACATAGAGTATTTAAAGTACAGCATCACCTCGACATTCACCAAATACTCTGTGTATCTATAGTGCATCCTACCATCTGTATTTAATTCATCAACCATGCGTGCATTTAGCATCCTAGCCTTCGCTCCACTTGCTTCAGTCGTGTTCAGCCTGACTTCTGTCGAAGACAAGATGATCACGGACCTGCTCAAAGTCCTGGAGCGCGGAACAAGCCAGTATCCGCTCGAAGAACTGTTCCACGGGCTATCAGAGACCATGGGGTTCCGGCACAGCGCGGGCAGGCTCAACCGGTGGTCACAGGGCACACGTGCCGGGTACGAGACCGTCTATGACATGCTGCAGTTTGTCGACGCAAACGGCAAGCATACAGACGAGCAGCACCAGCGCATCCGCCAGCTCGTAGACATCATTGGGGTCAAGATTCTGAAGAACAGACCCAAGTTTGTTGACACCAAGACGGTGGTGCTGCAGGAGATGGAAGACGAGGGGTTAGAGGAGACAAAGCTTAGTGTTATTAGCGAAGTCAACAATTAAATCTCGTCTATTCCAAGCTCGGCTCTCAGCATGTCGTCGAAATCGGCCACTGTCAGGGGACAGGTATCGGAAAGTCGGGATTCCTTGAGCCCCGGTGCGTGTAGCCATATGGAGAGGTTGGTCATCTGGCGGTCGCTGTCCAGGGCATCTGGCGGTGCCTCTGAGTTTTGCTCCAAGCACTCGATGGTGGATAGCAGCTGGGCAGCATGCGTGCTGCGGAACTCTACGGCGTCTGTATACGCCTTTGCACACTGACGTGCGCCCAGTCTGAAAATTTTTGCAGTGAGCCGAATGCAAGCGGCTCTGCAGACTGCGCAGACGCAGCAGGTGGGATGAGCTTGGTTAGTTCGTCGGCAGCTGCTAGCATTCTGTCGATCTGCTTCTGCATCATTGAGATTTTGTGCATGAGCTGGTTGAGTTTGGTGCGCGCGCTGGAGAGCATTGCTGTGGTGTATTTAGAGGCGAGGTCAGGGAATAGCAGGGTGGTGCTGGGGTGCCAGACGGCGGGTTCCTGGGAGTTGCGAAGCTGGAGGAGGTCGTTGATGAGAGAGTTGGCGAGGGTGACGCCGTCAGAGTTCCAGCCGTCCCAAGACCGCCCGGCCTTGTAGATGTCCATCAGGGCATTGAGCGCGTGCCGCTCGACGTTCCGCGAAACCATTGTGTAGATATACGAAATTGTCCAGGCACAGGAAATGCACATTGGGAAAGGATACACATGCGGGGGACGCGTATATTCTTTTATGGTTTTTATTAGACCAAGTAAATGTACAGACAAAGAATCGGTATTCTGGGCCCAGTCTGCCCTAGCCGATGGTCCCTACGAGAAAACACAAGGTCTCCTACAACATCAAACACGAAAATCGGACTAGAGCAAATTGGTCAGCGCTTTACGAGCGCTCGCCGCGGAGACGACGGGCCAGCTGCAGATCCTTGGGCTGGATGGTGACACGGCGGCCGTGGATGGCAGCCAGGTTGGTGTCCTCGAACAGACCAACCAGGTAGGCCTCGGCGGCCTCCTGCAGGGCGGCGATGGCCGACGACTGGAAGCGCAGGTCAGTCTTGAAGTCCTGGGCAATCTCACGGACCAGGCGCTGGAACGGCAGCTTGCGGATCAGCAGCTCAGTGGACTTCTGGTAGCGACGGATCTCACGCAGAGCGACGGTACCGGGGCGGTAGCGGTGGGGCTTCTTGACGCCACCGGTGCCCGAGGGCGCCGACTTGCGAGCGGCCTTGGTGGCCAGCTGCTTGCGGGGAGCCTTGCCTCCGGTGGACTTGCGGGCGGTCTGCTTGGTACGGGCCATTGTTAATTCGGTTTAGTTGAAAAATGAATAGAGAAAAATCTTTCACAGATACGTTAACAGGGGCAGGAGGGGCGTGCCGGAGCAAAGTGGTTTATATAGGGCCGAAGGACGCGCGAACGCATAGACTCGGATGTGCGACTTGCGAAAAAACGCAATAAATCCAGCTGCGGGACCCAGTGGCACGACGCGTTCTGATTGGATCGTGGCTATGTCTTTTAGATAAATTTTACGCGTGTAAGGCCCAGACTGCCCCTTGAGCCACGCCATCCGTTGTGAAAAAGTTACTGTTAAAGTAGCTGTTTCTGTTTCCAGCCAACCAGCATGCGTATTGCTGGGGGCGATGTGGGTTTCGATTCTGAACTTGCTACCTTGCAACGACTTCGGGCTGTGTTGGCGTTTTTCGCGTTCCACTGCATGCTTGTTTGGTGTGGATATAAAAGGCACCACCTTGGCACCCACCCTCGCGCCGCTTTTCCTCTTCAAAGATATTTTTCTAAACATTTTTTGAAAACTACCTACTATCAACCATGTCTGGCCGCGGAAAGGGAGGAAAGGGACTCGGAAAGGGAGGCGCCAAGCGTCACCGCAAGATTCTTCGCGATAACATCCAGGGCATCACCAAGCCGGCCATCCGTCGTCTGGCGCGCCGTGGTGGTGTCAAGCGTATCTCGGGCCTCATCTACGAGGAGACCCGCGGTGTGCTCAAGGTGTTCCTTGAGAACGTCATCCGCGACGCCGTCACCTACACCGAGCACGCCAAGCGCAAGACCGTCACCTCGCTGGACGTCGTCTACGCGCTCAAGCGCCAGGGCCGTACCCTCTATGGCTTCGGCGGCTAAACGCCTTATTCAAACACTGCAATTCATTTGTGTAAAATAAATAGTTGAAAAAACATGGACGCGTCATCAAGGTGAACTGCGGGATATGTTTTTGCTGTCTAGGCATGGAGAGCCACAGTAGCATTAGAAAAAAAATAGCCAAAGCGGTCTCCCACTTGCTTTCTGTTTACTCGACAATTTTTTCGCTCTTTTTTCCTTATTTACTTTCTAACGTTATTTTTTGTCTCGCCCTACTCTTTTTATCCTCTCCAGCTCTGTTCCACTTGAAAAGTCCTAATAGAGGAAGCATAAGGCTTACATAGAATGTCGGAGAATGAATCATCGCCGGCCGACATCGCGGGCTTGGACGAAGGCCATTCGACAGGCCTGGGCGCCAGTCTCAACCTGGCGCTCGCAGCAACACTAGGCGCCAGCAATTCGAGCGTACCTTCGTACTGCCACACGCCGTCGGAGCCATACGAGGGCAGCGTTGCAGTGACCTACCCATCGCCAGCACCCAAGGCGGCAGGATTCTCAGGTGGCACACATAGCTCCTCGCAGGAGGTCGCGCTAGATGCATCAGCGGGGGCGCTGCAGGCGGAAATTGACCAAGCGTCGATGACACTGGGCAGCGCATGGTATCTGGTGGACCGCAGGTGGTACACGCGCTGGCAGGAGTCGTTTTCTGGGATCACGAGTTCCGACATCGGCGCAATCGACAACTCTGGCATCACAGACATGGACGGCGAGCTGCTGCCGGATCTGCAGATGGGCGAGGCCTTTGAGGCGGTGCCGGAGCGGGCGTGGGCGGAGATGGTGCGGCTGTTTGGGCTGAAGGACAACCGGGAGGTGCGGCGCGTGGCAGTGGCCGATGAGCACGGTGCTGCACGACTGGAGCTGTACCCGCCATCAGTTTTTGTTTCGTCACTCATTAACGAGGAGGAGCCAGCGAAGAGGATAGCCATTTCGCTAGCGGCGCCGCTGAGCGAGCTCGAGTTCCGGGTCAGAACGGCGTTTGGACTGGCGGAGGGCGACGATATATCACTGTATCTGCCGTCATCCAGCATCCGCGGGGGCAAAAAGGAGGAGGCGCATTCTGATGCGAGCCCGCCGTCGTATGAGGCTGCGGTGGTAGATGATGCGGACCACGGGGCGGGCTCGGAGAGCCGGCTGATCGGGGTGATGGAAGATAAATCGACATCGCTGGTGGCGGCAGGGATTCTGGAGGACTCGGCAGTGTGGATGATGACGGTGCCCAAGGAAATGATGGGGCTTGCCATGGGAGATCTGCGCGCGGGCTCGGAAGCCGACGATGCGTCAAGTGTGAGTGCGGCAGCACTGTTCACGCCATCAGGGCGGCGAGAGCGCGCTGGGTTTGGGTCGGCATCAGATAGCGGCAACGAGGCCAGCAGTGAGGACGCCAACGAGGTGACCAGCGGGTTCGTGTCGACCGACGCTAGCACCGCATTGCTGGCGCGGGCCGTGTCGCAGGAACACTACCTGTGCGGGCTGAACAACCTGGGAAACACGTGCTTCATGAACTCGGCGCTGCAGTGCCTGGGCCACATTGGCGAGCTGACGCGGTACTTTGTGTCGAATGTATACACGAGCGAGCTGAATCGCGACAACCCGCTGGGTATGAAGGGTGCCGTGGCATCGTCGTATGGGCGGCTCAGCAAGGCCATGTGGGAGCTGGGCCGAGGGGCATATGCTCCACGGGCCTTCAAGCAGACGATTGCACAGTGGGCGCCGCAGTTCCGCGGGTACAACCAGCAGGACGCACCCGAGTTCCTGGCGTTTTTGCTGGACGGGCTGCACGAGGACCTGAACCGGATCCTCAGCAAGCCATATATTGAGGTGCCGGACGCCAATGGGCGACCCGACGCGGAGGTGGCTGGCGAGCAGTGGGAGATCTACAAGAAGCGCAACGACAGCGTGGTGGTGGATCTGTTCCAGGGCCAATACAAGAGCACGCTGGTGTGCCCCAAGTGCGAGAACGTGTCGGTGACCTTTGATCCCGTTCATGTATCTGACGCTGCCGCTGCCCGTGCAGCGCCAAAAGTGGCTCGATGTATCGCTGGTGCCGCTCAATAGTTCGGTCCATGCCACGCATATGAATTTGCTGGTGTGCAAGGACGACTCGGTCAAGCAATTGAAGCAGAATGGTCGCGCATTTCAAACAGTGCGATGCTTCGCGTCCTGCTGGCATGCGATGTGTCGTCGGGGCGTATCTATCAGATCTACAGTGACGAGGACCCCCTGGCAGATATCAGCGACTCCGACTCTGTGGTCATGTACGAGCTGGATGCCAGCGTCGAGGAGGTTGCTGAAGACCCGCTGTCGACTGAGTCTGTGGTGGTACAGCTCCTGTGCAGCAAGGGTGATGATGGGTCGTCGAGCTCGTCGTTCCGCTACAGCTATGCGCCGGATATCATCTCGAAGCCACTGATCGTCACGCTGCCGAGGGCCGAGCAAACCATGGGCGACCTGTACCTGCAGATTGCGACGGTGCTGGCGCGCTGGACCACCGTTGACATGTCCAAGCTAATCGAGCAGCTCAAGGATGCACATGAGGGTGGTTCTGGAAATGGCGGCTCTGACACGGGGCGGCTGCTGGAGTTGCTGGGCCGTGCAGTGTCACTTAGCGTGCACCGCGCAGGGCCATCGGGTCCGCGGTTCCAGCGCCGCAACATGTCGTATCTGTCGTATATGCCAATGGGCCGCCGCAGTACGCCGAACTCGTTTAGACCGTTTGAAGACCGTCTGACCAACGATAACTGCGAGCCGCTTGTGCCGGCGTCAGAGGAGAAAGCACCTGTCGCGCTGTCGCAGATGTCGGTTGATGATGATGTGCCTGCTTTGCAGCAGTCGCGCAGGCGGATGCGCTCGGACGATGATGGTGGGCGGTGGGATAACAGCGAGTCGGATAACGAGCCTGAGGTCGGCGGGCGGGCAACGCCCAAGCGGGCAAAGTCTGATAATGAGGAGAATGAGAGCGATGGCGAGGCGAAGCAGCTGATCACAGTAGTGTCTGCTCTAGAAGAGAGCGCGAATGAGGCTGTGGCCCCCGAGGAGCCACAGCAGCAGGAAAATGACAGGCAGTGAGGAGTATCCTGTCGAGGTGCTAGGGGGTGATGATGGCGAGTCTGATGCGCAGTCAACCAAGACGCAGAACAGTCCGAATGACTCGGACGACGATATGGCGGCAGCCACCGCTGCACTGTCGTTTACAGACATTATGAGCAGCAGAGGTTAAGCTGAACACCGGCGATACGCTGATCTGCGAGTGGGATCCGGAGGGAGCTCGCGCGCTGTTTGCGGAGCTGCTACTGGACGAGCCCACCATGGAACCGCGGCTCGACTCGCTGTTCGATTTCGGCCGAGCGGACCAGTTCGCAATGCCAGTAATGGAGGACGCGTCAAAGTACACTGGCCTGCCTGCGGTGACCGATCTGGCAGTGTCGGAGCCTCCGCGCACAGCGCGCCGGCCGTCATTGGTGCAGCGCGCGCAGCGGACAATCACGCTGGAGGAGTGCCTGGCGGAGTTTACACGCGCAGAGGAGCTGGGCGAGGAGGATCTGTGGTACTGCAGGCCAGTGTAAGGAGCACCAGCAGGCGACGAAAAAGTTTGATTTGTGGCGGGTGCCAGGAGATCTTGGTGGTGCACCTGAAGCGGTTCCAGCACTCGCGGGCGTGGCGTGACAAGCTCGATGCATTTGTGGATTTCCCAATCACGGGGCTGGATCTGACCAAGACTGTGGTGAGCAAGCTTGACGGGAGCGCGCTGGTCTACGATCTAATTGCAGTGTGCAACCACTACGGCGGGATCGGCGGCGGGCACTACACGGCATATGCGCTGAATCCCGAGGACCGCGAGTGGTATGACTTCAACGACTCGCATGTGTCCCCGGTGGGCAGCCCTGATGGCGTCAAGACATCTGCTGCTTACATGCTGTTCTACCGGCAACGGCGAGAGGGCGAGCATGCAGGGGACTCAGCGGCGGCAAAGATCAATGAGCTGATTGCCAGATTTGAGGAGGCAGAGAAGGAGAGGAGTGAGCGTGTGCCGGGCTCGCCGATTGCAGGGTCGGCTGCGGTGATGCCTGACCTGGACTTGGCGATGCCGTCACCCTCAGGCGATTTTATGGATGCCGACGAGGAACACGAGTTTGCGGGCAACGTCGAGGCGCTGGCGGAGATCGGGCCTGTGGGCCTGGCAAGTCCGCAGCTGAGCCGCAGCGACGTTGCCATCAGACAATGACGATACGCATGCATCGCTGTTTGGCGAGGACCCGCAGTCAACAATTGAAGAGGATGCTGATATGCTTTAAAGAATCTATTTTTCTACGTGATTTCCTAACAAACGTAAAAAAGAAAAATTCGATGCTAGTTTGTAGCCACCGCGCGCAGGATGCGGACGTCTTCGCGCGGTCCGGTCGTTTCTATCGGTGGCGACCAGGCCCATCCTCCGCACGACGTCCATGCCCTCCTTGACCCTGCCAAACACCGTGTGCTTGCCGTCCAGGTGCGGCGTGGGTGCCAGCGTAATGAAGAACTGCGAGCCATTGGTGTTTGGTCCCGAGTTGGCCATGCTGAGCACACCAGCGCCCGTGTGCTTGAGCGCCCTTGTGATTTCGTCTTCGAACTTGCCGCCGTATATGGACGAGCCGCCGCGGCCGGTGCCGGTGGGGTCGCCGCCCTGGATCATGAAGTCCGCGATGATGCGGTGGAAGATCACAGAGTTGTAGGAGCCGCGGCGAGCGAGCTCGTAAAAGTTTTTGCAGGTGCGCGGGGCTTCGTGCCAGTAGAGCTCGATGGTGATCGGGCCCATGGAGGTTTCGAGCACGACGTTGCCAGAGGACATTGTGAAAGGTGATATTGCTAGCTATGTGGATGCCTTTATTTTTATTTTGTTTTATTTTTTCGTTCGTAGCAGGCCATTGACGTATGCCAGTAGTGACGCATGTTATGGCCGTATAATATCAATTGAGTGACTTGTGCTAGAAAGCCCCCTGGTTATGCCTGGAACTGGCTCCGCAGCTCCATGATCTTGATCCGGTGCTCCTCGGGCAGCTGCGCCAGCTGCTCGTCCGTCAGACTCAGCAGCTGGTTAATAACCTGCTCATTGTCAATCTCGGGTGCACTGGCTTGGGGAATCTGTGGCTTTGGCAATGAAATCGGGGCTGCCCCACCTACCACCGGCATGGGCGGCGGCGGCGGCGGCCGTTGTGACGGGTACTGGGCTGGCACCGGCTGCATTGTGGCCATGGGCGGCGGCGGGTACCGCGGCACCGAGCCTGTCGACCCCGATCTGCCGGCCCCGCGCACCGCGCGCTTCAAGTCCTCCGGGCTCGCCAGGTCCAGCGACCCCAGCGCACAGTACAATGCGTGAGCCAGTGCCGGATTTTCCATTAGCTCGCGCCTGGCCACATGCAGGTTGCGCTTGGCGAAGGTCTGGAACTGCGCAATCAGCTCGCTCTTCTGCTGCTCATTCAACGGCCCTACGACCTCATTCACCGTCTCCACATCTACCTTTTTCGGCGGCGGCGGCAGCTGTGCAGACCCCGGTGCGCCGCTAAGCGACAGCCCGTCGGTGTTGAAGTGTCGACGGATCACCTCGCGCTCAGCAAAATCCAGCTTCATGGGCCGCCCGCCTACTAGTGTCCCCGAGAGGTTTTTAACTGCGCTGGCAGCAATCTGGATATCGGCATATTCACAGAATCCGAATCCACGCTGTTTGCCGCTTTCACGATCGAAGACGAGCCGGAATTCGGTCACCGGTCCCGCTTGCCGGAGGATGCCGATTAGCTGCTCTTCGGTTGTGTCGAAGGGCACGTTGCCTACAAATACTATGTTGTTTTCGCGTGGTTCCCGCCGGTAGTCCATGTCTATAGGTTGATGCGTGATGTGAGGAGGGGTTTTCTACCATTTTGTAAAAAATCAGACCTGCCTGGAATGTGTATTTGATTCGCTGCTATACCGTATTGTGGTTTTTATATTTCGAGATCCCTTTAATATTCGGATAACCACATGACTCTGGGGCTTCAGCGAAAGCCACTTGGGACGTATAGCAACGCGCATCTATATCTCCATGTGTAGCAACTGCCCAGGAATGCAATACGCATTTCTAGCGATGGCATGTCCCAGCCGTTGTGACTATTGCCCCCCTGTCTACTGCTATCGCCCGGGATCATCTGTGAATGCATGCTAAGCTATCTGCCGGCAATCATTGAAATCACGCCTGGTGACTGTATCGGCCACAAATGGCCACGTTTCAAATTCGCCTAGATTTGGGGAGGATTTTTTTAGCCTCTGCCTACAAGGCGTAAACAACCATTTTTCTCTTCAGCCCTAGAGGCCATTTGGGCGGCGCTCTTGTCTTTGCTAGTAGACAGACGGGCACGGCTGGTTGTCCAGTTCGCTTGGCGAAAATTTGACATGTGAAAGTCGCTAGGTAGCTTTTTCTCCCTCTCTCACTACCACACCTCACAGTTCTCATGTTAACTTCACCGCATAAAAAGCCTGTTTATTTCTTGGGTACCAGCCCGCTGTTTTTCTTTCTCCTCAAACCTTTCTCCAGCTAATTTTTAATACTCTTATCCGCTTCCACACAGAATGCCTACCCCTGCACCATCATCCAACGGACCCTGGGACGCCAAGCTGCAGCAGTTCCACGGCGGCCAGGACTGGGCGCATCTGGACAACTTCATCGAGGACTTTAGCGTGACCACGAATGCCTTCGGCATGCCCGAGTCTGCCAAGCAGGCCAGCGTTAGCTCGATTGAGCACAGCCATCACTACCCACCAGCGGACCAGGAACCGGCCAAATCCTCCCTGGCACAATTCCTGTGGCCCACCTCCTGGCAGCAGGACGGCGACCGGCTGATCCTGGGCAACGGTGCAAGCGAGCTAATCGACCTTGTGATCCGCATGGCGCCGCGCGGCACCTGGAAGCCGGGACCGTTCCGCACACAGTACAAGGAGTACGAGCGGTCTGCGCGCAACAACGACTACATGATGCTTGATTCGGAGAGCCCAGAGAAGGCGAACGTTGTGTGCCTGGTGAATCCGTGCAACCCTACCGGCGACTACATGGAGCTGCCGGAGCTGCAGCAATGGATCCTTGACAACGCTCTGCCAGGCGGCCATGTTTTGATTGACGAATCAATGCAACCCTGGCACTCGTCAGAGTTCCGCAACCACTCATTGACCAGCGCGCGCGATTTTGTTGAGCGGATCTACCAGGATCACGGAATCTCTGTGTTTGTGATGCATTCGTGGACCAAGCTGTGGTGCTGCACCGGCCTGCGCCTGGGCTCGGTCGTGTGTCCGACCGCCGACCATATGCGCGCGATCAAGAAGCTGCAGGTGCCGTGGTCCGTGAATACGGTGGCGTTGGCGTTCCTGGATGCCGTGGTTGCCGATAAGATATACTTGAACAAGACCTGGCAGATGACGGGCGCGTGGCGCAAGCAGACTGTCGATCGGATCAAGCAGCGGTTCCCGGCCTGGCAGTGCCATGGCCGTGAGTTTTTGTCGTGGATCTGGGTCGACACCAAATCAGAGGAGGTTGCGCAGAAGGCTGTGGATTTGGCAAAGGCCAATGGCGTGCCGGTGCGCAGTGGCCGTCCGGGCTATAACCTGCCGACGTATATCCGTCTGGCTGTCCGTGAGCCAGCCAAGGTCGACCATCTGTTCAAGGCATGGGAGACGATCTAACTACTCTTCACCTTCAGCATTGCTTGCAATTATTATCTAGTGCACTTGTCATTACGACCGGCAAGTAGCTGTTGATAGCACGATGTCGTATTCTCGATGGGGTTGGCATCAAGCGCACCACTATAGTTCAAGTTGGCTTTCTGCTTTTAGCGAGCTAGCTTGCGTCTGTCATGGCTAGCAGTTTGGTGTTGCCGTCAGCCGCCAGCAGACTTAGCCCCTGAATGCGAAGCGCCATTTCCTTTGTATCCTCTCTGCACGAATAGCATGCGCCCAAAATGTGAGTGCTCTGTGCTGATACCCTGAAATAATAATCTTGCTCCTTGAAACTGACGCGTATCGGGCATCACAATTGTATCAGAAAACGTACGGGATGCTTGTCAGACATAGGCATGCTTGATCTGTGACGTTCCGCCTTCCTGAGAACCTCCTCATTTTGTATTCCCTATGAAATGACATATTTCAACAGTTGTTCAAACTCTTTCTATGGCCGAAGCTTGGCAGTACAGGCACTGTGGCATGGGGTATTCTAATAATGTTGAGTGTATCGTTGACATTTACACGCAGCATAATGGTGAGGAATATTCCTTTTTAGAAGAAGGCATATCTAATGTTCAGAGCATCGTCAGGCAGTTGCTATTTGAGGTAACTCTTGGTGTATTCACCTGCCTTGTGCGTTTTGCAGAGCTATATTAGGCAACCTTAACGACTTTTGTGAGCACACAGGAGTTGATCATCGTGACAATGTTGAGAAGGCCAACAAAGAGTATACTGAATTTATGAAACGCTGTACCCAAAGTAATAATACATGATATTATAATATACCTTGTAATCCCAGCAATTAGCGGGTACGCTGAGAGATGTTTCCTGTGGTACATGATGTGACTTTAAGTGAAATACCAGTTTTATGTAATCTTTGCCGATTACTTGTCCCGTGTCCCATGTTGTAATGGAGTGGCATCATTGTAATTTAGTATTTGTGCTATATAGACATGTGGCTATCCACAAGAGCTCTGAGACTGTTTGTCGCTTTTCTTCGACAGTGATATCAGCTTCAATCAACAAATTAGCAAGAGTGGCATGAAGTGAAGGCTTAGGTGAATGTGTGCTTTGCATGTCAGCAAAAAGATTTCACCAAACAGCGCAGAGCCCACCAAAGCCACATGGGTGTCATGTTTAAGGCGCTTATTTTTGGACCATGTTGCTGATGCTGCTCCGGATCTGCTGGGCTGTGGAACAATGCACATAGTAAGCCATCAATGCCGATTCAGCAGCAGATCTTTGATATGCCGGACTCCCATTGTATTTTAAACGCAGTGACGAAGGTGTTGCGACAGGCATAACCAAAATACCCCATCTCTTAACCAATGCAAAACAACTGCTACCCGGATCTCTATAAAAAGTGAGACTCGAGAGGTCTATACCGGAAACTCCATATCATTCCATTTCACTCACATATCCTGCTCAGCCTTTATTGAACTCTTTCTTCATGACCAATCTCACCAAGAAGGCCGATTCTGACAATGATTCAATACTAGATGGAATCGACTGTCTATCAGACACGACCGTTCGTACACCTGAGATGTCTGCCAGTATCATATCAGTTATTGGAGAGCAGCAAGACATCAATGCTGACGATGACATAGTCATTGGTTATCTGCGGACGATTATTGGATATCGTTCTTCTATTCACTCGTATCAGCAGCAGAACTTCCTGAAGGCATATACGGCTATCATGTCTGGCGAGGTTATTCGTATCCCTAATAGGACGTACAGATCATTCAGTGTGGAGTCTTTGGAGGTGCGTGTGAAGCATCACAACTCAAAGCTCAAGGACATTGTACAAGGTGTTGGCGTTGTTTGCTGCATACTGGATGACATTATACAGGCGTATATCGGCGTACTCAGTCATGAAGCAAAGCTCAGTGCCATTAGGGAGCATAGATTGTATTTCCATGAGGTTTTGGATTCAGGCTATATTACTTTCGACTCGCTTAAATTCGCTCAATACCCTGCTTCGTACCTTGAAGACTTTATTCCATGGGTAGTTTGCGATAAAGATTTACAGTTGAGCAACTGTCGCTCGTACCTTGCTACCCACGGGTCACCTCTGGTTAGATATGTTCTGGAGAACCACATTGCGGGTACTGAAGACTGGGACTCAGCAAAAACTGCTCTCGTAAAGGAATTCACGCCGAAGGCTTCCCAGGAAGAAGTAGCAAAAAGCAAAAGCAAAGTAGCTGCAATGATGACCTGGGCTGACATAAACGAGTATCTGGAAAGTACCTATTGCAATACTTGGCATAAAGGTAGTACGTATTCCAGCCCTTGCCGTATTTATGATTCACTTTTCTCTCACAAGCGCGTTGATAATGTTACATATATTGCAACCTACTGCTGTATGTCGTTCGTTAGTGCCATCACCAACCATTCCCAGCAGGAGTTCATTGTGAGTGCTCTGAAGAAGAAGAGTATTAAGTGTATCTCAACCTTCAACTTTGGCACTTTGTAATGGCCATCTCATTCTTTCCCTCTTTCTATATTACCCTTGTTTTAAATAAATTCTCCTTGCAGTATGCATTCGTCATTATAATTCTGCATAATGGTAAATGCATAGCAGTTACAGTTATAGCATAATGTGCTACTCTGTGTATTGTAGACGCATTTCTGCACGAACAACACAGGAATACAATGTGACAAAGACCTTGGGGCCACGGATATATGGGCATTCTAATACGAGATCCTGAAAAGCCCATAAATATTCGGCACCCCTAAGCGACACGCGCTCAGAGGATGCTGATGCGCTTGTTGTTCGATGGCTGGACATACAACCAATATTCTACTTCAAATCTCCTTTATTAAAGTATGTCGAGCGAGAAGCCAGATATCAAGAACACAGCGCCCAAGCAGGATATCCCTGCTACCCGGCTGTTCAAGGTCCTGAATCCGGAGCTGTTCATGAAACCGAACCGGTGGTGTGGTGATCACACCACAGTCACTCAAAGCCAATGCTTATGCGACTCAGCCGATCACAGATGATGAGACCGATTCATCACCCCAGGCTAGGCCACATAGTTAGGGCTATAAAGTAGACACCGGATCACTCTAGGAGTGACCCGGGAGGAATCATCTCTTCTTGTCTAATAATATTAACTGTCCCCATTAATTGATTAGTGCCTGGGCGAGTAGACGAAGCTCGTGACCTTTAAATAGGGTCGCGACAGTGGATCATGGGTGGAGGAGTCGTGGCCATGGCTGGAATCATCTTATGGCTTGGGTCTGGAGAGCTCAAGCACCGCCGGGAACAGGCGCTGATAGCCAGTACCCAAGGCAGTGAGGAAAAACCGCGCACGCTGACGTACCAGGAGCAAATGGCCGAGCGCAAGCGGAGCAGCTAGCATGTATTTGATTCAATGCAATAAAAAGCCTATTCCTGGGTCTTGGTATCAGACATCCGCCACATGTACCAGGTAGCTACCGATCTGTACGGTTCCCAGATCCTGCCTAGTGCCACCAGCTCGTCATGTGTCGGCGTTGTCTTGGTGAACGGCACGCCAAAATGCTTGCACATGGACTTGCGAATCGCCAGGTCCAGTGTCGGCAGCACATTGGCGCGCTTCAGGTGGAACATTAGGAACATATCGGCGGTCCACGGGCCGATTCCACGGATGGCCACCAGGGCCTTCGTCACCTCGTCATCAGATAGTGCTGCCAGTTTGGCATCGGAAAGCTCGCCATCACGAAACTTCTCTGCCACAGCCTTCATGTACTCGGACTTGCGCTGGCCTAGTCCGCACTCTCTCATCTCGTCCACATCCAGGCTAGCAACAACCGAAGGCCTGGGGAACTCGAAGTCATCGGGTGTCAGCTCAGAGTCCTCCTTTGTAAGGTCTTTGAGTGTGCCGAACCGTCTCAGGAACTTCAAGAGAATGGCTGCTGCGGCCTTGCCTGCCAGCTGCTGGTACACGATCGACTTGCACAGTGATATATACCCAGTATCGCCGGTGTGGTCGCGGTCTAGACCCATCGTGCAGCGCTTAGACTTGGCGATAAACTCACCTAGGCGCTTGTCAGCGTTCTTTAGGTGCTCGATGGCTACATCGATGGCGGCCTCATCGGTCAGCGGCGGGGCTGTCAGCAGCGTTGCTGCGGTGGTCTTGGGAATCGGTGTGACCTTGGGCTTCTTGGTACGGGCCTTGGTGACTTTGCTCGGCGATGCGGGCTTTGGGGCCACAGGAGCAGCGGCAGCAGCAGTGGTGGATGCCTGGGCCAGGACACGAGCGCTGCGGCGGGTTGTGACCATGCTTGCTATTATAACTGAAATAAAGAGAACTGAAAAAGGAGCCCTAATTCGTGTGGGAAAATAGTGCTGGTTCATCTGTCCGCAGCAATGGGCTTGCACGAAGATTAGCTGGCAGATTAGCCCGCCACAAGATCAACGCCGAAGGACAGTTTCTGAGTGCTCGTTGCCACGTCGCTATTGTAACTTCCCTTTCATTGCCCTCCTGGAGTCTACTTTTCATTTTCCGTTTGCTGAATTCAAATGTCGTCACCATTCGAGGACGCACTCAATGCCTACCTTGAGACAACACAGCCGACCGCTGCTCCACAGCTTCTAGACGGATTCGCAGTCTCCGCTGATCCACGCTACGCGTACAACGCTCAGACAGGGCTCTGGCTAGATATTGCATCGAACACGGTGTCGTACTATGACGCCAAAACATGCACATATGTGGCAGCTGACACTCAGGACAATGCTCAATCGTCGGACTGGTTCGAGGGCGTTGTGCGGCTGGTTGTCGTTGACTCAGCGTGCTTTAGTCCTGGCCAGGTTGCTGATGTTGATATTGTGGAGGGCTTGAGTATCGGCCGTGATGAACATGAGGCCAGTATCACGCCGCATCTGCGAGTTCCCGAGATTTCTGTGTCGCGGTTCCATGCCCGGATCTATGCTGAGGACATAACAGAAAGCGAGACCGTGGACAATTGCGTTGAGGTGGGGTCGGAGGACGGAGAAATCGAAGAGCAGGAAGATGACGATGCAAAATATTCAGAGGATGGCGAATGTTCAGACCACGAGGTGGAGGCCAAAACCGATCCACATCGTCTGCTCACTCTATATGTCGTTGATCAGGGCTCCACGCATGGCACATTCATCAACGAGGAACGGCTCTCGGAGCCAAAGTGTGCTAGCAAGCCTCATGTGATTGCGCATATGGACAGGGTGTCGTTCGGGCAGTGTGTATTTGAACTGCATGTTCATGAGCAGTGGGCATGCGCACGGTGTAGCGCATCAGAACACAGCGAGATCCCAACTCGTTCTTTTGCTTCAGCAATGCAGCCTGAGGCGAAGAGTACGAAGTTGGTACCAGATATTCAGCAGGAGCGGATCGAGAACCTAAGGGCCCTAAAGCGAAAGTATATGTCCAACAAGGGATACCATAGGCACACGACTGGTAAGACATATACAGATCGGGCAAAGCTGCGACGGATGCATCAGCCAGCGCAGTTACCTGCACAGCCATATTCAGACACGGACGACCACACGTCACTTTCAGATGAAGGTGATGCATACGAGTTTACGGGCAACAACGAGCGAGCAGGGCTGGGTCTACAAAACATGTCTGATCAAGATCGACGAGAGTACAAAGTAACCCGGCTGACGCGCGAGCGATATATGTCTTCGTAGCACATTTATTTCCATACTAGAAATACTCTGCTCGCGATGCGAGCTCGGCTGCTAGTCAGCATGGGTTGGCACGTCGATAAGAGCATCACGGCGAACCGGTCATTTGAACGTGTCGGATGGTTGTTGGTGCAATGGCGGTCATGGACATCTCTCATCCTGATGGCCTGCTCAGCGTAGGCGCTTCAGCGCTGGCTCGCTGCTGCTGGCAGCAGAATCGCCTGCTGCTGCTGCACGCCTCTTGCACGGCCTCTTTGTTTCAGGGGTGGTGCCAGAAGCATTGGCAGCAATGGCCGTAGAACGACGGAACCGTTCAGGAATACTGCCTGAATCACAGAGTGACTGGAAAATGAGTCTGAAGTTTAGAACTGCTGCGAGATCGCGGTTCAAGAGCCGAGACGAATAGGCTCGCCTGTATTGTGCCATGGCCCGCTTACATGACTCGCTTGTACAGCGGAGAAGGCCATGGCACTTCACAGTTGGGTTCTTCGATCTCTGGTAGGGCCGCGGGTTGGGAACATGCCGGAATGTCTGCTGCAGCAGCTGATGCAGCAGCAAGTGAATCGGCCGCTACTGCTGCAGTTGCTGCAGTGGCCTCTGTTTCATCTGATGGCATCTTCGCTGCTTCGCGTGCAGCCTTCTTGGCCAATTTTTCGCCCTTTTCTGCTGCTTTCCTTGCCTCTGTTGCTGCCCTCTTTGCTGCGTTGATCTTGGTACCCTGCTCACGGGTTTTCGAAACAAACACCTGCTTGATTATTTGCTTGTCTAAGCGCACATGGCCTGGGATCCATGATGTCCGCAGAGGCAAGCATTGGGGGGAGACTTGCCAAGCTGCTCATTCTCGATAAGCTGGCATAGACGAATGTATGCATGCAGATGCTTAAGTGGATTTACCTTGGCATCATAGTATCGGCTGCCTTTGGCGAATCTGTACTTGGCATCATAGGCATTGAGGACTGGTGCCAACTTGTTGTAGATTGCAAGCATCGGTGGGGTGAGCACACTGAGATCAGGGTGCCTAGAGGCAACTGCCTGGCGGAGCTTCTATGCAGGTGTGTAAATATACATTTGACATGCGTTATTGAACTCAGTCTTGGACACATTGCCCATTGTACTGCGCAGTGTGTTTTTGCGGCTGCGAATATCAATCAATTTGGCCAGAATCCGCTGTAGGCAAGTGCCATAGCGCAACACAATGTTGTTCTTGTATGCTGTCATCAACTCGGTATCCACGTATGTTGCTACTTGATTCATGTCGCGTATGCCATGTAGCTCAATATCGCCATTATGCAATAGATAATAATAAATGTGATATCTAACTACATCACTGAAATCGGCGGTTAACAGTTCTGACCTGTCCTTCTGGTTAATGAAATCCTCGGCAGATATGACAGTCTTCACCTTCAGGTTGCGATAAATAAATAAATAAATGGAACGAAAAAACCCCTTTTTCACAAATATTGAAGGGTCAAAAGCATCATCGTCAGCTAGTTGATGGAGTAATATCCATCATACAAGCATGTATGTATGCTCTTTGATGATATTGACGCTGTGTACAAATTCCTCTAGGCGGGGCAACATAGAATCACGGAAGCCAATACCACCAAGTGATGTCTTTATGACAGTAGTGCTGCGGGTAACTAGCGGACGGTCGGACACTTTTTAGACTATAAAATCTTATATATAGGTAAAGATATACACTTAGCATAACACTGGCCTCTGGAAGACCAGCACGCGCAGATATCCCTGGTTGTCGTTGTACGCACCGACCTCAGTCCAGTCATAGAATATGTTCCGCACGATGCGCTCCATGCCCTTGCCGATTTCAAACCCGATGCAGCCCGCTGGTTGCAGGATCTCCATGTTCGCCATTAGCGATCTATGGATTGCGCTGTATGCCTGGAATCCGCCGTCCTCGGCAATTAGTGCCAGCTGCGGCTCGTGCTCGATCATCCGCGTCATGCGTACAGCCTTGTGCGGCGAAATATACGGCGGGTTGCATGCTATAAAGTCATATGGCGACTGTCGCAGCACCTTCTCATCGGCTGCAAATGACTCAAAGTCGCTTGGCAGCATTTTTGCTTGTGAAGCCAGCCCATGCAGTGCGACGTTCGCCTGTGCAATGTCAAGCGCTGCCGGGCTGATATCAATACCGACACCACGTGCTGCAGGTACCTTCAGTAGTATTGACAGAAGGATGCATCCGGTTCCAGTCCCAAGATCCAGAACCTGCGGAGCTGCTTGGCTACCAGCAGCTTTCTCTAGAAACTCAACGGCTGCAGAAACCAGCGTCTCCGTACTGGGCCGCGGGATAAGCGTGTTCTTCGAGACACGGAATGTGTGTCCACAAAAGTCCTTGGTTCCGGTGATATACGCAGCAGGAATACCATCGGCAGCCAGTTCTGCACCGTCTGCTGGCAGTACATCGGATTGTTCTAGCTCCTCTCGTGCCTTCTTCTGTCTACGTTCGTAAAACATGACTTCGCGTTCGCAAACTGACATTATCTTCTGCGGAATCGGCACGTCAATGGTTACAGGCTCATAGCGTGCATCCGTAGCAGAAAGCGTCACTCCAGTGAGTGACATCAGGATCCCCTTATCACGATGGTTCGCCAGTGGCCGGGCATAGGTCTGCGACCCGACGATAGGGTGTCCGATTAGATGCATGTACCGGCGCAGAACCAGGCTTGCATGAGCAGCATGCCCCACCGATGCTTTGATCATTGTCAGGTGGCCAACATTGGGGCTGCGTGTCACCGATTCAATATGGATCTCGACGTGGTTGAAGATGTCAGCAGGAATACGGTTATATTCACACCAGAGGTCCAACGGCGTAGTCTCCTCAGAGTTGTCACCCGACACCGATGCGGCCTCCAGCGACTGCAAGGTGACGCTATTCACCAGGCTCTGCTCGATCTTTCCATGACAAAGTGCACCAAACCTGAACGTGATCTGCCCAGTATTAATTTTTTCGGCCAGCTCCTGTTGGATCTTTGCATCTCTGGCCAAAACCACGAGTCCCTGTGATCCACGCTCAATCTCATTGACAACGATCCACGGCTCCGTGCTGATATCCTTGTACTTTTCGTCCCCGCTAACCAGCAGTGTCGCTGGCACGGCCCATCCGATATCGCACATGCGCGCACCTGCTGGTTTCATCACGACGGCAAGATCAGAGTCACAGAATTTCAACTCGGTCCCCAGAACCTGTAGTCTCCGGGTATAGAGATCAACCAGGCTCATCTCGACCCGTACTGTGTCGCCTTCCTTTAGTATGTGAGTGTCAAGTGTCAGGTCCCCATTGACATGCACAGCCTTTTTACGCAGCGCAGAGATCACATCTTGGCGGAGGGGCATAATGTCGCGGAAGTTGCGTGCGAGGAAGAGACGCAGTTTTGTACCAGCATCTGCTGCAAGCACCCTCAGCTCCTTTGTCTGTGTGCGAAGGGCCATTATAAAGATACCGGTGTGGGGATTTTACGTGAAGAAGGCAGGAGACGCAAAAGTTCAAGAGCATTTCCGCGCCGGTCGGAGGCGACCCCCGAGCGTGATGATCGAGCATAGGGAGCACAGAGTAATGGGTTCTAATGAGCAGACACTGGGGGTGACCAGCAGTCGGATTTAACCAGGTGGGCGATGAAGCCTGCGTTTGCTTGCTGCTGCCAGCATCGGTGATTCCGATCAGCAGATATTGTTGATATAGTTCGGCCGATCACCGCTTTTGATCCTCTGGCCGATTTTTAGTACCAGTCATTTTTTCAGCCAGGACTTGCTGCAGCGCGCTCTTCTTTACTTTCATTCAGACAAACCCCCCCTTTTTTCACAGAGTTCCAGCAGCAAAATGCGCGTGAAACGGGCCAAGGCATACAAGAAGGCGATGCAGTTTTATCAGCAGGCGTTTGGGTTCCGCCAGCCGTACCAGGTCCTGATCACACCCGACTTTATCGATGAGTGCATCGCCAGCAAATTGTCGATGAAGGAGGATTTGCCCGAGGTGTTCCAGGGACCTGTGAAGCAGCTGGTCAGCGAGTGCACGCTGAAGGAGCTCCGCAATGGCGGAGACGATAAAATCGTGGCTCTGGCTGCGATCAAGCTGTTTGAGCGGCGGCGGTGTCCACACAAGGAGCTATCGCTGACTGGCCTCGAGTGTGTGCGCAAAATCATGGGCAAGGTGAACGAGCACAACTACGCAGTTGCGACGCAGGATATCAAACTCCGGAATAAGCTGCGCAATATCCCTGGTGTGCCGATTGTGCATGTCAAGCAACGCCAGGTGGTCCTCGAGCCGATCACGCAGCTTTCGCGCGATGAGCTCAAGCGGAGAACAGAGGAGAAACTGAAGCCAAGCCGGTTTGAGACGAAGGTGGTCAAGACAGTCAAGAGGCAGGACCGCCAGGAGAGATTCCGGCAGATCAAACTGAAGAAGCTGCCGCCGTCGGCGCTGGCAAAGGAGGCGCTGGCCAAGAAGAAGGCGGAGGAGGCCAAGGCCAAAAAGAAGGAAGAGTGGAGGAACAAGAAGAGGGCTATTAAGGAAGGCACTTTGAACGACGTCCAGCCTACAGGTACCACAAAGGAACCCAAGACCAAGGCTGGACCGGCCAAAAAGGATGCGGTCCAGTCGCAGCCCAAAAAGCAGAGTGGGCAGCCGACAGCTGGCTCAAAGCGTGCGCGGCCGGATGAAAAAGACATCAGCAACACAGCAGCAGCCACAGGTGGAAACGAGAACCAGAAGCGCAAGCGCAAGCGCATTCGCACACACAAGAAGAAGGCTGATAAGGCTGAGTAGGATTGTTAGCAAATGGCATATGTTGAAACATTTACATTCCACAGTGCATGATACTTGCGCAGTTTGTCGTAAAACTCGCGTTTTATACGATGCAAACTGTATGATGCTGAGGTAGTTGTATATATAGTTTTACGCTTGAGATCAAGCGTCTACGTCTACGTCTACGTGTGAGAGGCAGGGACCTTGTCTGCCAACAGTTAATTCAAACCACCCGCTCTATATCTTGTGAACTAGAGCGTAAATAAAGATAGCTAGAATGAAACGAAGAAACAGTCATTTGCGTGCCAGGCCCAGTTGTGTTAATGAGTAGAACTCAAAAGTCAATTTAAGAAACTGGAAGCCAATATCTGAGCGCATGGACACTGGTACCAGTACCAGAATTTGCTCCCTTCGTGAGTGGTCTAGAAAGGCAGGGACGGGGGGTTCAGTGATGACATTCTCTTCACATGATATCCAATTCTAAAGCCTTTCCAAGCAGCGTGAATCAGGTAAAGACTGCGGATTATTTAATGGCTTCCTACAAGCACCAGAGTCGATTCTACTCAGTACAACAGCTATTGAGATCTTCTTGCTAGCTCTGCTTCCAGCTGTGCAATTTCGCCCTTTAGTTCACTGCTGGCGACCTGTATCTCGATGCATTTTTTCACGCCCTCTGTCCACCTCTCCTCGATATCCCTGAGCCTGATCCCTGCCTCTGTTTGCTCATATTTCCGTGCCTTGTTGACATTTATGCCTTCATCCCGGTGCCGGTCTGTCGCCTTCTCGATATTCCTCAGCAGCCCCTCCTTCTGGTAATTGCTCAGCTTCCACGAATTCGCGCCAAACTGCTGCAGCAACTCCAGGTTTACCAGACGGATGTTCTGGTGCTCAAGTTGAGCCGCGGCATTCTCCGCCGCAGATCTCCATATGCCAACGCTGTCGGAATCCTCAGGTGCTTCCAGTTTGTACCGCTCAATGTCAAATTCCGGCAGGGGCTTTCCAGCACGCACGCGCTCATACTCTTTGCGCAGAAGGTCGTTGTTCTTGAAGAGTGTGGTGGATTTGGGCAGCAGAGGAGGCGACATGCGGCCCATTTCTTTTTGGATCAGCGAGCTGACCTGGTCGCGCATGGAGGGGTCGTCATACTCCTTGTCAATGTACGGCAGCGAGTCGATAGCGGCGCTATGTGAGTCCATGGATAGGAGGTTTATAGTGGTATTGGAAGTTTACAAGCAAAGTGACAGTGTACGAAGGGGATTCAAGGGCCGACTGGCCGGTTGGCTGGGGCCACATCAGCCAATGAAGAATGCAGCCCTTGTGGGTGTCTCGCTGCGGTGCTCCGTGCCTGCGGGCTGGAGGAGAAAATCAATGATCCAGAAACGACACCAAAGCCTGCAGGCGTATGGGGCAATCGGGATGATGTAAAGCGTGAGGGCTTGGACATGAGGGTAAACATAAAAGGCGAAATGTGAAAAAAGGACTATTGACGTGGGCAGATAGGTGAGGGCTAGTACAATTGCAAAGAAAAATTTTGCTCCTCAAGCCTGCCGCCGTTGGGGTACAGTATGCAGTTCCGACCGGGCCATGCGCTGCTGCATCTCGCTGCGTGCTAGGCGCGACTTGGCCAGCCGCTGCTCGACCAGGGTGCTGCCGACAGTTGACGGCTGGTGCATATCGACGCCGCGGCCCTCGCCCGACACCAGCGAGCGCAGGTTGGTGGGCCGCTGCAGCGAGTCGGCGTGGTGCGAGCCGGCAAGCGACTTTGGGCTGGCAATGGTTCTGTTGCGGGCCAGGCGGGCGTGGACCGTGGCATACTTGCCCGACGAGCCGATCAGCGGTGTGACCTTTGTGCGAGCTCCAGCGAGGCGCGATTCGAGATCCTTGACGCGCGACATAATGTCGTGCACCATGCGCGCTGGGTTCTCGCCGTTGCCAGCGTCGATGTTCGCTGATGACTTTGACAGCCCCGAGTTCTGTGGCACCACGCGGCTGTTGCGGCTCCGCACCACGTTCAGCTCCAGATTCAGATCCTTCAGCTCGTCCTTCAGCCGCTGGACCTCGTCGACCAGGATCTTCTTTGTCTGCACCTCGGACAGTAGGTGCGAGTTCTCCTCCACCGCGCGGCTCAGCCGGAACTCCATGTCTGTCAGCGACGATTTGGCTGCCCGCTCGTTGCGCTCCAGGTCGTCGTTGTCCTGCTCCAGCTCGCGCGTACGGCTCTTGTAGTACTCCTGCTGCGACCGCACAAACTGCAGCTCCCGTTCGATCGATGCCAGGTCCTCACCCGCCTTCAGCTGCGCCTTCTGGTACTTGTCCTTCAGCTCGTCAATGTCAAACTTGTACCGCTCATTCTTTGTGCGTAGCTCGCGGTTAATTGCCTCCAGCCGCTCGATTTCTGACTCCAATTCCCCTTCCAGCTCAGCGGATTGCACCTGGAAGTCCTCCAGTTCGTATTCTTTGTTGGCCAGGTCCTCGCGCAGGTTAAGCGTCTGGTTGCGCCAGTACGCGATTTCCTCTTCTGGCGATGCAAAAGTACTACAAATACAGCCCCTTTTCTGTTAGTCTATGGCTGTCTGGCGCCTTCTGCTACTGCACCGTCGCCGACTGGCACTTACGTTGGGTCCTCCTCGTTCATTCTCTTTTCAAAGAGGGAATTGGGGGCGGAATTTACAAGTATAAAAAGGAAGGCGTTTTGAAGTAAAGTGGGGAAAAAGTCGTGCAAGCGCTACACTGAGAAAATATCTAACTGTTTTCATCAGAACTCGTGGCTCACATGATTGGGCCAAGCCGGAAGATCTTCAAACCCAGCTTCAGCATTATGATGCTGCAAGCCAACGCGTACTACACCGGCCGCTGCTTCTTGCGATTCAAAAACTCCTTCGCCAGCCGCCTTCGCTTTGCCATCTTGCTCTCATTGTCGTCCATAACAGGCTCTGCGGGGACGCACACTATATCCTCGACCTGCACGCCCCTGGCAAAGCAGTCGCGCCGGAACACATAGTACGCGTTGCACTTGTCGAACGGTGACAGAAACGAGTACATGGCCATCGACGTTGCCTTCTCCACTCGCAGCTTAGTCTCGAGCTTTGGTGGATCGGCAGACTGGGAAACCAGCTTTGCTACCTTGTCGATAACCGCCCTGGCATTGCCGTCAGGCACCATGATGTCATCGGGAACCTGGATTGGCACTGCTGCTTCGCCGTTTGCGTGCTTGTCGTCACCATCCGGGCTGGGCTCCTCTGATCCAGACTCTGGGTCGTGTTTAGAGTCGTCTGCAGATTGTGAGCCCGAATCAGACTCGTCATTGTACCCGTACAGGCCGGCCTGCATGAGCCACCTGATATGCTTGTAGAACGGGTAAAGCGAGTCGTCCCTATTCAAAAAGTAGAAGTCGCTGTTGTTGCCCTGCTTGCCCTGGATCGTGAGCTCCATTTGGTTGGAACGGTCTGCAGGCTGGCTGGAGATGAACCGGGCTGTACGCTCGATGATTTCAAAGTGGCGCTGCGATTTAGGCGCTGCCATTCCATCGGACAGGGAAAATGAAGGGCAGAATGGCGGGTCGGTATTGGCTTCGTCGAGGTGGTTGAGCTGCAAGGCAGACACAGCGGGAGCAACTGGCTTCCCCTCCACGTCATACTGAAGTGCTGTACCACTTGCTTCGCTGGCGTCTTCAGAATCAGGCTCGCTGATTTGGCGAATGTATGCCTGTCTTTCTGGACTGTCCATGTAAAATATGCACCGCTCGTTCTCCTCCGTCTCCAGCGATTTAAACCGGCGTGCATCCATTTCAGGATCAGCGACAACAGTGCCAGTATCCTCGTTTCGGCGAATAGAGTTCATGTCAATAAGATATCTGATGTCATAACGGTCTACCAGCGTATTGGTCTCGGCTAGCTGAATCAAGTCTGCTCTGTCCGACCGCTCTGCCTGTTCGAATATCCGTGCTCCGTAGCCAAACACTATCGGCGTGCTGTCCGGCTCGTCATCAGTGCTGGCCAGAAAACCCTTGCCATAGCGCTCTCGTTTCAGTGCCAGCCACTCTTTTCGCTTTTGCTGTCTAATGCGGTGGGAGTCCATTACGAAGTATTAAGAGTATGCATTGCGCACTGATGGCCAGCCCTGGCACCTCAGCTTCCCAACATGAATATCTCGATGTGTGATCTATGATAGTATGGTACTCAGGCGCATTAGCAGTAGCTTTGCTGTATTCGCTTGCGTTCAAATCCCCTCACACTGCAGTATGTCTCGTGATAGGTTTGTGAATTTGCTTGCAGACAGCCTCAGGCGTATCCATGCTTGCCAATGCCACCGAAAGGTGACACGGTGACCATAGCAATCTACATGAATGCATTTGTGAGGATGAGGGATGGATCATCCACCGGTGGAGCCACAAAAGTCCTGCAACAGCATGAGGTCCCGAGATCATGGTGGCCACATAATGAGTGCTTTTGCCACCTTGGCCGCACACGAGGTTCGTCTGATCTTGTGATATGTCTCTGGCGCCAATCCCTAATGTCGTGTGCATCGACAAGGCTGGCTGTCCATTAGATCCAACTACTGTCCCTCAAACAGCGATTTCCTAAATGAACATATGCAGATGCAGACCTAGTGATATAGATAAAAATTTGATATTGCCTGTGTTGCAACCAAGCTCGCCTCTGCTGAAAATAGGGGCCAATTCGAAAGCGATCACACGCCACGCCAAGCGGTCTGGGTTTCTTCTACGCTCAAGGCTTGCCAGCTCAGTATTCAACAGAGAACAGCATTTCCTAGTTTGTATTCTTCAGTATGGATGTCATAGTACATATGCGGATGTCATTTAGCAGGATCCAAAGCATTCACTCCATAAATAGTATTGTGTCTAAGGTTGATGTAAAGGTGGATGTCACATTGTACCGAAGTAGTTGCTATGGTTGGCCTTACAGCAGCCCATCGATGCCTCAAGCTAAAATTACATATAAAAGCAAGACAACCATGCTAAAAGACTCACATAAGACCACATTGCAAGACGAAGCACCAATCTTCTTATTGACCTTGATACCCCAAGCCGATTCTCCAACCATGAAGGTATCATTTTCGTTTACTTCGCTGCTGGCACTCTCTTCTCTGGCTACAGGCTCTCTTGCCAGCACCTTCCAGTCTGCCAAGTGGGCTGCAATCCCTCCTGACTACAACACTGCCTTGGTTGACTGAGTATCTAAGTAGACCAGTACAGCTACTAGCAATTTTTGGCCAACATCTCGCCTGAAGGTGCTTCACCTGGGGCTGTTGGCGCCGCGCCCAGCAAGAGCAACCCAGACTACTACTACCACTGGACCCATGATGCCGGTACCACCCTCTTGGAGATCTCCACCTGGCTCAACGGAACATCTGACGCGTCAGGGTCTGAGGTGTATAGCAAGAAACTCGCCGACTATGCCAATTGTAGCCGCAGCATCCAGACCATCGAGAGTCCGTCAGGAATCGGCACTGCAAAATTCATGATGGATGGCTCAGCGTTCACTGGAGCCTGGTGCAACCCGCAGCGCGATGGTGCGGCGATCCGCGCCATCTCGCTAATTAGCTACGCTCGCTGGCTCATCGAGCACAGCAAGGACGTGTCGCAGTACTATGATGGCAAGGACCCATCTGAGTCGGTTATCAAGGGTGATCTTGAGTATATCGCAAGCAGCTGGAATGCCGACAACAACGGGTGCGGCATCTGGGAAGAGATCCGTGGTAACCACTTCTACACATGCATGATCCAGCGCCGTGCCATGATTGAGGGCGCGCAGTTTGCGGCTCAAATGGGCGACACTGGCACTGCCTCCATGTACGAATCCCAGGCTGTGCCTATCACTGGCAATATGACCAGTTTCTGGAACAACGACAAGAACCTGATCTTGCCAACCATCAACAGCAACGGGGGTGTCAACAAACCGGCCAATATTGATTCACAAGTGCTTCTGGCTGCGCTACATGCTTCCTTGGGTGATGGATTCTACATTGTCGACTCTGACCAGATGCTAGCTTCAGTTGTCGCCAAGACTAACGCGTTCAAGCCGCTGTACCCGATCAACACTGATACTGAGGCGACAGCCAGCTCTGCTACAATGCCAATTGCTGTTGCGCTTGGCCGCTACCCCAAGGACGCACACAATGGCTACAACTCTGGACAACAAGGAAACCCGTGGTCGCTGATCACCTCAGGTATGGCGGACTACCACTACCGCCTGGTTGAAACCTGGTCCACAGCCGGCAAGGTTACCATCACCAAGGCGACAGGGACATTCTTCAATCAGATGAAGGAATTTTATGGAATCGCGTTTACCAATGCGTACGAGGTTGGTGCCACGCATACCAGTGACTCTGACACATTTGGTGGGCTCCTGGCCAACACCATACTGTCAGGCGACCGTTATATGGTACAGGTTGCCCACCATACGGATGCATCGGGATTGATGACCGAGCAATGGCTGTGCGGCGAGGGGACCCCAACTGGCGCTCCGAATCTGATCTGGTCGTTCGAGGCACATACTTCCGCAGCACATCACCGTACAGCTGCATCGCGGATTGTGTATGGCAACTAAGCCTGCTCATTAATTAACCTGTGTTCCTAGCTCCATTGGCATATGTCAACATTGAATGCAATTCCAAATTGGCCACAGTATATCAACAGATCATTTCCTTATTTCCACTCCAAGTCCAATTCGCCGAATAGGAGGCAGCTGCGGCATGGGGTATTCCCACACATGTCTCGCTATCTTCTGGCCAGTGGAGAGGCGTGTGCGATTTTGTAATTCGGGAACCAAAATGCAAGACCTACCTCTGCTATGCACGGATCTTTGTCGCAATGTTGGCACCAGTTTGTAGTGGTGGTCCCTGTTTTCAGCTTGGCTTTCATGTGTTTTGCCACAAAAAGGGAGGCGCAAAAGCCAAGTGGGCTAGCTGGATTGGACTAGTGCAATTTCCGACATATAGGCTGCTAGCGCGATCGACATGGCGTATGCACCAGGGAAGGCGATCATTCACCGCCTACGGTCACGAGCGCTGTGGCTCTGGCCCACGAAAACGCATAGTCTGGAGAGGTCCATCCGCGCTGCTTGCTGCTGTCCTACTGGACTGAATTCTCCACATGAAACATGCGGCACAATACCGGCCATCCTGCAAATCCTCGGGTGCGAGTGGAAAGTGAGCCAGTGCGCTCATCGAATTCCAAGGGCAAATTAGTAGCTGGGAAGATCCAGCACGGCCGCCATACAAGCGACGTTTCCAATTAATCTCTTGCACCACCCGTCGTCGTTCGCTGGTTGCCCACCGCCGGCCAATTTTGCATTGTGATGCGAGGTGGGGGATCCAACTTGATTGCAGCCAGAGTATGTAGTCGTACGAGGAAGCTTAGTGGCTGGTGTTGTCTGATTTGCTCGCCGGTGCCCACCCATTACACATTCTCTACCCTGACTATTTGGCCTCGTATTAGGTGCATCTATTGCGTATCTCTCTTTCTGTCCCAGCTGTCTGCGCTGCGCAGGTGATCTTCAAGCGCATGCATTGAAGGTTCTAGAGATAAAGTGGCCAGTGTAGCTGCAAGTGCATGTACAGACAAGGGGGGTGGAGGACAGGAAAAGAAGCAATTCTCGGTTGAAGCGATTCTGTGGCCCACACCGACAAATCCACGCTTATCGGCGTATAAAAACAGGGGCCACCTCCTGAATCGCAATTGCCGAAACCACATCGACTACGCAATATCCTTCCTCTCAACCAAGCTATTAATTCACAAGTTCGAAGCAGGCGCCACACAAATGAAGTCGTCAATCTCCATCACCTCCATCCTTGCCATTGCGGCCTTCGTCGCTGGCACACCCGTCGACCACGGATCTCTCGCCAAACGCGCCGCAGCCCCGCCCTTCAACACAGCCCTGACCAACTGGGTCAACAGCGAGACCACCTATGCCAAGAACGGCGTTCTGGCCAACATCTCACCATCTGGTGCTTCCGCAGGTTCTGTCCAGGCTGCCCCCTCAACCTCCAACCCGGACTACCGGTACCACTGGGTGCGCGATGCCGGAATCACCCTGCACGAGGTTTCTGGATGGCTGAATGCCACATCCGACTCGTCCGCAGCCGCTGTCTACAACAAAAAGCTGGCAGACTATGCGACATTCAGTCGCACAATCCAGACAGTCTCCAGTCCGTCCGGCCTGGGAACTGCCAAATTCTACATGGACGGTACCGCCTACACGGGGCCCTGGTGCAACCCGCAGCGCGATGGTGCCGCAATGCGTGCAGTGTCGCTGATCAGCTACGCACGGTACTTGAAGTCGCAGGGCAAGGACGTGACGCAGTACTACGACGGCAAGAGCCCGACCAGCTCGGTCATCAAGGCTGATCTTGAGTACGTCGCCAATAACTGGAACGCGGATTCCCAGGGCTGCGACATCTGGGAGGAGGTCCGTGGCAACCACTTCTACACGCGCATGATCCAGCGCCGTGCCATGATCGAGGGCGCGCAGTTCGCCAACCAGATGGGCGACCCCGGCGCCGCAGCATGGTATAATACTCAGGCAACGGCTATCACCAATGGCATGGATGCGTTCTGGAGCGGCAGCATCATTCTCCCGACCATCAACTACAACGGCGGTGTGAGCAAGCCATCAAACATCGACGCACAGGTGTTCCTGGCCGTCCTGCATGCCTCTCTTGAAGATGGATTCTACACTGTCGATTCGGATCGTGTGCTGGCCACGATTGTCCAGCACATTGCCAAGTTCAACTCAATGTATGCAATCAACACGGCCACAACGACGACCATTGCGTCAACCAGCGTGCCGGTGGGTCCGGCGCTCGGCCGCTACCCCGAAGATACATACAACGGGTATGAGTCGGGACAGCAGGGCAACCCGTGGACGCTGATCACCTCGGGCATGGCCGAGTGCCATTACAGGCTGATCTCAACATGGAGCAAGAACGGCAAGATCGTGGTTACCCAGGCAGTAGCCAACTTCCTGAACCAGCTCACCTCGCTGTACGGAATCACGTTCAGCAACTCGTACAGTGTTGGGAGCACATACGGCAGCGGGTCGGCAACATTTAATGAGATATTGGCCAACACCATGCTGGGTGGCGACCGCTACATGGCTCGCGTCGCCCGCCACACTGACGCGAACGGCAAGATGTGGGAGGAGTGGAACCTGAGCACCGGCTTCGGCCAGGGCGCCCCTGACCTGACTTGGTCGTACGGAGCCCATGTCTCTGCTGCCACAAGCCGTGCTGCTGCCTCCAAGATCGTGTACGGCGCTTAGACAGGAAATATGATAGTATGTTATGTTGCAATATATGAACAGTACCAAGGAATGCATGCAGTGGACTACTTTTCTAGCTCGCGGGTGATCTGGCTCAGACTGTTGTTGATAAACTCTCGGCTTTCCGGTGCAAACAGATGGTACGGGAGCGGCGACGAAATGCGGTTGTTTCCGGTACCCATCCCGTCCCTGGGCTGCGACATGTATGTCTGCTCTGTCAGAGCCGGCTGCTCAGCAGCATAGGCAGCTGCTGGCGGAATAGAAATAGTGGTCCGTGGGCTGCTGTTGTCCGAGATCCGGCTGGCAAGCCCAGAGGGTGACTTGTAATGGCGAGAGTCTCCGGCCACAACATACTCGCTGTCACTCGGGTCCATCATGTCTCTGGCAAACCGCGAGCTATTGACAATCTCATCCAAGTACGCGTCGCCAGTAGTCGACAGGCGCCGGGCCCTTGTCGACATGCCATAGATCCGTGAGCCCGCTTCTCCTTTTGCTGCGTGTAGTTTCCGCTGGCCGCCTGGTCGAGAGTTGAGAATTCGTTCGAATCCTTAGCAAACGACACCGAGCGCTCCTGGAAATACGTTGTCTGGCTGGCCGACCCATTTGACGACCCTATTGAGCCCAGGCATGGCAGTTCCCAGCAACGGCGCGTCATACTGCTCGTTGGTCATTCCACGACGGGTCCGGTGCGTGCGCTTACTGCTGCTTTCGTACATTTGTTTCGCGCCCTCGCTGCACCAGTGTGACCAGTTGTAGAGCAGCCCGTGCTGCAGCGGGATGATGGACACCCAGGCCAGCACCAGGTACGCGACCCCAAGGGTCACTGTGTACACGCAGGCGATGATGTTGTACAGGCTGTTTGTGTACACAATGCAGCCAAAGTACGTGTACAGCAGGCCGCGGCCGCCGTAGGTGAACAGGAAGCGCATTTGCGAGTTGAGAAAGCGCGGGGCCCGGACCTCCGACGCCAAGAGAGGCGAGGCTGAGCAGGCCCGTGTACGCCTGGTAGATTATCAGGTTAGTGGGCGATGTGTGGTCGATGACGTTCATGACGCTGACGCTGGCGATAGCTGCGCATGCCAGCATGTTCAGCATGTTGAAGAGCAACAGCAGGAGGTAGATATTAAGGTACGTTCGCATTGCCGGCAATAATAAATATATGAGGGGGGAAAGCAGAGATGAAACAGGAAGCTGACCGAGTGTCTCGCTTTCATTTCCGGCTGGTCTGTGGAACCCGTAGAAGCGAGTGACAAAGCCCGTTACTATTTGCAACAGCTTGGACAAAAGTGGTGGCTTTTTTTTCACATTGGGACCGGTAGTTGAAAAATCAAGCGTTAGGCATGGTTTCCTTTTTTGCTGTCTTTTTTGTTTTACTAATTCGCTACTACTTTCTTTTTTCCTTTCAATCATGTCTGGGCTCAACGGAAAGCACAAAAAATACTCGTGGCTGCCCGAGACCAACCCGTCGGCGCTCTCCTGGCGACGCCAGCCCAGCGCAGTCGACCTCCAGCCGGCAGGAAAAACCTGCTAAGAGCAAATCAACACGGGCCCGGCCCAAGGGCAATTCAGGCAATTCAGGCAAATCCAAACCCAGAGGCAAGGGCATCGACATGAGCGAGCCAGCCAGCAGCCTTGGCATAACAATGGTATCCAGCGAGCCAGCAGCAGAAGACGATGCGTCGGGGCAGCTGGCAGCAATCACACCGCCAGTGTCGAAGCTCGGGCGGAAGCGGCCGCGCAAGGACAGCGTCGACGAGCTAGTGCGCTCGCGGTTCATGTCGAGCCATGCGCCACAGACTAGCAGCATGCCGCCAGCAAAGCCTAGCCGCACCAGCACGCCGCGGGGACGGAAAAAGGCCGTGGATCCAGGCACGCCTAGCATCACTGCCAGCGTCAGGGACGCATTGGCAAGCGAGCGCACAGTGAGCATCCGCGGCTCGCCGTCACAGCAGGGCACGGTGGCCATGAGCAATAACGCATCGTCGGTGGGCCACGGCAAACACAGATACCCGAGCTATTATCAGGGCATGCAGATATCGGGAAGCAGCACGCCTGGGAACGCGCACATGGCGATAGGCGACCTGGAGGGAAAGTACTCGTTCCCGGCATTCCCGATGCTGAATCCGCGCAATGTGTCGTCGACGTTCAGGCGCACAGACCGGGGTGTCGGCCCCGTGTTCCAGGACCGCGGGCTGGAGGTTACGACAGGAGAGAACGTCATCGTTATACACCCAGGGTCGAGGTGGCTCAGAGTCGGGCGGGCAAGCGACGCAGTGCCACGGGAACTGCCACATATAATTGCACGCAGGGCCCGTGCAGCCAGTCCTGCACTGGCCAAGGCGACCGCAGATAAAGACACAGCCAACTCGGAACAAGCCGAGGCAGTAAGTGGCGATGTCGAGGCTGAAGATAAGGAGGAGCCAGAAACGAAGGAGCCCCCTGTTGCTGAGGAGTCAATTGTCGACGAGACTCTAACAATGCTGCGCAGTGTGCTCAAGGAGCACCAGCGCCAGTCGAAGCGCAAGGCGCCGCCCAACGCATACTCGCAGGTGATGTCGTTCAACAAGCAGGCCACGCCCACAGTAATCCAGGACCACAACGACCCATTCAAAATCGAGTGGATCCACGACGACGAAATTTCGGGAGACTATGTTGTCGGCGAGGCAGCGCTGCGGATTGCCGACACCAGCAAGTTCCTTGTGCGGCACCCAATGCGCAACGGCTGCTTTAACGTCGAGGACTACGCGACAATCGAAGAGGTGCTGGGCGACATTGAGACCATCTGGAGCCACGTTCTGGATACCGAGCTGGGGCTTAAGCGCCGCGACCTGTCCAACTACGGTGCAGTGCTGGTGATCCCTGACCTGTTCAGCCGCATCGAGGTGGCGGCCCTGTCGGACATGCTGCTGCGGAATATGGGCTTCCGGTCGCTTATCCTGCAGCAGAGCTCGACCCTGGTGACGTTCGGTGCCGGCTTCTCCTCTGCCTGCGTGGTGGATATTGGCGCGCAAAAGACCAGCATTGCATGCGTCGAAGACGGATACTGCCACCAGGAATCGCGCGTAAGCATCATGCACGGTGCCGACGACATCACCCGCTTCCTGTTTGATCTGTTCCAGCGCAGCTCATTCCCGTACCACGAAGCCAACCTCAACCGGCTCTACGACTGGACAATCCTGGCTGATCTGCGCGAGAAGCACAGCACGCTGAACCTCTCGGACGTCAACATCCGCATGACTGACTTTTTTGTGCGCGTGCCCGACAGACCCACGCAAAAGTACAGCTTCAAGACCTACGATGAGATGTACCTGGCGCCGCTCTGCGTGTTCTATCCGTACATCTCAGATGCATACTACAAGATACCCGCATACGCCCGCTCATTCCTCGGCGGTATCGGGCCCGCCGCCCAGATCGAGACAGGCTGGGGTCCGCCAATGTGCAGCCATATGACGCCCACGCAGTTTGGCATTCTGCCGTCACGGCCAATTGAGATTGAGGCGCCGGTGACAGCCGATCAGTTCACTGAAGCGGCCACCGCCCCGGCCACGGTTCCGGCCACCGAGCCCAGCACTCCCGAGCCCAGCGCTGCCCCGCCTGCCGGCTCCTCAGCCACGCCGGTGGTCGACAAGTCTCTGGTCAGCCATCTCAAGGACATGGCTGCCAGCGAGACAAAGACGCTGCCGCCAACGCCAGTCGTGCCCACAGTCACGTACGTGCCGGACCCCGACTCCCAGTACGCGCGCATGCCCCTGGACGCGGCCATCACACACAGCATCACCCATGTCGGATCCGTCGACCGGGCGCGCAAGCTGTACAACTCGATTGTGCTGGTGGGGGGAGGCGCCGCATTCACGCCGGGCTTTGGCGAAGTGCTGGCAAGTCGGCTCATGTATGTGCGGCCCGATTTCATGCAGTCCGTGGAGCGCGTCGATATCGTGTCGGCGCCGCGCGACCTCGACCCCAGAGTGCTGGCGTGGAAGGGGGCCGCTGTCCTTAGCCGCCTGGAGTGCGCAAGGGAGATGTGGGTCGACCGGACCGAGTGGATGGACTTTGGCACCAAGCTGCTGCGCGAACGGATGCTGTTCCCATGGTGATTGTGTATGTCTTTTTTGCATGTTTCTTTTTCTTTCCTTTAAACAATGTTATATCTATCTCGATTCTTTTCGGACCAGCAGCTGGCCTCCGTCAGCATGCCAGCCCTGCAGCCATTTGATCTGGCTCTGGCCCTCGTCCACCAGCCGTGCAATCTGCGGGTCATTCGTGGGTAGGTCACGGTAGAGCTCGAATGTGAACCGCGCGTTATGCTTGAGCTTGGCCCGCATCTCCGGTATCGGAAATCCACGCACTTGACGTAGTAGGCCACGATACAGCGACAGGCACTTTGCCCGGTTTGTTTGGACCGCTATAGACTTCACTGGCGGCAGCAGCAATGAAGAATCAGTCGAGGAGAGCGATCGCCGAACAGTCCGTGCATCTGCAATCCGCTTCATGTCCTCCATAGCCGTACACACCCAGTCAGCGATATCGGGAAACCGCACCAGCAGCTTGGGGACATCCTTTATCCCGTCAACGCCAGCCAGCTTACAGATCTGATCGTAGATATACAGGACCGTATCCGGGCTGCATTTGTACACACACAGTCGCATAAACGCATGCCACTGGTGGTCAGTCAGCGACGCACCAGTCTGCATGATCCGGCCAACTAACGCAAATGCCCCGTTGACATCGCTTGTCTGGATGCAGTACCGCAGCACCATGGTTAGATCCGATGGCGATTCGGGCAGCTCATACTGCGCGTGGATTTGGTCATAGACGCTCAGGGCCTTTGGGAGTTGCTTGTCCGAGAGCAGCGCACGCATGATGAGGTTGAGAGTCACAGGGTCGCCTGAGCTAGCGTGCAGAGCGGTGGGCTGCGAGATGTTTTCATCGAGCAGCGAGAGCGCTGTGTGCGGATCTTTGGCGGAAAGGAGCGAGGACATAGCCATGTTGAGCAGATAGCTTGTACGGGCGTGCTCAGTACAGCTTTCAGCATCCACAGCCGAAGGGGATCGCTGAGAGTTGGACAGGAGCCATTCAGAAGCCTCACGCAAAACACTCATCACGCCAGCAACGTCGCCAGAACGTACATACGCATACATTAGTATGCCCCATGTCACCTCGCTGACCAAGATACCGCTGCTCGATTCACTGCTTTGCAGCATGCAAAGCTCCTCAAAATATGCGCGCACCTGCTTTGGCTGCTTCAGTATCGCCCACGCATACATCAGCGAGTGGTATACCTTCGCTGGCCGCTTAATATTGCACCGCTTCATATCTGCCAGCAAAGAATCTGCGACCTGTGTTTTGCGCAGAAAGAACTCGCCCATCTGTGCCGGCTTGCCTTTCCGCGTCAGCCCGCAGATAATCGCCGTATAGTAATGCACCGATGCCGTAACCCCAGATCGCAGTGCAGTGCGCGTCAGAAACGTAATTGCGCGGATGTCATCGGTGCGTGCCAGACTGTCGGCCAGTACTGCGTAAATTGACTCGGTGGCTGTGAATTTACCCGTGGTGGTCCATGCGGTCCGAGACTCAGCGTCACGAAATACCATGAATGCCTGCTTGACCATATCGTGCGCTGATAGCGAGCGCATGAGCTTGTGTATCGCAGAGACCGATGGGGACTCAAGGCGAGGGGATAGTTTAAAATGCACAGCGAGCGCACACTGCAACACCTTGTCGGTGTCCCCGGGGCATTCTGGCGGCTCGATAGCGGCAAGGATTTGTGATATCGCTGCATGATGTGTTGAATGCAGGATCAGTAAGCTGGTGTCCTCCAGCATCACGTCGACGATCCTTTCTACCGCCTGCCAGTCGTCGCTATGTCTTGTGTGCCAGTATGTCAATAGCAGGTGGAATGTACGTTGGCATTTTAATGCTCTGGCCACGGTAAGCGCATTCTCCAGGCTCCCTTGTCGCACCAACGCACACATTACATCCCTGTGCAGATCCGGGTGCCGCTTTGCAATCTCCGTTCGCCTAAGGGATAAAGTGACCAGCGAATCTCGGGTTGCTCCCTGTGGGTGGCTCGGTAACGCGTACACCGATACTGCAAAGTTAGGCTGACCCGCTCGGAGCGCTGACCGAATCAACGACTCAACAGGCGCTAGGTCCGGCGTAACACCTCGCGCCATCAGTATCCTCATGGCTCTATCTGCCAGATCAATCCGAACCAATGGTGTGTTCGATCCCCGTAAGACCGCCACAGCATCCACACACGCAACGAGTTCTGCCGATATCCACGACCTCGCAATCCCTGGCGATTTCCTCGCCTGCCGTAGCGCCAAACGCGCTGGTTTTGAAATGCACGTTCCTACCATCTTCGCTAACTTTGGCTGCGCGGCAGACTTGTATGCATATGCAGCGCATGATGAAAACACACAGTCCATAGCTGCCCTTTGCTGTGCGCTTAGATTATTATACATGTCGACCAGCCCGACGTCCTGGTCCGCTAGCAGCGCCGCAAAAAGCATGGTGCAGTCGTCCAAATCGCCGCGCATTTCTGTCTGCATTGTCGCATAGATCCCAGCCAAGATTCCATCGACCGAACACATCCGCTTGACCAGCATGAACTGCGTGAGTGGAGAGATTGTCGTTCCGTCTGCCTTCCAACCGCCATATGCGCGTTTGGACAGCTCAATTATATGTGTCATGTCGTCCCTGCGTATGCAATCCCAGATCGCATGCTCCACATCGCTGAACCTTATGCTGCTGTCGATCTGCATGTGCCGCCGTACAAGATTGATTCTGCTTGAGCTGTTTCGATCATGGACACCACCGTGTGGATCAGATGCTGTAGCCGCTAGGCCTGCTGAGGACACATAGTGTCTGGCAATCCGAAGCGCACACCGGTGTCCGGCTGCAGTTTTTGCTGCTGCTGCCGGCCCGCATGGAAACAAGACAGCTGGCGGACACGGCAGTCGTCGTGGTAGCATATATCTGCAACTCTCCCAAAAACGGGGCTTCTATGTGTGAGGCGTTTGAATTAGACGGAAAATACTGCGCTGCCGGCTGCCCCTCCACACTCCTCAAATGATAAACGGACTATGAATGCAAAAAGAAGAGAAATTCGGCGCGAATGGGAGCAGAGCCAGCAGTGCTTGCACAGCTTTGAGAGCCAGAATAGCAGCACCATTGCTATCTTTTCAGCCCAAAATGGATCTCTGGGGGTGCTGATCGGCGCAGGCGTGATTTGTTGATCTGGGTCTGAAGTTTTTTTTTTTGTTCGCTGCAAATGCTCAGCTATACATTGATGCCTGCCTGGGACCTTGTTTCTCTCTGCTGCGACTCTCCAAACCCCTCCCGTTTCAATTTACTTTTTACTCCCACACATTGGCAGAATGGACGAGAAGCTACTGGACTCCAAGGCGACCTTTCTGTCGCTTGATCTGGATGACCGTCTGCTGCGCGCACTGGGCAACATGGGCTTAGTGCACCCGACCCTGGTGCAGGCCAAGGCGATTCCCCTGGCTCTCGCAGGCAAAGATATCCTGGCACGGGCCAAGACGGGCTCTGGAAAGACGGCAGCCTACTGCCTGCCAGTCCTGCACAAGATCCTGCAGGCCAAGGACGAGCTCAGTGTGAACAGCGAGGAGCGGAAGCGGACGCGTTCGTTGATCCTGGTGCCGACGCGTGAGCTGGCGGAGCAGGTGTTCAAGTATATTGCAGATCTGTCAAAGTTCTGCGGCAAGGACATTACAGCGGTGAACATTGCGACTAACGCCGCGCTACATATCCAGGCACCGCTGCTGGCGGAGTTGCCCGATGTCGTGGTCTCGACGCCAGCCAAGATCCTCAAGCACCTTGTTGCCAAGAGCACCAGCCTGGAGACCCTCGAGACGCTGGTGATTGACGAGGCCGATCTGGTGCTGTCGTTTGGCTATGAGGAGGATATCCGCGGGATCCTGGCGCACCTGCCAAAGATCTACCAGTCGATGCTGATGTCAGCCACACTCAATAAGGGCGTGGAGTCGCTGAAGAAACTGATTCTGACCAAGCCTGCGATTCTGCGCCTTGAGGACGACAAGGAGGAGTCGAGCAGCCTGGTGCAGTACGTCGTGAGGTGCACCGAGGAGGACAAGTTCCTGCTGGCTTACGTCATTCTGAAGCTGAAGCTGATTGCCGGCAAGTGCATTTTGTTTGTCAACGATATTGACCGGAGTTACCGTCTCAAGCTGTTCCTGGAACAGTTCTCGATCCGGGCCTGTGTACTGAATTCGGAGCTGCCGTTGAACTCGCGTTACCACATTGTCGAGGAGTTTAACCGCGGAGTCTACGACTATATAATTGCTACAGACGAGAGTGACAAGATGGGCGAGGCTGATACAAAGGAGGACGAGGAAGAGGAGGAAGAGGCTGTGGAGGAGACCGAGGCGGCCGAAGAAGCCAAGGGCGAGGAGGATGCCGAGGAGGAGAATACAAAGAAGAGCAAAAAGCTCAAGAGCAAAACTAAGAAGCGCAAGCGCGGGCAGGACAAGGAGTACGGCGTCTCGCGCGGCATCGACTTCAAGGGCGTGGCGGCAGTGATTAACTTTGACTTCCCGCTCTCAGCGCGCGCCTACACGCACCGTGTTGGGCGCACAGCGCGCGGCGGCAGGCGCGGCATGAGCCTGTCGTTTGTCACCAAGGAGGATGCGAAGCAGAAGACAGTGCAGGCCAACGAGGAGCCGGTGTTTGAGCGCGTGGCAGTGCAGCAGCGCAAGCAGGGCAGCGAGATCCTGCCATACAAATTCGACATGGCGCAGGTGGACGGGTTCCGGTACCGCGCCAACGACGCAATGCGCTCGGTGACGAAGACGTCGATCCGCGAGGCGCGCATCAAGGAGATCAAGCAGGAGATCCTGAACTCGGAGAAGCTCAAGGCGCATTTCGAAGACAAGCCGCGGGACCTGCAGTTTTTGCGGCACGACAAGGAGCTCCACCCGCAGCAGATCCAGCCACATATGAGGCATATTCCGCAGTACCTGGTGCCCAAGATCGCTGGCGTGGCTCATGCGGATGGTGTGGCGACGACGCCCGAGGTCGGGTTTGTGCCGTTCAACAAGGATGCGAAGCGGAGGAAGGGCAGCCGGCGCGGCGGAAACAAAAAGTCAAAGGGCGGAGATCCACTCAAGAATCTGGGCAAGAAGCGGCGTTAGGTTTCTTTTTTTGCATTTAGAGTAGCCCATATATGGCAAGCTGCCACGTTTGTTGTTCAGGGGGTATGGTGAGTGCATACACGGCATGGAAACCGTGCATGTTGATATCGCGGTATGCCTGGATGCCAATCTCGCACCCACAAAGGGGCATGTGGTTCTGAAGGGAACATTGGTGCAGATTGATATGTTGGATTATTGAACACCAATATATAATTTCCTTTTTGCAGTATTTGACAATGAAACGAGAGACGTCGCACGACACGGATGGAGAACGTCCGAAGAAACGAGCGCATGTCAAAGACACGTCAGACACCATGTTGCCACCGCATGTTGACTATCAGATCCTCTCAACGCAGTACCCGGACCTCAAACAGTACCTAAGAGCGAACACCAACACAGGCAGGCTCAACGTGCTCGACTTTGGCAGCCCAGACGCCGTGCGGACACTGAACAAGGCGATGCTAAAAGTGCATTTTGACCTGGACATCCAGCTACCGGAAAACAGCCTATGCCCGTCGGTTCCCAACCGGTACGGCTACGTGAAATGGCTTGCAGACACGTTTACCGACGAGTTTGGCGATACGGAGGTAGTTGGCCTCGACATTGGCACTGGTGCGTCCTGCATTTACCCATTGCTGGGCGCCCGCGCCATTAAAAACAGCAAGTTCATCGGGAGCGACATCAACCAGGAGTCGATAGAGGTCGCCAACGACAACATTAAGCGTAACTGCCTGCTGTCCCGGATCCAAACATACCTGAACACAACCCGCACGCGCAAGATCCCGCTGGATGCAGCAGGTTTTCCGTACAAGACGCTCTCCTTCTGCATGTGCAATCCGCCGTTCTACGCCGACGAGAAAGAGCGTGCGAGGCTTGAGAACATGAAAGGCGAGGCGCCGATACTGTCTACCAGTGGCAAGGATGACGAGTTCTACACTGACGGCGGCGAACTCGCATTCGTCATAGGTTTGGTCGACGAAAGCCTTGTTTTCAGAAATAGAGTCCGCTGGTACACGACCATGGTCGGTAGAAAGTCAACGCTGGTGGAGCTCCGCAAAAGACTACGGTCGGAGAAGGACGTTATTCGGATCAAGGAGCACAAGATCACACTGGGGAAGACCACACGGCAGTTCATTGCATGGTCGTTTGACCGGTCGCCGCTCCGGCAGCTCACGATACCGAGAAATTTGCAGAGCGCAATGCAATGGACTCTGGATACTGCAAAAGACCTGGGGATTAGTGTGCAGCTGGTAGGGGATTTGCGAGTGGAGCTTTCGGCGACCCGCGTTACGTGGTCGCGAAAGGCACGACGTCAGGCAAAGCTCCAAGCAAGCAGCTCGGAGGATGTGCCAAGGGATCCGATCCTCGAGGCCACAGCAACAATGAACGAGGTGGATGGCAGCTGGACACGTATCGACCTGCTTGCCAGCACCAGCTACGACCTGGCGTGCTTTGAAACGCTCTACACACACCTGCTTCGGCGGATATCTGAGCTATCACAATGAATAAAGGAATGGAAGAAAGGAAGTCTAATTTCTGCCAAAAATTCTGGTCAGAACCGACAGGTACGTCATGCTGATAGTGGAGGGGTCGTTCTGGTAAATGCTCATCAGGACGCCTGTGGCAGCCGAGAACAGGGCGACCTCGCCATGCCGCACATTCTTCCACCAGCGGCGCTTGACGCCGACATCCCAGCCGGACTCGAGGGCGCGCAGGAAACAGTACATGGCCAGCTCGATGCGGCGCGACGGAGCCTCGAGCAGCACCGCCAGGCCGCCGACCGACCCGGTGATGATGTACGACCAGTAGCTCTCGCGGCCGAGAACCGCGCGCATGCCGCACGAGAAATTGATGATGCCAACGATGAGCACAGCCAAGAACACCGAGCTGCGCACGCTGGATTTGATCAGGCTCAGGATCACCCCACGCGGGTCCTTGGCCAGGCGGTGGCGCTTGAACAGCAGCAGCACCGCAAGGTTGAGCGGCGTGTAGACGCGCATGGCCAGCGGGAAGACGTTGAAGAGGATGTACAGCATGCCCCTGGTGCAGCTCTCGGTCTGCGGGTGCAGGATGCCGCAGACACCGAAGCCGTGCCGGATCTCGCTGCTGAGCGCCGGCAGCAGGACATCAGCGTACTTTTCTGATGCAAAGTACTCCCGCGTGGTCATGCCGGCGGGAATCCGGCCGTGTAGGAGACTGCCTGGCTGTGTGGCCTGGCCCACGGTCCGGCTGATGCTCGTGAGCGCCAGATTGGCCGTGTCCGGGTAGAACCTTTCGTACCCGCTGGCACGCGTCAGGAACTTGACGTAGCCACGGGGCATGACTTCGGTTTCAAACAGAATGCACATGCCGATAACGCAGCACGACGCCGACATCAGCGCCGTGGACGAGTACTTGCGGATCCAGCCGACAATCCGCTCGATAGTCTCGGCATGGCGGGCCTGGCGCTTCGCCTCCTTGCTGTTGTCTGCGGTGTCGGGCGACCACCGCACATTCTGCTTATCTCGGCTGGGCCCGGGGCCCGCCTGCGACATATGCAGGCCTTTCAGGTGCTTATGCTGGACATCCCCGGCAATCATGCTGCCGGCCGAATACGACCGCCGCACTGACTGGCGCAGGGTACGGTCGTCCTTGAGCTTCTGCTGCTTGCTTGTCCACCGGTCAAACACCCACATACACCCGTACTGGAGCGCCCGCGAGACCATATACAAAGTCACTGCTGTGCGCCTGGACCGGCTGCGATCAAGCTTAATCGAGATAAGCCCAGCCAGCATCCCGGCCACCAGTGCATTCGTATAGTCGCTGCTGTGGGCGCCGCGCCAGCGCCTGAGCGTGCACAGAAAGCCCTTGTAGGCGCCGATCAGGACCGACAGGAACGTGGCAAAGCTGGCCGTGTCCCGGTTGAACGCGCGCAGGAGAACCCTGGGATTGCGGAACAGCCGCAGTGTTAGAATATGCGGCGCCACTGCCAGCCCGTATTTGACCACGTAGCCGACCAGGAACGCCTTCAGGAAACCGCGCACTGCGTTCTGCCTGCATGTCGTGCCCTCATGCAGGCATACGGCCTCCTCGCGCTGCCGCTTCTTCGACTCAATGGCCATGCGCCGCAGGTCGGTGCTGCTGTGTAGGCGCTCCAGCTGCTGGTGGAACCGCCGGAACCCAGCCACCACCGACTCTTTCTCCTTGTCGGTCAGCGCATAGCTGGTTATGCGCGCTATCGTCTCGATAAACGTGTTGAGGAGAACCGAGGTACTGTCGGCTGCGTCCGCCATGACATAAGGAATACAAAAAAGAAGAAAAGCTGCTGAGAACACCTGGGGAGGAGAAGTGAGTGTCAATCGCGGGGCAGTCGGAGGCCAGCTTTGGTCCTTCACAATGCACCGTCACGTGGGAGTCGGGTACCTTGTTTTGCCGAAGTCGGGCCACGCTGGAGGTTTTTGTGACTTGCTATTTTTTGAGCGGTTGCGCGTGAGGCATGCATGCCATTTCAGGCAAATCCCAACACCCAGTTAGTGCACCAACCAGCTGGACCCAACGCGTGGTCGGGGTAGAGGTCAACCACTTGGCAGGACTTCTGCGTACTAATACTGCATTGGGCTATTACATGTGAGCACTGCAAAATACAATGCCTGTGCCCTGACGCGGATACAGGCGGATGTATGTTTTGTGTAGCTTTTCCATAGTATTCTAGTAGTCTGAATCACGATTGAGTAGTTCTCTAGCAATCCCAGAACAGCATTTGGCTCCAAAAACCATCGCCCTTTTGAGCCCCACCGTCAAGTAAAGGGCATATTAACCACTGGTCAACATGTAGGTGGGTTCCATCTGACTTCATTTCTTGATTAATTTTCCACAAGCTTTAAAATGTAGTGTACGGAGCTGCCATTTGGATAAAACGCCTGCAGACAGGATCCATGCCATACACATACTTTAGCACAGTACATGGAACTGCAATGTGTAAAATATATGATACCAGTGTGTGGTTCCAAATTCTTATGATCTTAGGAACCCATGGATCAAGACCTTTAGGCCACAATGGCCGGTCATACTATTCTGGGCAACCGGCGCCACTACTTAGATGGGCACCTGCCCTTTCACCTGGCGATTCCTTCTTCCTTCTTTCATACAGCATATTTCATACGTTCAATATACGTCGTGGAAAGGTGCTCGAAAAGTAAACGTGTTCTAGACAGTTGCAGGAGGCTGTCTACCCAAGTGTATCGTACCCGAGACACAACACAGTGAACATCATATTACAGACCCTTTCCCTGTTAACCCATGGCTTGCTATTGATATTCTATGTGGAATACTGGTAAACCTTTTTCTGCCGTATGATCCCGCGTTACAAAAATTACTCGATACTGCGTTCTGAATATCGGGTTTTGTGGCCTAGACTGGGCACAAAGACGTTTAGTCACTTTCCAACGTCTACTGCTACAACTGCTATACGTGCCCCCTTGTCATTTATAGTCGAAAACATCCATCCTTGATCTCCTGATATCGTGACGTTTCAATGCGGTGTTTTGAAAACATTTCTCCACATGGCTTTTTGACAGCACAAGGATGCGTTGCGGCTGCTCTCCTTTCTCTCTTGTATTTTTCGTGCCATCAACTATGGAGCTACAACTTTCTGCTGCGCAACGAGTCCCATCAGACGCACTTGGTCTTATATTCGATTTCATCGAGTATGGCAGACGGTTGAAGGATGGGTGGGAAAAGCTGGAGTCAGAAAAGGGTGGTCGGCGGTACCGCGTCGCTTCTTTCGGATTGCACAAGTTTGCCACGCATGGAGAGTTGTCGCTTTGCCATATTTCTACCAGAACACCGAGACCCTTCTTAACCCCATCTTCCATGCAGCCGATTCAGAACCAAAACTCATCTACCCAAATCTCTCTATGGCAGCTACTGCCGGACAAAGCCTATCAGTTCGTTCCGCACACCTCCTGCCTGTCGCTTGATCACATTGCCAGCGGTGCCTCCATCCGCCTGCTAAATACCGGTGTCCCTCCCACAGTGGCATTCCCAAATGCGTCTGAGCTCAAACTTTCTTTTTACAGCAGCAACGACTTTGACCGTGCTGACTACTCTGTACAAGCCGCGGCTTTTACTGAGCGCATCTGCCAGCTGTTTCCCAAGGCACATGATGTCTCGTTCATTGTCTGCTCATGGCTGTGGAATGGCTCAGAGGATGTATGGAGAAGCCTCATGCATAGCATTGTCCCTACACCGAGAACACTTATCTGTTACAAACTTTTAAATGAGTCCACTACCCTTCGAGATGGCATCAGCAACGGGGTTCGGCGCTTATATCTCGGACACAAACGGAGGTACAGGACTACTACCCAATTGTTCATTCGAATAGGGGCACTATCGAGGAGCTTGTACTTCGGGTTGCTGTGGACCATTCGCACACTGCTCATAGGTGGGACATGCCTGTCAACCAGGATCCACTATTCAGCTACAAATATCCCAAAACTTGCCAGACTATCCATAGAGACACGCGGTGACGCCAGAAAACTCTTTACAAGATCAGCCACCAACCGGTTCCCATCTCTAACTAGTCTCTCCCTTCTCACATTCTGTGAGGTTGACATCGGATCTTTAGTCGGGGATCGAGGTGAAACACTGACATCACTTACGATGTATCTCACTGAGTCTCTGGTTCAATCGCTTCGGGGTCGCCTGTTCCCTAGCCTTGCGTGTGTTCGGCATTTTGGGGAGCATACTGCATGTATTTATTGTCAACGACAATGAAGCTCTAGCAAGAGCTGCAATGGAAGTGGTACAACTGCCATTTTTGATAGCGCCTAATGCCAAAATGATCGAGAACTATGTCGTTTCTGGCCTGCCCAATCTTTCGCACTCATCCATGTTCCCGGAATAATCACCCACACCCACGGCTTCAATATCTGGTTCTTTGCCGGCTTTCTCTTTCCCTCAGCCAGTTCCACCAGATTTTGGTCTGCCTACCAGGGCTCACAAGAGTCAGACTCCGCAGTGTCGTATCTGACAACGGCGCCAGCTATGAGTATTCTGACGACGAGATCCGTACTCTGTTAGCTGGCCTCCCAGTCATTAGCACTCGCTTGAGACGGCTTGACTTTGAAGAGGTAGTGCGCTGCAGTGCAGGGATGGTTATCGCCATTACAAAGTTGCCTTCTCTCCGGATGGTCACAGTCTCGGGTATTCCTGCCGAGGTGGACTATCTTATGGACGAAATCGACAAGCCGGTATACGACGAGTATCGCAACAGCCTGAACAGACTGCTGTTCCATGGGGTGGGTGATTCGTGGAGTCAGCCGCATCCCGATGGGTGATTTATTTACCTCCACCCTTCTGCTGCAACAATAAAACTAGGTGTGCTTGCGTGCCCACCGCGACAGTCCCTGACGTCGACATGTTGGTTGAATCAGGTGAGAGCATATCGAGCGCCAACGAGAGCCCCGCTACAGCCTACACAATGGAGATAACATCAAGCGTCTGATAAGCTGCACAAACGACCTGCATTGGACATAGCCCACGCAGCTCGTATTTTCTCATTTTCTCTCATTTCTTCAGTATTAAATACCACCTTCAAAACCCCCACAGCATTCAGCGAACAGCAACAGGTGTTTACAATGTATGTGATTCGTTTGGACAATCATCACTGATCTGTTGATCCGATCACCCAGCATTGCGCATTCAGAGCACAAGAGGACAAATTTTCCTGGCTCGTCTCCAGCCATCCACTTTTCACTCTTCAACAGCCCAGCATACGGAAAATAACAACCTTTACCTACAACCTTTGCCGTGTAGAGAAAATGTCGCAAGAAATCAACGTGGAGGAACTTCTCGATGCACCATTCAAGCGGGAAACAGAGGTATTAACGAGCGCGAATGAAGACACAGCAGATGCTGTTGATGCAAAGGTAAATGCAAAGCTGAATGCCTCCTCCCCGACTGCAGTGAGTGCATCTGCCGCTGCAACAGATCGTGTAGACGAAGACAAGACCGAGGACCGGCACCGTAGGATCCCCGGCGTATTCGCGGTCGCGCTCCAGCCGTGGCCATCGGCGTAGCAGCCGTCGCCGTAGCCGCACGCGTAGTCGGTCGCGCAGCCGGTCGCGCAGCCGGTCGGGCAGTCGACGCTACCGAAGCAGATACTACGGCGACGATGACGACGACATGTACCGGCGGCGTCGCCACTATCCACCGCAGCGAGCGGCGGTACGGCAGCAGATATGGCGACGACGACGATGACCGGTATTACCGTCGGTCGAGCCGGTATAGCGATGATCGGAGCGAATATAGGCGGCCATCGAGCCGGCGGCAGTCACGGTCGCCATCGCGGTCGAATGAGCGCCGGCGCAGTTCCAATGCAACGCGATCTCCGTCGCCGGCGGTGGACGATGCTGATCGGGACCTGCGCACAGTGTTTGCGATGCAGCTGTCGGCAAACCTGACGCGGCGCGACCTGATGGAATTCTTCGCCAAGGCGGGGCGTGTGCGTGATGCGCATATAGTGTCCGACAAGGGGTCACGGCGGTCACGCGGTGTCGCCTACGTCGAGTTTTATTCGATCGAATCGGCGATGAAGGCTGTTGAAGCTCAGCAACGAGCGGCTGCTGGGCGTGCCGATTATTGTGCAGCCGTCGGAGGCCGAGAAGAACCGTCAGGCGTCGCTGAAGCAGTACAGTGCGGCGGGCGTGCCGATGAACCGGACCACGCCGATCAACAGCATGATCCACGTCGACGGACTGGTGGTCAACATGGAGTCGAGTGATCTGCGCATGATCTTTGAGCAGTTCGGGCCTGTGGTCCACTGCCGCGTCATGCAGGCACGCGATGCCAAGGGCGATGTCATTGAAAATGAATGGGCAGCAGGCAGTCAAGTATGCGTCGGCGACAGTTGCGCAGCTGGCAGCCGAAAAAATGAATGGCTTTGATCTGGTTGGATCGAGCCTGCGCGTGCGCATGGCGACCAAGACTGAACTGGAGCGCTGAGGAGACGCTGGCGCGCAGCGAGGTCAGCAAGCTTGTTGCTGGAAGCGGAATTTCCCCAGCTACTGTGCCCGCGGCTCGACTCTACTGCGCCTGGCACCCCTGCAGAGACGGAAAGTGCTATCAGGTCTGTAGCAGTGCTGCTGACAAATATGTTTGATCCGGCTGAGGAGACCGAGCCAACGTGGGTCGAAGGACCTGAGCGACGACGTGCGTGACGAGTGCGTAAAGTACGGCCGGGTCGAGCGAGTGTTTGTGGATCGCGAGTCGTGCGGCAATATCTATCTCAAGTTTGCCGACGAGGAAGCGGCGGAGCTGGCGCGCAAGGCCATGAACCACCGGTGGTTTGGCGGGCGACAGGTGGTTGCGCAGTTCATTCCGGTAGAGCGCTTCGAGGACGCTGTGTCACTGTAAGAAAAAGCCGCCCCTCTGCCTCCGCGTCTATTTACCCCCTCATTGGCCACAGACCCAGCCTTTATCGCAGTACTGGTGCAGGCACTGCGGGCATTTTTCAAAGGGTGCTATTTCTGTTCTCCTTTCGATTTTTTATTTCGCAGTCTCGCATTCCTTTCTTCATACACTACATTCATATTGCAATGAGTACCACACAGAGCTTGAATAGCAGTGGCAGCAGAGTGTGCGGCACAGAAAGCGTCGAGCCGGCCACTGTCGCGACCCCACAGATTTTTAAGGACGCAGACACGGAGACACAGCCGTTGTTGGGTGCACGCGAACAAAGTGGTGGCTATAGCACAGCACTCTCGCGCGAGTTCACCGTTGGCCCAAACAGCAGCGACTCCGAGGAGAGCGAGAGCGAGCGCGAGTACGAGGCCGTAGACATTGGCTTGTACGAGGATACGTTTTCGTTCCGCAAGCTGTTGAGGTTCGCGGGACCTGGGTTCGCAATGTAAGCGCTGGGAGGACATCGCGTGCGTCAATCAATTTATTGCGCAATTCATCTGCTACATGCACACGCTGATGACAGCCTGTATCCGTCTGTTTAGGTCAATAGCGTATGTGGACCCAGGAAATGTGTGCAGCGACCTGCACTGCGGCGCAGTAGCTGGGTACAAGCTGATCTGGCTCCTGTTCCTTACCCATGCCCTGGGCCTGTACATTCAGACGCTTTCAGCGCGCATTGGCACAGTGACGGGCAAGAACCTTGCACAGCACTGCCGCATGCGGTTCGGTAAGCGCATCAGGATCCCCCTGTGGCTTGTGTGCGAGCTGGCAATCATCGGCTCGGATATCCAGGAAGCCATTGGCACGGCTATCGCCCTGTACTTGCTGTTTGGGATCCAGGTGTGGGCAGGGATCCTGCTGGCTGCTGTGCTGAGCTATGTGATTCTGGGGATCCAGAAATTCGGCGTGCGCAAGGTCGAGGCTCTGTTTGTGGCCATGATTGCGGTTATGTGCGGGTGCTTTGGGATTCGAGGTGTTCTTGGCCAAGCCCGACATTCGCCAGATCGCCAAGGGCTTTCTGGTCCCAGGCATCCCGCGCAACGCAACTGTGCAGGCCGTCGGCATTGTAGGCGCGGTGATCATGCCGCATAATCTGTTTCTGCACTCGGCGCTGGTCGGCACTCGGCGGATCAAGCGGACGCGCGGCGTGCGCAGCAAGAGCATCCGGGAGGCGAACTTTTACAACACCATCGAGTCGGCCATCGCCCTCCTTTTCTCATTCATAATCAACGCGACCATCCTGGTCGTGTTTGCCAACATCTACAACACAGGCAGGCGTGCCCTGGACGACGAGCATCTGCCGGGTCTCATTGACGCGGCCGATCTGCTGGGCCGCGCCTTTGGGCCAATCGGCCCGCTGCTGTGGGCCATCGGCTTGCTGTCGTCGGGCCAGAGCTCCACGGCCACAGGCACGATGGCCGGGCAGTACCTGATGGAGGGCATGATGGATCTAAGGATAAGCCCGTGGCTGCGCATGCTGGTGACGCGCTCCGTGTCGCTTGTGCCCACCATGCTCGTTGGCACCCTGGCGAGCTCGTATCTGGACCAGTTCGACGAGTGGCTGAATGTCCTGCAGAGCCTTGCGCTGCCGTTTGCGCTAATCCCGACGCTAAAGCTGGCAGAGAGCAAAAGCGTCATGGGAGCCGAGTTTGCGACGCTCAGGTGGTGGAGGCGCTTTGGATGGGTGGCGGCCGCAGCCATTATTGCTTTGAATATCTATTTGCTGCTGCCGATAGTGAGCGAGGTGGCCACGCGCGGAGTGACCGCGGCCGTTGCTGCGTACGGCATGTTTGCTCTGTATATGTCATTTGTCGCAGTGCTGACGTTTTGCGAAAGCTGAATAAATCTCTCCAATACGCGGGGAAGCATGGGCAGCGGGCCTGGCCGTTGTGGTTAATAGCTGCTGGAGTTCCTTGAAGATGCGGGAAAACTATGCAAGATTGGTGCGAGATACAAAGGGACAGGTTCCCGCAAAAATGTCGGCGTTTCCGCCTCTGTAGAACCGCTTTGCTTGGATGGTGGTTCCAAAATAGTCCAGGATTACAAGATAAATGCTGTAGTCCTGTTGCGGACTAGCTACTGCTTTAAATAGTCTTTTTAGACGATTAAGCGGACCAATCCAACTAGTCCCAGCGCACCCCAATGCTGCAAGGCGTGTCGTGCAGTGAGGGGTACAAAACAACCCTTGGCCAAAGTTGAACCAACGAAAACCTTGGCTAGCGATAAGCAGGTATTGCCTGCCGATGGAAGGGCTCGCCTGGGAGCCCGTCGGAGATGCAGGCAGAGAAGATGCTAGATACAAGTCAAAAAGGAGGCGTCTCGGCTGTGACTTACAGCGACTAGTCCAAACAGCCACCGGATGCACACCATGCGCCGACCTGCGCTGGTATTGTTTGGCGCCGGGGCAAACCTGGGCCATGGGAAGTGCGTTGGGCGTTTGCGCTAGCCAGAGAAATAGTAGCTGAAAAAGGAAACCCCGACGAGTTTGCGAGCCAGTCAGAATGCTGGATGTGCGAATTCTGATACAAGGCGGCTTGCAGTGGGTGGCCCAGCTGTCACGGGGAAAGCATGCCTCCCGTATCCGGACAAAAAGCTGGTGTGGACGCTGGGATGTGCAACGCTCAGGCATTTGCATTTTTGCACTCTTACACACAATCCCCGGCTGTTTTCCGAAGCCTGTGGGCACGCAGCGAAAGAGGGGGTCGTTCCATCAGGGAACGTTCTGATTGCCTCTTCGCAAGGCACAACGCCGATTGCTCCTGGAAGTGGTTTGAGGCAGACGGAATGATTGGGGCAATCCCATCCGGTCTTTAGGCTCGATGTTTTGAGCACATTGTCCCCTTTTGGCTGCCAGATATAGGCGTGCTGGTTTTTTTCTCCAGCCTGGGTATCACTGGGCGTCAGCGGGAGTCGCCGAAGAAACCCCACTGCATGTGTCCACGAAAGATCTGTGGCCGTTACCCGTCCACAAGGCGGGCCCTCCGAAATTTCATCCACACACTCCGTTGTACGGGATTTGTTCGCCCTTTCGTTTTTGGGCTTGGGCACCAAAGATCCAAGAGGCGTCGCAGGATTTTAGCTGTCATTTGTTTGCTGCCAGGCCGTATATATAAAGGCCAATATTTCCTGCGCTGCCAGACTTGAGAACTTGACTACTTGCATCCCTGTAGAACCAATTTCGTTTCAAACGTATTTCCCTTTTCTCTCTCTCTATATCTTCTTGCTAGGTCTCGTTGCGGGCAGATATTGCTATATATCCTCCAACATATTTCTGCAAGTTTTCGACTCCCGCCTTTCCCCTGTATCTCTTTTCCTTTTATATCTTACTTCCCTGCTATATTACGACATAGAAAATGTCGCTTCAAAAGGATGTCAGCTCCACGTCAGCTCTCATCCGCTCGCGCGGCCAATCGACAGCGAGCGACTCGGCTTCGCTGACGCCGCAGGGCAGCAAGTCGGATATTGACGACGAGCTTCACGAGGCTCTGGACAAGCTCGACGAGCCCAAACAGGACTCGAACGAGGAGTCCTCCGCGCCGTACAACAAGGAAATCCTGGAGCCCAAGCCGGTCACGATCCGCCAGCTGTTCCGGTTCGCGACCAAGCTGGACATTACCCTGACTCTGTTCGGCACCTTCTTCTCTATCGTCGCCGGCGCCATCATGCCCGTGATGATCATCATTTTCAGCCAGCTGATGGGCGTCATTCTGGACTACACAACCATGATGATGAACGGCAGTGTCGAAGCCGCCAACCACCATCTCGACCACGAGTCGCGCAAGTACTGCCTGTGGTTCATGGGTCTCGGACTGGTTATGTGGCTCTTTTCGTACGGTGTCAACGCATGCTGGTCGGTTTCCGCCGAGAACCAGGGCCTGCGCATCCGCAAGACGTACTACGAGTCGATCATGCGCCAGGACATTGGCTGGTTCGACACCATCAAGACTGGTGAGCTTACTACGCGCATCACCAACGACGTCAACCTGGTGCAGGACGGTATTGGCGAGAAGTTCGGCTTCGTGTTCATGAACGTCGTGTCCTTCGTTGCTGCCTTCATCATTGCCTTTATCAAGGGTTGGAAGCTGACCCTTGTGTGTCTCTGCGTGATTCCCTTCATTGCTGCTGCCGGTGGCTACCTGGGCATCAAGATTTCGCAGCTCGTCACGTATGCGCAGGACCAGAACGCCGAGTCCGGCGCTGTCGCCGACGAGGTGCTGAGCGGCATCCGCACGGTGATGGCATTCAACGGCCAGGAGCGTGAGATTGCTCGGTACGATGAGAAGATCAACGAGGCGTACAAGTTTGGCAAGAAGAACGGCTTCATTCTCGGCGGCTCCATTGGTGTCATTCAGTTCTTCATCTTTGTCATGTACTGCGTCGGCTTCAACTTTGGCTCGTGGCGTGTGCGTGCTGGCGAGTACGAGGCGCAGACCGTTCTCAATGTCATCTTGGTGCTGCTTATTGGTGGGTTCTCGCTCTCCGGTGCCGCCCCTAATATCTCGGCTATTTCGACTGCTCAGGGCTCAGCAGCCAAGGTGTATGCCATCATTGACCGTGAATCGCCTATCGACCCACTCAACACCGAGCACGGCAAGAAGGTCGACCATGTGCGCGGCCAGATCGACTTCAAGAACATCCACTTCAGCTATCCGAGCCGCCCCGATGTTCCTATCCTGAAGGGCTTTAACCTCGAGATCCGGCCTGGGCAGAAAGTTGCGCTGGTTGGCGAGTCTGGCTGCGGCAAGTCCACGACTATCGGTCTGATTGAGCGCTTCTATGACCCGGCCCAGGGCGACGTGCTCATCGACGGCATCAACATCAAGGACTACAACATTGGGTCGCTGCGTCACCGCATTGGCATTGTCACTCAGGAGCCTGTGCTGTTTTCGACCTCGATCTACCAGAACATCGTCTGGGGCGCAGTTGATCCCGAAGGCAACCCGCCGACCAAGGAGGAGGTCGTTGAGGCGTGCAAGGCTGCCAACGCGCACCAGTTCATCGACATGCTGCCCAACAAGTACGAAACTCTGGTCGGCGAGGGCGGTGCCCTGCTGTCGGGTGGTCAGAAGCAGCGCATTGCCATTGCCCGTGCCATTATCCGCAACCCTGATGTCCTGCTTCTCGACGAGGCTACCTCAGCCCTGGATACCGCGTCCGAGCGCCTTGTGCAGGATGCCCTGGACAAGCTGTCTGCCGACCGCACCACGATCTCGATTGCGCACCGTCTCTCCACCATCCGCAACTGCGACCAGATCTATGTTGTGCGCGAGGGTATTGTGTCTGAGAACGGCACCCACGACGAACTGGTTGAGCTCAACGGCGAGTACGCAGCCATGGTCAAGGCGCAGGAGCTGCGCCAGGCTGTGCGAGCCAAGATTGAGGAGAACAACAGCGAGGAGGACCTTGATGAATTGATTGCTAAGGAGCTGAAGGAGCAGGCGCTGGATCTGAAGGCCACTACCCGCCAGAGCATGCAGAGCATGCAACGCATGTCGACCGCCCAGTCTCTCGATGCAAGCCGCAACGCCAAGCACAAGTCGGTTGACGAGTCGAGTGACATGCGTCTGATGTTCCGTCTGATCTGGTCGCACCGTAGTGCGATGGGTGCTGCAATCCCCGGAAGTCTGCTGGCTATTATCGACGGTGCCGTGATGCCGTGCTTTGCTCTTGTATTTTCGCGTGCCCTATTTGCGCTCAGCATGAATGATCCCGCTGAGATCAAGCGCAAGACCGACCTGTACGCCCAGCTGTTCCTCGTGTTTGCCGTTGCCGGTATGTTCGCCATGTTTGGTCGCATTGGGCTGTATCATATTGCCGGCGAGAACATGACCAGGCAACTGCGCCACGAAGCTGTTTGTTTCGTACATGACATTCGAGTCTGGCTTCTTCGACGACGAGGATAACGGTACTGGTGCTCTGACATCACGCCTTGCTACTGATGCTGAGGATGTCAACAAGATTGTCAGCAGCTTCATTGGCACATGCTTCAGCACTGGGTCGACCATCGTTTGTGCCCTGATCATTGCGTTCATCTACGACTGGCATATTGCGCTCATCATGATCGGTTGCTGGCCCATCCAGGGCTTTGCTCAGTTCCTGCAGGCTCGTGCCTGTCTGGGGCAGTGCGCTGCGTATGCGTGCAGCTTATGAGAAGTCGGGTCAGTCTGCTGCTGAGACCATCCGCAACATCAAGACTGTGGCCACTCTGCGCCGCGAGGAGACCTTCATTGCCATCTTCAACAAGAGCAGCGAGGAGCCCCACGCCGGGAATGTGCGCTCGACCATGATCAGCTCGTTTGGCTTTGGTTTCGCCCAGGCCTGCAACATGTTCGTCAACGCCCTGGTGTTCTTTGCCGGCACCCAGTTCATCATCAAGGGCCTGATTGATATCCAGGGCATGATGAACGCCATGATGGCCACCATGTTTTCCAGCATGTCAATTGGTATGCTCGCTCAGATGTCCAGCATGATCTCAAAGGGCGCTGTTGCCTCGCGTGGCATTTACCATACGCTGGACCGCAAGTCCCACATCGACGGTCTTGACCCGGCTGGTTCGGTCTCGGAGAAGTTCGACGGCAACGTCAAGTTCGAGAACATCAAGTTCAGCTATCCGATCCGTCCCTGACACCAAGATCCTCAAGGGCATCTCGTTCGAAGCCATGGCTGGCAAGAGCGTCGCTCTGGTCGGTGCGTCTGGCTCTGGCAAGTCCACGTCGATTCTGCTGGCTCAGCGTCTGTACGATGCCATCTCGGGAAGCGTCAAGGTCGAGAACCTGGACGTCAAGGACTGGAACATCATGGCCCTGCGCGACAACATGGCCATTGTTGGCCAGGAGCCGGTGCTGTTCAACTACACAATCGCTGAGAACATCCGCTACGGCAAGCCCGGCGCCACGCAGCAGGAGATCGAGGAGGCGGCCAGGGAAGCCAATATCTACAACTTCGTCATGAACCTGCCTGACGGCTTCAACACCAACGTGGGCCAGAAGGGTGGCCGGCTGTCCGGTGGGCAGAAGCAGCGCGTCGCCATTGCGCGTGCCTTGGTGCGCAAGCCCAAGCTGCTGCTGCTCGATGAGGCCACTGCCGCTCTGGACTCGCGCTCCGAGAAGGTTGTGCAGCGCGTGCTGGACAAGGCGGCCAAGGAGCGCACCACGCTGACGGTCGCCCATCGCCTCAGCACCATCCAGGACTGCGATATGATTGTTGTGTTCAAGAACGGCCGGATTGTCGAGCGCGGCACCCACGACGAGCTGATTGCGCTCAAGGGCACGTACCACCTGCTGGTCGAGCAGCAGTCGCTGCAGGTGACCCACTAAACCAAGCCGCTTCACATTCCCCTATATATTTCGATAACATACGCTTTCCTTCCCACATCCCCTACGGATACCATGTTCCCCTTTATTAGCTCACTGAGTGTATATCATGGTTACCAAGCCATCCTGCGCTGCAGCGAGTTGTGAATGCCCTGTCGCGAGTGCTCGTTGAACACAACACCAGTCTTTTCCAGACGCTCCAGCAGCGGGTTATAAATCTCTGGGATGGTTGGGCGGATGGTGCCGCGCTGCGTGACCTTGCCCTCCAGCAGCAGCCGCGTGGCGATGGCTGCAGGCACACCAACCGTACGTGCCATGGCCGTGACACCGGACTCGGCGTTGCCGTAGACCACCAGGGACGAGTTGCGCACCTCGTATTGGCCGCTGCTGTGCTCGATGCCGAACTCGTGGTGCAGGCACACAAGATCGCGCTCGCCCTGGTCTGTACACAAGCGACTTTTGCAGGACAGCGGATAGGGCGTCCAGGGCAGTGGGCGCATGCAGGGGCTCGCTCTGCTGGCCGGGCAGCATGCCCAGCTCTTCAAGCGAGAGAAGCAGTCGGCCGATCAGCGGGTCAGCAGCAGACACACCGAGCTTGCGCGAGATGGCGTCGACGATAGCCTCCATTGACCCGGCACCAGAGCAGCCAAGTACCTGCTGCAAGGAATGCGAATCTGCTCTCTACGTCGACCTGGCTGGAGCTGCTGAGGTCCAGAAGTCCGAGCCTGAGGAAGCAGTCGAGCAGCTCCGAGTAGCCCTGGAACCGCAGCGTGCCGCGGAACATGGTGTCCATCTTGCTGAGGTCGAGTCCATAGATGTCGGCGTACTGCAGGCTGTCGCGGTTCGCCAGACCCTCGAATGCAAATCCGGGCAGAAGCGGAACATTGGCGAACCGGCTCCGGAACAGGTCGCCCGAAACAATGTCCTTTGGCTGCCCGTTAACCTTGAACTTGGCGGCATTGAGCCCGGCAGTCATGACACCGCGCGGCGACCACGAGAACTTGTAGCCCAGCTGGTTGCCGCTGTCCTCGGGGGCAGTCAGCCCTCCGCACCACGAGATGAACGACTTGACGGTGCCGTTGGCGGCTTTCGCCTCGTCGATAATCTTCATTGCGCTGCAGTGGTCGATTCCAGGGTCCAGGCCAATCTCGTTCAGGACTGTGACATTGGATGCGCGAGCGCGTTCGTCGAGCTTCTGCATTTCAGGCGAGATGTAGCTGGCCGTCACCATGTGCTTGCCATGCCGGATCGCGCAGTCTGCCAGCTGTGGGTGCAAGGGAGCGGGCACCAGGCTGACAAGGACGTCGTGGTCTTTGACCAGCCTGTCCAGCTGCGTGTTGTCGTTGAGATCCAGCAGCGTGGCCGAGGCATCGGGGAACTGGTGGGCAAGTTTGCGGGCCTCGTCCAGATTGTTGCTGGCTAGAATATCGGACCGATGCGAAAGGATATTTTTCGGTATGTATTTTTAGATGACTTCACATCATATCGACAGACATGGAGTGAAGAGACGCGAGAAAACTGTTAGTATAGTGGAAAGGCATGTGGTGGTTGATGGCTGATGTTACGTAGGGTATTGCCAGCGATGATATTGTAGAGCTGTTTACGGGTGCGTACCTATCGTAATGTCTGTGTCCCTGCTGCGCGCCAGGTAGTCGACGAGCGGCTGGCTGACCATGCCTGAGCCGGCCAGCAGCACACGCTTGCGTCTGTCGCTGCCCACACGGATCTGCGGTTTGTTCTGAAGAAGCTTCTCCAGGTGTTTGTGCGGAGCAGCAAGCTGCCCGTTCTCGCAGATGACTGCGTTTTTGAGCACCGGGTGCGCCAGATCACCGATAGCCTATAGAATTTGCTCATGTCAGCAGCATGTCTCTTGTTTCTTCCGTTGCATGCATATCGTTGTAGTTACTTACCAGAGCCTTGGCGTACGGATACAGCGAGTCGCCGAAATGCTGGCTGGCCTCGAACGGCAGCTCGGTGGGCAGGTTATCGATCGAGTTGATCTGGACACCGGGCTTCTCGATGTCCTTGTGCTCGATGTTGTTGACAGCGTCGACATAGAAGAACGGGCTATCGATGGTCGACGCATGGCTCATAAATTCGAGACTGCCGCCGATATCGCAGCTGATGTCGGCAATGGCCAGCATGCGGTTCCGCATCTCGCGCTGCTTCTGGATCTTGGCCAGGTCCTGCGTCGTCATCAGACGCGGGTACTTGCTCTCCCAGTAGATGCCATTGACCAGCATGGTCGTGTATGGCGCAATCTTCTCAGCAAACACCGAGCGGTAGCGCTCTGGGAACTCGCGGTACTCGTCACGCACGTACTTGCCGCCATTGATGCGCTCGACGTAGTCCTGGGCGCCGACCTGCAGAGCCAGCAGGCGGTTTTTGTACCGGTCGTTGTACCGGTCCTTGGCAATGAAGGGCAGCTCGTCGACAGTCACGTTGTCGTGTGGGAGCTTGTCGAAGATGTCACGCGCACCCTGGGTCACGTTTCCGGCACCCGTGAACGTAAACACCATAGGCGCAAATGCCTCAGGAAGACCCTGGTCGGTGATGATGTTGCCGACATGGCGGAGCTTGGTGTGCACGCACTCGAGGTTCGGGTACACATGCGCCTGGCCCATGTGGATGAATGGCGAGTTGTAGCCGAGCGCCAGCAGCCGCTGGCCGAGCCCATGCAGCCCATCGATCATGCCGGCGTACCCGGCGTGCTTGCCAAACAGCACCAGCCGGCGCTTCGACTCCTGGTCGACCATCAGCTCGTAGTCGATCACACGCAGGTTCTTGTCCAGAAACGCCTGCAGGCTGGACAGATTGTATGACTGGCCCTTGTGCGTGTGCGAAAACACCAGGTATGTCTTGTCACTGATCAGCTTGTCGATGGGCACCTCCTTGATGCCCAGGATAACGTCGGCCTTGCTCAGGTCCTCCTCGATAATAGCCCCCGCCTTTTCGAACGACGAGTTGTTGAAGATGCGCGTGTTGGAGGGCTGCACCAGCACCTGGACGCCGGTTTCGCGGATCAGCCTCTGCACGTGGTCAGGTGTCAGGGCTGCGCGCCGCTCCCACCGGTTCTTGTCCTCGCGGCGGATGCCCAGGACCATGCCGCGCGGGGTATGCGCCAAGGGCGTGGTCTGCGAGGCCAGCAGCGACTTGGACGAGGTGTTGATGAGCCGACGCAGATGCTGCCGCGGCAGGCTACGCGATGACGAAATAAGATATGCCAGCGACATATTTGGATAAACCCAATTGCAGTGTAGTATACAGCCTAAAAGCGGAAGTGGCAGGTTGCAGATACAGGTAAAAAAAAGTCTTGATAGAGTTTTACAGGGGGTGCACAACGTGTGGGAAGCTGTAAAAATATAGGGGTGTGGAAAAGCTAGTGCATGTCTGGCGACATAGCAGCCTCGCAGAAAAGCAGCCGCCTTTTATACTTTCTGCAGCGCCAGAGCGAAGCAGCATGGTGCTGGTTTTGACACAGCGAAAGAATTCGGAAATAGGCGCTTTATTGGAAACGTTCCCACACCTGGGCTTGCCCGCCCATTACAATTAGCGGTATAGCCTTCGCACGCCTCTGCAGTTCAGCGGCAATAAAGCGTCAGAGGCGCTGCGGGCGACGCATGCCGTGCACAGTAACACAACTGGACGGCACCACGTGAGTGCAGACAGATAGATGCTGACGCCCACCGTGGGAAGTTGGAGCGACCGTCGCTCGCTCTCTTTGGCTGGCGGGGAGCCAGTGCAGAGCAACCTAGTCCGGGATGCGCTCTACGTGCAGGAAAGAAATGATAAACCTGACCCAGGGACCGCAGAGACTGCCCGTTGCTGGCAATGTGATAAGAGAGGGGGAGGCTGGATTTCCCATTCCAGCTAAACTGCCACTGGAAACGTCACGCACTCACCGGAGCCCCTGTTCCCGAGAGCGCCAGTGCCAGTGGCTGAGTATCCATCGCTGCGCCGTGGGGGGAACCAGGCGGTCTCGCTGCGGTTGTTTTGCCACTGAGAAGCCAGGCTCTGGGCTCTGCGATATCAGAAACCGGGTCAAGTGGGCTGGCAAGATGTCACCCTTGCGCTTTCCGGAAGCCCATCGCTGCGACAGGATGGCAGAAAAACCAGCTCCAAGCCCGGAAATGCATTTACCCCACATACGCATGCATAAGCAGCCCAGCTGGCCAGGCTCGACGGGTGCGTAGCGTCATCACCGAGCTAATTAGATCCGCGTGAACGGGTCTGCGGAGCGAGTGTCACGGGGTCGCGCAGCAGGACGAGCTTTCTCCTGCCTGCCAATGAAGATCCTCCTGCACTTCGCTTTCCCTTTTCTGGCAACCGGGGGAGCGTGTATATTTTGCTGCCTGCCCAGCAGCGGCTGCAGCCTTGACTTTGCCTCGCTCTCTTTCCCGTTTCTCTCATCGTTTTTTAATAGACCGTAAAATCGCTGTAGTCAAAGCCCCTCTCGCACCTGTTCATTCTACTATTCATTGTATTCTTTAGACATCCCGCTCTTCTCTTGTATTATCTTACCAAAACGGCTTTTTTTTATTTTTTTCGAAATGTGGGCCTGGCGCGACGTTGTATGGTACGGCTTCATCGCCAGCACGCTGCTGATGATGCTGCCATTTGCTATTCCCCTCACACTGACAGTATATGGGATTGTCTGGCTATACACATGGACACACGACCCGCGAGCACGGCGGAACCTGCTGCAGGTGCTCCCGTGGCACCCGCGGCGAGTATATCGGTGCAGCCGGGCGCTATGGTCTGGTATGCTGGACGGGCTGGGCGGACCGACTGTAGCTATCATCATTGCATACTTGGCAGCAAAGCTCACACGGACCGAGCGTGTGCAGGACACAGCAGTGCGTGATATCAAGTACGGCCCGCAGGCGCGGCACCGGCTAGACTTGTTTGTGCCAATTGCCACGCAGCAGCAGCAGCAGAGCTCGCAGGGCGACAAGCAGGAGGCCGACAAGTTCCCTGTCCTGGTGATTTTCCCCGGCTACCGGTGGTCAAAGACAAAGCGCGCGCGCCTGTACCGGCCCATGGCCCAGACGCTGTGCGGCGACGGCATGTTTGTGGTGCTGCCCAAGGTTGGTAGCACCGGGGCAAGCTTGGAGGAGATCATGGGCGACTTCCACCAGTGCGTGCAGTGGGTGTTTGAAAATGCAGTCAACTTTGGCGGCGACCCGAACCGCGTGCATCTGCTCGGCTACGGTGCTGGCGCCCACCTGTGCACCATGTACAGCCTGGTGGTGCCGCTGAAGACGTGGTATGCGCAGGCCGACCGGATGGCCAGCGATGCTCAGCTGCTAGGCTCGCGGGCCTCGGACCAGGCGCTACGCAACTGGCTTCGGACCATACGTCGCATCCCGCGCCCAGTGGCGGGCCTGATTCTGGTCTCGGGCGTCTTTGACATCGCAGCCCAGCGGCGGTACGAGAAGGAGCGGTGCATTGAGAATCTATCGGCTGCCTGGAAGACCTTTGGCGGGCGGCGGGAGCTCGAAGAGGCGTGGTCACCGGCGGCCATTGTCCGGAGTCTGCGGCGCCGCACCATGTTTATCCCGCCTGAGCTGTTTGCGCGCAACGTGCTGCTGATCCACGGAAAGCGCGACTCGACCTTTATCCTGCAGCAGAGCCAGCGGCTGTTCCGCGAGCTGTGTAGCATCGACGTTCCCGACGTCAACATGAAGATTTATGCCAATTTGCGCCGCGTCGACCCCTCTATTGCGCTGCTGGCGCCGTCGTCGGCCCTGGCTCTGTCGCTCCTGGAGGATATCCGCGCGTCGGTGACCCCGCATGACTCAATGAGCGATACCGACGAGGGCATTGCCGACCAGGGCATTGCCGACCAGAGCATTGCCGACCAGAGCATCCCAGTCGCAGACACTGTGAGACTCAGTGCAGGACCGGAAGCGCAGAGTGGAGACATGCAGCAGTTTCACATGGATCGGAGCAGCCATCGAGGCGATCCCTCAGAAAGCGAGCAGCTGGACAGTACCAGCCATGACCTTGCTACCAGCTTGCCCAAAACCGCAAAGGTCTATGACGACTATTTTACACAGAGCCGCAGGCCAGCTGATCTGGTTGCTAGCACAACGGCAGTCCAGCGCAGCATGCCGTTACCAAGCATCGTCTGAAAATGCCGATTGATCCACGACGCAGGACAAAAATTTTTAGCCTATTGTGGTGGTACATGGACGAAAAAATGGCAATCTTGTTTACGCTTGGTGCCTTCTTGGAATGGAAACCGGCAATTTTCATATGAAAGCCGTGCCCGTGATGTACCAAGCACAGGGAAATGGCCCCAGTCTATGCCAATAGTCAGTCAATTGAAAGCATTTAGACATTAGCATCCCTGTTAGTACATATTGCTAGTTTTGGAGATTAAACGTGGCCACGGGCTGTATATAAAAAGAATGGAATCAGATATTGAAATGAGAAGAAGAGGGAGAGCGGCTAGCCTTCTTGAGCCCAAACATGTGTGCTTGGCCAAAGTCACGGTTGTATCGGAACGTGTCGACACTCTGGAGTCACCACATATAATGCACTATACACTGTGTATCGCCGTGGTAGATGCCTAGCGAAGAAACATCACAATGCAGATCTGCAAGCACTTTATACATACAAGCTCACATCACTGAACGTTTTATAAGCCATCCTTCCTTGACCCAGCATGCTTGTATACCAGTGCGAAATGACCCAGTCAACTTTATTTGAATATTTACCCTCTCCTAATCTTGCAGCCACTGAAATATTTATCGCGCTGTGAACCGCTAAACAAACCAAGTACAGGCTCTACCTCTAATTTTGCAGGGTCTGTTATTTAATATCCTTCATCATATGGACCCACATAAGCAAGAAGTGCATCTATAGTCTTTTTCTGTTCGCTTGTAGTGCCGCTTTGGTTATAAATATCGTCCAAGTCAGTGTCAATGGAATATATTGTTATTCCAACCCTTCCTGGCACACTCCTATTCGCTGTCGGTTAGTTTCACGGTTGCTGAAGCAACAGTGCCGAAGAGTGCGAACAGCGGATCAACACGCGAGAGTGAAGAGAGCTTCATTTCGAAATGCTGAGCAAAGAGAGGTACGGGGTATTGGGTTTGTGGTCAGAGTAAGCATAATTTATAGGAGTCCGACTCTGGGGTACTTTCCCAGAATACTCGAATATGTTATCAAACCACGGTTGGTGAAATTGGTGGGGTAATACCTGGAAATTGCTATATTGTTCATACCAAGGGAGCGGCCTGACCTTGTCTACAAAACGCCTTTGAAGGTGTTTCTGTTGGTCTTACGCTACAAAGGACTGACAAGTGCTGAATATCCAACAATGTGTGTGTCATGGTGTGTGGTGTAATGTGACAGTTCTAACATCACGTTTTTGCTCGCTTCTCCATAGCGCTTTCCTAGGAATAATCGTCAGTGCGTGATGGCGTCGGGTATACTGAGAGGCACGACAATGCGCTCTTGCTAGCTCCTTTTCTATGTTGGGGTTATTTCTTGAAATACATGTTTAGCTCATGGCGGTTCGGTCAGCCTTGGGCAAAGAACAGTCATCCAGTAAAAACACTGGTGTCTACTGGTTCCGTTTAGCGTTACAGCTTTTGGAGAGCTGAAAGTTGCTGGGCATTTTTAACAATTGGCGCCACATGTAGTACGTACCAGCAGCTACATGCAGTATTTAGTTATGTTTTGAACTATCCGTTTGTCGGATGTGATGTTCTCAAGCCCAGTGGTCTAGCGTGAACTACATGAATGGCAGGAATATCGCCTGCAAGCGTTCTATCCGGATGGCCGTTTGGTACGCTATATATTAAACTTGCAGAAAAGCAGCCAAAAAACGAGGTTAAATGGGTATCCACTCGTGCTAGGCAGTGGCTAATATGTCTTTCACCAGGCTCACAGCAATAATACTCAGGAAAATGGCGATCTTGAGAGCCAAGTGTAGTTCCCAGATCGCTAGAGAACTAGACACCTTGTGTCTAGCATATACTGCAATTAGGGTGATGTACATGTATTTTTATACTACGGCTAGTGTAATCTAGGCTGCCCCATTGGTGACATACAATCGATGCCAAACCACGCGGCATAAAACGCCAGCTCCTCATCGTCAGTAACCAAAACCGCCCCGCGAGCCGGCTCCACGACATGAGCAAAATACAGGGCACAAGACAGGACGCCACGATGGGCCTCAGGCACCTCCTCGACATCGGGCCTGCCCTCATCCTCATCCATGGGGTCGTCACTCAGCATATACAGGGCCGAGCACGGCCAGTTATCGAGCTGCTGGCGCGGAGCCTGCAGGATCACCGACGAGTTCTCCCAGGTCCTGGTGCTGTCAATGAACTGCGAGACGGCGCGCGCACGGTATCCGATACACGAATCGCGCTTCGCCTGGTCGATCAGCTCCAGCACCGCCATGCAAAACACCAGGGTGGAGTGGTGGGTGCGCAGCCAGCCGCGCAGGGCCGGCAAGTGGAAGCACCAGGAGTCAAAGTCCGGCACCAGGACCGGGGAGTGGGCGCGAATGGGCGTCGAGGCGCGGCGCAGCTCGGCATGCTTTGCCCGCAGCCCTTCATTAAGCCGTTTGTCCTCGATGGCCTGGGTTATCTGCCGCTGCCGCTGCTCGCGCACCTGCGCGCTCTCCACGGCCAGGTCGCCGTCGGTGTCCCAGGTAAGGAATGGCAGGACGGCGCGACGCGCAAACGCCAGCAATGTTGTTTGGGTGCGGGCCAGGGCTACCGATAATGTGTCGTGGGCCCACAGCGGCAGGTTCTCGATGTCGCTGCTGGCGTAGCTCGAGACGCTGGCGTTTGTGCGGGCGCCAGGCTTGGACTTGCCCGTAAACACCACGGGCAGCTTGGCCGACAAATGCATGACTGGTAGGTCCAGGATCTCCTCGTAGTTGAGGTCGCGCTGGAGCGGCCTGCAGGGTGGTCCAGCCGAGCAGTGTGACATCGCTGGGCAGCAGGGCGCGTCGCATTGTCGGTCGCCAGAACGGCGGTAGCGCGACAGCTGGATATCGGGGGTGTGCGTGCGCGTCAGACGCACGAGCTGCGCAAACAGGGATTCGAGGCTGGGCTGAAGGCTCGGGAAACCTGGTGCTGCCAGGGCGGTCTCGAGGTACGGGCCAGAGCGCCAGATGTCGGCCCACACAGCCAGGACTCATGAGCGCGTAGATGGCGGACTCGCCACTGGCCACTGCCTGCGGGACATAGGCTAGCTGCTTGTGTAAGAGGAGCGCGGCAATATGCTGGATCACGGCCAGGTAGTTGGTGCGCTGTGCCCTCCAGCGCCGGAGCATTGACCACCCATGTGAGCAGGCCCGCCATGATAATGCTGGCACGGTAGCCGTCCTCCCAGACCGCATCCGGCAGTGTCCGCTTGCAGCGCCAGTTGCAATGCTTCGTACTGTGTCTTCATGTGGGATTCGGATGTACACAGAATTGCGTATGCGAGCTCCATGACCAGCTGCTCGACCGACGGCGGGCGGTCGGCAGAGCGGCCGGGCAGAAGCATGGCCAGCAGCATGCTTTTGTTGCGCACCGGCAGGCGGTCGGCGTAGCAGAGCGCGCATATTTGCCAGAACATCATGCCCATGGCATCGTTCTCGTACATGGCCAGCAGCGCCATCTGCTCGCACACCCGGCCGCTGTCGAAATGCATGGCCTGGGCGCACATATACGCACTGCGCGCCAATGCAATAAACGTCGAAGTGTCTGGCAATGGCATCTCGTGGACGTACAGATCGCTCTGGATGCAGGTGCTGGTACCGATACACATCGCCAATATACACCATCAGGCGACGCGCGATTTGGAAGCGCGCGCACCTCTTAGTTCTCCTGGCCACGCACATAGCGGATGGCCGACTGCAAGGACGTGTCTTTGTGGGCGCCGACCTGCAATACAAACAGCGGCTGCATGTAGCCGACGGCCTCGCATAGCAGGGCATTCAAGGTCATGGCCCACCACTGGTGACGCCAGTCACTGGTGGCAGACAATGACGTGATGCTGGCTGCGTAGCCGTCGTCGCAGGTGCTGTCGGCGGGCAGGCGCAGGCGCTTGCGGCATTCGCTGATCGGCGTGTAGAAGACGTAAGCGCCAGAGCGTCTTGTCTGCCTGGCAGGCGTTGGCCAGGTCCGGGTGGGCCATGATCAGGTCCTCGCATTCGTCCTGCACTAGGTGCCGCTGGAGGCTGGCCGTGGTCCATGCGTCGGTGAGCTGCTGCGCGGTGGTGCATGTGTCGAGGTGCTGGTAGGTGGAGTGGGCGCGGCCGGCTGCGTCTTCGCAGCGCCGGGAAAAGTCGGTCCGTAGGGCCTCCTCGGGGTGCATATGTGTGTTCAGGCGTTCGCGCTGGTTTCGTCCGGTGTGTGAACAGTATGAATGCGGAGAGGGTGGTTGAAATTGAAAAGGAAAGAAAGTGCGGGCCAGTCGACAGCTGGGGCTATTTAAGCTAATCTGTCAATGCGAACCGCGGATCAGCGACTCCTTCTTTGATGACGAGGCCGCCTTTCAGGCAGCAGGGGTCCCCTCGCCTGCTTGTTTCTTTTTTAAAATTCATACTCATATAAACTTTTCACTTTCAATTCAAAGAACATCATGTCGCTTTGTGAGCACGTACTAACCGCACAGCTGAGCCCACCGAGCTCCACTACCCCCGTCTACAAAGAAGAGTGCACGCAATGCTTCGACACGTACGACATGGCCGCGGGCATTAACGTCTGCCTGACATGCTTCAACGGCGGCTGTCCGCAGCATGGGCCGCAGCATGCGTTGAGGACTGGGCACAACCTGGCAGTGAACATCCGGCGCACGAAAAAGCAGGCAGCGGATTCTGGCGACGAGCGGCCGGCGAAACTGACCAAGCTGGAGATCACCGAGGAGGTGGAGGAGTACGACTTTACGACCACGGTGCATTGCTGGGCGTGCAGCGGCAGCGAGGTGGATGGGCAGCTGGAGAATATTGCGCCGGCGGTGCAGGCGGTGGTGAGGGCAGCCGAGGCCAGCAAGCAGAGCGAGATCAAGGCGTGGGCAGAGGAAGTCACGGGATGCGCGCATTTCGACAAGCTGCAGCAGCAGCCGCTGGAGGGGTTCAGCCTGGAGGCGCTGCATAAATGCGGGCTGTGCGACAAGGCAGAGAACCTGTGGCTGTGCTTGGAGTGCGGGCACGTCGGGTGTGGGCGGCGGCAGTACGACGGCAGCGGCGGAAACGACCACGCGGTGGGGCATTACCAGCAGACGGGCCATGCAGTGTCGGTGAAGCTGGGCACGATCACGCCCGAGGGCACGGCTGACGCGTACTGCTACAAGTGCGACGAGAACCGCCTGGATCCGGAGCTGGCGCAGCACCTGCAAAAGTTCGGCATCAGCGTGGCGGCTCAGCTCAAGACCGAGAAGAGCATAGCCGAGCTGCAGCTCGAGCAGAACCTCAAGTTCGACTTCAGCATGACCACGGCCGATGGCGCGCAGCTGACGCCGGTGGCCGGGCCGGGGACTGACGGGGCTGCGCAACCTGGGCAACTCGTGCTACATGGCGGCGGTGCTAGCAGTGTGTGTTTGCCATCGACGCCTTCCGCGACCGGTATTTCCCGACAGCTGCCGACCATTTCCTGGCGTGCGGGCAGCCGCGCCCGGCCCAGTGCCTGTCCTGCCAGACACATAAGCTGGCGCACGGGCTGTGGAGCGGCCAGTATGCGCACATCGACAAGGACGCCACGGGGACAGACGGTGCAGACGGGCATAGCGACCGTCGCAGTTCAAGGCGGCGGTGGCCCGCGACCACTACGAGTTCGCGTCGATGCGCCAGCAGGACGCGTTCGAGTTCTGGCTGTTCCTGATGAAGCAGGTTAATGTGATGGAGCGCACCGGTGGGCCCGATCCGTCGCGTGTCTTTGACTTTGTTACCGAGGAGCGCCTGCAGTGCATGGCATGCAAAAAGGTGCGGTACTCTGAGCAGCCGGCGTCGTCGGTCACGCTGCCGGTGGAGAAGCGTGAGACTACGGACGGTCCTGGCGCCGGTCACCTTGCAGGAGTGCCTGGAGGGCATGGCGCGCGCCTGAGACCGTCGACGGCTACCGGTGCCCCGAGTGCCGGCGCCCGACGACCGCGCAAAAGTCGACGCGCTTCAAGACCTTCCCCAAGGTGCTGGCGGTGCAGGCGCGGCGGTTCGAGCTGGTCAACTGGGTGCCGCAGAAGCTGGATATCCCGGTGCAGGTGCCGCTGGGCAAAATCAGCCTGGAGATGTTCCGCGCCCACGGGCTCCAGCCCGGCTGAGGAGCCGCTTCCCGACGAGGAGGAGGAGCCGCAGGCAGAGGAGGCGGCTCCCAGCGACCAGGACATTGCGCAGCTCGAGTCAATGGGCTTCCCGCGCGTGCGCTGCATCAAGGCACTGAAAAGCACCGGCGATGTGGAGGCTGCGCTGAACTGGATCTTCGAGCACATGGACGACCCAGACATTGACGAGCAGCCTGCTTCTGCACAGGCTGCCGACCCGGCCTCGGTTGAGATGCTGATGGCCATGGGGTTCGCGCGCGACCGCGTCGAGCGTGCGCTGAAGGACACCGGGGGAGACGCTGAGCGTGCGCTGGACCGCCTGCTGACGGCGCCCGAGGAGCAGGCGGGTGGGGGCGAGGGGCTTGATGACGTCACATCCGATTTCGAGCTCACTGCGTTTGTCTCGCACAAGGGATCGTCGGTCCACTGCGGCCACTACATCGCCAGTGCTCGCCACGGCCTGGGCGCCGCGGCCAAATGGCATCTGTTCAACGACGAAAAGGTTGTCGAGCAGCCGGAGCCGCAGCCGGAGCAGGGTTACGTGTACTTTTTCACACGGACGGACTAGATGTTTTTTTATATTGTCAAGAAAAAACAATTTACGAGCTCGACTTCATATCGCGCATCACCTGCACGGTCTCCTTGGGCAGGCCCGAGTTGAAGCGCGCCGGCTGGCGAATCCGCCTGGTCTCGGTCATGTTGGGCGCGCGGTTGTGGAACTGGTGGTTGCGCTGCTCATTGCGCTGCTGCTGCTGCTGCTGCTCCACCACCTGCTGCTGCAGGAACAGCTTGTCCTCGAACTCCTGCTGCCGGATCAGCTCCTGGCCGCCCTCGTCGTCGCGCGCATCCTTGGCCGTCTTCTCCTCCGACGGCTTCTTGAACGTCGGCACGTAGCTCGACTGCGACTTGCGCCGCCCGCCGGCAAACACCGCGGGTGCGTGGCCGGCCTTGAGGTTGCTGCTGGGGTCCATCGTGAGGGTTATTAATACAGAGGAGGTCTTGAAATACACTTGAATAAGGGGGATAATAGTTGCTCGGGGGGTTGGATAAAAGAAGAATAGGTTTGTTGCTTGTCGTCTGGAGAGAGGGCCGCGACATAGGCGTCCTTTATATGCTGGGCCTTAGTCTAGGCCTCCTGTCTCAGGCATCAAAGCTCGTCTCCCCCCAGTCCGCTTTCCGTTTATTCGCCATCAAGTCATGCGGACTCCCCGCCATGCATCAGCCAGTGTGCATCTAATTGCCCCTCGGTCATGAGAGACAGACTGGTGCCCACTAAGCCTCTGGGCCCTTTCCACTGACATAATTACCGTGATGGTGACGTTGGCACCACCTACACCACCGAGTACCTGCCCGACCCACCCCGGGCCTCCTGCTCCATGATGTGCAGCGTGGCCTCAGTGAGGATGCGCTTGAGCTCGTTGCGCGCCAGCTCGACCGCCCGCTCCGAGTCGGCCTCAATCGACAAGTACAGCTTGCGCTCGCCCTCGGGCGCCTGTCTTGCCCTGCGGCACAAACACGCCGCGCGTGGTAATGGCAGCGCCCGTCTGCTCGATGATCCTCGACAGCGTCTCGCGGTTGGTCGCCCGCCAGCGCGCCTTCTGGTGGTAGTCGTTGATGTCCAGCTCGCACCCATACGCCCCCACCGGGATGGCGCTGCTGGGCTTGTCAGGCAGGCGCCAGGCTAGCCAGCTGCGAGGCTATCTCCACTGCGTCCCGTTTGGGCTGCGGCTCGGTTGTGCCCAGCTGCTGGTTGATCTGGTCCACCACACTGACCGCTGTGGGCGCACTGCTGCCTACGTTGAAGCGGCGTGCGGCGGCCTGCGCGGCCTGCAGGGCAGCAGCAGCCGCTGCTGATATGCTGCTGCTCTCCGGTGCAGCTGGCTGTTTGGTGGCCGCACGTCGCACAATCTCACCATCAGTGGTTACTGGTGACGGATCGGCAGTCACTGGGCGCTTGATCTCGATTGGCTCGCCGTCACTGTCAAGCTCGTGCTGCGGCTCGTCCTCGTCCTCGTCCTCGTCCAGAGCCTCTCCGCTGGCGTGGCCATACGACACCTTCTGGATTTTCTTGACCAGGTCGCGGTCCTTGTCCAGCTTTCTCCAGGCCCTTGCCGCCGAATCCGGACTTGCTGCTGTGCCGCGCAGTGCCAGCCCTGACTTTTTCCAGGAACTGGTCTGCCAGCTGCTGCACAGGCGTGGGCGGCGTCAGGTGACTGAGCTTCATTGCCTTGACCACCTCGCTGGCGTAGCGGTCCTGGTCAGGGCGTGATGAACGTGAATGCGTCGCCCTTGTTTCCGGCGCGGCCCGTCCTCCCCACCCGGTGCACCAGGTCCTCCATGTGGTTCGGGCAGTCGTAGTTGACCACCAGATTCAGCCCGCGCACATCCAGCCCGCGGGCTGCCACGCTGGTCGCAATCAGCACCGAAAACACCCGGTTCTTGAAGTCCGCCACCGCCTGGTCGCGGTCGGTCTGGTCCTTGCCGCCGTGCAATGAATTGCACACGTACCCGCGCCGCATCAAGTCCCGCAATAGCCCGTCTGCCGCCTCCTGCCGGTCCACGAACACCAGCGCCAGCGTCTCCTTGTTCAGGTTGAAGGCGTCGCCCAGGATCGCCAGCAGACGCACAAACTTGTCTTTACTCTCGACCACCTCCACGTGCTGCGCGACCTCGGGCGGAATCAGCGACCGTCCGCCCACGACGATCTCCAGAGGCCGCCGAAGGATCTTGCGTGCCAGCGCCTCCATCTGCCGCGGGAACGTCGCTGAAAACAGAACCGTCTGGCGGGACGGCCGCACGCTCTGCACAATCTTGGTCACCTGCGGCTCAAACCCCATGTCGAACATGCGGTCCGCCTCGTCCAGCACCAGGTACGTGACGCGGTGCAGGTTCGTGACCCGCCCCGAGTTCGCACACAGCAAGTCAATCAGCCGCCCGGGCGTGCACACGACAATCTCCGCCCCGCGCTTCAGCTCGCCGATCTGGTCCTTGATTGCCGAGCCGCCGTATGCGCACACCGCGTGCAGCCCCAGCGGCTTCAGAAACGGCTTGCATTCGCGGTGGATCTGCACTGCCAGCTCCCGCGTTCGGTGTCATCACCAGCCCAATCGGCCCCTCCCCCGATTCCAGCCCCCGCTGCGCCTTGATGTGCCGCAGCATCGGCAGGATGAACGCCAGTGTCTTCCCCTGACCCTGTCTTCGCCACCCCGATCACGTCGCGCCCGCTCAGAATTGCCGGCACTGCCTGCGCCTGGATTGGCGTCGGCGACTCGAACCCCTTGGTGCTTGATCACATCTGCGCACGCTGCTGGCAGCCCAAAATGCGACCACTCCTGCGCGGGCTTGGGGCAGTCGATGCCACGGATCTTGACGCCCCCCAGGTCCACCCGCATCATGTCCACCTCCTCGGCCTGTCAGGCTGCGCAGAGCTACTGGTTCGATGTAAAAGTCCTTTTTGAACGGCTCGTAGTTCATCTTCGAGTGGTCCACTGCTGCCAGGTCCTTCTTCTTCAGTCGCTTCGCCGCCAGTGCAATCACGTCTTCGGGATCCTCGCCCGCGCCGTCATCGTCATCATCGTCGCCATAGGCTACATCATCGTCGCCCCCCAAAACCTGATCCCTGGCCGCATCCCCGTCTGACCCACGGGGCTGGTTATTGTTCACCTGCGTCGCGACATTCTGCATGTACGCCTCCAGCGGATCAATCTCTGCCATATCTCCCGCTGCATCATTGCGACTGCCACTGCTGTTGGTGCCATTGCCATTGTCCATTGTCATTGCCATTGCCATTGTCAGCATGGTCAAGTGTGATCATGGGTCTGCGCTTGTGCTGCTGCTCCTTGGAACTGCTATCAGCGTCATCGTCGTCAGTTGAAAACACACTGCCTTTAATGTTCAAGCTCGCCAGTAGCCGCTTTGGCTTTAGTCCCAGCTTGCCAAACTTCCGGGGTGGGCCAGCTACAACCACACCAGCCGGGCGCTTCAGCCCAAGCGTCTTTCCAAAGGGCTTCTCCTGCACCGGCTTCTCCTGCACCTCCGGCTGTGGCGGCTGTGGCGTGCTGGCACCGCTGGTCCTTGGCAACGACTCAAACCCTGCCTCGCTCGAGTCCGATGCAAAAGAATTGGCTGCTGTAACGAATGGACACGCTATTCGGACTATCATCGCCGGCTACCGAGGACGCTTGGCTCATGGGTTGCTCAGACTGCTGCTTCTCCTGCTCCTTGCGTTTCCGCCACTGCTCCAGCCGCTCGCGCATCTTGCGCTGCTTTTCCTCTTTTGCTGCCGCCTTTGCTGCCGCATCGTCGGTGGCTGCCATGCCTCGCGGCCGGCTGTTCTCCTCGTGACGGCTGGTGCTGCGACCATAGCTAGTGCGCGAATCAGTCATTATAGTCTCAAATACGGAGATATTTGTAATGCGTTTCCCCTTGCGGTATAGGAAAAGGGGAGCCAGAGAGGAGAGCGTGCTTGCTTTTTGTTTTGTTTCTAGTACCTTAGTTTTCTGTATGTTCTCTGTGAAGCAAAGGCCAATGTATGCGCATTGAACAAGCCAAACCCCTTTGAAAAAAGAATATAAAATTTTTATGCCAAAAAAGAGAAGAAAAACGCAGTGATTGACCTTGCCACCAGCTCTAGAGCGCTCTCAGGACTTGGTGCTACAGTGCGATTCCCTCTGAACGCGTGCTGGCACTCTGTCTAAAAAAACACAAGGCTCGAAACGCTCTCTGTCTTTTTTCTTCTCTCCTCTTGTTCTCCTCTCGGCACACCTACACAAAATATATTCTCCCCCTATTGTTTTGCCGCTTTTGCACCTATTTCTTATCCTCCCCCTTTCTGGCAGCACAGCATTTCCCGTTTGTAAATGAGCGGTGGGAATCAAGCTCTAGATAGCCAAGACACAGCCAACACCAGAACAGACGACATCACCGAGCAGCCTCTGGTTCCTTCGATAAGCAGCATCCCAAACGTAGAGTTTCTAAACAACTTTCGTTCGGTGATGGAGAACCGCCGTGGATCGACTTGGATGTCCGTGCGGCGTGACACACAGCAACAGCAACAGCAACAGCAACAGCAGCGGCAGCGGCAGCAGCAACGACCAAGCCCGGTCATTCCCGGACCCCAGCCAGGCCGGAGGCAGTCTGGACTGCCACGTATCGATCTTGGCGCCCCGAGCACTTCGAACCTGCATGGCGAGGAGTTGGCCGAAGATAACAGTGCCCATGAAACGGAGCATGATCATGTGGACGACATTGACGCTGAAGAGGAAATGGCGCATTCGCAAGAGCCTGGCGACCATGTCATGGATGAGGATGAGGATGACGACGACGACGGACACAGAAGATGACGACGACGACAACGACGATGGGTCAACGAACGGCGCAGAGAGCAGTGGTAGTCCATCGCGGTCTGGCCCTTCATCTAGACCAGCAGGTGGCACACTGCATGGCGCCAGCAAGAAATCCCACCAAAAACCCTTCCTGCCTGAATACCTAAAGTACACGGCCTTTGGCCAGTTCCAACGGTGCAAGGAACTGTGCAACCTAGCAGCCGACGGGCGGACGATGCGCCAAGGAATACCACAAAAGCAGCAGACAGCTTGGCCATGGCCCACGTGGCCCCTGACCTGTTCTTCAAGTCTCTGGTGCAGGACTCGTGGCCACATTACTGCACGCCCGTTCCCAACGCCTCGTCGGTCGCTGGTCTGCGGCTGGGCTATGAATTTGGGCTGGGCAACCAGGTCCGGACCATGCTCAGCGCCAGCACGCCGCGTGCTCCAGAGGTGCAGTCGCCAGCCAACCCCAGAGCCAGTGCGCCAAACGCAGCTGCGGAACCCCCGGATCTGCCGTCGCAGTGGCAGCAGATCAGCAATGACCAGTTTCCTGGCTGTGGGCGCTGATCGAGTGTCTGTGAGATACACGGGGCCAGGCAAGGGTGACAGCGATGCGCGCATGATCCGCTCCGACCACCCGATCCCCGCCCGCTGCGGCGTGTACTACTACGAGGTATTCATTAGGAGCCGCGGGCAGTGCGGGTATATTGGCATTGGCCTGTCACATAACACCAACGGGGCTACGCGGCTGCCTGGGTGGGACCCTGGATCGTGGGGCTACCACGGCGACGACGGGAACTGCTTCTCAGGCAACGGCAGTGGCCGCGCGTACGGCCCTGGGTTTACCACCGACGACACCGTCGGGTGTGGCATTGACTTCAAGGAGCGCAGCATATTCTTTACCCGCAACGGGCTGTTTCTCGGCCACGCCTTCAAATCCGTCGACACCAGCAAGCCGATATTCCCAGCCGTCGGCATGCGCACTGCGGGCGAGCACATTGTGGCGAATTTCGGCCAGCGGCCGTTCCGCTTTGACATCGAGTGCTACGTCAGCGAGGCGCACCAGGATGCGCTGGCCGAGATCCACAAGACATCGATCGGCGATCTCATACCAAAGCCCAGCGATCAGACAACCCCGCTGGAGGCCAAAAATGCTGCCGGACCCCGAGCAGACAATCGCGCTGGACATTCTCAAGCTGCGTGACACAGAGCTAGGCATAGCGTCGCAGCCCCGCGAAATGTCGACCGCCGACGCTGCGCTGAGCACGGTGATCTCGTACCTGCTGCACAAAGAGTACTATGCGAGTGCCCGCGCCCTGATCGAGAACATTGCCGGCAAAGGCCAAGGGCGACACGAGCGGGTTGGAATCAGCCAGGCTGACCCAGATCCTCGAGACGCTGAGTAAGCAGAGCGCGCGGCTGGACTGCCGCAAAGCCATCTGCAAGCACATCAGCCAGGGCTGACATCGACAGCGCCCTGGGAATGCTGCAGGAGAGCTATCCGCAGGTGCTCAAGGACGAATCGCTGGTGTTCCAGCTGCGGTGCCGCCAGTTCATCGAGCTGGTGCGGGCCGCCAACGGGTACCACATTGCCGACTGCATTCCCAGCGACGACAGCCTATCCAGCGCAAGCAGCGGCAGCATGATGGACGTTGATGACACGCAGGCGGCCTCGCTGATGTCGCTGGCAGCCATTACCAATGCACCAGCAGCGCCCTCCAAAACCGTGTATGGCCAGATCCCCAATCTGCGCAAACTGGAGCCGGCGCGTCTGGTCCGCATCCTGCTCGACTACGGCCGGCAGCTGCAGGCCGACTATGGCGCGTCGCCGAACCCGATTGTGCGAGAGGGCTTGGTGCATACGTTCTCGCTGCTGGCATACGCCGATCCCGCGGCCAGCCCGATCTCGGCGCTGCTGGATCCAGAGGCTTGCAAGCCGCTGGCCAGGCTGGTTGAGTGCGCGATTGTCGCCACCGAGAAGGCACCGCGCATGTCGGCGCTCGAATGCATCTACCGCCAGTGTGCGGCCCTGCTTGCGGAGTTGAGCAGCCGCAGGAATGGTGCGGCTGCGCTGGTGTCAGTCGACACGGACTTTGTGTAAGGCAGCCAGCCAAAAAAAAATTGACGTCGATGTGTAACTCCATTATTTTTTCCCCCAGATGACGCATGCATGGGGTGTGGCCCAATCACGATTTCATTTTTTTTTAGCGAGCTTGTCAATACATCGAAGACACCCGGGCCTTTTGAGTTAGGTCCTCCTTTCTGCCTTTCTTTCCTCAGCTTCCAGTATTTTTTCTCGCCTATCCATACCCAGCTACCCAATACACCTGAATTCACATACTCTGTATACTCTTACCCTCCTGAAAACCAAAAATAAAAACCCTAGAGTCGACGCCTCCTCCTGCTCAGAGCACCAGCTATATAAGCGCCCTTACTCTTGCTCCAAATACCCTCGTTTTTCCTAAATGGTTCGGACTTTTGAGACGCTCTCCCAGCTGCCGACCCAGCGGGACAACCCGCTCCTCCCACCGTCTGCCGATTACTCGACGAATTTCGAAAAGCGCACGACAATCACCTCTGCCCAGCCCTACCATGAGTTTGCCGGTGATCTGTGCAAGTCGCAGAGCGATACGCGCGACTATCGACTGATCAAGCTTACCAATGGGCTAGTGGTGATGTGCGTGAATGACCCGACGGAGAGCAAGGCGTGTGCAGCGCTGGACGTGCATGTGGGCAGTCTGGCGGATCCAGAGGAGTTCCAGGGGCTGGCGCACTTTCTGCGAGCACCTGCTGTTCATGGTAAGTAGTGTTCTCCGGCTCCATTCTTTTCGAGTCTTTTTTGCATGTTTTTGTGTTGTTGGCGGGATGACGACAGGCTGTTTTGGATTTTTCGTCTAGCGGGGAGAATGCTGGGCGGCGCTGTGTGAAACAGCGTTGTTGTTGACACTCTTCCAAGACAGAGGAGGGGGCCGTGCTGTACTGTTTTCCGATTCAAAAAGCACAAAACCTTTTTTGTTTTGCGCAGGCTGCGCCTGCCAATGCCAGATGAAACCGTGGTGTCTGGACGGGCGCTCTTGGTGCTGCCGCTTTTTTGGGGTCCTGTGGCCGTGCACCGCATAAGGGCTTTTCTCGCTTGCATTGCGGATCTCCCACGCCCTTCTCAGAACTCCCACTGCTTGCCTTGACGACATATTGTGCTATTTCCGGATAGCATTTACGGTCCCATCTGTCAACCAGCCATACCGGCTGTGCGGCTGTGCGGCTGTGCGGCTGTGCTGGGCATTGTCGCATGCATCGATTATCTGCACACCCCTCCTGGACCATGCACGCTGAAATCATGTGTCTGCTTTTTAGGGCACGGAGAAGTACCCAAAGGAGAACGACTACAACTCGTACCTGTCGTCAAACGGTGGCTACTCGAATGCGTACACAGATCTGGAAGACACGTGCTACTACTTTGAGGTCGGGAGCGATGCGTTTGAGGGAGCGTTGGACCGTTTTTCGCAGTTCTTCCTGACCCCGCTGTTTACTGCCGACTGCACTGACCGCGAGGTGCGTGCCGTGGACTCGGAGCACAAGAAGAACATGCAGAACGACATGTGGCGGCAATACCAGATGGAGAAGGAGCTGTCGAACCCGGCCCATCCGTTCAGCCTGTTTGCCACCGGTACGTACGAGACCCTGAAGGGCGCCGCCGAGGAGCTGGGCGTTGATCTGCGCGAGGAGCTGCTGAAGTTCCACGCCAAATACTACTCGGCCGATATCATGAAGCTGGTGGTCGTGGGCCCCCAGTCACTGGACCAGCTGACCGAGTGGGCCGGTGTCCATGTTCTCGATGATCGAGAGCAAGGGCCTGACCAAGCCCGTGTTCAAGGGCCACCCGCTGACCAGCAACGAGACCGGCAAGCTGCTGCTGATCAAGAGCGTTCGCGAGCAGCGCGCCCTCGACATCACCTTTGCGCTGCCCGATCTCAAGCCGTACGTCAACGAGCGACCCGGCCGCCACCTGGGCTCGCTCATTGGCCACGAGGGCCCGGGCTCGATCCTATCATACCTGAAACACCGCGGGTGGGCTACAAGCATTGTTGCTGGCCGGTCGCCGACGTCCGCCGAAGGGTTCGACATGTTCAAGATCACGTCGAGCCTGACGGAGGATGGCATGGCAAACTACAAGGAGGTGATCCGCGTTATCTTTGCATACCTGCAACTGCTGCGCGGCACCGGGCCGCAGGAGTGGTTCCAGAAGGAGCTGCAGCGCATCAGCGAGATCGAGTACCGGTTCATGGAAAAGAACGACGCTGTGACTTTGGCCTCGTCTCTGGCTGCGCAGATGCAAAACCGCTTCGTGCAGCCGTCGCGCATTCTGTCCAGCATGCTGTTGGTCACGCACTACAACAAGGACCTGATCAAGCGCGTGGCAGACTGCCTGAACCCCGACAACTTCCGCGTTCTAATCGCCGCGCGCGAGTTTGATGTGCCGTTCAACCAGGTCGAAAAGCACTACGAGGTTGCCTACCGTGTCGACCCGCTGCCGCAGGACCTGATGGACGACCTGCACTCGACGCTGAAATACGACGAGCTCCATCTGCCCGGGCCCAACATGTTCATCCCCGACAGCCTCGATGTGAAGAAGCCTGCCGGGCCCGTCGAGCCCACCAGAGAGCCCGTGCTGCTGAAGCTGACTGAGGGCTGGGAGGTGTGGTTCAAGCGCGACGACAGGTTCTTCCTGCCGCGCGGCGAGATCCGCATTATCATCGAGACGCCGCTCGTGTACGAGTCCCCACTCAATAGCCTGCTTGCGCAGCTGTTTACCCTGATCCTCAAGGACAGCCTGTGCGAGATCACATACGATGCGCAGGTGGCGGGCCTGTGGTTCGACATCCGCGACTCGAACGAGGGCATCTTTGTGCATGTGGACGGATTCAACGACAAGCTGGGCGAGCTGCTGAAGCTGCTGCTGCGCTCGCTGCGCACGCTGCAGGTCGACGACACGCGGTTCGACGTGTACAGCCGGGAGATCAAGAAGAAGCTTGACAATGCCAAGCACTCGGAGCCGTACACGCACATCCAGACCAGCGTCAGCTTCCTGAACCAGGGCACCATGTGGCGCTACTCGGACAAACTCAGCGCGTTCCCCCTGATCACCAAGGAGCGCCTGCAGCACTTTATCGACACGCTGTTTGAGCAGGTGCGGATCCAGATGATTATGATGGGCAACTTCACTGAGGAAGACGCAATGGGCACTGCCGACACGATCACCGCCGCTCTGGACGCCCGCTCGCTGCCGGACTATGCCAGACGCGTCCCGCGCTCGCTGCTGCACAACCCAGGCCAGTTTGTGCACTACCAGATGATGCCTGATGAGGGCAACGTCAACAGCGGTGTGGACATGTCGGTGTATGCTGGCACCTCGCAGAACCTGCGCGAGCGCGCGCTCCTTGATCTGACCTCTCTGATTGTGACTGAACCGTACTTCAACCAGCTGCGTACCAAGGAGCAGCTCGGATACATTGCGTACAGCTCCGACCGCAAGTACCATGGCGGGCCAATGGCACTCCGGTTCCTGGTGCAGAGCGAGTCAAACCCGATCTACGTAGCGATGCGCATCGAGCGGTTCCTCAAGAACTTCCGCCAGCGCATTGTGGACATGACGCAGGAGGACTTTGAGCGGTATGTGAACTCGGTGATTGTCAAGAAGGAGGAGAAGCTGAAGAACCTGTTTGAGGAGACCAGCCGGTTCTGGCGCCATATCTGCGCTGGGTACTACGAGTTTGAGAAGATCGAGCATGACGTGGCGACGCTGCGCACGCTGACACGCGCGGACGTGCTGGCGTACTGGGACCAGTACGTGAACAAGGAGGCTGCCCCCCGCTTCACGTCCCTGGTGGCCCAGTGCTGGTCGACCAAGATCCCGATGCCCAACGAACATGAGCTCAAGCACTTCCCGGCCGTCTCGATCGGCCTGTTTGGCTGCATGCAGCGGTACGGCGCAGACGAGTTCACCGTCGTGGACGCCGACAAACTGGTGCGCATTGTCCACGACGAGAAGCTGTCTGTGGAGGATAGCCTGGCAAAGGCCAAGGATGCGTACCGGAAGATCTCGAAAAAGTCGGACGAAGAGTTCAGCAAGGTGTGGGAAAAGGTTGCAGAGGCATCGTCGTATGTGCGCTCGGCCCTGGAGATGGTGCTGGAGCGTCCGCTGCCGCCCGTCCTGGTCAATGGTGTAGGCAGTGTGTACAAGGGGCTGGAGAACATCGGCGCCGTGCATACGCCTGATGGTGCGTGGATGTTCGAGGACGCGGCCGTGTTCAAGACTACATTAAGGCAGTCGGGCAACCCGATTCCGACCAGGCTGCTGGTGCCAAAGTACAAGTAAAATAGCTGTTGAAACATTTCTCCTTCATCTCTTTCTACTTTTATCTTCCCAGTTCTGCATCTAGTGTTTCCTTAATCTTAAAGAAGTCACCTATGCCATGAGCGCCAAGCTGGCTATGTGCTAAGCGCAGAATGAAACATAGAAGGATATGGCTAGCAAAGGCTTGCAGTTCTGTGAAGCAGCTGGTATCAGCACCGTGGCACACGCACCTGGTTGGTTTTCCTTGCTGTGGAACCCGCTGTTCTTAGGATCTGTATGACCTCACATATCCGCTCTGCGACGATACGAACCGAAAACACAGCCTCCTGCCGCAACGCTCTTCTCCTCATCGCTTCCACTTCTCACCTATGCACCGTCTGTTCTACAACATCGACATTATCGGCCAGATTGTTTCGGATCTTACTCTTCCTGCCGATGACGAAGTAAAGGATATCGCCGAACGGCACAGCTACTGAGCACTCCAAGCAAAGCTCTGGGTCATCATCCGCATCAGCAGCTCATCGGTCAGCGCAGCATTCAGCGGAGGCCATTTGTATTGTGCCACCAGCACACCCGTGGATGCCCTCGACACGTCGCCCGTGCAAGAGCTGATCTTCCAATTCGAGCACTCAGCGGACAACGGTGCCTTTAGTTTCCAAGCTGTTTGACTTTTTTGACACGCACGTTAGCCATCCCAAGCGTGGATGGGCTGCGATTTGGGTATACCGATTTGCCTAAGCAGGCAACTGGTGAGCTTGACGCAATCCTTGGTCAGAGAGCGACAACTCTACATAAACTATCGCTTGGCTACTTCCACCCGTTCGATTTATCGCGCGTGGCGTTTCCGCAGCTGTCAGTTTTCGAATCTGCAAGTCTTGGTGTTGATGAAGAGAACCACAGGCTGCTGCCGCTGCTGTATGCAGGAACGCTCCGGAAGCTGGTATTCGATAGGATAGCCAGGCAATGCTTCATCTCCACATTCAGAGACAAGAGCGGCGTGTGCAGTGTGTTTAGTCAGCTCGAGCATCTGAGGCTCTCGTTTAATTTTGATGCTGGCGGGAATACGGATATGGATTTGGGCATATCTGAGCACGGTACATTCAGCTTCCCCAAGCTGCGCTACCTGTACACTGCCAACGAAACAACGAGTCTGCGGCATTTTATCCGAAACTTTGCTGGATCTCCTCTCGAAATTGCATGTTCAAGGAGGTTGCGGCTTTTTGAAGGAGGTCGATTTCCCAAGATTCACACAGCTGGAGGACCTATTCGTATATTTTGACTATGTTCAGAGCAACGATGCGATAGAAATCCACCAGAGCGCGTTGACAGCCGGAATGCCACTTCGCTCGGTGGTGTTTGCCGTCCATGGCTACTACGATCTGCCATATGTGACACCGACCGGATGCCCGCTGGTGCAAATATACGAGACCGGTTCAGAAATGGATTCCACCCAGTTGAGCGAGTCCCTGGCTCTAATGCTGCTCGACTGCCGAGCCTCCAAGCCCTGGTGATCAACGTAAACAAGAAGGAATGTGAGCGGCTGCTCAGGCAAGTAATGTGCGAGTTTCAGTCGAGGGGCTTTAGCCAAAGACTCCGTCTCTTTGGATCGCTCCAAGTTTGTTGATCTGGGCGGTCCCATGCTGGTCATGGTACCTTGCTAATGGCTATCTCGAAGAAGATATATGAGTTTTCCGGCGTCCAAACGCCAGAGGCCGTGCTTGACTAGTCAGGGATCTATTGTGATCGTTGCGGCGTGTAGTGCTGCTAATCGGCGTCATTCAGGAAGCCCTTGTGAAGCCTGCGAAAAAGACCGCCTAGCCTTGTGATCTTCCACTTTTTGTTTCTCCTTTTTTCTGGTTCGCGTTTATTATTTTACTTTCACTTTCCTTTCGAATTCACACCTCCTTCCCCCTCAAACATGCCTCTTGCCACAGCAAAAGCCGGCCACCGGCAAGGAGCGCTGCACGATACGCGAGACTTTGCGCGTCTATCGCACTTTCTGCATATATTTCACCAGGCCCTCAACCAGGAGCAAGAGCTGAGCATGCAGCAACTCGAAGAAGAGCTGCTGCAAGATACCGGGGTTGTTCGCGCGCTGCTGAAGCGTGCGCTGCGGATACTTACTGGCAACCGACACATGGAGGAGAAGAGGATAGAAAAGTACGTTGAGCGTGCGTGGGAGCGGCACCTGGCGGGATACGCAGAGCTTCCCGATTCGTTCGCCGAGCTTGGGCTGTACGGCGTGGATGTGCGTGAGCGCACGCGGGTGGTGCTGGAGACCTTGGAGCTGGTGTTTGTGCGGCCCGATAATCTGCGGCATATCAGCAGCGTTGGGCAGCAGGACGCGCAGCAGTGGCGTGTAGAGCCTGTCGGCGTGGACTCGGTAAGCCGCACATACTGGCTGCTGTGTGGCGATCGGCTGTATCGCGAGACGCCCAAGAAGTCGCTGCTGCTGATCGAGAAGCACAACCGTGAGGCCGGCGTCAATAGCCGCAGATCAACGAGGCTGTCAGAGCAGCGCGGGCCGTTGGTCGATCCGCCGAGGCATGACGACATTGAGGACGACGGGGCGCTGTGGGAGCTGCTGTGTGCGAGTTACGAGGAGTGGGTGTATTTCCCGAACGTGCTCGAGCAGCTGACCAGCAAGGCCGATCGCACGGTTTACAGGCGCGTGAGCAAAATTGCGCCAGGAATTGCCACAAGGCTGCACAGCGAGATCAAGAAACAGGAGCTGCTGGAGCTGCTGGCTACACGCAAACGGTCGACGCGCATTGCTAAGAAGGAGGCGATGAAGCACCAGCGCGAGATCATCGAGCAGGAAGAGCAGATGGCCGAGGGCGACTATCGAAGGTCAAAGCGGATAAAACATTCGGCCGAAGAAGAAGAGCCCATCCACCCAATGCTGATAGACACGCGCGATCTCCGAGCACAGCGGCGCGAGCAAGCACGCCTGGAGGCATTGGAGCGGGAGCAGATGAAGAATATCGAGATCGAGCATCCGGCGCACCAGCCGCCGCCAGTGGAGGAGGAGGCTGCGGCAGAGGGTGATGCGGAAGAGAGCTGGATGTTTATGTGTGCATGCGGCAAGGCTGGCCGCAACTACGACGATGGGCGGGCGATGACGGCCTGCGAGCGGTGTCTGGTGTGGAGCCATCTTGGGTGTTCGCTGCGGGCAGAAGCACGGAGATTGGGCCGCGAGATCGGCGAGGACGAGTGGGAGCAGCTCAGCTACGTGTGTCCAAGCTGTCGCTCGTCCCAGCAAAATTAATCGAAGAGTTAGAATTAAAAATTTTTCTGACATCACCTGAAACAAGCATCCAAGCTTGTAAGCCCTGTTCGAGTCTCTTGTCTATTGATTCTCCTCCAATTTCGCCCGTTTCGCCAATTTCACACACAGGTTGATGAGCCTATTCGCCGGTTTGGTAGCTCGTCAATTCGCCGCATTTCGCCAGAACCACACCGCAAGCAATTTACTAAAGGTGACTGCGTCGAAGCGCAATCAGACCGCAGCTTCCCTTTCAGCTGCCGCCTGCCAACTACACACAGCAAAGAAGCACCGGCCGCAGCGCGACATGAGCATTGTGTTGACGGCCAAGGAGTCGCAGATCTGCGACCTGCTGGACAGGGTTGTCGACCATATCCACGACTCCCACCCAGAACAGCCCAAGCTGGTCCTGCGGATTGCAGGTGGATGGGTGCGCGACAAGCTGCTGGGCATGGAGTCCCACGACATTGACATTGCTATTGACCACATGTCGGGATTCGACCTGGCACAGCACGTCAACCAGTACCTGAAGGACAACAACTACCCGGTGCACTCAATTGCAAAGATCAGCCAGAATCCGGAGCGATCGAAGCATCTAGAGACGGCGACAACGAGTGTACTTGACCAGCTGGTCGACTTTGTCAACCTGCGCAGCGAGACGTACAATAGTGATAGCCGCATTCCCGCAATTGAGTTTGGCACACCCACCGAGGACGCGTACAGACGGGACATCACTATCAACGCACTGTTCTACAATATCCACTCGCGGGAGGTCGAGGATTTCACAGGCAAGGGGCTGGAGGACCTGAAGAATGGCATCGTTCGGACGCCGCTGGCGCCATTCGAGACATTCCGGGACGATCCGCTGCGGGTGCTGCGCGTAATTCGGTTTGCCAGCAGATTTGGGTACGAGATCGAGGAGGGCACAGCGGAGGCGCTGAGCCGCCAGGAGATCAAGAATGACTTGGATGTAAAGATCAGCCGCGAGCGGGTCGGTGTCGAGTTGGAGAAGATGGCGGCAGGGCCAAATCCGCTGCTGTCGATCCAGATGCTGCTGCGGTTTGGGCTCTATAAGAATGTATTCCGGGCGCCGCCGCAGGACATGTGGGTTGCCGGCCTGATGGGAGACATTGCAGTATCGGAAACGCTGACAAAGTGTGTGCTGGACATTGTGGAAAGGAGCACGGAGATCCTGCGTGGCGTTCCCAGCGCATATGACATTGGCCCGATCGCTCGCCGCCATCTGGTCCTGGCCGCATACATGTACCCGTACCGTGGCATCACCGCCAAGGACAAGAAGAAGGTGCTGCCTGCTGCACATCTGGTGATCCGCGATGGCATCAAGCTGTCCAACACCGACGTGGACGCAACCCTGTGCATGCACAGCTTTGCACCGAAAATCTCTGACCTCGTCAGCCGCTGCGTCGCTGGCACGCTTGACCGCAAGACCCTGGGCCTGCAGATCCGCGAAGTCGGCTCTCGGTGGTCGATGGCTGTGGCATTCTCGGCTGCTGTCGAGCTGCTTGATGGACGGCCGCTCGATGAAGTCGCTGGAAGATTCACCATGTACACAAAGATGGCTGTCGACCAGGGCCTTGTGGAGGCATTCAAAGAGAAGCACATTGTCGATGGCAAGAGCGCTGCCAAGCTGCTGGGCATCAGGCCTGGCCCGGCGATCAAGGGCATCCTAGAGCAAGTCATGGAGTGGCAGCTGGAATTCCCCTCAGGAACGAAGCAGGAGTGCGAGGCATTCATTCTAGAGAACAGACACAGGTTCCAATAGCTTTTCACTACTTGACATGGTCTCCAATACACCAGCTCCATGCCACTCAGGCACAGCAAAGGCGCTAGCCTGGGAGCCCCTGTCCCTGAATAGAAACGGGGAGTGTGCTATGGTAATCAAACGGACCCCATGCGATGTCCCATGCAAGACAGGTGCGCGCGTATTTGTTCTTCGTTAGGTGATCGACACCCGATGCAGTGCCACAGAGCAGCAAATCAGCTCTACGCAGCTGGACTGGGGTGGGGAGTACAGTGGCAAGCGACGTGGGCTGGGCATCTATAAAAGGCACGGGTCTGAGCGTACACAGGGCATGGTAGCTCAAGCAATATTTTTCCTCTACTCCTCTCCTTGCTCCGCATTTCCAGGCATACGCCACACCTCAATCTCACTAACTATGACTGCCAGCAATCCGACTCCTGTGTGGCTAGACTGCGACGTTGGCCACGACGACGCCCTGGCCCTGCTGCTAGCCGCCTACCACCCGCAAATCAAGCTGCTGGGCATTTCGGCCGTCGCCGGCAACGCCTCGCTGCGCAACACCACCGCCAACGCTATTCGGGTCCTGCAGGCTGCCGGCATTGAGGGCGTCAAGGTTTACCCCGGTGCATCCAAGCCGCTGGTCAAGCCCTCCGAGCACGCTGCTGACATCCACGGCGAGAGCGGCCTGGACGGCACTGATCTGTTGCCAGAGCCCGACTACGAGAAGTACCTGGGGACCGACAAAAAGGCGATTGAGGCAATCCGCGACGTGCTTATGACCAGCGAAGAGCCGGTGACCATCGTTGCGGTTGGGCCGCTGACCAACATCGCGCTTCTGGTGTCGGTGTACCCCGAGGTCGTGCCCAAGATCCACATGCTGTCGGTGATGGGCGGCGCGATCGCCCTTGGTAACACAACCGCTGCTGCCGAATTCAACATCTACTTTGACCCCGAGGCCGCACAGATCGTCCTGCAGGCAGGAATCGGGCATATTGCCATGGTGCCGCTGGATGTCACCCACACTGTGCTCGCATCCAAGGCTGTCATTGAGCGTATCAACAAGGAGGTCGCCGAGCCAAAGTTTGCCAAGCTCCTTACTGACCTGCTTTGGTTCTTTGGAAGCACCTACGAGGACGTGTTCGGCGAGAAAGACGGTGCCCCGCTGCACGATCCGGTTGCTATGGCCTATGTGTTTATGCGTGATGCGTTCTCGGAGCGCTTCATGCACGTGTCGGTTGACTGCTCGCAGGGCCCGTGCAATGGCCGAACTGTGTGTGACGTCAAAAACAAGAGCAAGCTGGAGCCGAACTGCTACATAACCACTGCTGTCGATGTCGACCGGTTCTGGGATGTGATGATCGGTGCATTGGTGGAGGCAGCCAAGAGCTCAACTATTTGATGATGGTACTCGGCGGCATTAAATATATGGCAAAGATTATGAAAAAGGAGCACTAGCAAACCACCACGGCTAGTGCATACGTTGATGTAGACTCGCCTATCCTGTTACTTCAGTAGTGCCGACAGAGTCACGTAGCTCGAAAAACTACTCATTCCTGATGTTCTGACCACGCCAACGGAGGGCCAACAAGTATCAAATCAGCGTATTCTTCCCGTGAAGGAGTGTGCACAAAGAGCCTATTCAAAAAGGCAAACAACCCCCTACTTGCTGATTCGCACACAAACAAAGATGGCCTAGTGTCACGACGACAAATATGGAGGTGGGATGAGTTCAGGGTGGCATTGGTAACTGGAGGTGCGCATAGACGCTCAAAAGCTGCCAAGACAAAGAATTAGATCATGTTATTGTCGTTGATGTGCTTATATAATCGTTCGTGAATGGCGCCAGGGTAAACGTGAACGTGCTGACAATAGCCACTGACAAAGGCTAGCTGCACAATCGTATACACCAATCATGTCTAAATCGGCGATCATCTGAATCACAGCTCAGCAACAAGCTTGTCGGTCGGGTCCTGAGCTATCGCTCCCTAACTATTGGCGATACCCTTGGTCACTACTGTCCACACTCCAGTCGCCCTATATTCGCACCAGCAGACCTACTCTTTGTTTTGGCAACCGAAGGTTTGTTTGCACTACTATCAACTCAATCACTTTGGAACCGCCTGCTAAACACAGCTCACCAATCGAACCGGCACAAGTTGGAGGATGGCTTTAGTCTACTCCAGGCTGGTAATATCACTGACTACGACATGCATATTTGTAGGATCACCAACACTGCAGCAGGAAAGCAAACGGATATTCTGCTGATATTCCGTGGAATCAAAGCATATGCTGGTCAGACCTTTAGGCATGTTGCAGAACCGGCATATTTGCTCAACATCAAACCAACGGAGTATTTCAGAGCTAGAAATGGCGAACTCTCCAAATACATCCAGTGTCAGAAATTGGTAATTCAGCTGGATCTTGTGCTGGTGGTACTGGCGCATGCGGATCAGTAGCCATGTCGCTGGATGTTGCTGTGGGGACAATTAAGCTGGGGAAGGCAAAGGTGACGACTGCTGGTGCATCTGGCTCGTATTCGCGTAATGTCGCCTCTACAACACCACAGATTAAGATGACCACTGATGCACTGGAGGACCATGCGATAGGTCGTTCACCCAAGGAATTGTCCCAGCCATGCACAGCCACCTGCAGTGGGTTTGCTGAAGGTATTGTGTCATGGATCCTAATACGGATGTCTGCAAGTGCTGCAATCAGGTGCGGAGCGCCCATATACGGCGTTCCTGCTATGACAGCGACTGCCACAGATAAGGAAGGGCACATAATACCCACACCAGGCCAAGGGATTCTGATGATAGCTCGGGAGTCACCTACAGGTGATATATCTCCGTTTCTTAACATTAGCCTTCGTCGTCAGGAACGTCAAAAAATAATTGCTTCAATCAAATCGTGGGCTGATGCCAAGCATAGTCAATTGGGTAAGTTGAAATTCTCAATACCTCTAATATCCATACAGGTGGCAAAAGTGACTTTACCAACACTCGCGTAAAGTGTATTGAGAGCAAGGTTCGGCAAATGATCAAAAATGCGCAAGGCGAACAGAGCAACAAATTCTGGAGGAACGATCCCACCATTTTCTCATTGTGCAGCTCGCTCGCAACATGGAGGCTGACAATAGGTGATGTTGAGATTATTTATGCATGCAACGTCCACAGTTGCAAGTGGTAAAAACGATCCCCATGTGATCAACCAGCAGCTCAAGAAGCTTGGCCGTACACATGGATATGCTGTTCCTGTAGTATGCCAGAAGTGGCTGGCTGGACACCCCAGAATGCTACCAGCGGCCTGGATGCTCAACAGTATGATTCAGTGCATGCAAACAGGAATCGTGCCAGGAAATCGCAATCTAGATAACGTCATATCTGAACTTGTAGAATACAGCCACCCTGTTTCCCCAAGCAGGTCAATCCAGACGCCAGGGATTAGTACCACTCTTCATACACCATTTAGATTCGGTCAGGTTGGTGGAGAGATTCCTGTTCCCATTCAGACTATGTGCACGCAGTTCTTTCACAAGAAGCACTTGGTCAGCACCGGTACAAGGTGAAAGAGCGTGAACAAAAAGCAAGCCGCTACTGGCAGGATGTGCTTGTTGGTAACCACATGTTTGTACAGGTGAAGGATGCCTGACCATTCACACCTGGGCAGAAGTCCCATGTATACATGGACTCTACATCAAGGGCCAAATATGACCCAGCTTCCGGAACATACCATTTCTAACCATATTAAGAGGCTTTGAGTAGAATTTTATGAAAGCGAAATTCATTTCAAGTTCAAGAGTCAAGTGCGCTTCGCCTGCCCAAGACCACCTTTGTCTAATCGTCCAGCATCATATCCACAACGGGGTGCGATTTGTTCATTAAATATGGCTTCTTCGATCTCGCAGAGCCGGCCAATGAACTATACGTGCTCTACACCCTGGCAAGTCACATATATTTGGGCTGACCTGGAAGTGTGAGCAAGCACATGCGACCCGTCATAGATTGATCCTGCAGAACAGGGAGCCAAAAGGCATCAAAACGCAGTATCACTAGATTAAGATTATATGATCATTCAATTTTTTATGGCTGCGTTTTTTATTTGAATTTTTTCAAAGTGCCCAACGCTTTTCTCACTTCAAACCTCCCAATTGCCTCATTTTCAGAGCTCGTAAATACAATAATGCCCAAAGGTAAGAAACAGACGAGCGGCGGCACCAGCACGGATAATGCACATTTATTCGCATGACAGATTAACACAGTCTTTTTGAACTTTGTAGCTATCAAACGGTCCAAAAAGTCGCTGTTGGAGCAGATCGCAGATATCTCGGATCCTAAGCCCAAGGACTTTGATATCGAGAACGCGGACCTGAACGATGCTGCGAACGACCGGGGATCAGACTCCGAGTCAGAGTCGGAAGATGAGGAGCTGCGTCGCGAGCACTACATAGAGATGGGGAAGAGTTCTCTTCGGCAGCAGCAGGGGATTGGAAACCTTGGCCCCAAGTACACTGGGTCCAGGACCAGCCGCAAGGCACTATACGGCAGCGACGAAGATGCGAGCGAGGAGGAAGCTGAGTCTGATGAGGGTAGCGAGAGTATCAGTGAAGACTCCGAAGAAGATATCGCCTCGAGGGTCTCGCAAACCAGGGAGGAGGACAGTGAAGTGGGTAGTGATGAGAGCGATGCAGACGAGAGTGACGACGGCATGGGGTTCAATGATGATGCTGGTGCTGAGGCCGCGCAGGAGCAGGATCGTGTCAGGGAAGACATTCGCAAGCTGGAGGAGGGTGAGAGGGCGCTGCTGCAGTCGATCACGCAAACAGCCAAGAGCGACGTCGAGAAGGGCCATCATGTTCTGAACCAAACCCGTCTGTGGGAAGGCGCCCTTGATGCCCGTATCCGCTTGCAGAAGATTGTGACTGCGGCTGATGAGCTTCCCTCCTTTGACCAGTTCGAGCCCCTTGTTGAGTCCCGGTTCAGTAACGACGATGGTGAGGATGAAATGAATGAGCTGGAAAAGGCACGCCAGTCAATGCTACTACTGATCAGCTCACTGGTCGAACTGCGTCGGGCCCTTGCCGAGCAACACCCTGCAGCCAAGAAGACGATGGCTGGCCAGAAACGCAAGTCCGAAGATGATGACGAGGGCGAGGACGGTGACGTCGAGGCGATGTGGAAGGAGCTGGAGGAGGTGCGCTCGGGGTTCCAACCGTTCCGGGACGAGTCGCTGGAAAAGTGGGGCAACAAGGTGCAGGTCTCGGCAGGCGTTACCAGCAGCAAAAAGTTCAAGGCGGTCAACCAGGGCATCATGCACCAGATCAGCCAAGCACTGGCCTCCGAGGAGCGGCTAGTTGAGCGTACGCAGCTCAAGCGTACAGAGTACAAGATCATTGGCCAGTCAGACACCTCTGAAAAGCCTGCTGCTGTTGCCGATGCGCATCTGAAGGACCGCAACCCGGAGATCTTTGATGACACGGACTTTTACCAGCAGTTGCTCCGGGAGCTGATTGAGAGCCGCATGGTTGATAGCAATGATCCAACAGCGTCGTTGGGCGTGCAGTGGGCGGCAGTCAAACAGCAGTCGAAGAGCAAGAAGCGCAATGTCGACACAAAGGCATCCAAGGGCCGCAAGGTGCGGTACCACGTCATTGAGAAACTGCAGAACTTTATGCCTCCGATCCCCATCGGATCGTGGCATGAAGACATGGTCAATGAGCTGTTCTCGTCGCTGCTCGGTCAGCGGGTGCCCAAGAACATGCTGGAGGAGGACAGCGACAGCGAGGGGCACAGGCCAGGACGGTCAGTTACCGAGACGATGGTCAATTCGGGAGAGATCAGCGTAGGCGGCGACGGCATGCGGCTGTTTGGCTAGTGTTTTGGTAGCGTATCACTAATGCTAGCAATAGATGACCTATATATTCACTCGCCAGCGACATGCAGCCACCAGAGTTTTCCTCATCTACTTCTCATGCTTGCTAAAAGTATTCCGAAAATTGTTGCCCTCGAGGGGGATACGGCACGGAAGATACAGTCAGCTGCCGAGATCCCTTCTCTACTGAGCACTGTCCAGGAGCTGGTTTCCAATGCGCTGGATGCATCTGCAACGAGGATCTCTGTTTCACTGACTGGTGGTGGGCTCAGCAGCATCACAGTGGTCGACAATGGCCATGGAATTATCCAGGAGAGCTTTGCTTTGCTAGCTAGACATGGCTGTACTTCCAAATCGCCAATATCGCGTGCCCGCGGTAACTCATTGGCTTCTATATGCGCCGTGTCGAGGCAGATCAAGATCCGCACCAGGACTGCTAACGACGACGTGGCAACAATGCTATCGTTTGATGCTCGCGGGGTCCATTCGGACCAGCGTGCAGTTGCGGGCAATGTTGGTACGACAGTCACTGTTTTGCAGCCGCTTAGCGTTGTCCCAGTCCGCTACAAGTTTGCAAAGTCGCAATTGTCAGGGATCGGGCGGGATATTTACGACTGGCTGGTTCGCTGCTACATGGCCAACCACTACACAGCAATAAGCTTATCTTCTGGCGTGGCTAGTGGTAATGGTGCTCGGTTGATGCTCAGCGCTGCACAGGATTTGAGGGAGGCCACGGAGATGTACTTAGGTAGCGGATCCCGCGATAGTCTCATTTCATTCGAGCACCAGTGGACTGATGGTGAGCTGAAGGGCGCGTCGGTTGCCGGTGTATTTGCAAGGGAAGGAGCGATGATCATGGCAAAGCGTCTCCCGTCGCTCTCTGTATCTGTCAACAGAACGCCATGTGGCATAAGCCTGCTCCCAAACATTCGAACAACTCTAAGTAGCATGGGTATGGATAGTGGTGCTGTATCTGCAAAGAAGCTGTTTGTTGGCATTCTGTCCTTTAGCTTCCCTGTGCGAGTTCTCGACAGTAGCTCACGCGCGCCCCTGCTAGCCAGCCAAGCCATTGCTGAGGATATTGAGGCCGAGATTTCTGCACTCATCGAAGTAGCTACCAAGGACAAGAAAGTCATACTCGTCAAACAAGCAGCCAAACCTCAAAGCAAAGCCCCCGCACTGAGGAGAACAAACTCCCAGACCACGGCGCCAGCGAAGAGCAGACAGGTTGGCAGAATGTCCAAGAGTGTGTCGGTACCGCAGCTGCACAGCTTCAGGCACACGCCAACCTACCCTCTAGGCCTGCAGGTCCCGAGCAATGGGCCAGACTCATTCCGTATTCCCAAGGCATTCTGGAGTCTGAGCTCGCCAATAATCGATGCTGCTGTCAGCAGTAATGCTCCTGCTCGAGTCATTTGCTGGCTCATGGCTGATGGCCGCATTGCTGGCGCAGGAACGCTCCGGCAGCAAGTTTTTGATGCAGAAAACAGGGCGCACATGTGCTTGCTCGAGGTCGGCGGCACGCTCATGGCGCTTGATGTCAATGCGCTGCCGCTGAAGACATTGCCCAGCCCCAGCTCGCTGGCCGTTCACATCTCACAAGAGCTCCGGCCATATCTCTGCATGGCCCAGATCACACATTAATCCGATCGACGAATCAGCTCTCGCTTTACGATAAACGCCCTTTTTTTCACCGCTGGCCTGCAGGCGCTTGGCCAATTTCGCTTTAGCAAATCGTCTCTTCCCGAATTATCTTTTCTATCTTGCAGAATTTACACCTGGTATAATGTTCAGACGGACGGTAGCCACAACTCTCGCGCGGAGCGTTCGCGCTTTCAGCACCAGCGTCGCGGGCCAGGGAGCCGTGCGTGCTGGTGTCCTCCTGCAGCGCGATCCGATCGTGATCCAGCAGGCAAAGGGGTTCGAGCTTGCCTCGGACAAATACTTCCAGTGGCTCGAGTACCAGTCAGCAGAGGCCTTCCCGCGGGACTTCTTCCTGAAGAAGGGCAGCTCTGCGGAGAAGAAGTGGATGGATATCGAGGACGAGCGGGCTGGCGAATGGCTATATGATCCAGAGAACAAGCCCAAGGTGAAGAGCGTCAAGAAGCCCGTAGTGGGCGACGAGGAGACGGGTCCCGAAGTGTCGAAGCGCATTGAGGTGCACTCGCGCGAGACCGAGGCTGACGCCAAGAGCGACGTGAGGTCGCTGGAGCGCAAGCTCGATCGGACATTGTATTTGCTGGTGAAGAACACACAGGGCGAGTGGGTGCTGCCGGCTGGTGCGGTTCAGGGCGAGGAGCTGCTGCACGAGGCGGCCCGGCGGAGCCTGAAGGAGATGTGCGGCGAGAAGATGAGCGTGTGGATGGTGGGCCGTGGGCCGGTGGGCCATGAGGAGTCGAAGGATGGTGCGACATTCTTTGTCAAGGGCCATATACTGGCAGGCCAGGCTGCTCCGAGCAAGTCGCTAGCGGCCGACTTCAAGTGGGCAACGCGAGAGGAGGTTGAGGGCACTGTGGCTCCAGCGTACTGGCAGTCAGTCAAGGACATGCTGTCGTCTGTTTAGAGATGTCTAGGCAGTTTAGAAGAAAAAACACCCACTCATGCAAAATATATGGAAGGCACTCTTTGATATTAACAGGTGACAGCTTACATGGTTCAGAATGTGGAGTTTGATATCCGCGGGTCGGCGACCTCCTGCACCCAGGCCTCCTCATTTGACAATGCCAGGTTGGGCGGAGGGCCGACAAATATCGACCCGCGGTGACCCAGACATGGCCACGTACAGTGCTGCAGTGACCGTGTCCTTGTGCAGGGCCCAGTACCAGCGCATGACTCTTTGCACCGGCGGCAGTGCTGCGAACACAGCCATGTCGAACATGGACTGCAGGGGGCCGATGACCTGGCCCATCATCCATACAGCCTGTGCCGCTCGCGACGGCTCCAGATGCAGCGACTGGAACCAGTAGAAGATCAGCGAGGGCGTGAAGAAAATCATTGGGCTGAGCGGGTAGAGGTATCAAAATGCGGGCCTTCCTGCGCATGCGCTGCTCCAGCGTGCGCATCACGTCGGTTGACAGCGAATGCTCGTGGTTGTGCGTCGACGGGCAGGTTAGCCTGCAGTCTCAGCGTGACTATGGCCACAACGATAACGAAATTGAGCAACTGCAGTAGCACCCAGAGATAGAACCCGAACACCATGTAGCAGATGTCTGAAGTTAGGCTGCCGAACGTCCACTGCACGTATAGAAGGGCCGGGTTGAAGCTGGCCTGTGGCGAAGAACAACGGCGAGCTGAACAAAAACGCTGTCCCCACTGAGACCTTTGCGTAGTGGCGCGTAACCCATCGCAGAAGCCGGTTGCTTGACCACCACCCGAGAAAGTTCATCTCCAGGTCCAGCGCGACACGACTTGTCATGAACGACACCAGGAGCGGGAAAAAGTACGACGCGAAAGCGAATACCCGCGCTGTTGCACTCGGCTGGTTCATGCCCTCCTTTGTGCAGAGCTCGCGGATAATGAGCTGGCTGATTTGGTATATGGCGTCGCAGAGCCCTATCATCCCGGATACCCGCACGGTCACTGTGTCGGCAATGTCCTTGTACATGGAAATGAGCACTGCCGCGGATACCGCTACCGCAAGCCCACACGCTGGCGAAATGACATCGAATATCACGCAATAGTAGTCTATTAGCCACTTTGCCGATGACGAGTATGACGTGTCCATAGCTTTGTGTGTGTGTGTATGTGAGATCCCAGATGCGTGTGCTGCTTCTTTCTGAGCTTCTCGTCGTGGCTTTCCCTTCGTCTGCTATATATAACAAAAAATAATTACAATAATACACAATGTTAAAAGATAGAAAGCAATAAAAAAATAGGAAAAAAAGAAAAGAGCCGTAGAGCTTAACATAATGGAGAACTGTAGCAAGGTAGGAGAAAAAGAAGGTCATGCGCAATGCAACTATGCATACACACGCCTGAGAGTGCCGTCTATTTTTCAGCCCAGCGACCAATGGATGCCTGGTGGAGATCTCCTATTCCAGCGGCTACCAGGAACAAGAAGCCAGGATTAAAATTGGACGATGGTCGGCAGAGAAACACCGGCATAGGCTGGTTGGCCATTTAATGAGGCTGTGCTAGGAGAGATAAACTTACATGTGCTGCAAATCGTCTGGCACGCTGTCGATCGCCCTGCCCCCGCCACACACACTATATCTGGTACTTGCTGTTGCATGTAGGCAGTGCGGGTGGCATATGTAGCGTTTACATGCAACTTCGAGGCAAGGGAGTGCTGGTGTGCGGGCAGCCACTTTGGGAGACTCCTCTTCTGGCCACGATGTGTGCAAATATTCCGAAACTAACACGGCTGATCCATATTGCACAGCACCAGAAAAGGAGTACGCAGTGTGCAAGTCAATATCCGTTTCGGGGAATATTAGGCGAATAGATGAAGGCATTACGGCAAGATCAGGAGGTTGCTTTCTATATAGCCACATGAGAGGAGCGAATTGCATCTAGAGGCAGAGGTGGCTTGAGAGAACATTGCTAGGCATATTGTATGTAATAGCATTATTGAAAACATCATAAACTGGATCACGAAGGGCAGTACGAGAAAGCGATGAAAGGGGAAGGAGAAAATACATAAAAATGGCAAGCTCAGCGAGTGAGCTTGATATAGAGGATGAGTATGACAAAGGCAATGGCAATAATGATGATAGCGGTGGTGATCATCTTGTTCGTCATCAGCCTGCGCGTCATGGTGCGCAGGGTCCTCTGCGACCTGTCGACATGGGAATCGGCCTGCATCAGGGTGTCGCGCGTATGGACAATCTGTTCCCTCTGCGACCTCAGGTCATTCAAAATGCTGGCGCCCACGCCTCCGTCTCCATAGCGATCCGGTGGCTATCCTGCAGGCGCTGGCTGCCACGCAGCAGGCGCTCGTTGCCGGACAGCAGGCGCGTGCGCTGGTCCGAGTCGGCAGAGGATTCCTCCATGGCCAGATCACGTGGCGAGCCCAGCAGCGCGCGGCGGTTGCTCTCGTAGCTGCCCAGGCCCTGGCTCGCCTGATTGAGCTCGCGCTTCAGCCGCTCGACATCGGACTTGTACTGGCGCACGCGTGGAGCAGCGCGCGAGCGTGTCGGGCCCTGGAGCGTCAGAAGCTCCATTTCCATCTGGCCGGCGAGCTCGGCGGCTTCTTCCAATTCGCGCTCGGTGGTGCGCAGAGCAGTGCGGCGCTCGTCGCCGACCAGCTCGGGCAGGGATGTCTCGAGGCGCTGCTTGACGGTGGCAACCAGGCCGGCGTACTCGTTCTCGTAATTGTCGAATAGCTCGGAAGACATTATAGTGCTGGAAATAAACGAGGGAAAATTGGGTGAAACTTCAAAAAGAAGAGGTGAAATTCAAATTATTTCTTGGCCCAGCCTTCAAGGGCAGTGGCATAAAAGGTCCGCTCCTTTTTGCCAGTCCTGGCGGCCGCGGCTTGTGATTGCGTCAGAGTCGCCTTTGTGTTCTCTAGGACTCCTCAGACTGCATACTTCCAACAATTCGAAATGCGAACGATTATTCTTGCACTGTCGACGCTGGCGCTGCTTGGCGTGGCTGCGGTCACTGGAGCCCGCTCCGCGGCGCGTAGCCATCATTGGCGCCGGACCAGCCGGCTCAGCAGCCGCGTATTTTCTCCAGCAGGAGAGCGCAAAGCGCGGCTCCAACATTGACATAAGCCGTCTTTGAGCGCAGCGGGCTGGCCGGTGGGCGCGTGCGCTCCTCAACTGTAACATACAACAACCGCACGCTGCATTTTGAGCTCGGGGCATCGATGTTCGTTGGCAGCAACAAGCACATGTACGATTTGGCAAAGCAGTTCAACCTGACGCTCTGTAGCCACCCATGCACATTTGGTGCCGACAACAAGGCAAATGTGCTGCAGAGCAAGCTGTCAGGGCTCGGCGAGTACGGGATCTGGGATGTTGCAAAGGGTGTGTGGCAGGTGAAGCGCGATGGATGGTTCTGGGTAGGACGCTTTGAAGATGCTCTGGCGGTACCGCGGCCTCGGGGATATGCAGCATGTCAGGATGCGCACAGGATATGGCGCTGAGGGAGTTTTTGACGTCGTATGAGGAGTTTGGGAATGCGACCAGGGTGTATCGATCTTGGGACGAGTACTTGGCGCAGCGGCCGTATATGAAAATGTCGCTTTACTACAACGGCGCTGGAGTACTATGTGAGCGCAGGCGAGCGCGTGCGCCGCAGATTCCTGGACGAGGTGGTGACGCTGGCAACCCGGGTCAACTACATGCAGGACATTGACACAATCAACCTATTGAGCGCACATGTTTCCATGGCGCCCACGTCAGAGGACGTCTACTCGGTTGCGGGCGGGAACTGGCAGGTGTTTGACAGGATGGTCCGGGAGTCCCGGGCTACGCTGAATTTCAACACCACGGTCACAGCAGTGCAGAGAGAGGGCGGCAAATACACGCTGGTGCTCGGCAGCAACCAGACAACCGCGGCGTTTGACTCGGTGATCATTGCAGCGCCGCTGTCGGTATCGGGGCTGGACGTGCTGGGGCAGAAGGATGTGCCAGTAAAGTACGTAACCATGTATGTGACATTCGCCATAGGCGTCTTGCGCCCCGGGTTCTTCCCGCCAGGGGCCATTCCGCAGCTGACGGTCACCACATACCACACCACAGGCGCCATTCAACTGCCTCTCGATCCTGGCATGCCTGGACGACGCGCTGGCGTGTCATCAAGGGACGGTCTTGGTGAAGATATTCTCGCATGAGCCGGTGGACCTTGACGCGGCGTTTGAGCGCGTCGAGTGGCAGAGGGAGCAGAGGTGGCACTCGTATCCGCAGCTGATTCCGCGCAACGCACGGTATGTGCAGGAAAATGGCGATCATGCGTACCGGTCGGACCGCCCTGGAATGCCCCCGATTGTCATGGACGAGCGTGCGGGCGGCGGCGTGTACTATGTCAATGGCATGGAGTCGCTGTTCAGCACAATGGAGTCGCAGACGGTCGCAGCGCGGCACGTTGTCCAGCTGGTGGTGCTGGGCAAAGGAGGATTTGACTCGGTTCGCACGGCCGGGGCGGATGAGCCGGCTTGATAAATTTTTGGGCCATTCTTTGAGGTGTGGGGTTAGTGGCAGGCTGGCGAAAAGGAAGGCGTGAGCTTTATTTTTCTTCTTCAACGCCCGTTTACAGAAAAAAGTATATAATTTTTCGTTGCCCCGTCGTTTCTGACTGTTCCAGTCTGTCTTTCGTCCTCCACACACAAATACATAGCTCCCCTTGTACTAGTCGGCAAGCTAATTGGCTTGTCGGTATCACCCATTCAACCAATACCATATACCTAATACTACACACACCCCTTTTGGGCAAATCGTGAATTCCCGTCACCGCTCCAAGCACAATACGGCAAACGGCTGCATAAACAGCCCGGCAGGCAAAAAAAAAAAGCACACATAAAAAACGCGTGCTCGTTTCTAATCGGCTAGAGTAGATGCCTACAATGCGTCGTAGCACCAGAGTAGCGGCGGCAGCCAAGACGCCAGCGGAAGCAGAGACACCACAAAAAGCGACGCGTTCGAAGCGCACGGGGAGCAGCAAAGGGGCGAGCCAGCAGCAAAACGGCACAGCACCGGGCATTGACTGGTCGGTATCGTCATCCCCGCTGTCGTCAATATCGAACGCCCGCCAGCATACAGCCACAGAGCCGCACACGTCGTCGACGCGTAGCGCAACGCGACGCCTCATCGTCCCCACCCGAGCACAGCTCTGAGTCGGCAAACGAGGACGCGGTATCCGAGCTATTGTCGCGCGCCAGCGAGGCAATCCAGGACGAGGTGGAGCGGCAAGAGCTGAGCGAGGAGGACAGAGAGCGATCGGCAAAAAAGGAGAAGGCGGCGCCAGCAAAGCGGCGGATAGCAGACGTCAAGACCGAGGTGTCCAGGAGTCCGGCCAAGGGTGAGTGGCGGCCGGGCAAGCGCGGGCGGCCGCCGAAGCATATCCTCGAGCAGCGGCGGCGGGCGGCGGCAGCGGCGCTGGAGAGCGGCGAGGGATCGGCGACACCGGATGCGACGGGGGAAGCGGGCGCGGATGTCGGGGTCCCCGGCGCCAGAACTGGCGGTGGCCCAGGAGAATGAGCCGACGGATGCGGCAGGGCGAAGCGAAGATTGGCGAGGACGGGCAGCTGCTGGGTGGGCGCGAGTACATCTGCCCAGTGTTCCAGTCGCCATTCCGCGCGAACACGCAGATGCGGTATGTGCTGTCGATGGACTGCTGCCGGTTCACAGGGCGCGCGCGACTCGTACATGCTGTTCAAGCAGCACCCGCGGCTGACACGCATCGAGACGACGCAGGAGGAGCGCGATCTGCTGGCTGAACGGCACATGATCCCGAAGGTTACGCGGTTCCGGCCCATTGCCATGATCACCGCACGTGACGCATTCCTTGAATTTGGCGCCAAGATGGTCAAGGACGGGCAGTACATCATCGACGACTACTGGGAGGCCCGCAGCCGCGAGGAAGCGCGGTTCCCTGAGGGCACGATGGTAGCCAGTATGGATGTGTACCGCGACATGATGGCTGCCCACGCTGCGGGCATGCTGCCGGGGCCGACCCGGAAGCCGCGGCGGGGCACACCGCTGCAGCACCGCGGCAGCACTGCTATCACATCGCTGGCTGACGGCTCCGGCAACGGGTCAGCCAGTCGAGCCGCCACGCCCACGCTATTGGGGGGATTCCGGGGACGCACTGGCCCGGGGATGGTGCCTGGCGGGCTGACAATTGCTAGTGCGCTGCAGCAGCCGGTGGAGGCCATGCAGGGGACAGCGACGGGCGAGGGATCGGCGGGCGATCTAGCGCTGGCCAAGCCCGTGTTCCGGCGGACGCGCGGGGCGGAGACAGCCGAGGCAGCGTTTGAGGGCCCGATAGCAGCGCACCGGGCGATATTCTCAGACGACGTGAGCTTTGTGGACGGGACGCCGCTGCTGCAGAGCTTGGCGCCGTCGTGGCCGCGGCTGGGTGGCAAGCGGCGGCGCGGGGTGGACGGGTCGGAGCAGGAGGAGTCGCTGGCGCTGGCGGGGGTGGCGCGCGATTTCAACGCGTCGCTGCGCATGTGGCGCGAAGACAACGGGTCGACGTGGATAGACCCGCACACGGGCATCCGCCAGATCCCCGAGAGCCTGCAGCCGGCTGCGGCGTGGGCCGAGCGCGTGGACAAGACACATGGCGGGGTGCGGACGACGGTGGTGGAGCCGCTGGTTGCGTTTGTCGAAGACGAGCCGCCCGAGGACGAGCCAGGCAGGAGCCGGCTGCCGGGCAACTACCCGCTGGCGCTGCTGCCAGGCCAGTACCAGCACGAGTTCCCGATCCACCAGACGCGGTTCGGGCAGACGTACCAGCAGGCGGTCAGCTCGTACCACTACCACTGGGCCAGACAGCTGGCAGTGCAGCAGCAGATTCAGATGCAGCGCCAGATGCAGCAGCAGCGCCATACGCAGCAGCACCCCAAGTGATGTCCAGTACCATTCTTGTTGACATATGTCTCTTTTGCAATTACATTATCCATCTGTTTTTTTAGTTCTACTGTCGATCCGATGGAGGTGTTGCAAGGAAGGGCTAGAAACCACACAAGGCTCTCTTGGCTCCACTGTTCGCACTTTTTTCTTTCCATCTATTACGACCAACAAACCCTTCATTTCATACGCCTCTTCTCCCCTTCTCCCTCTTCTTTTTTACCTTTTCTTACTCTATTATACTCACAATGGGCTTGTGCATTTCGCGGCCAGAAATTGACGATGTGGACGAGCAGACGTCCTTGCTGCGCTCCGGGGACGGCGTGCAACCCGCTGCCACGCCAGCAGTTCCGGACCGGTTTGCTAACAAGAGCCCGTCGGAGATAGCGCATTTGCAAGAGACTGAGCGGACTGCAGGCACTGCAGAAGCGGACGACCGAGTCGCTGATAAACATCTCGCACCACGCGGGCATAATGCACGGGCAGTCGTTCAATAACGGCGGGCGCGGGATACGCCGAGGTACTGCGGGCGTTCAACCGCCAGATAGCGTTGCCCATGACGAGACTGCCGGGGCCAAAGGCGGACATTGCCAGGAGTCCTGGCAGGCGGAAGGATCGAGGAGCAGGAGGTCGAGGCGCTGGATGCGACGATTGCGATGGTGCTGGAGGCCGGTGACGATAGTGCATGTGGAGGATGTGGGGCAGTGCGTGGTGCCGCTGTCGCTGCAGGACGATGTGCGGGCGTAGCTTTATAATAAAGCCAAGCTGTAACACTTTTTTGGTGGCCGCAGGCACCACATCAATTTGGAAGTCTGAAGCTTGGTATGTTTTCTCGCCCCAATTTTTTTTTTTGACGGGAGCTCTTTCTCCTCTCTTGACAAGCTCGCTTTACAGTTTTCCTTTTCTCGAATTACTTCTTTTTTTTTTCAATGAGCATGCCGGTGGCTCCGACGCTAAACGACATCCTGAACTCGGACCCGAGCGCCGACCTGGCGGTGGCAGTGACTGAGGAGGTAGACGACGGCAACGAGGATACGACGCCTGAAGGCTGCTGCGTCGAATGCAAGGACCAGAAGGCACAGGTATTCTGCGAGCAGTGCCAGGAGGACTTTTGCGAGGTGTGCGGCGGCATGATCCACCGCACGGGCCGGCGGCGGCAGCACGTCCTGCGGGCGTTGGAGGAGAGCAGCAGCTTTTGCTGAGACCGACAAAGAAAAGGTGGCGATGGAGGAGCCCGAGGAGACGGCGCTGTCGGGCGGGGCATCATCGGTGACATTCAATGCGCAGAGCGGGCAGGTGGACGCGCAGGGGTTCGGGGAGTGGATCACGGAGCGGACCAAATTCATTCCCTTGCGGCTGACGCTGAAGGAGCGCAAGTACCTGCGGCTGCTGGAGGCGGCATTGCACGTGAGCGAGTACACGGACCGGATTGATGTTCTGCAGTACGGCAACAAGACAAAGCGCATCGTAGCGCAGATCAAGGAGCTATGCGCGATCCTGTCGGGCCTGGTGGTGGCCAGCGACTACAAGGCCGGGCAGCAGCTGTGCCAGGAGCGGACAGTTCGCCGATAACGAGCAGTTCTTCCAGAAGATCTTTGAGATCGGGCGGCGGCACAAGATCATGAATCCGGAGAAGATGCGCAGCGAGTACGGCAAGCTGATGCATTTGCTGCAGGACGCGCAGGCCAGCGACGTGCAGGCGATGCTGGGATTCAGCATCGTCGCGCCGATCAAGACGGTGCATTCGGTGCTGGAGTCGCTGGGCGTGCTGTATGTTCTGGAGGACGAGATGGTGGTGGTGGCCACCAAGGAGATTGTGGGCGAGGGGCGGCCGCGGCGCGCAGGTGCAGCTGGAGATCAAGCAGAAGGAGCGCGCGATCGAGTACCTCTGCAAGGCCTATGCGACCATCGACTGCCCGGCCGAGGTGCTACGCCAGTGCCTGTATAGCATCGGCGACAACCACGCGTTCCTGCGGGCAACGCGCGACGCCTGCGACCGGATGCTCAGCCATCTGACGCGCGACTTTTCGCCGCAGCGCGCCGAGTCCGACCGCCTGTCGCTGGCCATTCTGAGCGGCCGCAATGGCGCCCGCCTGTCGCATTCGCACGAGCGCCAGTTCCGGTATGTCCACCAGACGCTGGCGCTGTGGCGTGAGCTGCTCCACGACATGTTCATGCTATGGCACAGCGCTGACTCAGACATGCTGGCGCTGCGCAACCCCTACCGCCTGATGGACACCGGCCAGGGCCTGCAGCGCGTGCAGCCGTGCCAGCGCGTGTCACGAGCTGCCCACCAGATCCTGCACCGCACGCAGAAGAGCGTCGGCCGGTGGGTGGGCTCGGCTGTGATCCACTTGGGCGACCGCAATGTGCCCAACGCGCTGATCTTCATTGACAAGTACAACCAGGTCGCCAGCATTCTCAACCCGGTCGTGCGTGTGCTCGAGTTCCTGGACCGCCTGCAGAACGGCCAGGAGCGCGGGGATATCAGAGAGTACGTGGAGCAGGTGTTTGGCGGCGCGGAGATGGCTCGCAAGCTGGTTTTGGCTGATTTCTTCCGGTCGGCGTTTGATGGCTCGGGCGCCGACAATTTCTTTGACGCCGGGTCGTGCATTGACGGCCGGCTGACGTCGGCCTGGAACTGGTGCTCGAGTATCGAGAAGAAGCCGTACTTCCCGGTCTTCTTGCTGTCGGGCTTTGTGGGATTCAATGGCGGTCCGGAGGGGTTCTCCTAACGGGGAGCTTCATCCGAGATGATCAGGCGATTTTCAATAGACTAGTTTGAGCTTTATCTTTTTAGCCTTTTAAAATTTCTTTTTTTCCCTCATTTCTGCATTTCTCAGCCCCGCTTATACAAATCACCCAGGCTAGCTCACCACCGCTGCAGGGCTCAAATTCAGAAGGGACGGTTCACCGGTCAGGAGAGAGAGAAGGAGTGTCTATCCGGGAAAACAGCAGGAAAAGCACAACAATAATTCAACAGAAATGCTCGCTCCAGGGCTGTCTGCCCGGAGCCGAGCTCTGGCACGACTACCGTGTGCCAGCCGTCTGGCCGAGTTCCTGACGGCCACGCCGCTCCGTTCCGCCCACGCGTTCTGCCAGCACCGCGCCCGGCCCGTCACCACCGCCATTGCACTGCATGACCGCTGGCCAGCCACGCCTTCTGCGCAAATCCAGGCCAACGACACTGGCATTTCCGCCGATCTGCATCGGCTGCGGGCAGCGATATCGGCAAATGACCTGGCGTTGGCGGTGAAGTCCTACGATACTGTGCGGCGACGAATGTGCCCTGGATCACTGGACACCGAGACGACCTATGAGTTTTGCCGGTTACTGCGGCGGTCGGCAAAGGCAGCGCCTGAAGAGACGAAGCAGAAGCTCTTGCGGGTGGTTTTGCGGGTGGTTGCGGATCAGCAAGAGGGCGTAGACGGGCGGGTCATGGCCGAGGGCATGGCGGCGCACAATCTTCTGGGGCAGCCGGAGCAAGCACTGGCGATGTGGCAGCAGGAGGGCCATTGGCAGGCCGGTGTGCAGGCGGTGCAGGCGGCCGTGGCTATGAAGGACCCGGCAAGGGTGCGCAGCGTGTACTATAGGGCTTTAAAAGCCATCAGAGAGGCCAACCAGACGCCATCGTGCCGGGTTTTCCAGGCGCTAGTGTATGCCAGTGTGCGGGCTGAGAGCGTGCCGAGTGGTGCCGATCGCCGGTGGGACGCGGCGCGTCTGGGGGCGCTGTTTCTGATGCAGGCGTATGCGGATGCCCGCGATCTTGTGCCCGCCGCAAGCTCCACGCACTGCGTGCTGCTGCAATATGCTCTGCGGGCCATGTTCCAGACCGGCCAGTGGCGCCGGGCTATGCAATTATACAACGGTCTGAGTCCTGCCCATGTGACCTCGCGGCTTGTCGCCGAGACTGTGCGCGGTCTGGGTCGGAACTCGCGCATGGACGAGGCGTGTCAGGTTCTAATGGATGCGCCAGCGGAGCTGCAGACTGCCCAGGCATGGAATGCGTACCTGGGGGCCATAGCTGATCAGGTTGGCAGGGCGGTTCTCGGTGGAGTTTCTGGAGTGCCAACTCGCATATATGCAGGACACGTGCAGGATCCGGCCCGACGCAGCCACAACAACCATCCGGATGCGCGCTCTGCTGCGGGCGGGCGAATGGCGGCAAGCCATTGTCTGTTTTCGCCAGCTACCCTGCCCCGATACCGTGGCCTGCGACGTCCCTGGTCCGCGGGCTGCTGATGCAGGACAGTTCGGCCGCCCACCGGCGTGCCTGGGCGCTGGTGCATTCGCTGGTGCCGGGTAAGATCGACGCGCGCATGGCTGACACTGTGCTTAAATACGCCCTGTCGACATCGCACGATATCCAGCCAGATGTGCTTGCGCGGATCCTGCCGTGGGCTCTGCAACACACCAGCTCTGACCGCAAGACCACGCATGCCATCGCCGTGAATGCGTTTTTGCGCGCCGGTCGCCTGGACGACGCATTGGCTGTCCACAAGGCCATGCGCATGCGCAAGCTGTGGCCATCGCGATCCATCAACTGTATGCTGACTGAAGCACTGGCTAATGTGGATCTGCTGCGCGCGGCTGAGTTCATTGAAATGCACGTGCCTGGGCACCACTGGGCGAGTTGCTACGCTGTGGTGCTGAAATCGGCGTTGCAGCAATGCGATTACACATATATGCGGTTATTGCTGCGCAAGCATTACCCGGCCGTGCAGCTTTCCGACAGCCGCGGTGCTCTGCCGTTTCCTACTGCATCCATGTATCATCGCGCACTGCAAGCAACGCATGCCCAGGGCGCCTGGGAGGAGCACCGCCACATACTGGCCATGGTGCGCCAGCACCAGCAGCAGGCGCGCGAGGCGTTTCCGCAGCTGGCAGAGCGCCTGGCGCTGCTGGTGCACCAGTACCGCCATGCGCTGAAATCATAGAAATAGAACAGTTTAATTTGTTGCATAATATAAATAGCTTACTTCATGTACTTGTCCAGCCATCCGAGCAGCACCTCCGGGTGCTCCGGCAGGTACTTGTACCCGTCAAACCGCCTGGTGGTGCCGTGGATCCAATGCAGTTCCTTTTCTTTCGTCCCGAGCCTGTTGAAGATCTCTTCAACGTCACTTGGGTCCGTTATGCAGTCATCCATGCACCTGCAAGAGCAGTGTCGGCCACGTCACCGCCTTGGCGTACGGAATCGGCGACATTTTGTCCGCCGTAAACCCATTAATCAGCTGCGTGTCCCGGTCGATTTCCTGCAGCTTCTCGGGCATCCCCAGTAGCTTCGTCACCGCCTTATAGATCGCCCCCATGGAGATCGGCTGCGGTGCCACCATGCATTTAATTTCAGTAAAGTACTCTGGGTACTTGGCCGCCGCAACAATCGTCGAATTGGCGCCGATGGCACCTGCTGAACAATGCCAGCTTCATATTTTTCAAGTCCTGCCTTCCCCTGACGTACTTGATCGATGCCGCGACGTCTCTTGACTCGTAGTAGCCGTTGCCGGTGATTCCGCCGTTGGCTGTGCCTGAGTGTCCGTGGTTGCGCAAATCGTAGCATAATACGTTGTATCCGGCGTCATGCAGGTGTTTGTAGTCAGGCATAAAGTTCACTTCAAAATCATTGCCGCCGGCTGCACCAATGCTTTGTCCAGGGCTCGAGGTGGCCGGGGAACCCCTGGCGGTTCATCCAGAGCACATGGTTGCAGATTACTAAAAGACTGGAGCTTTTGCACGGGAGGAACCAGCCTTCGAGCGGCGTGCCGTCAAGAGAGGGGAAGAATACGTCTTCGTATTCGAGTCCGTATTCGTCCGGGTAGTGCAGGATCGGGCAGCGGATCGGGTGTGCGAAATGTCTCGGCGATCTGCTTACAGATTGGATGACTTTTGCTTGATCGGTCAGGGGGCAGCCATTTGAAGAGATGGTAAGGGGGTTTTGGCAATGTATATACTGTGACTGGAGGTTATTTACTGGATGCAGCATCTGGATGACGATTCGGGAGAGAAACCAAAGGAATATTTAAGAAAACCTATTATCCTTTTGTTTTTGATACCTGAATGTGTAGAGTTAATTATTAGAGGGCTGGTCGAGAACCAGAATCTTGCGACATTGTAGCATGTTATCCAGACCCTGACACGGCACATACCAAATGACCAGCAGGCCTAGAGTAATGCCAGCTGCCCATTAAATCGATTTTTAATGCGCAATTGGACACTTTGTATTCCAGGAATGAAACCCCACACGCCACCTGTTTTTTGCCTAGTCCTTTGGCCAGTCACCCGGTATATAATCCAGTATCATGATAATTGGGAGTTAGCCAATGAACGAATGTCAATACGCTTCGACAGAGGCAGACATTTTGTGTTTTGTTGAGCCTATGTGGAAGTGCCTAGATAACAAGCACAATTTCCACACTGGAATGATTTGTAATTTTGTGCTACGGTCGGCAAAAGGGACTACTAGCATTGCACACTGGATGCAGCTGTCCTCGATGTCAGCATTGCAATGACTCTGGTGATGGTGTATCAAGTTTTGGTGAGCATGTGCTCAGTAGGCGCAAGATGTCAGCACTGCTGCTGCTGCTGTTCTCAGATGAAAGGGCTATCATTTCAACGCATGTAGTTAATACAGCGGCTAAATCGATATCTCGGCTGAGGATTCAATGTGGCAAACCCTCATAGAGCAGTAGTTTAGGACAGGACTGCTATACTAAGGAACCACAGAAAGTGCCGTGGCTTTCCCTACTGGTAGTACCCTGTGGAACACTGTGGTAGACATATAAGGGTTATATAAACCTCGGAGTGCAATAGGACTTGTTAATCAAAGTAATATAATTCCTCCTTCGTTCCTAAAGCCCAGTATAGCAGTATTGCGAAGCCGTCCTGGGCGGCCGCTGGCTACAATGTGCCTGCATTATTGGCAGAGGGATGAGAACTATACAGCGTATCAAGTCCTCCTACGCTCGACCAGCGCAATTATTTTATAAGCGGGCTATGGTGCAGTGCAAGAGGGAACATATATCTCGCCTGCTTGACCGTGATCTTGCTGTGCACAAAGCACGCAGCTATTGGCGCCGGCGATGCTACCAGCACAAGAACCTTTCACGAACCTCATCTGTTGAGTGCTGTCTGTGGGAACAGTCCATAATAAGTTTCGTGCTTTCCTGGCAGAAATGTTCTTCCGCTGGCAGAGTGTACTCCCTTTCCAAGACGAAATTCAAAGTACATATGCCAAATTGCTATTTCATAAGGTTTTGCTGCATCCAGCACACAGCAAACCCTTACCAGCTATCCCATGATCTCAATGTAAGACCAGCTAGTTTGTGTGGTTCCTATTAGCTAAACATTACAAATATAGTGTCGGTGGTGGCCTGGAGAGCCGAGAACTCGTAGCGGAATGGGGTCTTGAAGGCCAGCGGGACTTTAGAGAGATGCCGCTGCAAGCCTGCCTACCATCTCGGTGCACTCGTCAATCTTCATCAGCCGCAGCATCGACGTAAATCCCTCGACATTCCAGAACGCTCCCAGCCGGTTGAGCGCCTGCCACAGGATGCGCACGCTCTTTGCCGTGCGATGCAGCTCGTTATCCCACTCCTGCAATGTCCACTGTGAGTCGTCCGCTGACTGCAGTGCATTCCGGCACCGCCGGTTCTGCCGCACCAGCACGCACGCCACATTGAAAATGCACAGCCCCACCGCGAACTCCAGCCGGCTGTGCGGCAGATCGTCGTTGCGTTTCAGGTATCCTGCCATGCTGTGCGCATACTCAACTGCTGTGTCCCACGACTCCTGCTCAATGTCATCCGCTACCAGGCCCTGACTCCAGAATGTCCCCAGCGCGGAGCTGATTGTCTGCCGGATCGCTACGTCAGATGCTGAAGTCGCTGCAGTGCCCACAGCATTGAATACCTGGTCGAGGTCCGGCGGCCGCTCGAACTCGTCAAAGAACGACCGCCGGTTCGATATGTGCAGAATCACTATGGTCGAGCATGTATATACCTTCAACGACAGGTACCGCACGCGTGTGGCCAGCAGCCCATGGTCCACGTTGCCAAAGAACCGCGCCCCGCTCGTATTTGACGTCATCCCGCGTAAAAGCTCTGGATGCGGCACGCTCTCGTGCAGATCCTGCACTAGCCGCGAACACACGCTGAATTCGGGGTAGTCCGAGATCACCCGGGCCTTGCGGTGCACCGAATACACAAGGTGCGTGGACTCTGGCGACGGGGTGAGGAAGTCCACCGCCGGAAATGGCCGGTCGCTAGGCGTGCTGATCTGCTGGTCGCAGCGCCCGGCCTTGGCGCTGTTCAGGAAGTGGCTGACCCGGCTGTTTGTTGTCCCCATCTTGCATAGCAGCTCAAATGACCGTGATATCGCGCCCGTGATAACCGTCTGTGGCCGCGCTTGCCGCACCGCGGGATGCGCATCGGTCGCCGTGTTTGCCAGCACAAACGAAACATCGTCCCACTCTTCGTCTGCGCTCGGTGAGCGCACGTAGATGAGCGGCTCCGGAATCAACGTCGGATGGCCACGCATGATGGACGAGTAGCAGTCGTACAGAAATATCGACCAGAATAGCCGCCGCTTGGTTTCGGTCTCAACCCACTCCTCCCATGTCTTTGGCTGCCGCGTCTTGTACAGATCGATCTCATGCCAGCCCAGCCGCATCACAAGCCCAACGGCTGCAGCTAGGAACGTCGCCACAGCCACATCGCGGTTGCCGCGGACCTCCACGTTTATTAGAACCACAAGCGCCTGCACCGTATTCAGAGTTGGCTTCTCGAGATTGAGCAGCACGCGCGATTTCACGCTGTCGATCAGCGCTGCGGTGGGGATCCGACGGCCGGTCTCATACATAATGTATTTGGCTGTCAGCGCCCGGATCGCATCCAGCAGCACTGCCTCGACCTTGCCCTCCACGACGCTGCGCAGAAAGGTTGATGGATGCACAATGGGCATGTACGCGTAGGCGTAGTCGAAAAACGCAATAATGGCCTCACGCAGCTCCGCATCGACCTTGGCCGAGTAGAAATCGGCGATCAGGTTGTCGACAGGCGGGGCAACAATCCCCTCGTGGCTCGAATCGTCCTCCGAGACCGACGGCGAGCCAGCTGAGCCATTATTCGATATATCGGTCTGCGGCCGCGGCTCCTCCGATGTGCTCAGCACAAGATTTGCAATGCTGGTCGCCGATCGCACCGTCTGATTTCCACTATTCGCCTTGGGCTTTGGCCCGCGCTTCTTCATTGCCCGCCACTCACAGCTGATATCACGCCGCGAGCAGTTCCTGCACGGGTTCTTGCCATCACACCTCACCCGCTTCCGGTGGCAGTTATCACACGCCTGCGTCAGCCGGTTCTTGCGCGGTGCGTTGGTTGGGTTTGGGTTTGGGTTTATAATTATTTGCTGCGGTATGGTGTTGGCCATTTGAGGCATGGACCCCGGCCCGCTGGCCCCAGCCGGGTAGGGCTGGTGCCGGTGGTCTGGAACCACGCTTTCGTGATCTATGCGCACTGCTCGCGCGGTGTACTGAACACTGTAAGCTGCCACCGGTTGTTGCCGTATGAATGTACCTGGCTGCAGGTGGAGCCGGGGCTGAGATCCGCTTGTGTGTGCTGGTGGTGGCGCCCCAGGGTTAACTACTGCCGGCCTGCTGGGTGGCATCGGCCGTGATACTGCTTCATTTGGCTGCTGCGTATCTGACAGTAGCCAGGATATTGGTGGCAGCCGCTGCGACGTGCTGCTGTCTGAGGAAGACTGCTGCTGGTTAGCAAAGGAGGGGTTCATGGCACAGAGTGACAAGGGATTAAACAATAGAGTGCAAACAGAGGAAAAGAGGGAAGAAAGCGAGAAACAAGAGGAGCCACAGGCAAGAGGTATTTAGACGAAAGGTAGGGCGAGCGCGGATGAATAGGTGGCCTATGAAATGAAGAGTTGACAACCCTTCTATTTTCGGAACACTGGTCAGCCAAAAGGCAAAGAAACCCGCCTTTCGCTAGAATTTTTGTCCTGTCCATGATGAACCGATCTTGCATGACGCGGAACTGCACTCTTCATGCACATGTGCTTCTTGAAGGGAAAAGCAAGATGGATGGGTGGGGTACAGGCATGGCTCGTCGCCGGCCATCGCCGTTCGCACTCGTAGCAGATGCATGCAGAAACACGCTACCTGTCCTCCGCTCGACAGCACTGGAATGCGCTGACGACGGCTTGCTTTTACTGCCCATTGTTTGCATGCAAGGGCACTGACAGAACAGGTGTCAGCAAACCCTCCGAGTCTGCTGGCCATGTGGTCTCTCGTTGATATTAGTGGATTGGCGGATTTACTCAAAACGCAGCAGTGGTGGCTGAGGCGCGCAGCGATATGTACCTGTGGCATCGCTTAGCGTTGTCTTTTGTCTGCTGTTTGTCGATTATCGCGTACCTTCCATATTACATAATTCATGCTCTCCGTTTTGCGGATTCGAAACATTTCCGCGCCCAATTCAGCATGCTCGGCGCTGCGGCGTGCGTACACAACACCGGCGCCAAAGTGGAACACAACGATCGGGCTTGAGCTCCACGTGCAGCTATCGGCCAAGCAGAAGCTGTTCTCTCCGGCCAGCGCCAAGTGGGACGACCCAGCCAACTCCAACATTGACTTGGTCGACGCAGGTCTCCCCGGCTCGCTGCCGCGGCTCAACCCGGAGTGCGTGCACCTGGCAGCCCGGGCGATTCCTGGCGCTGGACGGCACGGTCCAGCCCACATCGGCATTCGACCGCAAGCACTATTTCTACGCCGATCAGCCGCTCGGCTACCAGATTACCCAGAGCGCACGCCCAATTGGGCGCGGCGGCCAGATCGAGCTCGGATCTGCGGACGGCCTGTCGTACACGCGGCGGGTGCGCATCCACCAGCTACAATTGGAGCAAGACACGGCCAAAAGCATCCACAATGTTTATCCAGGCTATGTGCTGTCGGATCTGAACCGAGCTGGCGTCGCATTGGTGGAGATTGTGAGCGAGGCAGATATGTGCACGGCGGATGAGGCTGCGCATTATGTACGGCGTATGCAGACGCTGCTGAGGCATATTGGCGTGTCAAACTGCAACATGGAGGAGGGCTCGCTGCGCTGCGATGTCAACGTATCGGTGTTCCGGGACGGCGACGACCCGCTCTCGGGCACGCGCTGCGAGCTGAAGAACCTTAATAGCCTGAAGGTCATTCGGGGCGCAATCGAAGCCGAGTCGGCGCGGCAAATCGCGGTGATCGAGAGCGGCCAGACGGTGGGCCAGGAGACCCGCGGGTACGATGCACGCACCAACACAACATTCCTGCAGAGATCAAAGGAGACTGCCCCAGACTACCGGTACATGCCCGAGCCTGACATCCCACCTGTAAGGGTCACCGAAGCGTGGGTTGATGCTGTGCGCAACGCGATGCCAGAGCTGCCGGACCGGCTGCTTGCGCGTGTCACAGAGCACTACGGGCTGTTGCGGGATGAGGTCGAGACAATGATGGGTGAGCCCGGGTGCATTGCGCTCTTTGAAGCCGTGATGGCCACTGGCAAGCACGACGCAAAGCGTGTTGCATCCTGGATTACCTCGGAGATCTTTGGTCAACTCGCATACCGTAACCAGAAACTGGCCGATAGCCAGCTGACGCCGCAGCTCTTGGACGACATCTTGGATGCGCTTGCCAACAGCCAAGTCACATCAGCTCAGGCCAAGCAGCTGCTAATTGAGCTCATGGACGGAGATAAGCGCAAGGTGGGTGAGCTGATCGAGGCGCACGGCTGGCGGGTCATGGACGACCAGTCAGAATTGCGCAACATCATCGCCGTACTGCTGGAGAAGCACCCGAATGAAATCGCGGATTACCGTGCTGGCAACAAGCGGAGAATGAACTTTTTCGTGGGCAAGGTCATGGGGGCAACCAAGGGCCAGGCCAAACCGCAGGATGTAAGCCGGCTTGTCAAAGAGTTTCTTGATTCCAAACCTGAATAGAATAGCATTATTGGCGTATTATGTGCCCATCCCCTTTTAGAACTATATACACGGCGCCAGCACACATGGCTCTTTGCTACCATTGTGATTAGAAAAACCCCATGCTTCATTGCCTGGCAGATTACAATGCGCGCAATCGCGAAATGATACATGGGCAGCGGTATCTATCATGCCGTCCGATCATGGGCAAGCAATTAATCTGCAGCGCCCAATTGCCAGAATAGGAGAGTACACATATGTGACTCCATCTGCCACGAGGGAGTTTCTAGCTTTAATTGTACCAATTGTCATAACAGCTTAGCATCAAACCTGACCAGTGATTTGCCCCACCCTTATTGCATAGGATCAGAGAAATGTGACAATACCTAAAGCTACGGCGTGTAGCCAGCTTATTGCGGCAATCATGAGTCTTGCTATTAGTGGGTAATGCACGCAGATTCCTTTTCCGCTCCAGATGCAGCATTGGTCATCGACATAATTGTGGACAGAGCAGCAATTGGCACAATCAGCCCTCCTACAATGATGCTGGACTGTCGGCTGAAACGTGCGCTTTGGCATAGGCACATATAAAAGGCGAACCATTTGCCCTCAGCCCCTCAACCATCACCAACCAACAACTCTGCAATACCCAACGTACTTCAACAATGAACACCTACGCTACCATCCTTGCCATCGCTGCTGTCGCCGTCGCCTCCGCCAATGCCCAGGTCTTCTGGATTCACTGATGAAAAATAGTGCCAACTCCTGCCATTCGCTTCTGAATGTAATTATTCATCCCTCCCCCAGTCTTTTGTATTTTGTCGACAGAAATATACTGCAATAATACTATAAACCACCACATCTCATCTGAGCTGTGTCCAGACACCATGTCCTTGATAATAACTGGATGGTCAATTTATTGCTGTACATGTTAGACATCATTACATATTCATATTACTCAAGTCACCACAAAGCGTGTCTACTTCATTCCCACTATCTTGTCTACAGGTGGCACAGCATACCTTCATGGTAGTATATGATGCTGGGGGCATGATGTTCAGTGTAAAAGGATACTAAGAAAGCTATAAATGTTGTTCATGGGACAAGAAATAGAATTTTCAGGTTGCCAAACAGCGACTGCATTTCACTTTTATATGTAAATAAGTTTAATCACTGGAGAGTGATCACTTGCAGCCAATCACAATTCCCAAAGACCTGGGTATATCTGGTGTTATAAGAGTCAATGAATCTATTGTTAAGGATTTGGTTGATATCACTTAGTAACTGTGTGGGCACGCTGTATTTGGTTCCTCAACCATCACCAGGAGCGCTTCAACGGCATTTGCTTCTTGCTCGAGTATTGTCCAAGTGCAAAAGGTAGAGGTAACAGAAAATATGCTCCACCATTGTCGAGACATTCCTCAGCTAGGCACCCACTGCTTCTGTTGTGCTTGGTGATTTCAGTAAAAGATTATATTTTTGCTGTGCGCTTTGCCATCTCGCAGTAGCAGTTAGTATTCTGATAAAACTAACAGACCCACTCAATAGTATGCACACAAGTCTAGCTGTACTTTGAGCACGCCATATATATTTACCATTCTGCAAGTCCTAGACAAAAATATAGCACTAGACTATATACTTATTGACCTGGTGCATGACCAGAGATGCTTGACATAGTGTTCGAAATCAGGATAAATTACACAACAGCATGCACATTACCAGCACTCGGCTTTGGCTGGAGGCGATAGAGGCTCAGGATCTTGAAGGGTGTGTATTTATAGAACAATCTGGTGCAAGACAAGAAACACAGTTGGTGTATTGGTGTATTTCCATTCATGTTTTATAGGCTGTATTCTTGCCCGTACTATCCCGCTCCTATTGCGATTTGAGTAGCGACAATCCTGATAGATACGTCTATACAAAGCAATTCTATTATCAAGCTAGTAATATTGTCCGGTGGAAGTGGAGTGGAGGAACGGTTTATTACATGACTGACTGCAAAAATGATACTGAGCGGTTGAATCAACTGATGTAGTGATTTATCATAAGTGCGGGATACCAATTGTATGTATCGAGAACGGAACAGGGAAAGGGAAGGGAAAGTCAATAAAACAGAAGGAGAAAACAGAGGGCAAACACAAGGTGAGGCCTGCTTACAAACAGTGAGTCGTAGAAGGTAGGTCTACCGAACGAGAAAGACAGCGTTGGTACTGGATATGTTCACCAGGTATGCATGGCGAGGTGATTTGTAAAGCCATGGGTAACCTACAGAGGGGGTTATTACCTTTCTAATGACAGGTGAGTGCATGGCATCACAGTTGATAAAACACATTCCTGATACTAGCTTGTAGGAATGGGCAAGTTGAATATGGTCGGTGACATGTTCTTGCAAGAGCAATTCAAGACCGCAAACACTGCAGGAAATAGCCAGCATAATTTTTGTCTTGGGGTGGCATGGTGGTGAGTATTTGGGCCAAATACTTGATTATTGAGAAACGTGTACGTGTGATTGTAAATGTATAGGGGCTTGTGTGGGCAAACAAATGTCTTTCGAGATGATAAGAACTTGAGGAGGAAATGTTGTGAAGAGTACTCCAGTTTGCTGGTGACTCACTTGGTCTTATAGGAAAGGTGACGGAGACTATCATCGCTGGTGTTCGCAGAGACTAGCCAATTACTGTTGCCCAAATTGTACTGTTGGTAAAGTCACAGGCAACTTATTGCTGAGAGAGCATTCTATGAATGCACAAATACTATTTCAAAGTCCTTGAAGGAATAAAGTACTAAAGAAAAATAAGACAACCAAATGGCCAACATTTATTGCAACCACATAGACTGACTCCTATACTGTGCCATTCTACAGCCACGATACCACAAGTTATAGCATGCTAGGCAACGCGTATAATATTCCTTTGGTGCGGTAGATTATCTGTGATAATAGCAATTAGTAATGTTGATGGGATAATTGAATGTGACAGCCGAGGTCAGCAGGCGACGAAAACTCTTTACCACAGCGAACGCATGTGAAGTTACTATTCACGCAGGTAGAAGGTGGCATGGCAGCAGATGGATGATTTATGTTGATTGAATACCGAAGCTGTGTATAGGAAGCTGTAGACACTAACTTCCTAATCCAAAGACTCTATTGCATTTTATAGCCGCATGGAAGGGTCGCAGTGATGTGAGAGAGCGAATGAAGTTGTCACTAAATGGGAACACAGGACTGATGCCATCGAGTAGCCTGGTCCCGAGTCAAGCGGGTGGGATGAAGAGCCAGGCTGAAGAATCATATTACCTTTTGGAGAGAACTGATACGTGCCGTTCTCCTGATACGAGCTGCTACTACCTGCGGCTTTCTGTACTCTGAACTGCCTGCTATGTCTGGCCATGTGATATCTCTTGCACAGGCTCTTGGGGTGATCTTTTTGGGCACCCACAAGCTGTGTGGCGCTGGTGTAGTTTGAAAAGCGAATTTATTTGTGTGTGCATGGAGAGAGCTTATATAAGAAAGGCAAGATATTGTTTCTGCAGAGCGGGTCATGCATTCCTGTGGTGCAGCTCAGAAGAGCAAGAATCCTTTTAGCTAACCAGTAACATTCTAGCTGGACTGATACTTTCTGGACTATAAAGTTTTATATACATAGTGATTCGAAGCACGTATTGAAGCTAGACCCGGCATTTGGTAGACAGTGGTTGTCGTCATACACACTGGGCCAAATTCTCGAGAATAATAGACAATTTATTTATGATATATTGCTCCATTTTAAATTACCGATCCCATCTCTGTTCGGAGTATACAGTCACACCGGCTTATACGCACAACATGTCTACTACTGCGTGAGTGAAGGGGTCGTCAAATGACATCACTTTCGAGTGATCGACAATCTCTGAGATATAGCCTCCTGGATCCAACAAACGACAGGTAGTGCTGCAGCCACTGTTCACCCTTGCAGAAGCATCCTGCACTTTGCAAATCAATGAATGGCTTCTGAAGATTTGGTATATTTTTCAATACAAGGGTAAAGAATGCGATCCTCAGGGAAGCATATGTCGACGTCGTTAGGCATATGTGCTGAACCACGACTGTGTGTTGTCGAGACTTTAATTATTTAATGGAAGAGATACTTCTGGTAATCAAGAAAGGATTTTGCAGTATCTGAACGTGGCAATTAATGGGTGGGATTTCCACAACAAAACACAAATCATGGCCTGCTGCGGTTCTGAAGATGATAGTTTAGCCATTGGCTATAAAATTAGCCGTATAATGTCCAAGCCAACACAATAATACTTCCTTTTTTCATAGCAGCTTCAAGGTTACTTACCTGTAGACATTCCGCCACGCCACTATTTCCACACTGCCAACCATGCATTCGCCTGCCCAGCACGTTCCAGTTCTCGCCCTGAACAGGATTGTCGACTACACCGTTGGAGTTCTGCCAAAGAGAGAGTACGAGCGATGCAGCTGCGATTGCAGCCTGTTTAAGAGCATCGCGGCCATGCTTGCCCTGTGCCGTCATTGGCGAGAAGCTGCATTGGATAGGGTGTACCAGGAGGTGTGGTGGTGCATTGTGGATGGCTGTGATGTGTGCTGCAAGAACCGCTGCTGCAACCGGTGTTTGCCATGGAGCCTGCTCAACGCAGTAGAGACTGGAAACCACTCGCGAGTGAAAACAGTAAATATGCACTGGGACAACTCGATGGTGCTGGATGGCTCCGCCAGCGAGATCTTCCACGCCTTCCCATTTACCGACCTGGTTCTGCCAAGCGTCAGTGCTCTAGAGTTTGAATTCGAACATCCCGGATACATGGAGGAGCACAGCCTGCTTAGCGATACACACTTTGCCGAGGCATTCTGCAGCCAAATCCACCGAGTATTCCCCAACGCAAAGAGCAGCACGATCTCTGACTTTGTGCTTTTTCAGAACCATCTGGAAATGCCGTTCGTGTGCAATCTCTTGACAGGCTTGTTTGCGCATGCCACATCGGTCTCAGCGACCCCACTACCGGAGAACATGGGCAATTACTTTGCCAGGAACACGATGCAGATGCGCTGTCTGGAATTCGGCAGTCTTCGTTTGGATTCGCCAGCCATCGAGATCATTAGGCGGAACTGCATCTCGCTTGAGCGTCTCCAGATCAGCAGTAAGCGGCACGAGCTGTTTACAAAAATTGTTTGCGCTGATGATGGCACATCGATCGAGTACCCGCGCATGATCTCTCTGGAAACTGCATTTTATCCACCGCAGTGGCATCGCAATGGAGCTATCCAGCTCGATTCTCCAGCAGGCATTCCATTCCCGAAATCTCCGGAAGCTGGTGTGCGAGGGTGGGTATCCGTTTTCAAACGATATTCTTTTCAGCGGCAACAGCGCATTCCTCGAGTACCTCAGCATTAACATGACCGGTCAGTTGTTTTCAGATCTGAAGAGGCATTCCGTATTCAGTGCTGGGCGATTTGCATCACTGGGCTACATCAGCACATTGACGCACAACTACAACGGGACGGATGCCACCAACCAGGAGCAGATCAGGGGAGCATTCGCTTTGGGTGCCAATGCAACTAGTGTGAAACATACAAATGGCCAGCCTTGCATCTTTAGCGAGCTGGGTGTTTCAGTCGGCGAGATTGGGCCGAATATCATTTATTTGAATACTAGAAATATCTGCTCGCGATGCGAGCTCGGCTGCTAGTCAGCATGGGTTGACACGTCGATAAGGGCATCACGGCGAACCGGTCATTTGAACGTGTCGGATGGCTGTTGGTGCAATGTCGATCATGGACATCTCCCACCTTGATAGCCTGCTCAGCGCAGACGTTTCAGGGCTGGCTCGCTGCTGCTGGCAGCAGAATCACCTGCAGCTGGTCCACGCCTCTTGCGTGGCCTCTTTGTTTCAGGGGTGGTGCCAAAAGCATCGGCAGCAATGGCCGTAGAACGACAGAACCGTTCAGGAATACTCCCTGAATCACAGAGTGACTGGAAAATGAGTCTGAAGTTTAGAACTGCTGCGAGATCGCGGTTCAAGAGTCGAGACGAATAGGCTCGCCTGTATTGTGCCATGGCCCGCTTACATGACTCGCTTGTACAGCGGAGAAGGCCATGGCACTTCACAGTTGGGTTCTTCGATCTCTGGTAGGGCCGCGGATTGGGAACATGCCGGAATGTCTGCAGTGACTTATCGCAGCAGAACGGGCACACCGACGATGTCCGGAATTCGTCGATCAGATAGACTTCAAAGCCATGGTGTTTGAACTTGTCGCGCCATCCCTTGCCACGAATCGGCGCATGGTGCCGGGCCATCGGCGCACTCCAATTGCCCATGATCAGCACTGGATCTGGACCGAACTTGCTCCGGAGTTTCGCGGCAAGCCTGTGGTCTGCACGGGCCTGGTTCATGAATGAATCAAGGCGCAGCTTGCGGTGAAGCGGGTACACCTTGGGACTGGTCCCGACACCTGGATGGACCTTCCAGCGCCTCTGATGCTGCTTGTTTGACTTAGTGGGCTGCTGCTCTAGTAGCCTTCGCGCTGTCATCGTGTTGGCATAAAACGGTGCTAGGACACACCGCACAGATGCACGGGCAGCAACGTAGGCACGGAATTTTGCTGGGCTAAGGGTCCGGCAGCAGTGCTTGGAAAGCTCTGCCTCTGCTCTGCGGACAGCATCTTCTGGGACTTGATCCTTTGTAGCCTGACGAATCCTGTCATAGTGGCGCAGCTTGAGCTCCTTATTGCGCTGCTGCCGTGTGTAGCGGTAGAGCATTCTCTCACCCTCTTTCCCATTGCTGCTATTTTCGTGCATCATGTATAGCAAATCGCCCCGACCTGGATCGATGAATACACAGCGGCCTTTCAGATTCTGCAGCTCTGGCTGTGAGATCTGGTGGATATAGCGACAGTCAGCTATAGTATTGCCTCCCACAGCATCACCTCCTGCAACATCGCCTGTAGCATCGCCTCCCACAGCATCGCCTGTAGCATTGCTTCCTGTAGCATCGCCTCCTGTAGCATCGCCTGTAGCATTGCCTCCCGCAGCATTGCCTCCTGCAGCACCAGCCTTAGGTACCTTGTCTTGTAACAAAATGCATATCGTTACACCATCTGTTGTCGCCATCCCGTGGAATTTTCTATCACCATGCGCCTTAAATGGCTTTGATGTTAGATCTGCGACCCGGCCCCATACATCCCACACAGATTGTGCAATCCCTTGGACCGAGTCGTGTGCACAGACTGGGGGTGCTGGTGCATATGCATTGTTAAGTGCTGCAACAGTGTCTGCTGCTGCCGCCGATGCAGCAGCAAGCGAATCAGCCGCTACTGCTGCAGTTGCTGCAGTGGCCTCTGTTTCATCTGATGGCATCTTCGCTGCTTCGCGTGCAGCCTTCTTGGCCAATTTTTCGCCCTTTTCTGCTGCTTTCCTTGCCTCTGTTGCTGCCCTCTTTGCTGCGTTGATCTCTGTAGCCTGCTCACTGGTTTTCGAAACAAACACCTGCTTGATTATTTGCTTGTCTAAGCGCACATGGCCTGGGATCCATGATGTCCGCAGAGGCAAGCATTGGGGAGGAGACTTGCCAAGCTGCTCATTCTCGATAAGCTGGCATAGGCGAATGTATGCACGCAGATGCTTAAGTGGATTTACCTTGGCATCATAGTATCGGCTGTCTTTGGCGAATCTGTACTTGGCATCATAGGCATTAAGGACTGGTGCCAGCTTGTTGTAGATTGCAAGCATCGGTGGGGTGAGCACACTGAGATCAGGGTGCCTAGAGGCAACTGCCTGGCGGAGCTTCTGTGCAGGTGTATAAATACACACTTGGCATGCATTATTGAACTCAGCCTTAGACACATTGCCCATTGTACTGTGCAGTGTGGTTTTGCGGCTGCGAATATCAATCAATTTGGCCAGAATCCGCTGTAGGCAAGTGCCATAGTGCAACACAATGTTGTTCTTGTATGCTGTCATCAGCTCGGTATCCACGTATGTCGCTACCTGATTCATTTCACGTACGCCATGTAGCTCGATATCGCCATTATGTAATAGATAATCATAAATATGATATCTAATTACATCACCGAAATCTGCGCTCGACAGTTCTGGCCGGTCCTTCCGGTTGACGAAATCCTCGGCAGATATGACAGTCTTCGCCTTCAGGTTGCGATAAATAAATAAATAAATAAAACGAAAGAATCCCTTTTTCACAAGTATTGAAGGGTCAAAGGCATCGTCGTCAGCTAGTTGATGGAGCAATATCCATCGTGCAAGCATGTATGTATGCTCTTTGATGATATTGACGCTGTGTACAAATTGCTCTAGGCGGGGCAACATAGAATCACGGAAGCCAATACCACCAAGTGATGTCTTTATGACAGTAGTACTGCGGGTAATATCCATTTGAGAAGTTCAATAGGCAAGTAAGAAGAGAAATGATGCTGTTCAGTTTTGCTGTATTGCGTATGCATAGCATTAAGAACTTTTTATTAAAGATTTTCTGGCTTGCATGGTTCTTGGGGCCCTTAGCACTGATACAGTCTCTTGAATCAGTCTATACAGACTGGGTCCATTGTGGCTCAAATACTACCGCTTACGCATGTTCATAAGACAAATTAATTTGTAAAATAAACCCACAAATATTGCATGACCGCTAGAAGAGCTATATGGCCTTATTCAATAGGTGCTCATAAATAAATATCCTGAGTGTTGCGCAGCCGGCGATGACCACCATGATGATGCCATGGAAGTTATCAGGCCAGCTGACAATGAGAGCAGCTCTTGCGCTGAACCAATGGAGATATCCAGTAGAGACCTGTGACCACTACAATAATAACTTGTCACCCTGGTTTCACCGGTGAGGTCAGATGCCGCACAAAACCAAAGGGAGTTTACAGAGCAAGTCACTCAAACCCGTGTTGAAGCTTAAGAGTTTTTTAACCAATTAAATAATTTCTAGCGGACGGTCGGACACTTTTTGGACTATAAAATCTTATATATAGGTAAAGACTAGCAGTCTCATGCTTGCGATGCAAGCGCACCTCTATGTGTGCCAAACGCTGTTTGTCACACATTTCGGTGGAGACTGCTAGCGCCTGCAGCGGGCTGAATACATAAATACAAATTTGTTTTTGAATATAATAGGTTTTAATATAAAACATTTAATAATTTTAATACTAATAATAGTATATGGTAGAAATTAGTATTAGCTAATAAAAAATATATTTATATATAAAGCTAAAATTAAACTAAGAAAATATCTCCTTATAGACTATGTTTTTAGTCTTAGGTTCACTATCAGGATAATGTGTAGCTGACCCTAACATTATCTTGAGATTACTAAATGATTGTATGCGAGAAAGTGCCACGTAGAGTTGGCCATGAGTAAAGATAGGTGATGGAAGATAAAGCCCAACTCGTTCCATTGTTTGACCTTGGGCCTTATTTATAGTCATTGAGAAGGCAAGGCGGATTGGGAACTGGCATCGGCGTAGAACAAATGGTAATTGCTGGTGCTTAGTTGTTAATATCATTCGGGGTATAAATACCCTGGTACCATAAGCAGCACCAGTTATAATTTCAGCATCAATCACATGGGGCTGTAATCTATGGCATATAAGTCGTGTGCCATTACATAGACCATGGGCTGAATCTAGGTTACGTAGGAGTATGATTGGTGCCCCTACTTTGAGGCGGAGGTGATGAGGTGGTAGGGTTCCACCAACATCTAGTGAATTAAGAAATTCAACTGGGAACAACTGCTGGGTCTCTGTAGTTGCACCATCAGTATCTGCAATTGAGTCAGCACTATAGTAGTTAATGATAGTGCCTGGTAGATGGTCAATGATCTTGTTATTTAGATCATTCACTGAGGCATTAGTTGGTGATAGGATGCTACGATTGACCATATAGTTGGCTTGATTATATTGATATGCTAAATTAGTATAAATTGCATTGATCAATAGCTCAACATTATCTGAGGGTATTACAGTACCCACAGGTAATTGAATTTGGTCATATTCATCGCTGGGTAACCTTCCTTCCCCAACTTGAAGTAGCCAGTCAGCAAATTGGATTGCTGTACAATCCTGGGCACCAGCCCTAAGTTGGAGTCGCATATTGGTAGTAAGGTGTAGAATTTGTGCTTGACTCCATAATGGAGGCCATTCACAAATAAGAAAGTTTAAAGAAACTTAATATCTTATATCAGAATAACCAAGTATTAAATAACAAATCAATTACTAGCAGTTGAAAAATATTTTAAAAATCAGAATGTTTAGTGATGGCCAAAAAGATTTTAGCAACTAGATTAACTAATAAACAAAAATATAAGAATAGACACTTCTCCGAAACCCCCTTCGGCATCCTGAAAAATTTCAGTTGATTTCTCGGGACGCAGCCTGTATCTCAGTAGAAGCATATTAATTGTGTATCAACTGAAATTTTTCAGGATGCCGAAGGGGGTTTCGGAGAAGTTCAAAAAAAACAAAAGAACAAAAAGTTTTACAACTTCTAATTATTTTTTACTTAGTTTAGTGATTGTGAATGACCTCCTAGTGATTGTGAATAACCTCCAAATGCTGCCATTTTAAAACATCATGTTCTAGTCATCAAGTCGTTATCATCCTATTTATAACTATTTTTCTAATACCAAGCAATCATATA